CATACTGTAAATATGATTTGTTTGTAAATAAGAGAGCAACATTTACATTTTCAGCGGTCCAACACATGCTTCATTTTGTGCTGAAAGCTAACCTTTTTATTGCTACAGATGCTTTAAATGATTCAGCTACTGCATATGTTTTGTGTCTTCTATGTCTCACATTATATGTGTTCTTTTAAATTGTGGTATATAGCCTGGATCAGAGCTCATGGACAAAGGTTTTTACCTGTGTTACAAAGGCTCTTGGAGACTGACCGGTCTAAGGTTTGCCATGCCTTTAAAACATGGTATAGTATAAATTTTTTTAAGTCTCTGAGAGTTCTGAAAGATTCGGGTGAAACCATGTCTGTGTAATCTGGTCCAGATGTTTGCAAAATTTCTGTAAGATTTAAAATTGATGCAGCATCATCTCAGATTAGTTAATGGACGTTTCAGACAAATATTTGAGTTATGAGCGCGCTATATAAATGGATCCTTTCTTTATATACAATACTGTAGTAGATTAAAGTAATGACGTTAATTAGAAAAAAAAAAACAAAAAAAAAACATGTATGCATAAGAATTCCTAAAATAAATCTAATACAAACTAAAATTGGTATACCTTACAATAATATGTTCTGAGTACAGCTGTTAACTGTTTATTCTGTGTAAATGGTGATTGTGATAATGTGTGAAGTGTGCAGCTTAACTGGAGAGTGGTTTAATTTATATGTTGCTGTGTTGTTTTAAATTATATTTGAATCAGTTTGTTTCAGTCTAGTGATACTGATACAAATGCCAGCCAAATAACCTAGCAAATAACTGTTTTATTAGCTGTTGAATACTAGCGGTTTGGCCAAGAGTAGTTTGAGTTGGAGTAGTTCTATGAGCTCAGAGAGGCTCTGTGTTGTGGTCTGGTATAGCTATATGGGAATGGAGATTTGGAGGTGTTAGTTTAAGACTGCTTTCATATTGTGTCTACCCGTGTTTCCTAGGAGGGACACAGAGTGTGTAGTTGCGTGCCCATGAATGTGTTTTCTGTATTGGCATATCTGCTGGGTACCCGATACGTGTATCTACTACGTCTGTTTTGTGAGATGACATGTAATATTACATTGGATGCTGAGTATGAGTTATATGGTTTGAAATGAATTGGTGTGTTATGTGTTTCATGTATTTTATTGTCCATTGTGTAGGAGTTTAACTAGCAGAGTAATTTGCATATCATTAACGCAAGCATTTAGTGTTTTTACAAAAGGTGAAATGCTGTCCAGCCGGCTAGAATGAAACAATTGTATGCTATCGCTCCTGGAGCAAGAAAAGCGCTTGTTACATCCCACGTGAAAGGGGCCCCGCAAACTTCTGCTGTTCAAATCGTGGCTCTTCATTTCCATTTGCAAATTGATTAATCCTGAAAGTCATTCTTTTACTGATAAAAAGGATTGAATGGACAAGATGTCTCTCCCTCATAAAGGAGTTCTAATAGGGGAGTATTGTCCAGCTCAGAGTTAACTCTACTTTTAAAGTATATTGCATTGTTTGTGTCAAAGTAAGATTCATCTAGAATGCCTCATTGATTATGGGGTAATAATAACATGGTATTTTTATTGGAGATTAGACAATTTCGGAAATTTATAAGTGAGTTAATCTTAATCTCCTAAACTACTGTATTATATTTGTATCGGTAAAGTGAAAGCATTTTGCAGATCCAGAAGAGGATAAATATAATAATCTCACTAGGAGCCAAATTATGCAAAGAGGCTATCCAAAGTACGCACTAACGGGTTAAACTTGTTTTCTTAAGAAGTGTATAACATATAGTTTTGTGGTTAAACTTTTGATACTCAATTTGAAATATATCCTAACTACATCCTTGCACGGCCTCAGGTACAGGAAGCAATATGTGTTTTAAAATTTTTTGCAAAGTCTTAGTGTTTTCAATATATTATAACAATGGAAAAGTACCTAACCGCATGTCTGCATTATGCTCATGACACAGACTGTCAGTATTTCAAGCCCTATATGAAGGCTATGCTTTCATTGTCGATGTATATACCCCTAGACAACCTTGCTTTTTATACACAATTTAACTATCCATTAAACGTTTAAAAGCTTATTAATATTATATCTGTGTGGTACACAAAGAGGGGGTGTGAGTTCGGTAATCCCGACCTGCATATAGAATATGCTTCCTCCTTGTTCACTTTTGTTCCTTGCTGGTCTGTGACTGGCCCTTTTTGACCCCAAATGAATTTCTTGGGAAGATTCATGAGAAAGATACAGCAGGTTGTTTTGATAGAAAGAAAGAAGGAAAAGGTATGTTGTAGCAGTCACAAGGATTGTGATCCTAAGCAGGCGAGACAAAGAAATTTGGGAGGTGATAGGAGATTGAATCAGAAAAGTTTTAAAGGCAAAGGTAGAGGATTTGGTCAAAGTTTCTAACTTTTGTAGAGGTGGTAACTTCAGCACTGTTTTAATTGTGGATAGCAGGGATTCACCCCAAGGTGCTTGAGGTGAACCCGGTTCTCCTGGTCAAGCTGGCCCCACTGGTATTGATGGTGTCCCTGGCTTCCCTGGTGCTCCTGGACCTCAGGGCCCCAAAGGTTCCCCTGGACCTAAGGGTAACAATGGTGAACCTGGTGCTCAAGGAGACAAAGGAGAACCCGGTGCTAGGGGAGAACCTGGCCCAGCTGGCATTTAAGGACTCCCACTCTGGCAGGTTCCTCAATACCAACCATAACTTTCAAGCTATACCCACACCCAACAACCTCAGCCTAATACACAGATGGTTCATGTTTTTAATACTTTATATATAGTTTTGATAGATAAAACAGTATTAATACTGGCTCTTAGAGGATGTACAAGCTGAAGTTGGGACCTAGACATTGTTTGCATAGGCTGCGCAATGTGAAATAACTAAAATAGGATAATAAGTATGCTTAATCAATATGTAACGTGGTATCCTAGAGGCATCTGCAATAAAATAAGTGTGTTTCCAAGACCTGACAAGTGAGGGCAACTTAATATAACATATGTCTACAGTTTGCTGTCCCTTCCTTATCAGAGGCCACTGGTTTCCAAAGAGGTTATCAGGGTCCACAAAACTGACAGACTTCAGCATTCCAATTTTATTTAAGTAATTAATTGAGATTATCAAATCAAGGTTCAAGTTTAGGAACAAAATTTTATTGGGAATGTATATGCAAATGTTAGTGTTTTAATATTCATCCTAACAAACATTTCTATAGAGTGAGTGCTTCTCTCATCCATACAAGGCATTCTAAAGGGAAATTATGTATTCAAATTTTATAAAGGACAAATTCAATGAATTATAAGCAAAACTGAGAGAAGTACATGTTACACTAGTTAAGAGTTTAACTTTAGTCTCTAATTTGAGTTTAGCCTAGGTAATTAATTAATGATGTTGTATTGATCCTTGTGTTTGTATGATTGTAGAGACCGTCCTGGAGTGTTTGTGCCACCTGATTTCTGGGACTACACATCAATCTCTCCGGCTGACCATGCAATAAGTATTTTGCAATTACATCTGTTTGGTCATTATCCATGCAGGCCAAAGAAACTGAGATACTTATGAGGACATAAACTTTGCACGCAAGAACCTGGAAAGTCCTGAAGGTGCAGTGCTGTCTAATACCGCTGGTTCTGTAATAACCCTTTCAACCATTGGGGTGTTGCACAGAGCATTGTGGTGAAAATCCAGCAAACAAAAGAAGAACTATTTGGAAGCTGACATTGTCTTGTTGTCAGCCATATTGCTACCCTTAGCCATTTTATGGAACAAAATGTCTGGTGTCTAAACTGATTTATTTATACTCTGTGAAAGACTTATTCTATTTTTCTGAACTATGCTGAACTATTGAACTATTTTTATTTTTATTTTTACTTTTGTAGAGTTAGCCGGAGAGAGAGAGGAAGTGTTAGCTGACCCAGAGTTAGCTGTACTATGTGTGTTTTTGATATATGTTGAGTGTGCCAGGATGGACTCCCATGTTTTGTGGAACTGCGTGAGGATATGACTGGTTTTGACTGGACCTTTGGAATAGGGAAATGGTTAAAAGATATAGGACGCAAGGTCCTGGTTATTATTGTCAGAATTTCAAGCTAGATTATAATTTATCTCATGAATTAATATGTAAGAAGTGTTTCCCAATTCCTCCCGATACCCGAGCTATGTACTCACAGGTGCGGGTATTATAAGTCACAAGTGGTGTCAACTGTGAGGGGATGACATGTCTAACACGATCGCGGCCCCCACTCAGGTTTTCCCCAGATGTGCTTTTTCCTCAAATATGAGTTTTTGCCACTGGGTTTTTTGCCTGGCCCCAGATCATCGGGTGGACTGGTAATCCTAGACCCCGGTCCTTGAACGGGGGATAGGTATTATTCCCACTTTGACTATATGCGCCCACTTCCGTGGACAAAAGAGGAAAATAACTGTTGGGAATAATACACTTTGCCCATATTTACCCAGGGCTTACGATACAGATGACAGGCTGGTTAGTCTGTTTAAAATTGGTTAACATGTCAGCTATTTGCAATAATATATTTGCTATAAGCCCAAGTTCCATTTTGTCTTAAACATAAATTTTCTATATATCTGTCTGTAAAAGTATTAAGTGTCTTTTTTCCTGCTTAGTTTCTCTTTCTTGTAGACCACATGATTGCTTGGGAATGCCATAATGTGGAAGTGTCTCTGTCCTGGGAAGATCTTATCAATGATATGAGCAAGTGTATTGCTCAAAGAGGGGGGATGAAAGCTGAAATAGTTAACTTTCCTTGTTCATATGTATTTTATGCTTAGATAAGGTTTATAATCATTAGTACTGACTGTAAGGATATGAAATAGTTAAACTCTTTCTTGCTTTAAAATAATGTTTGAAATAATTATGCTGACTTTGGCAGATGTATTTTGTACCAAGGTCTTTCGTCTACAGGATGTATGACCTTCCTTGACCTTAGGATGTTCCTGTCTCGTCTTTATCCAAATGCTTATCTTTTTCATGTCCGACAAGTATGTACTATTAACTACAAGGACACTATAGATCTCACTGCTTGCATGACAAACTGTGTATAAATGCTAGCCCTGAAAATATACTCATTGAGAACTTGTTGAGCACTCTTTCGTGTCTGTGTGTCTTATTTGCCAAACAAGATCTCCCATCAATTGATGTGGTGACGGGGGATCGAGAATCGAGGGGAGTTGAGTCCAGAACAGCATTTATCCTTTCACATACAGTCCAACATGTCAAATTGGCAAAGAGGGATACTTTAAATTGAGGGGTGTGAGTGGGGGTGTGACCAGGGGCAGTGTTGTTCTATGAAATTTCAGGTGACTTACTAATAACAATTTATGCAACTAAAATGTAATTTAGAACAATGTATCTTATTTACACAGACTGATTTCTAAACACATTTATTGTTGTTTAAAGACCCATTACTGGGAGTATTATAGCTGTGGAGCTCTGTTCTACACTTAGATACACCAACAATATAGAGCTTCTAGAAAAAAGGGGCAGGAGGATTTGGGCCCATAATAGTGACGGTCCCTCCTAAGTAGGGACACTTGGGAGGTATGGTTTAAAAGGACACTATAGTCACCTGAACAACCTTAGCTTAATGAAGCAGTTTTGGTGTATAGAACATGCCCCTGCAGCCTCACTGCTCAATCCTCTGCCATTTAGGAGTTAAATCCCTTTGTTTATGAACCCTAGTCACACCTCCCTGCATGTGACTTGCACAGCCTTCCATAAACACTTCCTGTAAAGAGAGCCCTATTTAGGCTTTCTTTATTGCAAGTTCTGTTTAATTAAGATTTTCTTATCCCCTGCTATGTTAATAGCTTGCTAGACCCTGCAAGAGCCTCCTGTATGTGATTAAAGTTCACTTTAGAGATTGAGATACAATTATTTAAGGTAAATTACATCTGTTTGAAAGTGAAACCAATTTTTTTTTTAATGCAGGCTCTGTCAATCGTAGCCAGGGGAGGTGTGGCTAGGGCTGCATAAACAGAAACAAAGTGATTTAACTCCTAAATGACAGTGAATTGAGCAGTGAAATTGCAGGGGAATGATCTATACACTAAAACTGCTTTATTTAGCTAAAGTAATTTAGGTGACTCTAGTGTTCCTTTAATATTTACTGGTTATCATCTGAACCTTGCTTCCCAGAGACAAATCCTGCATAGTCAGAATTAGTCATGGGGGGCAATATTTTGTTTTAGTGAATGGCCAAGATGTTAGCTTGACAAAAAAATCAGATGCAGGCATGCTGTGATTGAAGCCATGACAGATTCACTGTAAAGGAATATTTTAAATAAATTTACAAAAATTGTTTGTAAATACCTTTTTCTTTTCACTTTTTTTCTATGACAAGTTGCACTTGGCAGCTTGCCAGAGATTTTAAGTGAAAACTTCAACCTGCTTCTGGTTTAGAGGCTGGATACCATCAAGAAATACATAAACATAGTTTACTTACTGCTGACAGTATATATCAACTAATCTAAAATATAAGGGCATTTCCGTTTGCAATGCTATCTGTACTAATTTGAAATTGAAATGCGGGTATTAGAGATCATGTTTTGTAGTCATTGAGAGTTTATTGACTGTTAAGTACATGGTATAACAAGTAGTTAGCAGATACGTTGACATATGAGAGTTGTGACTGCAAGATTGTCTGACTTCCTTGAATCCAATTCTCTGCATGAACCACTTCAGTCTGGATTTCGTCACTTTGTGGACACTAATCTCTTCTAATTCTTCTTGAACTTTCTGTTGCTTTCGATACTGTTGATCATAAACAACTTCTTCTCATCCTCCATAATCTCAGTCTATGAGATTCTGTTCTTCTCTGATTCTCCTATCTTTCTCAGCATTTTTTTTTCAGTGTTTTTTTTTTCTTTCTGGCTCTTCCTCTTTTCCACAACCCCTTTCTGTTGGTGTTCTCCAAGGTTATGTCCTTCACTGCCCCTTGGTAAACTCATCAGCTCCTTTGGCTTCCAATATCCCTTCTCTGTAGATGACACGCATATCTATCTGTCCTCTCCTAAACTCTGACCATCCTTCTTGATTGGTGTCTGACTGAATCTCACTATTTCTAACTGGGTGGCTACTCATTTTCTTAAACTTAACCTGTACAAAACAGAACTTGTCTTCTCTCCTTCAAGCATTGCTTCTTTCATAAAAATACACAAATACAAAAAAGGATAAGCGCTAAACAATGATACACTGGATTATCTCTTGCTGCATTCAATTAAGAGGGGTATTCCCTTAATAACTCCATTAAAAAACAACTTACAATTGACAAAGAACACAAAAATACAGGATGCACCAAATGTCCCCAAAAAAATTATTAAAAAGTCCATAGGACACAGTCAAATATATTCTTTTTTGGCCATGAATTTTGAGCGGTTTGCCCTGCTCCATAAATTGTGAGTACTTTTCATGTTTGTATACCAACACTATTCCACACATCAGAGTGCACTATTTTGCTTTTAGTTTTTTTTAAATGTTATGTTTCAGTTGAGGAAGAGCCTTGGATCAGTGACATCCCTTGGACAAGGGTTCTACCGTTCTGAACCTTACATATTAAGCTTACATTATAAGCTCTATACTTGTGTTTTTGCTATTTTTGTTTTTGACTTGCAACTAGTAGCTACTGTACTACACTATTGTGTTTTTTGTTTTATTCTCCTGCTTTGTATGTGATAATGCACCAATAATTTAAATCCTAGCAACTCACCTTTGCTGGATATTTCCTTAAGTGGGGATTGTACCACTACACGTTATCACACCTAGAGCTGCTCAATACCTCCTACACTTGTTAGTGTAAATTCCCTTATTTATGTTGCACGTTTTTATATTTCCCTGAAAATACTACACAATTGGTCCTTATTTTTCTTGCTTTTTATGAACCGTTAACCTGCCCTAACTAAGAAACTATATCACCTGGTCAAAGGAGAACATTTTGGACTGTGTCCTTGGGACTTTTTCATAATTTTCTGTAGCTACTTTCATGTCCTTCTCCCTCCAAGTCAATGGCATTATCATCAGCTCTACCTCACAGACTCACTGTGTCTTTTACTCCAACCTCTGCTTCACCCCTCATGCCAGTCAACCTCCTAATCCTGCAGCTTCCATCTCAATGAAATAGCGCGCATCCGTCCCTATCTAAAAGCAGAATTGGCTAAGGTACTAGATCATGCCACTATGCTTTCTTGCCTTGACTACTGCAATCTGCTTCCCAATGGTCTTACGCACTCCCAGCCTGCCCTGTTACAATGAATGTAGTGGCAAGGCTCATCTTCCTGTTCATGTGCCCTTCCCAATCTCTGCTGGTCCTTAACTTAATATGCATGGGTAGTGAGTGCTGCATGTGCATTAGGCCTTCCCCTTAGGAAACACTGACTCAATGCTTATCTATGGGGATTCTGAAAACACTGGATGACCTCATGCAAAGCGAGAGGACGTCCAGCGTTGTTTCAGAGTCAAACTCCATTCAAACTCCATGAAACTGCCGGAAGTGTCTCTAGTGTCTGTCCATCTAACCTAATATAATCTATGCTTATTAGAGAGTTCTGGGAGTTGTACATTGCTACAAATCTTTTCCCAGAATGTAATTAGGTCATCGTTATCATTATGAAGACAAGGCTTCTACAAAACATTTCTTCCTCTTCCATGTGATGAGTCAGTGAGATAAACCTGTAAAAAAGGTCATGTAACTGTAAGGGAGAACATAAACTCGCAATGACAACAACAAACTGAATAATACCCAATGCAACATTGTCTCCAAATCTTCACTGAAGTAAAGAAATTGTGTAATTTCCAATACTATATATAACTCATCAAGTAATTACACAAATGAATGGGTTTTTTTGGATAGTCGGATGTATTTCCTCTATCTGGATTCTCAGCCTTCATTAGTGATGACGCTTTCATGGTTTTTCACTAAAGTGAGAATTGTTGGGAATTGTAATGTTTTAGATTGCAATGTTAAGGGAACATGGATGCTGCACCCAGACCACTTCAATGAGATAGGTTGGTTTGGGTGCCTTTAGTGTGCCTTTAAAAGCTTTCCCTTCCCTCACTTTGGTAACACACCTTGCTTTATCTCCTGCAACTGTGTCATCCAAAAACAATTTAGCCTTTATTTTAAACTATTCTAGCAAACTAACTTTCCTGTACATGACATACATGCCACCCTTACCTCTTGTGTCACTATGCCCCACTCCCTTTAGCATGTAAGCTCCTTTAAGCAGGGTCCTCAATACCCTCTGTTCCCTCGCCTTGTTGCAGATACTTGTCTGTTAGTCCACCCATTGTACTGTTCTGTGAAATTAGTTTGTGCTTTATAAATAATAATAATAATATCCCAACATAAAAGAACAATTTTCTTTCAATACCACCAATCAAATAGGTTAAGTGAGAACCGGGTCCAACTGCACAGGATGGAAGTAATCCTTTCTATTAGATGAGGCACATCTAATGGCTTAATGAATCCCTGTGTTCCTTAAGTCCGAGAGAATTAAAGGGGTATAAAACTGAAGGTAATTGGAGAAGGAGAAAGTGACATAGAAAGAAGAGAGAAAGTGGGGGGAAGAGTAAAAAAAACAGGATGGTGGGTGGGAAATTAGATGAAAAGAAAAATAGAATGGGTGCTGTATTTAGACAGTTAGAAAAAGCCTGCAGCGCCACCACCGCCACCACCCACCAACCCAGTGACGGCCAGCAGGAGAGACCAGAGACCTGACCTGGGGAGCCCCAAGCCAGCAACCCCCAACCACTCTACATCCCTCAGGTCTAGTGATATATTCTGTTTGCTTCTCCACATCTTGCGGTGAAATCCTGTTTGCTTGTGCAAAGGAACCTCTACTAAACAGCACTTTCATAGCCTGGTGCTCGCACAATATTGAGCTATGCAATTAGCAGAGGTACCGCTGTACCTGCATTTCCACTTGCAATTAGTACCATTATAGCATTACAAAGTTAAATCCCAAGTAGAAGAACAGATCAGTGGAGGCTGATCTATAGGGGTAGCGGAGTCACTGCCCCAGTGACTCACCCAGTTTTTGTTGCAAAAATAAAATAAATCAGCATTGTATGAACTGCTAATAATAGTAAAAATATGTGCCTGTCATGAATATATCTGCAGTTTCAATTTTGCCATTCAAATTATAATTCTCTTTCTAAAACATTGTAAGGAATTAGGATAGCAGAATAGGGCAGAACATGTGTAAATTTCAGACGGACCAGTAGATGTCAGTGTTCTTCTAGCAAAGAAATATAGATATGCAGTAACCAGACTAAAGAAAACACTCACAGGTCAATTCACTCATTTGAGATATTTTGGGAATAAATTTAAAAGGTTACTCTGAGCACTTCACAGATTTCAAGTGGTTATGGTGCCTGGAGTCTGTATCTGCAGTGTTTTTTGCTGCTTTTCAAAACTCTGTACATACAGAGATTAACCTCTGCTGCTGGAGGTGTAACTCTGACAGAGTCATTGGGTGTCATAAATCAGCCTGGAACAAGAGCTCCGTGGCTAATGTTAAAACTGTGCAAATTGTTGTCTGCATGCTGGTGCCAGACAGACTATGGCGGCAAGCCTTCCTCGCCTATGGTGAAGGAGAGTGACGTTAGCGGACTCAGGCTACAGGCTGACCTTGGAGTTGGTGCTGTGTCTGAGGTATGTTTTATCTTTTATCTATGTATTTATCTGTTGGGGAAAACTATACCAGCAAGGGTTACTGCATCCAAAACCCATAGTTTATGAAAGCACTGTTTTTTGGTTGGAGTAAATCTTTGAGGGTTAAAGGATCACTATAGGGTGAGGAACACAAACATGTATTCCTGACCCTATTATGTTAAAACTACCATCTAGCCCCCCTGGACCTCTCATGCCTCCATAAATATAGCAAAATCTTACTGTATTCAAGCCAGAGGCTGTAGATCTGCATGCTGTTTGACTCAGAATAGCAAGCTGTCTATTGACATCAGCAGAAGTGGTAGCCTGATCCAATCACAATGCTTCCCCATAGGATTGGCTGAGACTGACAAAGAGGCAGATCAGGGGCAGAGCCAGCATGATTCAAACACAGCCCTGGCCAATCAGCATCTCCTCATAGAGATGAACTGAATCAATGCATCTCTATGAGGAAAGTTCAGTGTCTGCATGCAGAGAGAGGAGACACTGAATGTTTGGATGCATTTTAGACAGCCATGACCCAGGAAGGATCTCTAACAGCCATCTGAGGAGTGGCCGGTGAAGTTATCACTAGACTGTAATATAAACACTGCATTTTCTCTGAAAAGACAGTGTTTACGGCAAAAAGCCTGAGGGTAATGATTCTACACACCAGAACAAATTCAATAAGCTGTAGTTGTTCTGGTGACTATAGTGTCCCTTTAATATAGCCAGACTGGAAAAATTCAGCTATGCTTTCAGCTTGGCTAATTTGGCCTTAAATTTGAAATTCAATAATAACTCTGTCAGTATTATTTAATAAAAGTCAGAATCTAAAATGAGCACCAAGAATTTCCAGAATCTACTTACAGAACCTCAGAATTCAACAGCAGCAAAAAGTAACTACCCCCTGGAAGACTATACACATGCTTTTTTAATAATTTTATTATTATTATTGTTTTTTTTTTTTTAAAGTATGTGAGAATGTGTTATTTGACAGGAAATATGTATTCACTGTTTAACCCCTTAACATCATTACGGCATACTATGCTGTCCTGCAAAAACAGGGCTTTAACACCGTTATGGCGGCATAGTTCACCATAACTATCTAGCCCTGCAGGGATAGCGGACACTTACCTTCTGCAATCGCGTTTGGGGATCGGGGGGATTGCCTGTCAGCCCAGAAAGTCCCCCTGCAGCAAATCCACCCTTCCAGGCTATGTGATCACGATGACATTGCGATCACAACACCGGATCGGTAGTGAACATCACTGTCTGCAGGGGGACTGTCTGGGTTGTCAGGCAGATCCCCAAAGCTGTAACAAAAAAACAAAAAAATATTATAGGAAAAGAGTTAAATAATATGCAATCATATAATATAATAATAGAAAATATCATATACATAATTTCATTCTTAAAATATTTTGATATTAATATATATAAATATCAAAATACACTAAAATAAATATATATATAATTTCACCTGCCAAAGATAGGGTACATTGAAGTTGTGGCAGGCTTATGCAATGTATGATCATATAATGTAACTAAACCCCCATTATTTTTGCCTAGATTAGGTGGGTTTTAAAAAACTAATAAAATCTGTTAACATTGAAGTTGCTGTTTAGTGGATAGGAAGCTGAGTGCGTTTAGTGGATAGGTGAGTGCGTTGGATCTTCTGTATTATATAATTTCATTCTGTGTATTTTGATATATATATATAGTTAATACATTGCTAAGCACCAGTCAAGCCGTAAGACTTGCTTTTCCTACAGAACTCTCACTTTTACAGTGCTCTCACTACTGCAAGGGATTCTGGGTAGGCGTATGCAAATTAGTTCAACAAAGAACCACATTTTTGCCTCATAATTCCACTCTATACATGGATTCCTTGTAGTATGTGTCTGCTGTATACAACAGCTTTGAAACACAACTCAGGAAGAGGAGCAAAGCCAGCAAACCACTCATGGACAGCTGTTTCGTTGTCAATGCAACTCATCAGCATGAGGTTGTTTACTGGCTTGCTTTATAGGCTTGGCGTTACTTGTAAAGTACATACCAATCTAGATGTGATCGGAGACAATAAAAAAAAAATTATAATTCTGAAACTTATCATGAAGCCCTCTGGGGTGCAGTTCTTTGGAGAGCTATATATACAAATATTTTTATTTTTTTTAATGTGTATATATATATGTGTGTGTGTGTGTGTGTTTGTATTATTACATAATTATGTGATTTTGGTTTTTAGTCTGTGATCCAGTTACACAAACTTGAAACCTTTTCAAAGATGGCTTCCATGGCTTCTGATGCTCTTCACGTGGTCTCAGTCAGTCACACACCAGCTAGCAAATCCAGACACACAGAATTCGAAATGTCAGGGCGCCCTTTTCCATTGCGCGTAATGTTTCCTGTATGCAAACAAGCTGTCTTACAACCGCCTGTTTAAAACTATCCGTATATTATTCCATTTTGTTTGCGAAACATCTTTCATTCTGTTTTTGGATAACACGTGCGGACATTTTACTCCCTCACCTTGATGGTGTGTTACTTGTATTGCTGCCTATAAACATTATTTCGAATCTATACAGACAGGCGCGACTAGGACAGCCCTCATCGAGTTCACAACGTCCAAGCAGGATACCCGGCGCCAAAACAGCGCGCAGCTTGAAGCAGCGGCACGGACTAACTGCCGGCAGACAGAGAGACAGAGAGAGCACTCAGGGTGTGTATAGACCGGCATGGGTGTATGAGAATGATCTATATACTGTAGCTATATGAGATCGGTGTATTGTGGACTGAGACTCCTATCACTGTGAGCCAGCTTGTGTCTGGCTGAGAGTCATGGGAGTTAGTGTGCACAAGGCATCTCCAGCCACATATCAGCTGACACTCTCAGCCAATGAATGACCTGAAAACTTGACTTGGTAAAAGTAGAATCCAAATCCCCACTTTGGCTGTGAGGCACTGCAGGCACCTAGTGTGACCCACCCACATACATGTCACCCCATTCATTGCAAATAGAGTGAACTTTGTCACCAGGGAGCACCGGCGCAATAACTGCTACAGTGACATGAAGTGGTTATGGTACTGTCACTTTTAAAAGACCGCTATAGGCAACCAGACTACTTCGACTCAATGAAGTGGTCTGAGTGCAGTGGCCCTGTCGTTTTCCTCCTGCAGTGTAAACCATTGCGCTTTGTAGATCTGATCATCTTTACATTGTAGTGTTAAATCATACCGCCCAGTTGACCCTATTGTGGAGGGTCAGTACCTAATTTGAGCCCCTAATGTCCCTCTTTCTTGGAGCTCCACATTGTTGGTGTGTCTTGGTGTAAAACAGAGCCCTACAGCGGTAATACTCGCAGTAATCATTTCTTTAAACTACAACAAATGTGTTTACACTGTGTGTAAATAAGATAATTATTTATCGTTCTAATTTACATTTTAGTTGCATAAATTGTTGAGTAAATTACATGAAATTTCTCAGAACCACACCCCCACTCATACTCCTAAAATTAAAGTGTCCATCTTCTGTCCATGCTGAGAAGTATGGATAAACAATCTTTAGTGGTTGTCTTTCTGACAGCCCCTAAAGGGTTCATCTGCTCCTACAACTGAGTTAGACTGCTTTATGTGAAGTTCAATGAACTCACGCATTGCATGATGGTGTTTAACTTCCTCTAATGCTTTTTTGATTTATTTAAAGGACCACTATAGTGCCAGGAAAACATACTCGTTTTCCTGGCACTATAGTGCCCCGAGGGTGCCCCCACCCTCAGGGATCCCCTCCCGCCCGACTCTGGAAAGGGGAAAGGGGTAAAAACTTACCTTTTTCCAGCGCTGGGCGGGGAGCTCTCTGCCTCCTCTCCTCCTCCGATCCTCCTCTTGGACTGAATGCGCACGCGCGGCAAGAGCTGCGCGCGCATTCAGCCCGTCGCATAGGAAAGCATTTAGAATGCTTTCCTATGGACGCTTGCGTGCTCTCACTGTGAAAATCACAGTGAGAAGCACGCAAGCGCCTCTAGTGGCTGTCAATGAGACAGCCACTAGAGGAAATTGGGGAAGGCTTAACCCATTCATAAACATAGCAGTTTCTCTGAAACTGCTATGTTTATAAAAAAATGGGTTAACCCTAGAAGGACCTGGCACCCAGACCACTTCATTAAGCTGAAGTGGTCTGGGTGCCTAGAGTGGTCCTTTAAAAAAACAAACAAAAAAAAACATTTAGGGCCGGTTTCCCCAAACTCCGGCACTCCAGATGTTGCTGAACTACAACTCCCTTGATTCTATGAATGAAATAGGCTGTGAATCATGGGAGTTGTAGTTCAGCAACATCTGGAGGGCTGGAGTTTGGGGAAGCCTGATTTAGGGGGTCTCGTGATCTAAACAGTGAGTAGTACACTTTTAGTGCTAGGAATTCACGTCTGTATTCATAACACTATAGTGTTCCTTTAAAGGGACACTATAGTCACACAGACATACTTGAAAACGAGAGAAATCTCAATGTATCTTTCCTGGTAAAATATTTTATAAATAAACAACCTCATGCTGATGAGTTGCATTGACAACGAAACAGCTGTCCATGTGTGGTTCACTGGCTTTGCTCCTCTTCCTTAGTTGTGTTTCAAAGCTGTTGTATACAGCCGACATACTCCAAGGATCCATGTATAAAGTGGAATTATGAAGAAAAAAATGTGGTTCTTTGTTGAACTAATTTGCATACGCCTACCCAGAATCCCTTGCAGTAGTGAGAGCACTGTTAAAGTGAGAGTTCTGTAGGAAAAGCAAGTCTTATGGCTTGACTGGTGCTTAGCAATGTATTAACTATCAGGGCTAGGCAACCTTCGGCACTGCAATTGTTGTGGACTACATTCCCCATAATGCTCTTACACCCATAATGCTAGCAAAGCATCATGGGAGGTGTAGTCCAAAACATCTGGAGTGCCGAAGGTTGCCAATGCCTGAACTATCTCTCTCTCTATATATATATATATATATATATATATATATATCTATATATCTCTATATATATCAAAATACACAGAATGAAATTATATAATACTCAAGATCCAACGCACTCACCTATCCACTAAATAGCAACTTCAATGTTGACAGATTTATTTATTTTTTAAACACCTAATCTAGGCAAAAATAATGGGGGTTTAGTTAATTATATGGTCATACATTGCATAAGCCTGCCATTAAAGTGGTCTGGGTGCAGTGTCCCAGTCACCTTAAAGAAATACTATAGTGTCAGGAATACAAAGCTGTATTCCTGACCCTATTGCTCCCCCTCTCCACCCTACCTTGCACATCCTCCTCCTTGGTGAATAAAGGGTTACACTTCGCCCCTTCCAACGTCCCGCGACGAGCAGATGCTAATGCTGCGGCAAATGCAAAAAAAATATGACCGTGGATGCCTATAGTGTCCCTTTTAACCCAGTAATTGTAATAATTTCAATTATTGATAAAATACCTACCAGAAGACCCCTAGAGGCAAGCACTATAGTTTCTGTTTAAGTATTGCAGTATTCATCCTGGTTGGAGTTATTTGTAACCATTTTTTTTCATTATAGGTGCAAGAGAAGCAGCAGAGATGCACATAAAATCTATTATTATAGAAGGTTTCAAGTCATATGCCCAGAGGACAGAAATAAATGGCTTTGACCCCCTGTTTAATGCCATCACTGGGTTAAATGGTAGTGGCAAGTCCAACATTCTCGATTCCATCTGTTTCTTGCTTGGCATCTCCAATCTGACACAGGTATGCAAAGGGCTTGGGCAGATATTATAAATTTATGTCAGACAGGGATCAAAATATCTACTCATGCTGTCACCATGAGCGAGGGAAAACTGAGCCCTGGTGAGGTAGCCGGGATAAGGATGTCTAATTTTACCCATCAATGTAAAATCATTGTGGCAGCCGGATGGAACTAAATCTACAGCAGCTTTCGGTATTTTGGAGACTCTTGGACCAGAGCTTCTGCCAGTGGGAACATGTCAGGCAACAGATTGCTGTATATTTTATCACCAATTAGCTATGCTCACTGGCAGCTTATGATGTTACATCCCTCCAGGGTGAACCTCATGGAAACAGCACTGATCTGTATTTGATTACGCAGAACTGCGCAATGTAAGTTAAGATGTGGTAATAGCAAGATGGTTGTGAAATTGACCCTTGGGATGGTAAAGGGGTTGTTGGATGTGACATTATATTGGGAAATAAGGATTTTATAAGGGATATGGTGGAAAAAAAACAAAGGCTCGCCACGTAAAAAATAACACTTTGATCTTTGATCTGACTAATGGTCCTAAGTACAAATTTATCCCTTCATTTACACAGTCTAACACTCCATGACTGAAAAACAAAATATTTTTCACACACTTTTTTGGTCTTACTGAAGACTTAACTGTGTTGTGTATGTGTTACATTTATAATAAACTTTGCAACACTAAGATATATTGGATGCCAGCCGTAACTCGTAGTTTGTTTTTGGTTTAATATTTTTCCATTGTTCTCTGTATTACTAACTGTAGATGTTTGTGTACATTTACTTGCTAGGTGAGAGCCTCCAACTTGCAAGATCTTGTCTACAAAAATGGCCAAGCTGGAATTACCAAAGCCACTGTTTCAATCACCTTTGACAACCATGACAAAAAGCAGAGTCCCTTAGGCTTTGAAGCACATGACGAGATTACAGTGACCAGACAGGTAGTTTATCAATATCCAATCCAAACATGTTGTTCCCGGTATATCAGTGTTGTATGTTTGAAGTTCTAAATCGGGATGCTAATGCCAGTTTTCAAGAACTATCGATTTTACATTATTGGGGGATTTCCAAATTTGCTGAATCTTGGAAATCTAGTTTTTGTATTATATTAAAGTGACTTACTTGGCCTGTATAATTTGTCCTGTCCTTGTGAGTTGAATCCATCTGATGCTTTAGATTACCACACTGATAGCACAAGTGAGCTACAATTCTCTCTTATTTCTGAAAAGAGAGTACAGGCTTGCGCCATAACATCAGCTAAGTGAAGTGGTTTTGTTCCCTAGTGACCCTTACAAATATGAAATTGTTAACATTTTTTTTTTTTTTTTTAAATCAAAAACAGTATAAATAAAATATAAAGGGAGCCTCTGTCTACAAGTAAAGCAGTAATAATGGAAAGTAGTGTCTCTAGTATGCCCTGATTTTGTCATATATATTTGTTTGCACAATACATAGCATACATTGAAATATCAAGAACATGTATTATTTATGTTTAGTATAGAAAGAGATTTGCTAAAGGAAAATGAAAGTACAAGTTTTCTATTGTACTCATCAGCATTTGCATCTTATTCTTTAGAGTGGAACTGAATAGCATGTTTCTATGTGACTAAATATATGGGTCAGTAGTCCAAGTGGAGGAACTGTCCTAGTTCATTGTTGCTCTTTAAGATCTATTATATTCAAAAGCATTGTGGGTTTGGGCTTTGTGAAGTATAACCGTGCTTGTTAATTATATTAATTAAAATTCTCTATGATGGCTTTACCCAAGTCCGTGACAATCTTCAAATGCTTTGTTTTTTCAGTTGTGTGAGATAGCTTAACTCAGTTTACATTCATAATGTTTTTCATTTTTAAGGTTGTCATTGGTGGCAGGAACAAATATTTAATCAATGGAGTAAATGCCAACAACACTCGTGTGCAAGATCTTTTCTGCTCTGTCGGCCTCAATGTAAATAATCCTCATTTTCTTATCATGCAGGTAATTATTGCGTTAATAGCATGGATATCTTGTTGCAAACTGCTATATTGAAAATCAAAATGCTAAATCCTCACATATGAGCACAAACTAGCAGCGTGTTACATACTACCAGCCTTTAAAAAGTATGGCAGTCACGAGAATCTTATCAGGAACACCATAGCCAGCCGACTTAAGTGGGACACCATGTATTGACACCTTCCCCATGGCCATCTCTTCTTCTTTTTTTTTTTTTTTCCTTCAACTATATCTTCATTTTCTGTCTTTTTTTCCCTCTATTAAGTAAGGTACTGTACCATCCCTTGTTAATTTTAAAACACAGATCAGGGGTGCGATATGTTTTATTGTATCTTGATACAGACAATACATATATTGTACTGATGGCTGTACTTAAGTGTATTTTTATACCAGATGGACCAGATGACAGTCTATGCTGTTATGCAGTGCAGGACTTTAATGCCCAATGACGGCTTAGACTGTCATGCAGTATAAGTACCAGCAGGGGCCCCAGACTAACCTATGCTGTGTTTGCATAGCTCAGTGTGTGCTAAAATCAGGATTTTAAATGGGGATTTAATTCCCCATTGTAACAATGCAGTGTGAACAGGGTTAAATCCCACACAAGCTTAGTGATAAAATCCCTCACAAACTTTGTGATAATTTGGTAGTTTTTTGTGGGGTAATTTCAATAGTCCAACTGCTATAATGCCCCAATATGACACTTATCTATCCATAAAAATCCTAACGGTAAAAGCTGAAATGGCCAGGTCTCTTATATGGCATTGTAGTTTCACAGGATAGTGGCAAAAGCATTCATCGGACGTATTGTTGTACTCAGAAGACGTAGCTGAACACAATATGGGATTTGTACAATAGTATCACACATCAGGTTTATGAAATACTTGTTTATATGTGTGTGTGTTAAAAACAGGGGGAAATAAATTTTACTGCAATATTTAGTAGAGATTGGCAATTAAATGGCTACATAATAAGTGTCAAAATACCCTTAGATAAATGGCTTATGATGTCTACTTTATTAAAATATATACTTTTGTGTGGCTCGGACACAAAAGTTTTTTTGTGTGTCCATAGAAAATTTTACCCCGATGCTGGCCGCTTTCAGGAGGGACGTGGGGGAGTGGTCGTACCCCCACATCTCCTGGCTTGGACAAGTCCAAGTAGCCAAAATGAATTTCCTCCCACGGCTCCTATATCTGATGCAAGCCATACCCATTAAGATCCACCAGATGTACTTTAGATTTCTCCGTAGGGTGATGGGGGGGGTATGTGTGGAACGGGAAGAAACCTAGACTTAAATATTCACAACTCGCACAACCAAAGGAACAGGGGAGTCTGGCACTACCAGACTTCCACCTATACCATGTGGCGTGACACCTCCTGCGAGTCCTGGAATGGACGAAATCCAATGTACACAAACAATGGAAGGCCATAGAGGAAGCGGACCTCGGGAAACCCATAGCCCTCGCTCCATGGCTGCTGAGAGAGAGAGGGGGAGATGTGCCCGCATACGTGAGGACCACCCTCCGGGTGTGGCACGAGACGGCAGACCGATGTGGCCTTACCCCATACCCTTCCCCATTACTTCCCTTAACGTATAACACAAACTTTCCACCAGGATTGGACCCCCTGGCGTTTAGAGACCTCCTCGCAGACCCACTGCCCAGACTATACCACATATGCACACGGGGGAGGAGGGCCATATCTGATATAGTATAAAATGGGAAGCAGCACTGAACCAAAGCTTTAGCGATAACGAATGGGGGAAGATATGCTTACTAACACACCACTGCGCAGTATTTAGCAAACAACAAGAAACAGCATATAAGCCACTCACACATTGGTATCGTACCCCTGACATCCTACACAAGATGTACCCAGACCACCCAGCACAATGTTGGAGATGTGGGGCCTTGGAAGGGACCCCATTACACATTTGGTGGGATTGCGGAAAGATAAAACCCTTCTGGCAGGGGATACACAGAATGCTACAGATATTTGCAGATCAGCCACCCCCTCTCGACCCTGCTGCGATGCTCCTCCATCATCCCACCACACCAAGTAACAGGTATAAAAGATCAATCACAATTAGGATACTCAACGTAGCCAAACAACTCATCCCACAACACTGGAGGAGCACGGACGCACCCACATTAGACAAATGGTTTACCCAAATGGAAGAATTAAAGGCAAGAGAAGCCATACATATGAAGTCTTCTGACAGAACACAAAGATACCTTGACACATGGACACACTGGATACTGACAAGGGCAGGGGAGAGATTTGCGGACAAACTCCAAGACAGAGGGGGACCCCAGTAAACCCCCCAAATATCACACTGACAGAGATAATAAAGCAGGAGATACATAACCTGACTACAAATCCAGCTCCCTCCCAAACTCGGGGCCGAACAAGACAGGGACAGTCTCATAACCCCTACTACCCTTCCCACTTCCCACACCATGGTGACATACATTACTCCACACCCCACACACTGAACTGTGTGAAAGAGAGTTACCATTCCATGCAAACTATCAGTTCATGACCTACTGAACCCCAGACACCCACATACAAAATGATTCCTATGTATATTGGCAACCTATCAGAAGGGACCTGTGAGTCCCAGGTAGATAACATGATGTTTAACCGCTAAAGACCTGCGAGTCTACCAAAATGCGGATCCAGAAAAAAGTCCTGCGTGCCTCAGCATTCATTGTTTTCTCCACTTTTGGGCACCTGCGTGTCCCAATCTATATCTTGCAACCCATTGAAGAGGCAAAACAACAATCAAAATATATTTACAAAAAATTTTTTTTAAATGGCAATGTAAAGTGGGGGGGGGAGGAGATGGGTGGCGCATTTGTATTTTAATTTTTTTTTTATTTTTTAATAAACTTATTTAACATTTTGTTTTCGTCCCCCCTCCATGCTTCTGACCTGGCCAGGGAGGGGGGAGATGGCACGTACTGTGCAGAAGGGGCCCAGCAACACTTCTACTTCCCTTCCCAGCAGCTCCCCTGTCTAACTCTCGCGGCCCGTGTGCTGCGCGAAGAGTTGCCGTGGTAACCTGTGGCAATGCTCTGACATTCGCAAGATTTAGACAGGGCAGCTGAAGGGAGCTGCTGGGAAGGTAAGTAAGAATGTGGTGCGGGCCCTCTCGAAATGCCGGGCCCCAATGACTGCCCTGGTCTGCATTATAGGCTATATCGGAATTGTAACAGACTTTTGGTTCGTTATCTGACGCTGGACGTCCTCACGCTCTGGATGAGGACCTCCAGCGTCAGATTTTTTCCCATAGGAAAGCATTGATTCAATGCTTTCCTATGGGGAGGTCTGATGCGCGTGTGGCAAATGCCGCGCATGCGCATTAGACCCCGCTTGTCACATGACGCAAGGGACATCGGCACTGAGATAAGATAAGTAAAGGGATTTTAACTCTGTATATTCTGGGTGGGAGTGGGAGGCAGAGGGATCGGTAGTGCCAGGAATACAGCTTTGTATTCCTGGCACTAGAGTATCCCTTTAAAGCTTAAAAATATAGTCTCCCTACCTTTAGTACCTCACAGAAGCTGCTGAAGGCTCTGTGGCTTACTTACCAGTTGGCAGGTTTCCATGTTTTTGGATTCCTCCCATTCCTCCTTTCTTTTTTCTTGTATTTGTTTGCTCTAAAATAATTTGTCGTTTTTACTTTTGTTTTAATTTTTTTAATGTATTATTTTTAGGGTCGAATTACTAAAGTCCTGAATATGAAGCCTCCAGAGGTACTGTGTTCCTGTGGTATATGTCTGATCTTTATTAAAGTTACAGTATACAGAGTTGTTTTGTCTTGCTCTCACCTGGTAATTAGCAGCTTTGTTTTGAGATTAGAACTCCTCAATGAAAAACATTTTAGTTACTTGACTCTTTGTGATGCTACGGCGATATTTGTTCAGAAGAACTCCATAAATCTAAGAACCGCAAATTGTGGTGGGTGGAGGGTCTGTTTCAATTGTAGATATGCTTATAATGTCAACTTTTCAGTTCTGTCATCTTTTTATTTTTTTATTTGTAATTCATAACTTCATTGCATATTCTAATAATATGGTAGCTGTTTTTAATGCTACAGTTATTATAATGCATAAATATCTTTTCTACATTAAGGCATCACTAATCATTTTAGATAACATCTTTATTCCAATACTAAATGGCATCTTGCATCTATATTTTTTTTTTTATTTAGAGACCCTATCAGCTCTGAAAATATAAGGATTGGTATTGGATTAGATTATACTTTTCTAAAGTTCATGGTTGCCAGAAATTTAACCTGGCTGACAGTGCAGGGCTGCTGTGCATGGCTTTATTGCTGAATGGATGGGTGCATGAAAAATTACTTCTGACAACCACCTCGTATTTCATGTGTCAAGCAGCTAGGCATCTTGGCATTAGGAATGTACTCCGATACATTAGTTAGAATAAGTGTGTGTGTGTGTGTGTATATGTGTATGTGTGTGTGTGTGTATATATATAATGTGTGTGTGTATATATGTGTGTGTGTATCTATCGATATAGATAGATATAGATATTGATATTATACACAAACACTGACAAATAGTACAACCTCTGCTGTGATTTTACATATGAGGACATAAGAAACCTCTTTTCCTTAGTAGTTTTTAAACTGTGTCTTAGCAGGTCTTAAAATTAGGTAAATACAACCACAGATGAACAACACATTACATATTACACAGTGCCATGATTTGGGCTAAATATATGTATCTCGTTTTTTCTTTCTTATGTAAATATAACATTTGGATGACTTGAGTTCTATTAAGGTTCTGTCAGTTAGGACATAGTGAATGGTGTCATGCAGTTTTGTGTGTATTCCTGTTAGCAGAATAACAAGATACAACTGTACAGTGTAATGGTCTTGCCACTAAATTGCACCCTATTAATGTTGTTACAGATTCTAGCTATGATTGAAGAAGCTGCTGGTACCAGGATGTATGAATGTAAGAAACTTGCTGCCCAAAAAACAATTGAGAAGAAAGAAGCCAAGCTCAAGGAAATACAGACGGTAAATCCTTATTAAGATTTATCAACTAAGTCAGTTTAAGTCAAATACAGATTACCAGCCACTTGTGTACTTCACAAAGGCACTCACTGTACCATCACCACTACAGCTAAATATATTGCATTACTCACACAACAGGAAGGTATTTGGTGCCTCTGGAGCACCATTACAACCCTCAAAAACAATTTGACACCCATGGGGAGTATGGAAACCAAGGCCTAACAAAGCAACAAACTAATTTTTATAATTGCACTTTTAATTGTAGAACTCGAATCATGGATCCTATGTTACACATAATCTTATGTTTTATATATTCGTTTCTTCTTGTTAATGTAGATTCTGGAAGAAGAAATAACTCCAACCATCCACAAACTAAAAGAGGTAAGTGTTCAAATCAGAGAGAATATTTAAAAACATGGGCCTTTTGTGTTTTATTTACAGGGACAACTAGCCTTATTTTGGAAACCTTTTTTCCAAAAATCATTACTACTGGCTGTAAAGATTGTAATTTACAAAAACTTCAGACTACACCCGCATTATTATTTCTAATGTCTTTTTGTCCGTTGATGGCATATGTTCCCTTTCTAGCGTTTTATTTCTGGTTGCAGATTATTGTATAACATTGTTTTGCTGTGACTCTGTAACTTTAACATACTTTTACAGACAAATGGCCTATATGTATTTGTTATAATTGTTCCAGCTATGTAATGTTTTAAAACACCTTAAATTTTAAATACGTGTTACTTGGTGTCACAAGACCTTGATACGATTGCTAATGTCCTTTGCATTCTTTATTTCCTTTTGATAGGAAAGGTCTTCTTACTTGGAGTACCAGAAGATCATGCGAGAAATAGAACATTTAAGTCGTCTCTATGTTGCCTACCAGTTTGTTTGTGCTGAAGAGACCAAAGTGCGCTGTGCAGAAGAACTAAATGAAATGCAGGAATCAATACTTAAGCTTCAGGAAACCATGGCAGAGAATGAAAAAAAAGTGAAGGAGCTAGCCAATGAAATCTCACAGATTGAGAAAACGAGAGATCAGGTATGTATTTTCTCTGAACTGTCATTAAAGTAAACTAAAATTAAAGGGACACTATAGTCACCAGAACAACTACAGCTTATTTGTTCTGGTGAGTAGAATCATTACCTTCAGGCTTTTTGCTGTAAACACTGTCTTTTCAGAGAAATGGCTGTTGGAGATCCTTCCTGGGTCATGGCTGCCTAAAATGCATCCAAACATTCAGTGTCTCCACCCGCTGCATGCAGACACTGAACTTTCCTCATAGAGATGCATTGATTCTATTCATCTCTATGAGGAGATGCTGATTGGCCAGGGCTGTGTTTGACTTGTGCTGGCTCTGCCCCTGATTTGCCTCCTTGTCAGTCTCAGCCAATCTTATGGGGAACCATTGTGATTGGATCAGGCTACCACTTCTGCTGATGTCAGCAGGCAGTGTGCAGGTCAAAGGTAACCGTGACAAAGCAAGCAGCTCCAGACTTGAATACAAGTAAGATTTTACTATATTTAGGGAGGCATGAGGGGACCAAGATGGCTAGATGGTAGTTTTAACCCTATAGGATAAGGAATACATGTTTGTGTTCCTGACCCTATAGTGCTCCTTTAAATGTTTTCACATGTACTTGTATGAAATTTAGAAAATCGCAAATGATTCTGACACGTGGGTTGGAGTATTTGCTTTTTTACCTTTAATTTTTAAACCTTGCTCCAGTAAAATAGCTTGGCTAATGTTTCTCATATTTTAAAGAGCTAATTTTTCGGTTGCAGGAAGTTGGAGGACAACTGCGTATATTAGAAGAAACCCTCGCTGAGGCACAGAGAACTGATGCCAAGGCACAAAGCACCCTGGACCTCAAGAAACAAAATATGAAAGCTGAAGAGAAAAAACGCAAGGAGTTAGTGAAGAGCATGGACGAGGTGAGCAAAGCTGTCATTTGGAATTTATCATTAACTTGTTCACTCAATCACTTTCCTTACCATCATTTGAAAATCACAGTGAGAAGCACGCAAGCGCGCTGCATTAACCCATATGTAAAAATAGCAGTTTCTTTGAAACTGCTATGTTTATAGAAAAAAGGGTTAACCCTAGCTGGACCAGGCACCCAGACCACTTCATTAAGCTGAAGGGTCTGGGTGCCTATAGTGGTCCTTTAAAATGTTTTATTAAAAACCTGCAGTGTCATATTAGAGTTTCTCTTTGTATCAGTTTAAAGGGTTACTGCTATCAAAAAACAGTAGGAGTCCCTGTTTTTGGCCAGAGCAACCCTTCGTGTCCCATTCCCCAACGGGGCGAAAAACAAATATAGAATATAGCCACAACTTGCCTCAATTCGAATGCCAAAATATCACTGCATCCTGTTCCTCCTCCCCTAACCTCAGGGTGCCAGGGAGGGCGGGCTAAGGAGAGAACATAGGAGGCACAGAGGAGAAGGGAATGCTGGCGTCAAACACCAAATTGGCACAGAATTCACATTAGACACCTAGGTTTCTGTTCCATGCTTGCTAATAACGTGACTGAAGGTGGAGTTACTCTTTGGAAAGTAGAGGTGTTAAACTCTGTCTGTGTACTCCACGTTTCATAGCGAAATACTTTACATACAGGCACATAATCACTTCTAACCAATGAGGTGGTCATGGTGCTTGGGATAACCCTATAACTGGTAATGGTATTTAACAGCTTGATATTTCTTTTCTAAGATTGTTTTTTTGTTTTTGTTTTCTTGTAAAGGATGCCAAGGCTTTAGGTGGCAAAGAGAAAGAAGTTAAGAAAATAACAGACAGTCTGAGCACGTTTCAGGAAGCATGTCAGAAGGACGCCGAGGGTTTTGCTTCTGCCCAGCAACATTTCAATGCTGTCTCTGCAGGGCTTTCTAGTAATGAGGATGGTGAAGAGGCTACTCTGGCTGGGCAAATGATGACATGCAAAAATGAAATAAGTAAAGCTGAGACGGAGGCTAAACAGGTACCTTGAGACCTTGTGCAGAAAAAGTCTATCTTTGTATTGAGGGCAAACCGTATAAGTCAAGGTGTTTTAGCCATGTCATGGTCCATTGTACGACTCTACAGACCTCGAATCTTAATTTCAGAATTGCACATTCTGTTACAGTGCCAGAGAATTTTAAGCAATATGTTAAGTTGAGGAATTTTCCACATTTTTTAAAACTTAAATGTATTTAGATATATTGTGCACCCCAAGACAGTGCCTGAGTCCTTTCTTAGTAGAGGTAGCAAGAAAGTCATTTACATGATGGCATCCTTTTTTCCTGTACTCCGAAAACCGCAATGAGATCAAATATTTAATTTATTTTCATATTCTTTACTATTTCAAGTAATACTTACATGCTGCGCAACCTTATAATGTCATTAACTTTGAACTCTCCTGAGCAGGGTTGGCTGTGTCTGTGTATAGCTTTTTGTTGGAACCATATCTTCTCTTATTTACACAAGTACTTTTAAAACTGTTACCGACTATACAACTCAAACCAGGCAAGTTATTTTGCCCATAGGTTTAGTTAGTGTGTTTTATTGGTGTCTGTTTTAAATTGTTGCACTCCTACTTCAGGCCCAAATGAAGCTCAAACATGCCCAGCAGGAGCTGAAAACTAAGCAGGCTGAAGTCAAGAAGATGGACAGTGGTTACAAGAAAGACAATGAAACATTTGAAGCAGTGACAAAGAATAAAGAAAAGCTGGAAGCAGAAATGAAGAAATTGAACTATGAGGGTCTGTGTTGATTAAAAGCAGTGATGATTGTTGATTCATTTGCTGATTTGTTATTCATTCACTTGATGAGAATCGATCATTGGCCTCAACGAATTAGTACTCATACAGGCTTATTCATTAAGTGAGAATTTGAGTTGAATCCAAAGTGAATTTCAAATTTAAAGGACCACTATAGTGCCAGGAAAACATACTTGTTTTCCTGGCACTATAGTGCCCTGAGGGTGCCCCCACCCTCAGGGTCCCCCTCCCGCCCGGCTCTAGAAGGGGGGAAGGGGGAAAAACGTACCTTTTTCCAGCGCTGGGCGGGGAGCTCTCCTCCTCCGATCCTCCTCTTCTCCTCCCATGCGGCTGAATGCGCACGCACGGCAAGAGCTGCGCGCGCATTCAGCCGGTCACATGGGAAAGCATTATCAATGCTTTCCTATGGACGCTTGTGTGCGCTCACTGTGATTTTCGCAGTGAGAAGCACGCAAGCGCCTCTAGCGGCTGTCAATAACACAGCCACTAGAGGAATTGGGGGAAGGCTTAACCCATTCATAAACATAGCAGTTTCTCTGAAACTGCTATGTTTATAAAAGAATGGGTTAAGCCTAGCTGGACCTGGCACCCAGACCACTTCATTAAGCTGAAGTGGTCTGGGTGCCTAGAGTGTTCCTTTAAGGTGAAAATAGCTAAATTAGAAGAATTCTGTAGGCCAGCTATGCTTTCAGTTTAGCTACTCTGGCCTTACATTTGCAATTCACTTAGAAGTCTCACTTTAGTAAATAACTGACATATTTTTATGAATATTATTCAAGAAAATTAATTTGCTCAAATGATCGATCTAATATTCCAATTTCTCACAAATAAAACTGAAATAGATTAAAACAAAAGTCCTCCTAAGTGTGAAAAACATATATGCAGAAATAGGTTATTTGTGGATATGGTTTAACTGATATGGATATATTTACTTAGAAGTGAAAATGTCCAGGTTTGATATATAATTGGATAGTTAGATGTACCATGTGCTATGGTGTATGTTCATTCATTGCAGATAGGGCTTTTACGTTACTGCTGTAGAAGCCATATTCACCAACTTGAAACACATTCTCCATGTAATGGTTTCTCCGTTTTATCACCATTAACAATTGATAGCTTTACAATTGAATTGATAACTTAACAATACTTTATTTTAATAAAATCCTTTGAACAATGTTAATATTTATCCAAGCTGAGATGTTTGCAGATCCTTTTTAATAGATTACCTTTTATTGGCAGATGGGAAAGAAGAGTTGCTTTTAGAAAGGCGCAGGGAACTCTCCCGTAATGTAAACAGACTTCGAGAGGCATACGAGTCCTTAATGGCACGATACTCCAGCCTTAACTTTGAATACAGGTATGGTAGACATCCTAATATTCCTCCAAATATGCAAAACATATAGATAGGTATCACAGTATATTGGATTTCTTCGGTATGATGGTTATGTATCTCGATCTCTATCTGTTGTACATAGTCAAACTGTTTAAAGGACCCTCTAAGGACCAAAGCAACTTTAGCTTAATGAAGTGGTTTTGGTGTATAGATCAGTCCCCACTGTTCAATTCCATTTAGGAATTTAAATCACTATCTTTTTTGCTTTCCAAGCTACACCTCTCTTGACTGAAACTCGCACAGCCTACACACTTCCTGAAAGAGTCTAACATTAGCTTCCCTTATTGAGGGAGCCTGCAATAGCCTTTTGTATGTAATTTTGTAAAATGAATGAAAATGGCACTTTATTTCCTGTCATAGTGGCTGTATACCTGGTTATTTACTCTGTAATTGACAGCTGTCAGTCAAATAGTAAAAGTTATACAAAATAGTTTCATAATTTTTAAACCTTTTTTTTTTTTTCCCTTTGGGTGTACTTCTAAAAGCAGCTTACTAAAGCTGCCGATCACTCGTGTGCAGCCTTTGCAATTCATGTTGTTTTGCAATCCCTAGTCCAATTAGAGGCTTCCTGCTGTGCTCATAGCTTTCTAATGTTCCCTGGGGGTCAAAAGTATCACCTCCAAGTGTAACGCTTTTAGTTATAATTCTTTTGTCAAAAGTCACTCTTTTTGCATTGTCCATTGTATCACAAACCAGCGTAGTTCCAAAGACATACTCCATTGCTTTTTCCAATTCAGAAAATACTTGTTTGGCATACATGTACTATCATCTCGGTGGGTTATTTGATAAGTAGTGTTCCACCATCATACCTTACCACCTACGTTTGCATCTTCTCTAGCTGTGCTGTCCGTTTTTATGATACTCTAACATAAGCTTGACAGTTCGTTTTTTATCATGAACATAGGGGAAACGGGGGGGGGGGGGGGGTTGAGTTCATGCAACATAGTATTTGACAGCGTTTCAGTTATCATACATCATTCAGTTTGACTACCTTGGTCTTCTTGACCTCTCAACAGCTCTGCTCTATTGGCTTATATCGCAACTTATACAGATATTCAGCATCCCCAGTCCTTTGCAAATTTTTCTTCACATCCCTGGAGTCGATAGGCTATGTGTTCATATGAGCTAATTACATCTAGTTTTTGTTTAACTGCCACAGAAAGAGTTGTTTTACTTTTCCAATGCAGCGCTACATTGACTTTGGTGATCACTTTTTTGTGGGGGTGTCCCACCAATGCGGGCAGCATGTGCAGGAGGTAGTGTTCTAATAAAATCAGCACTTTTAAAACTTGTCATATTATGATAGACTTCACACATATAAGCAAGCAGAACTACTTTGTGTTTGTGTGTGTGTGTGTAGTGTCCATTTTAATACCTCTTACTACCTCATAAAAACTAGCCTAACTTAATAGAGGGATTTTGGTATATAGACCGTGCCCCTACAGTCTCATTGCTTAATTCTCTGCTAAATAGGAATTAAATCACCAATCACCATAGTTTATGCAGCCCTAGTCACGTTTCCCTGCATTTGACCTACTGTCTCCCTTCACATTTCCAGTAAGGATGGATCTAATGTTTAAACTTCCTTTATTGCACAGTCTGTTTAATTTAGAATATCATGTCTCCAGCTTTGTGAAGTGTAGTTGGTGCTGCGTAAACCGAAACACAAGTGATTTATCCCTAAATGGCAGAGAATTTAGCAGTGAGACAGCAGGGGCATGATATATTCACCAAAACTACTTCATTAAGCTAAAGTTGTTTTGATACTTAGATTATCCTTTTAACTTAGAAGGATTGGATTCCATTATTATTCAGAGGAATATCTTTATTTGCATGTATTTTTTTCAGTGCATCTATAATGCTAATGCTGGTAAATCCTCCCTGAAGACTTTAGTATATTTTGCATAGGTTTTTTTATTTTTATTTTTTTAAATTCATCATTAGCAATATGATCATTCAAACTGACTAGTCTTATATGGGAATTTGGAAGTAATAGATACTTATTGATTGAAACCTGTGATAACTGATATGTTTCCATTAAGTTCAATGTTTTCTATTCTACAAGGGATCCAGAAAAGAACTGGGATTCAAATCGTGTGAAAGGCCTTGTTGCTTCCCTGATCACTGTAAAAGACTTCTCTACAGCAACTGCATTGGAAGTAGTAGCTGGAGGACGGCTGTACAATGTGGTGGTGGATTCGGAGGTAATTAAAATCATACCCCTTATTTTCTTTCCTATGAAAATGTTCTGATATTTTTTTGCTTCTTTACTCTTTCAGTGCCTTATTTACCACATTTTACTTATTTAGCTTTTTTTTTTCCACTCAAACAACTCCAATGCAATTCTATTTCAATAATAAAGTTATATTTCATATATTACAGGTCACTGGTAAAAAATTGCTGGAGAAAGGAGAACTAAAACGAAGGCTTACCATAATCCCACTTAACAAAATTTCAGCTAGGCGCTTGACAACAGACACGGTTAATGTAGCCAAAAGCATGGTAAGTATCATACAGAATGTGATATTATTCCCCCATCCTGACTTCTGTTGTGAAGGGGAAAAATGATTGCTAATATATGCCTGGTAGGCTAAAGAGTTACAAAATTACTGGTACCTTACGTCTGTATGCTGGATGTATACTTCAAACCACACAAAATACATTTTTGCAGAGCTTACCTGACTGTTTGTTATCTGCTAGTGAATGCCAAAACAATCAAAAAGATACTCATCAAATGCTGTATCCTGACTACACTAATATGCTTAGCCCTAGGTAATATTCCCTGCTTTTGATTGTCTCCTGTACATTGTAAATTAGGCAAAATAATAATTAATGGTACTGAAGTCTTTTCATATTTAATGAATGTGCTTTTAAGTAAATACTTGTTATCTCAAATTACTTTTTTTTTTCCATACTTGAAGTACTTTTAATTATACATTGTTATAGAGAATCTGTTTTTGATACACATGGTGGATTTTGTAATTTTTCTTCTCCCAAGCTTCAATATTGTCCTGGTCAGGTGTCCTATGTTTAAGAATATTTTTTCTTGTTTGCAGGTGGGTGCTGACAATGTTCATTTAGCGCTTACACTGGTTGGGTATGGTTCTGAATTGGAGAAAGCAATGGAGTACGTCTTTGGAACTACGCTGGTTTGTAATACAATGGACAATGCAAAAAGAGTGACTTTTGACAAAAGAATTATGACTAAAAGCGTTACACTTGGAGGTGATACTTTTGATCCCCAGGGAACATTAAGTGGAGGTAATCTTTTTTTTAAATATTTTTTTTGGTGTGTTTCCTATTATTTAAAGCAAGTAAATCAATAACATTGAATAAATTCTAGATAATTATACCAATATTATAGTATGTAACTTGTAAAGGTACGCCTAGCGTGTCATCAGTACCCAAGTGTATCTTGAACCTTGATGTTTATTACACAACCTATTGGGATTCTTTTTTTTTTTTTTTATATATAATCTTTATTTAAAGGGTTTCCCCCCTTTTTTTTTTCATAAAAAAGACAATACAATACAGCAGTTACGTACAAATGGTAAAGAAACAATTTTCCTATTTAAGATATTCATCCATAAGATGTTTCTTTATACATTTCAATTAACCAAGAACAAACAATACTTTAGACTTACACATCTACATAAAAGTATATGTTTTGTCTCATATTATTTATTATATTATACTGTCCAAAGCATTAACAGTCAGCCTCAATGTTCACTTTAAATTTATGTAGGAGAGAAAAAAAAAAAAACCCTCTATTTATCAATCTTCTCCCAACATTTCATCCAAATTGTTGTTTTCCTACTTAATTTTTGTTTGCTCAATAACACTTCCATTTTTACTTGAAACTTAAGCTGGGCTCTAACTTGATCCCAAGGAACTTCTCTATCATTTTTCCATCTTCTAGCAATCACAATTTTTGCTGCTAAAAAAAGATGGATAAGAATAATTTTCGAATCATTTGTCATTGCCGGCCAGTTTAAATGGAGCAGGACAATCTCCGGAGAGAGCCTCAACTCAAGGTTCAAGTCTACGGATACAAACTTTTGAATATTAAACCACAAATTGTTCAATTTACTACACTCCCACCAAATATGCTTAAAAGTGCCTGTATTTATGCCACATCTCCAGCATAGATGGTTTGCTGAAGAGTACATTTTGTTCAATTTGTCTGGTACTAAGTACCATCTATTTAGGACTTTAAAATGAGTTTCTAATAAATTTAGCGAGTGTATATACTTCGAAACTTCTGTCAATGAGAAACCCCAATGCCTAATATTTATATCCATATTTAATTCTTCTTTCCAGGCAGTTATAGCTATTGGAGTTTTTACTTTATTGCACATTTTGCTTAATACCAAAGCTTTTGAGAGTGGTTTGTTTATCTTGTCTGTATTGAAAAGTATATTTAACACATTATTCAAATTAGTGTTTGATACGATTAGATGTGACGTCAAAAAACTTTTAAGTCTTAAATAATTAAACAGCTCTTTTGATGGTAAGTTATATTCCTGTGTTAATTGAGCAAAAGTTTTAATTTTATCTTTTACAAGTAGTTGAGACAGTCGCAGAATTCCTGCTTGATTCCAGTTTTTTTAATTTATGTCTGCAACTTGTTGTTCTCCAAGATCTAATTTTGAATATGTTGGAATTTTGTTTTCTATTTTTAGGGTCTTTTTAATTTTAAGCCAACTATTCATTAAATGTGTTAACGTTATGTTGGGATAATCTTTTTTTTTTAAAAAATTTGGTGGTGTTCCAAATTAAACAATCCAAGCTGGGAACTCCTCCTGCAAGTTCTGTTTTATACCAACTTTCATTTTTATTTTCTTCTACTTGCATCCTATATATATGTAAAATTACCGCTGCCCTGTAGTTATTTGATATTAGAGGATAGGCCAGTCCTCCTCTGTTCAGTTTTTGTGTTAGTGTTGACTGACTCAATATTGTTTTTTTACCTTTCCAAATATACCGAGTAAAACTTTTCTGTATTAATTCCAACCAATGGTTAGAAATACGTAATGGCAACATTTGGAACATATAGTTCCATTTTGGAATGACGTATGAATTGACTACATTTATCCTTCCCCAGAAAGATATTTCTAAATTTCTTCGGTTTTTCAGCCATTTGTTAAGATTTTGTAGTAAATCCAAAAAGTTTATTTCCATTATTCTATTTACATCTCTAGTCAGTTTAACTCCCAAATAGTCCATGTTGTTTTCGACCCATAAAAAATTATATCTATCCTTGATCTTATTTTTAGTTTGTTCATCCAAATTAATGTCCAGAATCATAGATTTATTTATATTTAATTTATAATTAGAAATTTTACTGTAACTGTCGATTTCTGACATTAAAAAATCTAATGAAATTTCCGGTTTTGTTATGGTAATTAAGATGTCATCAGCATATAGACTTAATTTCTGTTCTACATCTAGTATTTTATAGCCATAGATTTTTTTATTGTTTCTGATATTCTCGGCTAATGGTTCAATAGAAAGCAAATATAATAACGGTGAAAGTGGACATCCCTGTCGTGTGCCGTTTTTCAGTTGGAACCATGGGGCTGTAATATTTGGTCCTTTAGTACGTGCTGATGGATTTGCATAAAGGGCCATGATGGCTTTCTTAATCCAACCATCAAGACCGTAATGCGACAATACGGCATCCAAATAAATCCAGTTGACTCTGTCGAATGCTTTTTCAGCATCAATCGACAGAGCCAAAACTGGAACCCTATTTCTATTAGCATCATCTAAGATGTTGACAATTTTTCTAATACTTGTATAAGAGTTTCTGCCAGGGACATAACCTATTTGGGATTCATTTTATCAACATAAGGATTACAAGTTGATTCGTCCTCACTGGGAATTGAAAGTTTAGAAATTGCAGCAGGACTCCTATTCACTCAGCTATCAGCACATTTTCTAGTCTTATTGAATTTCCCTAAAACTGTAACACACACAGTGTTTTATCAATTAAATGAGTCCTGAAAAACTGTGCACATGCAACTTGACAATTCCTTTTAATTTATATTAATACATATCTGTTCAACGTGATTCCCCCAGGTGCTCGTTCTCAAGCTCCATCAGTATTGTCCAAGGTTCAAGAGGTTAAAGATGTCCAGGAGGAACTAAAAGTGAAAGAGGCAGAGTTGCAGACAGTGGACAAGGAACTCTCCAATCTGAAGAATACTGCCGAAAAGTGAGTAGGATCAAGTATAACGTTTTATAGAGAGTGATAATGCTAACCTAGCTAACTTCACAATCCCTGAACTTGTATCTGATATGCAAGACATATCCAACCAGTAGAGACTTGTCATCAACAATTGTCCATGCATCGCCATAGTGTTTCTTTTCAATGGAATGAATATTTTTTTAATAATCAATATGTATTGTGTTGGCACTCTATTACGGAATGGTGCAGGTATTAGAGGTAATCCCCATAAAGACCTCAATTATGTATACAAAGAAATATATGTTATTAATACCGCACTCACATGCATAACATATGCATCCAAAAAAGAATCAGTGTAAATCTGCAAAAATTCTTTATTGTACACTAGATACACCAAATTCATAAAAATAGAAAATGAAAGAAAAAGACCACTATTGCCAAATATAAACATTAATGATCCCTCTGTGAATTCATCTGTGGTGAATGTAACAAAATGTCATAATATATACATCTGAATTATTTACAACTATATACAGTTCATGAACGTCATATGAATGAAGCTGAAAGTTCATATATATTCAGGTGGATCCACCATAAATTGTAGAAAAAGAAAAAAATGAGAAAAAAAGAAAAATATAACAAAATGAAAAAAACTGAAAAGTTCAAAGGACTGCAAAAAATGCACTGCTTATTTGATGAAATTGGTTGGATCTCACCATAGATTATGGATGCTTTAGATATGGACTGTGGAGTGAAGTCTGTTCACTTATAGGCAGATGTCCAATTGAATGCTGAAGAGAGGTTCAAAAGTATCCCTTTGTCAGTTGAACAGCAATCAGAGGCAATCACAATCTGGTCTCCTGTCTCACGTGTCTCGTGTGTGGCTGGGCTGCGTGCTCAGGACGGAAATGCCCCTTCGAAGGCTCTAAATTCAGGAGTGAGGTTACTGAACTTTTATGGCAAGTCCTGGTGGCAGCCAATGTACCTCGCGGCATGGCCCGCCCATCAGCCTACTTTTTTGATAGCGTGATGGCGTCATCATGCGTAATGACATCATAAATTCAACTTTGTTGAAAAGTGACAATTTAGGCAATCTCCCCTGAATCTTTACTGGTGTAGAAAGGTTTAAGTAAAACAAAAAGCAATACTTAATCTCCAGGGAAGAGTCTTCCATACATGGATCTCTCAAAGCATTTAGGAAAAAAAGATAAAAAGAGCAAATTATAGTGCAGATTGTATTAAATGTATTCCCAGATATTATACTCCAAACATAGAGGGCTAAGGAAATACCATAAGACAGTGTCTTGATTTTAACAAGCTGGTAGGTAAGGAGCAAATAGTAATACAGATTGTACTTAAATGTATTCCCAGATATTGTACCCCAAACAAAGAGGGCTAAGGAAATACCATAAAGCAGTATCTTAATTCTAACAAACTTTAGGTAAAGGATTCAACTCCTTTGTGTAAGAGCCAGTTTGTTAGTAGTTCTAGCTATGTGTTTTTGTAAACTTGCTTCAATGTGTTTTGATTGCATGTTTTAATTATCTGTGATAATAAATCCTTTACCTAAAGTTTGTTAAAACTATGCTGCAGCTGTGATGATTTCTTAGTATACACATAGCCACCCTCTACTTGATTTTAACCATATAGATTTTTAGATGTTCAGTTAGAATTCTAATGTTACGTCAGACTTATTAGTCTACTATTGAGGAGTTGGGGGTATTTAGTTACTACGGTGTTACCGGATAATAGGAGTGGGGTGGGAACGCTGGGCTACTCTGCATAGACTATGCTTTAACCCTACTATCCCTGAATCACCTGTGCTACTATTGGATAAATGTGACACTTTTTGACTTACTTTCATATTATGCCTTCTTTTTCCTCCTACTATTTATTACCTTTTCTAGATATTTTTTCTATATAGCGATTGTGCTTGTTTTCCTTTTTTTAATTTTTAATTATTGATTATTAAAAGTTGTATTTTATTGGGCCATGGGTTGCTTTAACTATACTAGAAACCTGTAGGTGTACTACTTAGATTCACTGTACCCTCCAGGTTTTCTTCTATCTTTTTTGCTTAATTGTAAAGCTTGTGTTATATTTAAAGCTGATTAGTAGGATATTAGTTTAATGTAAAGGATAGTTTGGCGGCTGCGTGTATCGTTGCGTAAATTCTGCATAATTTGTTTGCTAATTAAAAATACTTATAAATTCTAATACTGGTTAATGATTGGCCAGTCTTGTAGTAGGCTATCAAAACACATACAAATGTAACTGTATGATATTAATTTGTTATAATAATAATACTCCAAACTTTAACCTTGTTAGGTATCTGCCAAGGTTTCCTCTTCTGTTTTTGAATATACGATTATGAAAATTGCCTTCAAGCAGAATACCTTATTTTTTTGCAGGTACCGTCAGTTAAAACAGCAGTGGGAAATGAAGTCTGAAGAAGCAGATTTGCTCCAAACCAAACTTCAGCAAAGTTCTTACCATAAGCAGCAGGAAGAGCTTGATACATTGAAGCAGACTATTGGTGAGGAAAATAAAGTTTTATTTCTCTTTCATTAAAACTTGTCATCTTTGATCTGACTCAGGCTGTGTACAATTGGTGAGACCAGCACAAAAACACAAACGCTGTTTACCACCATCACCACTATCGAGAACAAGTTGGAAAAGTAGCAAACTGTAGTCATTGCAGTGCTTGGAGTGTTCCTTTAAGAAAATGTAAAACCTGCTCATTACTCCTTTCCTTCTCTGACCTGTATTTCTAAATTAGAGTTATGTTTAATGGAAACAGTGTCTTGAAACCAAACTCTTACATGTAGGTGACTCCTGCTGGGAAAACAACAAAAGTAATTAGAGTAAATCTACAGGTGCCTCCCATAAAGGAATTGTGGGGAAAAGTAACTAATCCCTCAACTCCAGATCCGGGCTTAACCCGTAATAAATCAAATAATGAGGCGAAATACGTCGACTAGTCACTTTCTCTGGACCTGAACTCCTTCTGGGATACTTAACATAAACTCTAACACTGCTTATTTCATGCAATATTATAATAAAATGATGGATGTGATGGGTATTCCCTTCACCATAAAAGGACAACTGTAATCTCAAAATATATATTTATTTTCTTTTATTTCTTATATTTTCATCAAGTTTTGAAAGCTAAATTAATTTTTTTTTTAATTTTGCTTATGTAAAAATTAAGGAAAAACACATCCCTATCACATTCTCATTGTTTACAGATAATTGAAAAAGGAAAAATAAAAATCTCCTTCCTTTAAAAATTCGATAAACAGATTATTTTATTAGATGGCAGTTGTTTGTGAACTAGTCTCTCTCATGTTAAAAGGTGAATAAAATTGATAGATTACTGGTGTAGTCTAAAGTGGCACAATCTACCTATATTTCATATATACTGTTATAGAGTAAAGAAATTCCCTTTATTATTTTTTTTTTTTTATATAAAGTGGTTTTGTTTTAATAAGATAAAGGATTCCATCTGTTTCCACATTGAATATCCAGCATTAGCAGGAAGTTCAAATAACCCATGCCTCTTCAATCTCATTTGGAATGCTGAGAACTATCACAGGTCTAATTCGTTATGTTTTGGTAAACATGGGTTATGGTGTCTGAATAAGCAATTTCTTGAGTAAAAACAGTCATAAGTTGGCATAGGATTTAGGAAACTTTACTCCTTGGAAGAAAATAAGTAAACCTCATACTAGAAGTAAAAAATCCTGGTAGCAAACCTTTATTATTTACGAATGGTCTTAAAATTCTGCCCCTCAATTGAGTATCATTTTACCTTTGTAATGAGAGCCTATGTTACTGATTTTGTAAACTCATTCAATTCATGTGGGTAATACATTTTTGTACAGTTCAATGCATACTATGTCATTTTCAGAGGAGAGTGAAGAAACCATGAAGAAAACTAAAGAAGTACAGCAGAAAGCAGAGGAAAAATTCAAGGTTTTGGAGCACAAGATGAAAAATGCAGAAGCTGAGCGTGAGCGAGAGCTGAAGGAAGCCCAGCAGAAATTAGATGCAGCAAAGAAGAAAGCTGATGCTTCCAGCAAGAAGATGAAAGAAAAACAGCAGGTTGGTTTGTAATATGCAATTACCAGTGTTTGTCGTGCTATCGTAATATATATATGTAGATGGGTAAAGCTGGTTTAGCCTGCGTGTACCTCTCCAGCTGTTATTACATCAAATCTCCCATTTCCCATGGCAACAGTTAGCACAGTGATAAAATGCATAAACTGAAAACCCCCGGCTTGATTATTCCACATTTTGTTTGGATTTAGTCGTTTACTGTATTTTTTAAGTCTAAAATTGAGGGTCGTCTTATACACGGAATGCCATTGCAATGGTTAAAAAGAACCACTTGTGCGCGGGCCCAGGTTAAGATGGCACCTGCTGCATTTCAGTGTGCCACGGCCCAGACACACACACCTGGCCTCCATTCCGCCGATCCACTTCTGAATGCTGTGGCAAGGAGGAAGAGGTCCCTATACGCCTGGGAGCTGCAGCAGACATCAACACTACTGTAATGTCCCATTATGCCCACAAACTTTACAAAGTACCGTAGCACAGGGGAGGTAGGAGAATCAGAAGTGTATTGTTCTCCTCAGAAGTCACCTCTAAAATATAAAAGTTGTTCTATTTGATGTTTAGAATATCGATTTCTTAATTGTGGGCTCAAAACATAGGGGTAGTCCTATACAGGAGGGTGTGTTACACACTGAAAAATACGGTAATCTAGGCTTAACGAATGTGCAGTCTCACTGAGTGTGTTGTAACATGCTAACATCGTCATCTAGGTTGCAAAAACTAAAGTCCATTGAGTTCAACTTTTAAAGTCTGACTGCCTTTGCTTTGTTTTAGGAAGTAGATGCCTTGGTTCTAGAGCTGGAAGAACTCCGTAGAGAACAGACCACCTGTAAGCAGCAGATCGAATCCGTGGATGAGGCAATAAAAGCCTATCAGGAGCAAGTTGACAGCATGGCTTCAGAAGTTGCAAAAAGCAAGGTGGGAGTTTTTTACCAAGTGCAAATGTATGCAACTTTATGCACTGGGGAATTATCACTCATTTAAGCAAATTGGTGTTCTACATATAACAAGCTATAGCAAGGGTAATGGTTTTTTGTTTTCAGTTTTGTTTTGTTTTTAATTGAATTATTTTACCACTCCTTTTATTAATTGTGGCGTATGAGTTACCTAGATTTGGTTTCACCATGGTGTGTTTGAAATTCTTGTTTTAGGAAGCTGTCAAGAAAGCTCAAGAAGAATTGGCAAAGCAGAAGGCAATCATTATAGGGCATGATAAAGAAATTAAAGCCAAGTCAGCAGAGGCTGCCAAGCTCCAGGAAAATAACAATGAGTCCCAACTAAAGATCAAGGAGCTGGAACATAATATCAGCAAACACAAAAAGGACAGCGCTGATGCTGCTGCGAGGGTAACATGCGATATTAATTTTCATCTTCATTTAGAATCCCTGTGTAACAGCCACCCTACTCCAGTCTACCACTTGTGTCCCTCTTTCATTACTGAACCTTTCCCCAAGCAGGACAATCTTATCCACGATGCTGACACATTGGCTTCCTTGCCAGCCCATCAATGTTCGATACAGAGAGATGTTTTTCTGACTGCTGATTTCCTCTATTTCTCTACTAAAGCACACAAAGTATGCTTGTAATAGCTATAAATACTGCAATTACAGAGCATGCTCTGTAGATTTTGTAATGTATTCTGAAAATAATCCTTATTATTATTTATTATCAAATCCCCTCAGAGGGCCCCGCTTTTACACTCTAAGCAGATTTAACCTTCATAACTAAAATGCTCCATTCCTTTTAATAATTGTGTAGCCCGCCTCCTCACTTTTTCTAGTGCCATAATCTCATTCTTTAGAGCAGCTGCCCAAAATTGCACAGCATATTTTAGGTTTAAAAAGGTGTACAGAATGACATAAAAAGGCGTATAAAGCTTGATGACATATAGCACTCCAACGCAAATCAGCAAGATACAATTTTACATTTATACTAACCATTAAAAGTAAGACAGATTAAAAGCTTATAAATATCTTCTTTAAAGTACACCTTTGTCGTCTGTGATGCACAATTTATATAAGCTATGCGTACGTTTGTAATCTCATACAAATGTTAGAATGTCCATTTTCTTGTGCATTAGGTAGGCAAAATGCTAAATGACTATGAGTGGATTGCTACAGAGAAGCATCTCTTTGGCCAAGCAAACACTGCATATGATTTCAAGACAAATAACCCAAAGGAAGCTGGGCAGAGGCTACAAAAACTACAGGAGAAAAAGGAGAAACTTGGCCGAAATGTCAATATGAGAGCAATGAACATGCTTACTCAGGCAGAGGAAAGGGTAAGTGCTTAGTTAACACATAATGTGTCAAACTCCGACAGATGTTGGTTCTTTATATACTGACTAGCGTGTACGTGTTTGCAAGTAAAGTGATCTAGAAATAATTGCATTTATCATTTTATTTTAAGTACAACGATTTAATGAAAAAGAAAAGAATTGTTGAAAATGACAAGTCAAAAATTTTGGCCACCATTGAAGAATTGGATCAGAAGAAAAACGAGGCCTTGAATATTGCATGGCAGAAGGTATGTTCAGGGGAGAAGTTTTGGTTGCTATTATTAGGGCGGGGAACATGTTCACACTGTATCATAAATAGTTATATATTGATCCAAAGTTGGTTTGTACATGGCATGAAGGCAAGATTAATGCACTCTGCCTGCAGAGGAATATAATATATATATTGTGCCTGTGCCCACATGGCTCCTATTTGCTCCAATGTTGGTAAAGGTTTCCACAAACTTCAGTCGCTCACCATTAATAGGTTGGAGTTTTTGGGCTACTTTCTAAATTCTGTTTTTCATGTGCATGAAAGAACACTTCTCAAAAGCAATACATTTTACAGCAGGCAGGATTTTAGGAAAGTTTCTGCATACATTTAATTGAGAAGTTAAAAAAGTCACAGTGATTCCTGGTCAAAAATGTACTTTTATTTCAGAAAGACTAATGGCTGCTATTTGTACAGATCTATAGATAAAGTTGTTTTCAGTATTATCTATCAAAAATAAATGTTGCATGTTGCTTTCAGGTAAACAGAGACTTTGGTTCCATCTTTTCCACACTGTTACCTGGTGCGAATGCCATGCTGGCACCTCCTGAAGGTCACACGGCTCTTGATGGGTTGGAATTCAAAGTTGCTCTTGGCAGCACATGGAAAGAAAACCTGACAGAACTAAGTGGAGGGCAGAGGTAATGGGACTCTGTTTCTAGCCATACTGATGGTCTTACATCATTATTCACTGTTCTCACACTGCACTTTTGCGATTTATGCTCATGCTAGGCTCACACACAATCTGTGTGTTTCTATGGGCTGTCTACAAGCAACATAATTTAGAACGGCAAAGAGTAAGAGTGCCTTACCAACTGGATATTTGTTGATGCAGCTATGCAAATTGTAGAGTGGTGTTCCACTATAGTAAGGCTATAAGAGACATGTGCTCTTGAAAGCTATGACTTTCTCATATCACACTATAACAGCATTGTATTATTTTTCTCAGGTCTCTGGTTGCTTTATCTCTGATCCTTGCCATGCTGCTTTTTAAACCTGCCCCAATCTACATTCTGGATGAAGTTGATGCTGCTCTGGACCTTTCTCACACACAAAATATTGGACAAATGCTACGAACTCACTTCCGACACTCACAGGTAGGAAAATGCTCCAAAAGAAAAGTAGTTTGTTGACATACTGTAGAGAGTCACTCTGCCTGATGGTGCAACTTTTGGATGAATAATGGAATTTATCTAGACGTCTGGTTTTAGAGAAGAATGCTTATTTCATTATTAACATGATGAATCTCTAAAGGATCCCTCTAACATGTAAAATACAAACCTGTATTTTTCTCAGAAAAAGCATTAACATTGCCGAGACTAAATCACATGTGTTTCTGGAACTAAAACTGTCAATTTTAGTGCTATTGAAAAGAATGGTATAGACTTGATTATTATGTTGGTGCACTGGAGCCTTGAAGAGGAGTTGATTCAATGCATCCCTGTAGGCAGATGCTGATTGGCCAGGGCTGTGTTTGGCTTGTCTGGTTCTGCCCCTGATCTGCCTCCTTGACATTCTCAGCCAATCCAATGCTTTCCTATGTGAAAGTATTGTGATTGGCTCAGAACACCACTTCTGATGATGTCAGTCAAGCAGGCAGAACAAGCAGCAGCAGCAGCAGACTGGAATAAAAGGTAAGATTTTTATATATTTAAGGCAGGTCCCGAGGGCTAAATGGTGGTTTTAACACCATAGGGACAGAATACATGTTTGTGTTTCTGACCCTATAGTGTTCTTTTAATGGTACATTTTTTCTGATTACAAATTGACTTTTAATGTTTTAGTAATGTTATTGTTATCAGGTAATCCTGTAATGTGATTTTTATATTTACATTTATTTATATATTTTTGTTTCTAGTTTGTTGTTGTGTCGCTCAAAGACGGTATGTTCAACAATGCCAATGTCCTTTTCAAGACAAAGTTTGTTGACGGAGTGTCTACAGTAGCAAGATTTACACAGAACCAGAATGGAAGCAGTTCAGCTTCACAGCAAAGAACAGAGAAGTCAAAAGCAAAGGAAAAAAAGAGTCGGGATGCATGAAGGAGTTTTGCAATTACTTTTTAACATGCAAGTAGGGGAAGCAATTTCCTTTGACATTTATAATCTTTTTTAAAGACTGACTTGCTTCCAGCACATTTCCTAATTGTACATATTTTCTTTATTCATAAAGGACAATTAAGTGTTTATATATAGTACTGCAAAAGCTATTGCTTTACTCTGAACAAAGGTCTGTTTCAGAAGTAGTCAAGTACTGGACCTCTAGTAGCAGACTGTAAACTATGTGGACTGATTATTGCAGGTCCTGGCATTTGACTGGCTCTGGTCTAATGAATTTTACCTTGCAGTTAAGGAATGGGTATTAGATGCATTTTCTTCTGCATATTTTAATTCACCGTCACCATGGCACCATGAAGGATGCTTACTAGGATAAGGTCTTGAGGAAAGTGTTTTGTTCAGCAAAACAGCTCAAGGTAGAGACACTAGAAAAGTAATTTGGGAACGAATGTGATGTAAAACACACAGTAAAAGTAAATTTGTATGAATAAATATTTTTTTCCATAAATGGCTTGTTTGCTTTGTTCATAAGTATTTGTAAGGAATGCTGGCTAATAAACCCTCATTTCATGTAATTGAGGAGGTATTTGCAGAATCTGCCTTGCAAAATTACAAAAATGTTTACAAAATAAATCCAAATAGCAAAACTAAGGTAAAAGTTGATTTGGAACAATTTTCACAGTTTGACCTTTTTCCTTAGTTCTGACACAGTTTGTTGAAGATACCTGTTTGTAATGACACTTTATTAGCAGAGTTATTAAATGTGATAGGCGTTTTGATCAGTGATGACATTGCTCAAACCAAAAAACTCAGTTTGATGAAAAACACATAAAATAACATTTAAGTCCGAGCCAGCAAGACATGCCTAATTTTACCTGACTTTGCAGCAAAATACTTGCCCTCTATGGCTCCAACGTGGCCTAAGCTCTCCTGGGTGCCCCGAGCACTACAAATCTGTATAAATATTGATGGCAGCCGGAAGATCCATGGAGGACCGAAACTGCTTACTGTGGGTGGCTGGGACGGGAGAGACGTCTGCTCTCTGTGCTTTCCGGTCAGTAGAGGGCACCAAGCACACTCCAACTCCCCACCTCTGGACCAGTGGGAGTTATCCCAGTTCCCACTAGAGCTACATTTTTAAAATGTTGCTTTCCTTCGGATAGGGGTAGTACTGAAGGGAGATGGCAAGATGTTCCAATCACAGTGGGTACGGCTTAGAGGACAAAAGCTGCCTTCTATGCCTGGGAAGTAGTCACCACTCTTGTAGAATGTGCTTTAACGTTTCCTGCAAGCGTCCTTGCCTTTAATCCTGTATTATAGCTGAATAGTTCATCCAGTGTGCTATACAGGTTTTGGAGACTTCTTTACTTTTATGAATTCTTTAAATGCCTGCAGTTCTTTCCATACAGCCTTCACTTTACAGAAGTTCAAAGAGCAAGATGTTTAGGGGATCAGAAACCCTGTCATGATGGTGTTTAGATGTTCTCTCATCCTATACTTGATACATCTGTGGTGATTCCTGTCTGAATGATAACCCTTTATGAGATTACAATTCTGTATACAAATTGAACTCTTTGGGTTATTTCTGTATTTTCGTTTCCAACCCAAGTCCTCTTGTTCCCGGTTGCGGCCTTGGAAGATCTCCCACATGTGCTCTTGACCACTTGGATAGCGGATTTAAGCAGATCTGCATGTTCTGGGTGTACGTCTCCAATGCTCATTTTTTCCATTAAATATTTGGAATCTAGACCAGATTCCTTTTGGTGGTGAGTACCCTGCTGTCAACTCCTGGTGTCCCCAGGGAAGCATAGAGGAAAGTTTCTGGAAGCTGTTTAAGCAGTATGTATTGCTTTTAGCATGTTAATCTCACGTTAAAATTAATATAAGACCACCTGATATTGGGGTACTGTGATATAGTGGTGGACATGATGTAACTGAATACCTATGTTTGCTAAGTAGCCTTCTCATATTTCAAACTGTATTTGTTGTGCACTGTTCCCTTAATAGGTATTTCAAGAACCAATTGTCCAAGTATGGAAACACTCCTTGTTCTCTTTGGAATGCTACCTAAACAAGAATCTTGGTGATCCAAAAGGTGAATTGTAAATTAAAAATGTAGCATGCCTTGTTTTTCATGGCAAATCAGAGCAATTGTCTTCATTCAGTTGCCATGGGTACATACAGATATAGGTCCTATAAGTTTAGGATTGCGATTACATTTCCTTTCTGTAAATTGTGTTACTGATAGGATGGCCATCCTAAACCTCTGGTATTCTACACATTGATTTACACTTTAGAGGTCCAGAACGGCAATTTTTCCAACAACCTGGAATACACCCCTTGGGACCTTTTTCGATTACTCCTATTTGAAGGAGCTTCATAGTTTAAGGGAAAAAAAAAAATATTTTTTTCAGCTGGGAGACGCAATGAAAAAGGAGAGCTGGTTTTGTCAGTTGCCTAACGGTCACTCTGGCATGTACTGTAACTAATGCTAGATAGGGAAGCTAAAGGAATCTATAGGCATCAAAACCTATGCCTCACCGTCTAATTGCTGAATTCTCTGCCATTTAGGAGTTAAATATAGTTTGTTTTCTGCCACACCTCCCGGCTGTAATTCACACAGTCTGCATGGAAAAAAGGTTTCATTTTCAATTAGATCTTATACTTATTTAGAAAGTATATCCTGCAATGTAAACTGAACTTGAATATCACACAGGAGGCTCCTGTAAGGATCTCTCTTTTACAGTTAATTTTAAAGTACATGGCGTTTTACCATCAGATTAGGTGTACAATTTAACCTTTGCTTCTGTAAAAAGTGAAAACCTCAGAGATAACAGGCTCCAACTTGGCATTTAAACAACTAAAAGCTAGTTTATTTCAAATTGATTTTAGTGTGATCATTAGCCAGACAAGTAAAATAATTCTTGGATACATTTTCTATACATGCCCAATAGGTCCCGTCCCCCCCTAGCTGTATAACATCCAAATGATATAGGAGATGGATTTATTTATTTTTCCCAGCATTAAAGCTGGGACTGTATGTTTCAATAAGTGGGTGGAGAGGAAACGAGACCCAAAATCAAGAAAACTGTATCCATTAATGTATGCCAAGAAAGCCGCTTGTGCCGAGTTGTAGGGCATCCTATTTGATCATCAAAATAGTTATTTACAGTAGTGAAACATTGATGTGCTGCTCACTTAGATTCCATTTGTTTCACAGAAAAAGAAAGTTAGCCAAATTATTAGCACAACAGATTTATAGTAACATTTCAAAGCAGTTTATAAAAATGCACATCAAAACGTTGAGAACATAATTGGAGATATTTATTTTGGGCATGGAATGATGCATGCTACAGAATTTGTGAAATTGTTGAAGTACACATAGGTTCTTTTATTTTCTCAGTTCAGGTTCTCAAGCTTTTTCTTCAGCATTAATCCCTTTTCTTTCAAGTCGGGCCTGCTGTCTGTTTCCATTGTGGATAGTGAAGCTATGAGTGTGTTTCTGTTGTCTAGTGTCAGACATTTCCACTGTTCTATATCTAAAAAAATAAGAGGAATGTAAAGAAGAAAAAATAAAAAGCCAAGGCCACAAAAATAAGAACCTTGCAGATATTACAGTAAATTAACTCAAAAGAGCTTCAGTTAAATGGCAGGTATAATTCTGGCTTCCAAAAACAAGCCTCCTGCAATGTGAATCTACCTTGCAGTAAAGAAAACAATTTTACTTGAGGCAATGAAGATAGACCGTATGCAGTAATTCAATCCCCCGGAAACTTATATGCATTCCCCTCTGCACTGATTTCCACCATTCTGGATATTGAAATGTACTACGCATTTCACATTTCTTTCTTTATTTAGTCAAGCGTCCGGTGTTTGAGGCTCTTGTGACAGATCTTAAACGCCACACGTAAGAAATAAACAATTTTAAAAACAAATTGATGGAACAGTAATAAACCATACTAAAAATGCATGGACAAGAACTTTAAATTATAGTGTAAAAATAGTTAGCAATTTGCGTTGTCTATCAAATTTCTCTCAAGCCCTATTTTAGTATGATGGGAATAACTCTTAAGTTAGTAAATTCTTATTCCAACAGTGTAAACGGAGGACATGTCTCGTATTTACATTGAGAGAATTACTGAATCTCAACACGTTCATCCTTTTATTGCTTTTTGAATTATTACACTTTAAGTATCCGAGTTATAGTTCAAATACAACTTTGTTTTGACCTAAAACCTCAAATACAAAGATATAAGTACAAAACCATACAGTAATGATATCGGCCATTAACTTACCTTCCAGTTTCCTAAGAAGTAGTTCTAAAACCAACATTGCTTCCGTTCGGACAGAGGAATAACTCTTATTTTCTACAAAAAAAAAAATGGAATAAAATCTACGTTCTAGGTTACACTCCATTCAAGACATTTATTCAAAAACATACTTTTTAAAATGGGTAAGGTTTCAAAACTCATAAAAACAAGCAGTGTCCACTGAGATGCAGAATATGGAAATATCGATCATTCAATTTTGGATTTACCTAAAGAATGTGCTATCGCCGGGCAGGTTTCTGTAAGGATTTCTGTGAGCGCATCAGTGTCTGTATGTTCCTTTTCAAAAAGCAATAACCTGAAACAGAAGTATGAATGAAAGTATGCTTATATAGAGAAGTAGAGTTCCACAGACGTCAACGTAGGGCGAAGGCAAATTTTTTTTATTTTTTTTTATTGGAGATCAAAAAGGACAAAAATATATTAAAAAATACTAAGGCCTCTAGGCCGAAACGTCACGTACCATTTTTTTTTTTGCCTTCACCCTACATTGTGACACCTGTGAAACTCTACTTCTTGTTGTTCCTGGTGGGCTGCAGACCCCCCTCCACAGGGGTCCTACGTAAACTTACTTGTGTGCAGTACTCCTTTGAATTTATGCTTATATTGATCAAGACCTCACAGTTTATTTTTACAGGGGTAAATGTCTTGTGTGTTCAGTTTTACACGAGTCATACAACTAACAATGTTCAACCAATATATTATCCCACATTTCCCAGGTCCAGACTTCTACCCTGACAGTCTCATAATTCTTATGCAACTACAAAGCAAAATGTATTTGTTAGCCTTGATGATATAAGTTGGGCTTTCATGCCGAGGGAAACAAATTACTTCTCCGCACATCACTAAGGAACTCAAAATACAGGGCTCAGATTCCTTCCATCTACATATTTCACTAATTCTATTTCAAATTGATGGTATAAAATACATTCAGAAGTACCACAAAAATATACCATTTTGAATTGAAATGTAATGTTCAAAATAGCTTACCCTTGAAAGTATGCATTCATGGACTGGAGGACTCCATGCTGCACCTTCCATGTGCTGAGTTTTAGCCGTTCAGACATCATCTTGCACACCTCCATCCGGTAGCGACCTAATGCAACGAAAGCAGAAAGTGATAGACGCTCGCTATGAAAACCACAGTTCACAAGATTAATAATAGGATGTTGCAATGTCCGATAAAAGAAATGGAGTTATTCACTTTTAAATTTTTGTTTCTCCCCCCCCCCCCAATAGACCAGCTAGTCAATGTACTACTAATTACCAACAGTGTCACACGTGTACATAGACGGCATTTCTATTCTATTTATCCTTACTTTAGCACCATTATGTTTACATATTACAAAGCAGTGCTTTATTTCTTTTTGAAAGCCATATAAAAATTCTATTGTGCTATTTCATTAAACAGAAAATGTATCCCTCTGATCTAAATGGAATACATTATTATGCCTCCTTAAAGCATATACTTTACTATGATAGAATTGAAGGCTGGACTTCACCTAATTTTTATTAATACATGAAAAAGGTACGGAGTTCAAATGTGTAATGTTCTTATTTATTAATATATTATTTTTGAAGTTCCCCCATGTGCTGTAAATATCTAGGCTTTGAGTTTCTGCAGTGAACAATCAAACCCAAGAAGTTACACAGCCAACTAGGATGTTCAATTTCTACAGCTGTGCAGAGCCTCATGAAAAGAGCCTCACGTTCCACCAGTCAAAGGAAATTAGAGTGTACTAGTCTGGTATGTCTATTGCAACACACAGGGATGAGGGAGTCGGACTGATGGTTTGCTGCTCAAAACTGGATACAGACAGGAATTCAGCAAAAACCTATCCAAACAATGTAATAGAAGAGGTGACACCCTTAGTGTGGTGTATTGATTCCAGGAGCTGGCTAACCAAAATGGTTTGAGTACGGTAACATTGGTGCTACAATGAAAGTATAATTAGGATTAAAACATAATGGTAAGGGATAATAAAAAAAATAAAAGACTTATAAACCGTATTGTGAAGTTTGGGAATATATCAGACTGAATCTTGGAAGGTCAAAGTGCAGTAAATGTGTGTGGTGTGTAATGTCTTTAAATCTGCTAATGGCAGAATAAAGGAGATATTCACCAAATATTACCATTAAGGACAGAAAAAACAGTATATAGAACTGCTTTCTGTAATGCAATACAAGCTAGGTATCGCAAAAAAAAACCACTTGAAATAAATAGATAGTAAAAACTGGGTAAAAGTAACAACCAGTTTATTAACAAAATATATTAAAAATACAAGCCAGGAACGGTATACAAGAATGCTACCAGCAGAGTAGAAGTCTGTAGTTGGAATTTGCCTCAGGGACCGGCTAGGATTGATGAAGATAGTGTGTAGCAAACAATCTCTCTAGCTGTCGGCTACCGGTGAGGATAGCATGAGTTTCAGACCTCACTCTGAGAGACTAGCGCTACAGGCCAATCGGTCCCATTATCGTGAGAAGTTCTCGGTAGAGGTGATGTTCTGCTTGCTGGAACAGTGACTGTGTCCGTATCCTGCTTGGTCTGACGCGTTTAGTGGGAGTCAGCCCCACTTCTTCTGAGATGGAATTCCGAGAACTTCTCACAATCTTGGGACCGATTGGCCCGTATCGCTAGTCTCTCAGAGCGAGGTCTGAGGCAAATTCCAACTACAGACTTCTACTCTGCTGGTAGCATTCTTGTATCCCGTTCCTGGCTTGTATTTTTAATATATTTTGTTACTGGTTGTTACTTTTACCCAGTTTTTACTATCTATTTATTTCAAGTGTTTTTTTTTTGCGATACCTAGCTTGTATTGCATTACAGAAAGCAGTTCTATATACTGTTTTTTCTGTCCTTAATGGTTTACATCTTTCTTACAAAGTATAATACTTGGTGTATATGTCATTTATTCTGCCACTAGCAGATTTAAAGACATACACACCGCACACATTTGCTGCACTTTGACCTTCCAATATTCAGTCTGATATATTCCCAAACTTCACAATCCTGTTTATAAGTCTTTTATTTTTGTTATTATCCCTTACCATTATGTTTTAATCCTAATTATACTTTCATTGTAGCACCAATGTTACCATACTCAAACCATTTTGGTTAGCCAGCTCCTGGAATCAATATACCACACTAAGGGTGTCACCTCTTCTATTACAAAGGAAATTAAAGATCCGTGTAAAAAAAACAAAAAAACGCTCGAGCAGGTCTGTCTCAGGTAACTCACGTTGTGTGTCAAGATTTCTCGGCCATGTCTTTCCTAAAGTAGAAAAGGCGCACAATAGACATTCCGTCTGCAACTCCTTTGTCTTTTCATTTTCATCTTCATCATCTTTTGGAGAGCGAGCCCCTACAGTTTCCATAGAGGTCTTTAAAACAGAAAGTAAATGGTTAAAACAAAAGCCAACATTACTCATTGTAACGGAGCTCCAGTACTCCATCCCCAGTGATGGTGACTACCGTCACACTCATTTTTTTAATTTTGCTGTCTAATGATTGACAGAGACAGAAATACAAACCCATGCTTGCACTCTAGATTTTATTTATCCATGACATTGACCTTAGTGCTTTAGTTTTTATATTGATTTGTTCCAATATATTAATACACTGAAAAGCATCAAAATAATTCCTGTATTTTAAGACGTTAGTATTGTGTGTGTATTTCCTAATTTGAAGACAGAAAACTTGGTGGGAGATCTAAACATTCACAGCAATAGTCGGACTTCCACCCCCCCCAACGCGTTTCATACCACTAGGGTTCTCTCTCATATCATCTTTGGTACCTTAGTGGTTTAAACGTGTTAGGCAGCTCTCCTATGCAGTGGTTGGCCCTCCTAGCTTGCAGTGCTTTTTTTTCCAAATTCTGCTTACAATTTTATTTAGTCCATTTTATCGGAACTCTAACGTTTTCTTGATCTGCTGAATAGAGATGTCGCGAACCGTCCGCGAACTTCTCGCGAACGGTTCGCCACGAACTCCAGTCAGCTTATACATCCCGGCCAATCTCCAGCAGACCCTCCCTCCCAGACCCTCCTACTTCCTGGACAGCATCCATGTTGAAGCTGCCTTCAACATGGATGCTGTCCAGGAAGTAGGAGGGTCTGGAAGGGAGGGTCTGCTGGAGATTGGCCGGGATGTGTCAGCTGACCGGAGTTACCGCGGTGAACCGTTCGCGAGAATTTCGCGACATCTCTACTGCTGAAAAGTACTAAAAGGGGTATCTTGCAATTGTCTATGTTCTGATCAACATGTTCACAAGCGCTGCAGAAATGAGTAAGTGTAAAATGATAGCCACCTATATTAACCTTGCAATGCACACATGTATTACATATTTATTAAAGGCATTTCCCCAACAAAACCTAAATAAACTAAATCATGAATTTCTGTTAGCGAGAAAAAGAAAAAACCTACACTGACACTATGGCGAATAAGTGGTTTGCCTTAATGTGGCAGGTGGGTTTACAACTAATGGCCATTTGAGTGGAATTAAAACCTCCATTTATATAAATATGCACAGGGATTTGGAGAATAAGCATTTGTTTACTAAGAAAAAAAAAAAAAAGTGCTAAAGTAATATTGCTAACATTTATCTACAAACAGTTGGTGCTCTGTATAAAAGCAAATTCAAAGATCATCATTTTGGATCTTTGTAATTATATTGCCCCACTGTGTAGAGTATGATAATATGAGCAATTATGGAAGGAACGGAAATCCTTTATGTCGGAATAGAGGAGATTAGAAATACTGTGATTATACCCAAATTCACAGAGAGATGTGAAGCCACAAAATAACATCTTCTCCAACAAAGTTTCCAGATTTACAATCAATATATATGCGCGAGTATTTTGAATGGATACATGAGCCTAACGTATTCATGACATAGAATGTACATTCACGATTACACTTTACTATATGCGAGCACATGGCCCCATTACCTTTTTTATGAGAGGGAATATTATTTCTGCCATGTCTTGGAAGTGATCCGTCTTGGTGGACTCCAGCACGTCAGAGGCACACTTCAGAGCGTTTATCTTGTAACGGATGTTGTCCTTGCGACATTCCTTGAGTACGGCCTGCACTATATCATCCACACTGGGCTGCTCAGAGCTGGGCTGCAGCAGTTGCTCACTGGGGGCGCGAGGGGGAGAGAAAAAGAGAACCAGAAATGAGGTAACCAGAATTTATAAGACTGAGAACATTCTGTATCTTGGCAACCATTTATGTCTCAGACATTTTTAATGACATTACAGAGAGGACCTACACCATTAGTGCATCAGACTGATCCCACCAGCAGGGTAGTCCAAACTGAATATTGGCAGGTGGCCTCTGTCTTTGTACAAAATAGTAACTTTTTAATTTTTATTAATGAAACTTAATCTTGATACATGACCTCATTAAGCTGAATTGAAATATCGGAGGCATCATTTCACTATACAGGTTTGTATTTTACTAGTTTGTTTCAGATAAGCATAGTAAATATGTTTACACACCTAGAAGTAGAAACCACGGTCCCAATAGCTTTTAACAGCTCTTCCTGGAAAGAAAAGAAATTGAAACCATTTCAAGAATATTTACAGAAGAGAATGATTGGCAACAGGGATGAACAACATATTGAATTTCAGTTAATACTGGTCCACAAACACCAACAATCAAATAATGAGCTACTTAACTCAACATGGTCATGGGGTGTGACTGAAACCCCAGATTTTATATGAGACAGGAGTTTAAATTAGCCCTGAAAGAAAGGAAATAGTAACTTATTTGTGGATGCAGATGGAGATCGATCTATTTTTAAATATTATTTTTTGTACAAATCTAGGTCTTTGCTGCAGCACCACTAGTACTAAGTAGAGTCTCTAAAATTTCCAATTTCCCTCTGAATTCCCTCCACACATTTCTTTTAGAACCTCTGTAGCAGTGGATCTCCTGCGATGAGTGTCCCAGGATACCACACCCCAACCATCGCCTACAAACTTTTCACTTTACTTTTACATTTTTATTTTCACAATCTTATTAAAAGTTTTGATAAAGTAGATTATTATTTTCCCTCAACCCTATATCACTCTCATTAACAAACTTTAAAGGGTTCCTCAAAGCACCAAAAAATAAATAAATAAAAACACCAAACAAACTTTGGGGACACTATAGTCACCTAAACAACCATAGCATAATGTAGTGGTTCTGGTGGCTACAGCCTGTCCTTGCAGGCTTTTTAAATGTAAACATGGCCTGTTAAAATAATACAGGGTTTACATTGCGGTCTAGTAACACCTGTAGTGGTCCTCACTGTAAAAGTAAAGCACTGGCATTCAGTGTCTCCACGCTCTGCATGGAGACACTGAACGTTAAACAGTTTCATTTATTCAATGCAAATCTATGAGGAGATGCGGACTGGCACAGCATAGCTGTGTATGCCCAATAGCCTCCCAATGCTTTCCTACGGGAAAGCAATGGATTGGCCGAGATAATTAAGACTTATGCGGCAACCACGCAAGAGCAGAACGGCGTAGGAAAAAAAAAAGGTGAGTAAACTCACCTTTTCATGACAATCTGAACAGGCCAGTCACCTTAACAGCCACACCAGTCCTATATAGTCAGGAATATAGGTTTGTATTCCTGACACTATTGTGTTTCTTTAATTAAGTGGTTTTGGTGTTTAGATCACGTCCCTGTAGTCTCACTGCTCTATTCTTGGCAATTTAAGAGTAAAATCATTCGGTTTATGCAGCCATAGTTACACCTCTCTTGGCTGTGACTCATGTAGCCAAGAAGAAAACAAATGTTTTAACATTTTTCACAGCACAGTGTGTTTACCTTAAAAGTTCTTAACTCCTGCTCTGGTTTTCTAATTGTATCTTAATCATGCACAGGAGGCTCCCGTGGGATCTAGCTGGCTATTAACAGAGCAGGAGATGAGAACTGCAAAATTAAAAAAACACCCTGTGCAATAAGGGGAGTTAAAATGTAGACTATTTTCCAGGAAGTGTGTAGGGAGGGCTGCATTATTTGAATTGATATAAGCAAAGTGATCTAACTCCTAAATAGCAGAGAATTGAGCTGCGAGACTGCAGGGGCACGATCTATACACTAAAACTGCTTCATTAAGCTAAAGTGGTTTTGGTAGTTATAAAGGCTAATTAAGTGTTCTTGCATAGCAAGACCACTTAATGTTATCTCACATATATATTATTATTAAGTGTTCTTGCATAGCAAGACCACTTAATGTTATCTCACATATATATATATTATTATAGCAAAATTTGCCACCCTAACTCCTCCCACATTTTTTACACTACATAGACAAAAATTTAAAGCTCTTCGCTGTAGGATTTATAGTTTTTAAGATACGACCGTTTGAAGATGGCAACCGCCAAAATACTCTGACCTGTGCCAGGCTGCAGCAGCAAGTGATGTCATAGACAGGGCCTTTTGAACACCTACTAATGTTTTTATAAATGTATGGTTTAATGTAACTGTGCAACAACGTTGCAATTAAATGTGCTATATAAATAATAACAGTTACTCCGCCCACTCCAGTTGTAGACTACTGGTGGAGGCAAGAACACTTCACACAATTTCCCCAGAAATTGTAGCTTTTCTAGTTAAGAAATGTTTTTCTATCTTGACACATACTTTCTGACCTATGCATTAGATATGCCACCACTGAACTTGTTCAGACAGGTTGCGATTCATTAAGTGTGTTCATTCCTCATCATACTTCTTTTGGTGTAGTTATATTACATGGCTTCCTGTTTTCTGATTGTTAATGGTATTGTTTTTGATTGAGAATTATTAAATAAATCATGTTTTTAAAAAAATATGACTATGATGTATGGCTACTGTATAATTATTAGAATTGCTGGCCAACATTGTTGCTGGATGTTTGCTACCCCTGCAATAGGAGGACAATTTGTCACAATCCTGACTTGCTATGGCAGCAATGTAAAAAATTCTAACAATTATTGAAATTATCTAAATAAAAATAAAATAAAAAAAAAGCATGGAGAAATAAGCTGACTAGCAGGTTTAGGTTTCTGCATCTCCTTTCCATCTAAACAAATGTTAGTTTGGTGTCATGTTTTTACCTTCCCAGCCCACGTTCTTCCAGGCAGACCCAGTAGGAGTGCGCTAACCACCATACCCAAGTGAGGAGGCACCAGAGAGCCAGTTTGTTGCTTGGCAATGGATGCCATGGCTGCTGCTCCCTGAGCCTTCATTTTCCAAGATGGTGACTGCAAAGCTTTCTGGGTAATGGCAATCAGTTCCTTCATGTATAAACGAATACCACCACTGATGCTCCCTGAATAAAACACAATAACTATTATTACTACAGCAGAAAAACGTACCTTACATACTTATAATGGATACTTTCCTCTCCAGGCTTTACAGTTTGCACAGGGACTTTGAAAGGAAACAGCACTCACCATGATTACAAATCATCATGGTCTACTGGTGGCTGTCTCCTGCTTGTGAGATCTGTCTCTTTACAAATATTCATACTGCAGAGACACTACATATATAGCAAAAGCCTAAAATACCTGCCCCGTCAGATACGTAAAATGACAGTGAGACTTTGATACCAACAAGCTAGGAGCTACGCGATATTTAATACTTGCTCTCATATCGGCATTTCAACACTGAACTAATTACGCCAACAGTTAAAATGTATAAATTAGCTTATATTGCAGAATATGGTAAGCTGGATACAAGTATGAATGAAAAAAAAAAAAAATATCAAATCAGTTTGGTTTCTGTAGTGCCGTGCTCCAACATTTTGTACGTAAGTGTGAAATTGAGAAGAGGGCACACAGAGAGAAACACAACACATGGTTACAATTATCACATGTCCTGAATAAGGGCAGTACATGATTTGTATGTACTGCTGTCAGCATACAAGTCAGTAATTGTTGATTATGTACATATTAAGTGAGTGTACAACCTTTTATTTATTTATTTATTTATTTTTAATTAAGGGTAGCCTAGAACAGCATTTAAATAAAGTCATGATCCAGCAAGCCTCCAGTTTAAGAAGTGATACTTTATTGTGGCAAGTAAACGCTTGAGCATGATTTCACAAATAATAGCGAACTGGTAAAAATGTCGCCACTCATTCATTTGCCACAGTGAAGAAATACTAATCAAACGCGAGTGCTGGATCATTACTTTACTTGTATGCTTGATCTGGACTGTCGATCACTGTCACTGTGCACCCACCTTGCGTATATCCAAAATTAAAAGCTCAGCACATTAATATTTTTTTTTTTTTAACATTGCATTGTCTTTTCCACTGACTACTTTATGTTCCCACCACAGCAGGTATATTTAGTACATTAAGCTAATTTGTGTTAAATCTGAGTGTCTGTTTATTTGATAATATATGTATATATGAATTGACAGTAAGCGCTAGAAACTTAAAATTTTCACATTAGACAGTGAGAATATTTGCCCACAATTCCCCCCAAACTTAGCACTGGAAAAGCTGGATTTACTCATAATAACTAGTGTAAGTATAGGAAAGAAAAGCGTTATCTGAAGGTTCTAGGATTCCAAACGTCAATATCTAGGGTTCTTTCCTACAAGTTACCATCGTACCTGGCACATTTTCCTGCCATACTTCTTTCCAAAGACTAGAATCATCTTTCTCTCCTTTTTCTTCATCTGAAACTTCATGCATAGCCAGAAAGGCCAGTGGCAAAACCACTGCAGAATGGTTCTTTAAAACATCTGGACTGTAACGGCTGATAGCATGAACGGTTAACGTGCAACCGGTCCTGTATGGCGCTTCTTTAGGGAGAGAAAATAAATAAATAATGAATATTAAAAAATTTGCTTTGTAAAAATTTACGGAACACGCAAAACAATATAACAAGATAAGGGACAAGAAATCTTGATTCAGTATCCTGTAAGATGAATGGTCACACAAAGAGTAGATTGGCTATGAAAGTTACCCAAATCTGCAAGTTATTACTTTAGAACATTTGGTGATTACAGAGTGCTGGCAATATGCAAATTTAAGCATACTGATCATTTATAGGCATCATCAAGAGGAAGAAATAGGGCAAGATACTAAACAGATGCAAGGTAGGGTTTAAGATTTACTAGGAGAAGCCGCTCCAATGTACATTGTGAATATATACACAATGCATCACCCAAAATGGATAGATCTACCTTTTGCTATATAAAATACCAATAATTAATTCCGTAGACTTTGCCTTCCTGACATTCAAACTCCATAATGATCTGTTCTCCTTGCATAGGTCTTGGTGGAAGAATTCCCCCTGCCCTCCTTCATTACGGCTGCAGCAATTAGCACAAATTATAATACAGGAGTTGTAATCTTGCCGTGCTGTTTGACATCCTAGAGCGGGGCTAGGCAACCTTCGGCAATCCAGATGTTGTGGACTGCATCTCCCTTGATGCTTTGCCAGCATTATCTCGGTAAGAAAACTCTGGGAGATGTAGACCACAAAATCTGGAGTGCCGAAGGTTGCCGATCCATGGTAGAGGAAAGCTAGGTTCCTGTGATTCACACAAGATTTTGAAGACATTTTGCTCTTTCCATCAGGCAACATAATATACTAACAGTTCAATATGGACAACAGTGCTTAACTTACCTTCTTTTTCCATATACCAAGTGCATAATTTCTGTAGTAGTTTTTCAGTGCTACTATCCCTTGCGGTCTGTAAAAAGTTTATAAAGGAGAGCACATTAGGATTTACAAGAATAACAAATATTGTCAAAATTACTGGGACCCTATCTGTGTGGACACTTACCCGAACTAAATGGCCCAATGCAAAGGCATACGATTTCTGTACCACACTGTTGCGATCACTAAGTCCATTTAATAAAGCACTCATGAGTTTACCTAAACATGAACAGGAGAAAAGAAATAAAATGAAACACAATTATCGTGTCCACCTCAAAAATTAAAGAAAAAATAATTAATTGGGTGCAGGAAAAGGATATTGTGCAAATGTGCAGAGAAAGAGGCATTTTCAGTAAATATAAATAGACAGAATGTGCAACGACAATTTTAGGGCAAAATTCTTAAAACAGACAAAGCAGAGGTAATATTCCAATGGTTTCCATGGAGATTTTTTCCACTTTTAGAACTTTTGACCAATAACTGCTCTTTATAAAAGGAGCATCAAATGGTGAACTGCACAATTATATAAAATAATTATTTAAGATTACCAGTGACCAGTAAGGTTTGCTTTTTTATTCATTGAACACAAACAATCCTATCAATCCAATTAAAGTAAGGCAAACACAGCTGCCATGGTTTTGTCATTAATCTGAGTGTATACAACCACATACCACATCCATACAAACAAACGGTACAATTTCAGCAGAATTAGAACGTACCAGAGTAAGGCATCAAGTCCTGTGGACACTGAGTTGTGAGGGATACAACGACACTAGCACAGCCACCCTTTAACATAAACCAGGAAGGAAAAAGTAATGGATCCAATTAGTTACATAGAAAATAAATAAAAAACTAACATATTATAGTGACAATCCAATACTGAAACTTAGATCATCAACATCCAGCACATGCAAGTGGGAAGGAGTGGATCATTCAAAATCAGGTAAGCACAATTATCCACAGTGCATGGGATCTGTAATACACCTTGTTCTTCCTCTACAGGGAAATGAAAGGTGGGGAAAAAACTAAAAACTAAAGTCAAACTTTTTTTCTTCTTTTTTTACTGCCTTTTAAGCCTGTCTTCCAGGAGACACAAATTATTGAGAAGGTGTCATATGATGTCAGAATGCAGAACTAGTTTAAACCAATACATGATTAGTAAAATAAAAGAAGTCTAAATGCTACCCAGCAAAATGTCATACGTATAGCATTAATAGCTTAGTACCCAATAAGTATAGCATTAATACCTTAGTACCCAATAAGTATAGCATTAACACCTTAGTACCCAATACGTATAGCATTAATACCTTAGTACCCAATAAGTATAGCATTAACACCTTAGTACCCAATACGTATAGCATTAATACCTTAGTACCCAATAAGTATAGCATTAATACCTTAGTACCCAATAAGTATAGCATTAATACCTTAGTACCCAATAAGTATAGCATTAATACCTTAGTACCCAATAAGTATAGCATTAACACCTTAGTACCCAATAAGTATAGCATTAACACCTTAGTACCCAATAAGTATAGCATTAACACCTTAGTACCCAATAAGTATAGCATTAATACCTTAGTACCCAATAAGTATAGCATTAACACCTTAGTACCCAATATGTATAGCATTAACACCTTAGTACCCAATAAGTATAGCATTAACACCTTAGTACCCAATATGTATAGCATTAACACCTTAGTACCCAATAAGTATAGCATTAACACCTTAGTACCCAATATGTATAGCATTAACACCTTAGTACCCAATATGTATAGCATTAACACCTTAGTACCCAATATGTATAGCATTAACACCTTAGTACCCAATACGTATAGCATTAATACCTTAGTACCCAATATGTATAGCATTAATACCTTAGTACCCAATATGTATAGCATTAACACCTTAGTACCCAATACGTATAGCATTAATACCTTAGTACCCAATATGTATAGCATTAACACCTTAGTACCCAATAAGTATAGCATTAATACCTTAGTACCCAATAAGTATAGCATTAATACCTTAGTACCCAATAAGTATAGCATTAATACCTTAGTACCCAATATGTATAGCATTAACACCTTAGTACCCAATATGTATAGCATTAACACCTTAGTACCCAATATGTATAGCATTAACACCTTAGTACCCAATATGTATAGCATTAACACCTTAGTACCCAATACGTATAGCATTAATACCTTAGTACCCAATATGTATAGAATTAACACCTTAGTACCCAATAAGTATAGCATTAACACCTTAGTACCCAATAAGTATAGCATTGATACCTTAGTACCCAATACGTATAGCATTAACATCTTAGTACCCAATACGTATAGCATTAATACCTTAGTACCCAATACGTATAGCATTAATACCTTAGTACCCAATACGTATAGCATTAATACCTTAGTACCCAATATGTATAGCATTAACACCTTAGTACCCAATAAGTATAGCATTAATACCTTAGTACCCAATAAGTATAGCATTAATACCTTAGTACCCAATAAGTATAGCATTAATACCTTAGTACCCAATATGTATAGCATTAATACCTTAGTACCCAATGTGTATAGCATTGATACCTTAGTACCCAATGTGTATAGCATTGATACCTTAGTACCCAATGTGTATAGCATTGATACCTTAGTACCCAATGTGTATAGCATTAACACCTTAGTACCCAATGTGTATAGCATTAACACCTTAGTACCCAATAAGTATAGCATTAATGCCTTAGTACCCAATAAGTATAGCATTAATACCTTAGTACCCAATATGTATAGCATTAATACCTTAGTACCCAATGTGTATAGCATTGATACCTTAGTACCCAATGTGTATAGCATTGATACCTTAGTACCCAATGTGTATAGCATTGATACCTTAGTACCCAATGTGTATAGCATTGATACCTTAGTACCCAATGTGTATAGCATTGATACCTTAGTACCCAATGTGTATAGCATTAACACCTTAGTACCCAATGTGTATAGCATTGATACCTTAGTACCCAATATGTATAGCATTAATACATTAGTACCCAATATGTATAGCATTAACACCTTAGTACCCAATATGTATAGCATTAATACCTTAGTACCCAATGTGTATAGCATTGATACCTTAGTACCCAATATGTATAGCATTGATACCTTAGTACCCAATATGTATAGCATTAACACCTTAGTACCCAATGTGTATAGCATTGATACCTTAGTACCCAATATGTATAGCATTAATACATTAGTACCCAATATGTATAGCATTAACACCTTCGTACCCAATATGTATAGCATTAATACATTAGTACCCAATAAGTATAGCATTAATACCTTCGTACCCAATATGTATAGCATTAATACATTAGTACCCAATAAGTATAGCATTAATGCCTTAGTACCCAATGTGTATAGCATTGATACCTTAGTACCCAATGTGTATAGCATTGATACCTTAGTACCCAATGTGTATAGCATTGATACCTTAGTATCCAATAAGTATAGCATTAACACCTTAGTACCCAATATGTATAGCATTAATACCTTAGTACCCAATAAGTATAGCATTAACACCTTAGTACCCAATATGTATAGCAGTAACACCTTAGTACCCAATATGTATAGCATTGATACCTTAGTACCCAATATGTATAGCATTAATACCTTAGTACCCAATAAGTATAGCATTGATACCTTAGTACCCAATAAGTATAGCATTAATACCTTAGTACCCAATAAGTATAGCATTGATACCTTAGTACCCAATAAGTATAGCATTAATACCTTAGTTCCCAAACCAAGCCCACTTTTGATCAAGTCGCACAGCCTTGGAATAAGCTCTGCCAGGACGGGGACATCCAGATGCTGTATGCACTGAAAACACAAACAACAAACCCATTGATGTGTAAAGCAGCTGCACACGTTTTCACATTTATTTCCTGGACACAAACACCAATCAAGGTATTCACTAAACTCCAAACTTTAACAAATTAAACCTAAAATGTAAAATGGAGCCTAAAATATTTTTTCCAGGTCAGCTATTTTATCCTCAGTTTTGTAGTTCAGAATTAATTCAATATGGTTTGGAGTAGAGTGAATTATCTTGTAATGTAAAGACTCTGCTACTATGGAATACAGCCAGTACAAACAGGTGATTGTCATTCATTCAGTCTAGGGGAATAAAATCTTTCTTTTAAATATTGTGCTGCTGGTCTCCCAGAACTAGAACAGTGATATAGAATTAAAGGGACACGATAGTGTAATGGTATTTATTAATTAATGACTTTACATCATAAAGAAAGCATATTTAGTGTAATGCTTTGGGGGCATCACTAGGGGCAGTGTGTAGAAAGACATGTGCTTCTGGCAGTGACATCACAGGCCAGCCTGCTTACACTGAATAAAACCAGATGGAGGAGAAAACTCTGTCTCTTTGCCTGTAACTGACTGAACCTAAGATGTAGTACCAGCTCTGACTTAACCCCAGCCAAAGGGCTGGGGCCTTGTAAGTAATATGAATCCATTGTAACATTTAGCAACTGTTATAGCCTTTTGTGTAACATTTAGTTTTGTATTGTATAATTATTGTGGTAAATTGACATTCCACTAGCATCTGTTTATTTATTATAGTTATATAAAATATACATTTAATATTACAACGTTTTGTGTATTTTCTATCCACATATTCGACCATAATACCATGAATTATAAAAATATTAATGTTGTTCCGTATTGCTTCATTATTATGTATTAAGAGATTAATATTCATATTTAGGTCACGACCACAACAGATAGTCACTAGAACCACTACAGCTTAACAGTCGTTTTGGGGTCTATAGCCTGTCCCTGTAGTGCAGTGCGGTCCAACCTGCGCCCCCCCAGGATGTTGCTTAACTACAACGCCCATGGTTCCCTGGCTATCTGTTTCATTGAAAGATTCATGGGAGCTGTAGTTCAGCAACATCTGGGGGGCCGCAGGTTGGACAGGCCTTTTCACTGTGCCTTACACTGCCTAGTAACACCTCTAGTGACAGTAACTCTGATGGCCTCCAGAGTTGCAGTGTGCAGCAATGGCATTCAGCATCTCCATGTTGTGCATGGAGACACTAAATATTACTCATAGAGATGCACGGATTCAATGAATCGCTATGAGGAGATACTAATTGACGCAGTGCGTCTTGCCGCGCATGGGGTGTAGCCTCCCAATGGTTTCCATGTAGGGCGAGGCAGCCAGAGCAAGCATGGTGAGGGACAAAGTGTGAGTAAAATCACCTTTTTGCTGCAAAGGGAAGAGGGAGTTCCTTTAACCAATTAGAACAAAGCACTGAGTAACAGCATGTCAGATCAAGGTACCAAGTCTAGTCTAGAATTCATCTCTTGCAAGATATTGTGCAGACATGATATGATGGACTTTTGCCACACAAAAAAAAAAAGAAAAAAAAAGAAGAAGTGGGGTTTCTTACCATATTTATGGTTTCCATCATTGGTGATGATTTTGCAGCACTCAGTCTCGCACTGTCCATTGCAGCCTGCACAAATATAAATTGATAAAACAGGCAGCATGTAACCAAAATAAAGAGTATGCAAATCGCTATAACAGCATTATACTGTGAAACTTAAACATCCAAGCAAAAAGAACTAGAAATACAATGGCGACCAATAGTTATTTCATCCATGTCAGGAAGAGAAGATTCTCAGTAAAGTGGAGACCAGGTCAATCCATCTCAAGGTGTAGATTTTAAATGGAATTGCAAGAATCACTCCCAAAGAGTCCCTGACCTCTCCACAAGTTTGCTTTGGACATCAGGTAACCTGAGTGGGTTATTTCTGTTCTAAGAAACATTAGAATGTGGTCTGATAGAGAGAGGATGGCGACTGCGTTATTAGAAACGGGGAAGGGCAAGTAGAAAGGCTCAAGATTTTAGGGTCAGTAGACTAGTATGGTACGGATATTAGAAAATCTAATCTATGGCAGTGTTGGAAAAGGTATTGAAAGTGTGGATTGCAACAAGGACACCAATATTTTTTAAGGGAGTTAAATGTCAAGTCAACCACTATCACAATCATATTAACAGAATAATAAATCTTGTTGTGGAGGGATAGCATTCCATGTTGCAGCTTATGTTTGACCAGGAAGAAACAGCATAAATGTGATAAGCCCTAAACTTTATGTAGAACGACATATGTAAGTAAATCAAAGAAAGACCGGGAATCTGTACTACTAATGACTGGAGATTCATACATTTCTGGGCAACATGTTCATTTTTGATACATTCAAACTGCCCATCAAAGTTACATGTGGGAGAGTCAATTTGCAGAGGATAGCAAGGATTGTATGAAACTGTAGAAACAAGTATTTTTCTGATTGTCGGTGAGAAAGGTAGATTTGCATTTTTTCCCCCCTTTCTTAACTCACCTTCTCTTGATCTGTAGCTCTCAGACTCAAATAGTTGAGAACTTGAGGTTCCAGAACACTCAAGGCCTCTAGCAAAGCTGGGATGAGTTTTGGAGTATGAGGCTTCAACAGCTCGCCGGCACTTTTGCTAATTTTAACGAGTGTGTTGATGCTGAACAGAGGAGAGGGAGACGTGAAATAATGCAGTTTAACACTGTGCAAACATACTGGTGAAAATAACTTGTATTTAATTTAAAAAAAAAAAAAATTGTAAGCTATAGAAAGTGTCATGGTATTCAGAAAAAAATATTTTAATCTCATGGAGAAATGTATGCTGAATTGCTCTGACATACCACCACAAGTGTTGTGTATTTCAAAAAGATTACAGAGGAGCTGGGCTTAGATACAGATAAGAAAAGCTAGGCATATTTTGCTAAAAATATATCTGTAACAAAAGAATGATTAATGTATTGGATTTAACATTTGAAATCTGTACAGCAGCGGTTCACAAACTGTGTGCACACAGGAGTGCAGCGGAATATTTCCCCCGGTGCTAGGATTATAGCTGCAGGGAGACAGCATGCGAGAGAGTGGAGGCAGCCGCACCATGATGGGAGGGGAGCATGAAGAGCTCCAGACTCCTCATTCCTACAGCAGCATGACTCCAAGCCACCCTCCTGGCAAATAAGGTAAGCAAACAGGAGGGTGGCTGGAGATATAGATATATATTTATATATATATATATATATATATATATATATATATATATATATATATATATTTTTTTTTTATTCACTTGTATCTGAGTGTGTGTGTGTGTGTATATATATATATATATATATATATACACACACACACACAAAATATATATATATATATATATATATATATATATATATATATATATATATATATATATATATATATATATATATATATATATAGAGAGAGAGAGAGATAAGTGTGCTTCTGTGTCTGTCTGGTCGCACACATCTGTGTATGTGCATCTGTGAGTCAGGGTAGGTGTTTTTATGGCAGTGTGTATCTGTGTCATGGTGTGGGCATGTATGAATGTTGGCGTGTTAGGGTGCATGTGTGTATCAAGGTGTGTGTATGTGTCGGTGTCTATATGAATTTGTGTGTATGTGTCGGTGTATTTATATGCATCTGTGTGTTAATGTGAATGAATATCTGTGTAAGCAGTCAAACACCAGCACAACATTTAAACACACCCCTTCACTCAAACACAAATACTTCACACAAATGTACATCTGCATTTAAAAGTGAACATTGCATTCAGACACACCCCTACAATCAAACATTACACACAAACAAACCCCTGTATTAAAACACAATAAATTTACACAAGCACCCCTTCAAACACCAACACTGTACATTACACTATAACGACAGTAAATGCCGCAGCGCTGTACAGATACGCAACCTAGAAATTTTGACTTGGGGAGCCTTGGAAAAATACTAAAATATTAAGGGCGCCTTGAACCTAAAAGGTTTGGGAAGCACTGCTGTAGAGTAAAATAGCTTCCCTTTCACCTCCTATTTTCTAAGACTGTTGGCACAGTCAATTGATTTTGTATTAAGCTCCCCACACTTAAAATAAATTATATTAAAAAAAAAATAATAATAATTCTAGAAAATCACTTACCTCAGTGCCCTAACTTCTGTTACCGAACTCATCATTCCTTTATCGAGGAGACATGGCAAAAGGACAGCAATTATTTTTTGGCCCGCCGATCCCCTGCTGGGCTCACACATCCTAATGCACACCTTTAAAAAAGTGAATATTTATAGCTTTAATACTTCTACTTATTTTGCACATAGGGAAGATGTTTCCAGACACTGAAAAATAACACTTTAGAATATGCAGTGTAATATCTGCAAATACAGATTTATCTAAAAACGAAAGTACAACCAATATAAAGTATTAACCTGTAACGCCATGGCAGTATTAGCTAATGGCTTGCTACAAAACAGAAAATACAGAGGGGAAAACAAAACCGTTACATTTGTATAAATAGTCATCAAAAGTCAAGTCTTTCTTTTTCATCTTTCACAGCAGTTAGCATGAAGCCACAATTGTTTTTATTTTAAATCCTTTATTTTGTCATGCTTGGTTTAACGGTTACGATACAGCAAATGTTTCAAGGAAATCTAATATTTCTCATGGTGACAGGCATACAAGGTTAGCAATTTTGTAGAACTTTTTTGGTATAACTAGGTTCAGAGACAGACCCAGGGCAAACTTGAGTTGAACAGGTTTAACAATTAGCGTTTGCGGTGCTCCTGGGATACTCCGGGTTTGGGTCATTAGGCATGCTTGTCTTCGAGAAGGTGTGGGGGCATACTTGAACATGTGTGTGTGACGTGACATGTCAGGGAATGCGTGCTTGGTGAAAGCCAGCTGTTGTGTGTCAGAAGGGTGCAGTGTGTATTGCACTGGACTAGGCTGTGTGTTTATTGGTTGGCACGTTTTCAAAGTACAGGAGTAATGGTCTGGCTTTCTAGTTGTGACCCCTATCCCTGGGGATGAGGGGGCGGATTAAGTTAGTAAGACGCCACTTGTCTCTAGGGAGCCTGGGGGTTCAGGTTTCTGTGTTGGAGGAGGGCCAGCTTTTGATAAGCCTTACATGCTTTAGCCCATATGACTCTTGTTTTGGGGGGTATGGGAGTCCCCTTGTGTGTTTGATAAATGTCTTGTATAAACGCAAATAACAAATGTAAGAACATATAAAAAAAAAAAAGAAAAAAAAAAAAGGTGTATATAAAAGAACATTGTGGTTAGTGTATTCTTGGTCTTCACATGGCAGATCACACCTCTGGGTGTCTCAGTCCCTGTATTGTTACACAGTGTAGTATGACATCCTGGGAAGTGTTGGGTGAGATGTGGACAGAGCTTGTCACACGGTATATCCCATCCATGGTGATTTTCTTTGCGACCGGTTGTGACAGTATGGAAGACAGGAGGCACTGAATGTAATGCGGCAGCTCTTTAGTAGTGACTGTGTTGGGTACTCCATGGATTTTGATGCAGCGTTGCTGGTCTTCAAGAGACATTTGGGCCACCAGTACTTGTTGTTCTGCATGTAGTTGTTGGACTGAGTCCTGCAAGGTGGTCACAGTAGTGTGGACGTTTGCAATGTCGTTTTCTGTGGTTGTAACTCGGTTGTATATCCCTTTTGACCAGGGCTACATCAGCAGCTAGTAGCTTCTGTATATCCAGCAGGAGTAGATCCCCTTTAGTGGTGGTGGATGAGCATTCTGCGGATACTGGGGTGGTGGTACATTCAGCCTGGGGAGTCTGCGTGTTTGGGGGTGCCCCTCTGTCTGATTCTGGAGTGGAGGCCATGTTTGGTGGGTGGTCTGTGTGCTCGGGCTGTGCTAATTGTAGCCACATTTCCCCCAATGTCCCTAGCTTGTAGGTGTGCAGACGGTCGTGTTAGGCGGGGAATAGGTAGGGTAGCTGCAACCCTCTCCCGATCTGCATAGAAGCGCCTCGAGGCTCAGGAGTGGCGTTGCGCGTTAGGCTGCAGATTAGCACCGCTGCCTGGGTTGCTTGGCAGCCTGGAAGAAAGGCATCAATCAGTTCGGCTCGCCTTTGTGGAGCCAGGTAGATGCTTTTCATGGTCGGATGGGCACTGAGAACGGTGATATTCCTCCGATTTTGCCGGGCTATCGGAGATCGGATTAAAATGGCGTCTCATCAAAATGGCTGTCAGGCTCTGCCCCCGAAGCCACATTTTTAAAGCCAAGATTTTATGCTACCCATGTCACTAATTTTGTAGGCCCGGAGTTCAGACTTGTCTCCCGGAAAATCCAGTATACAGCACAAATACAACTCCCTTCTACCGACTTGAACCCTCTCCATGAGGAGATGACTATGGTGAGTAAAGAAGCCTCAGTTTAAAAGAACACTCCTCCCCATTATAATTTATGGGGGGCATGAGTGTCAAGGTGTTGCCTTATCTTTAGGCTTTAAACTGTTTAAAACTGGGGCTACAAAGCCCAACATTGCGGCCCCCTGCTTCCTTCCTCCTGTCAAGGTAAGACAATGCCCGGACACTCTTGATCCAATAATTTCAGTGCTCTGAAGTTATTATGGAGTGGAACATTCGTTTAAGTATGTTAGGCTGTCAGTTTTTCATATTTCTATTTGCCAGTGAAACTCTAAATTTCTGTAAGGGTAGTTTCTCTTATTATAGATACCCTATCATGGCAATAAAAAGGTTAACATTAAGAGAGCATCTAGGAAAGTTCTATGTTGGATGTGGGATTTTTGTAGAAATAAATAAAAAAAAAAAAAATAAAAAAAATAATAACTTGAAAGCGGAAAGAATGTGAACACAGAGTATATACCTTGCTTAATGTTTTCAGGGCCAATTCTGCGGCTTTCCGGACAGATTCCTGTTTATAAGAGGCAAATATTAAAAACAATTAATACAAATGTACTACTGGAAAACGGCACCCTTTTCATGGCCTAAGAATCCGGAATCTGCAGGTATATGCAGGGGTTTCATATAAAGCTTGGTATGACACAAAACAAAATCCAGCCCAGCTGCATTGCCCAGTGGTTATTGTTACTAAGCAAACAGTCACTTGACACAGCCTGATTTGTCTTATGTCGTCTTTGTTACTTTTTTTAAAAAATTTTGTTATGACTCGGTTCATCGACTTGACACACTGATTAATCTTGTGTAAAAAAATATTTTAAAAAATAGTGCAGCCTCTCTTGACATTGCATGTTGTACTTCTGTATCTGCTCTTACTGTTCACATGTATACCATATGTCAATTACTACTTATGCAATTTTCACTGCACTACAAAACAAAAAAAGCCCATCTGCTCAATGTATTCATAGTGTTTGTAAATCTCAAGACTGAAAATATGTGTAAAAAAATAATGATGGCAAAGGGATCACAATTTTAACTGCTACATGTGTTCCTTAATTTTAATTTGAAATTAAGTGAGAATGCAACTATGGAGGACCCAATAATTTAGATCCCAACTAAAAATGGTTGAAGATACTTCAGAAATTATTTTCTTTGGAAACCCGAACTAATTATAGAAAGAAATAAGATTAACTTTAAATTCTCAGGTTTGGATGTCAGAATTGCCATGTTTTACCTTTATATCATCCTGGACTCTGAATAAGGTCTCCCATATCTCAGGAAGGGTTTCAACGACATCATCCAGTTGGCGGCCACGGAGCAGGTCATTAAGAGCTAAACAGCTGAAAGGAAAATGGTCAAATTAACAATCACTTCTCTGCTAGACCAGGGATAGGCAACCAGATGCTGTGGACTAGATCCCCCATAATGCTCCTACACCCATAATGCTGACAAAGCATCATGGGAGGTGTAGTCCAAGACATCTGCAGTTCCAAAGGTTGCCTATGCCTGTGCTAGACTCTTGTGGTTTCTAATAAAATCTAGGCTTTGAGTAACTTGACAGGCAATACATGTTTGAAAATTTCAATTTAATTCAATGTATGCTTTACTTTGGAGTTGAGCGCACACAGGGTCTCCTCCAGACAATTTACTTATGTGACACGACTGCTTTATTTACCTTGACTCACGGATCCTCCAAAGATTGCTTGTCATATTATTGATCAGGTCTTGAAGAATCTCCGGTAAATATTTATCTACCTGGTGTATTAAAAATAAAGTCGTTTGAGGTTTGTGTAGTGACATGGAAAATTTTTATTACTGTAAAGGAAATAGTATTTGGTAATTGAGAGAAAATGGCAACTTCAACAGATTTTTAAATGTCTTTTTGGTCCATAAAAATGAAATCAGAGAAATGTATGAAACCAGAGATCCAATGGAAGTGTTTTACACCATTAAAAGTGTATGTGCTTTCATCGAAACTATAATCTGCATTTAATGTATTGTTGGTAAATAAAATGTCTTTGCATAGACTAGAATACAAAAAAAAAAAAAAAAAAAGGATCAGGGATATATTAGTACATCTTGTCAAATTAGATTAATGTGCGTTATTTATGGGTATGGCCAAATCCAAAGAATAAAGAGGTCAAAATTAAATACAACTGTGATATTTTCAATTGCCCTTAGTTGAGCAGTTTGAAAGTAAGTAACACTGAAAATCTGAAACACATTCTTTATAACTCCATAGGTACTTACAAGTGTCTTGTCAGTGACCAATGCATTCCAAATGCTGGTCATAGCCTGGCGAATTCCAGTGTTTGGGTCAAACTGGTAACGATAGAGACGCGGAACTAGCTGGGGTAGAAATGGAGCGAGCTGCTCTCCGGCCTTGGTAGCAATCACATTAAAACCAAAAGCTGCACCCTAGTAATTGAGAATTAACAGACATTCACAATGAGCACACCAGACAGTTTAAAGCACTAAACAACATGGCAATTATCACAAAAAGCTCAGAGGATCCCAAAATTAATATTTCAAGAAACTCTGTGCTGTCTGTTTTAGTGAAGCAAGAACAGATCTCTAATGCTGAAAAACCTTGCCCTCACCCCAATCATAGTCACTGTAAGAACGTTACCTTTCGTGATGTCCACATTGCATGATGATTTGCCAGGTTCATGAACTTGTATACAAGGTCAGGCTGACTGAGGTCACTGGCTAATGCACACAGCTCTTTGTATGTAGACAACCCCTGTCTTTGGAAAACATGAAAAGATAACTCGTTATTTATTATATCTTTTTGAACTTCAGTTCTGACTTGTCACCACTCAATATAAATGAAAATTCAGTCCTAAAGTTTCTGTGCTGCATAAGTGTGTGTTTGTGTATTGTAGTGTGGCACTGTGCATCAGAATGTGTGTGTAAGTATATGTGTATAGTATATATCATGGGGGCATGTCTCCGTGTGTGCCTGTCAATCCTTATCTTTGCTTGTGTTTGGTGGTGTGTATGTGTGTGTTAAGTTTTTACCTCTATGTACGTCTTCAGCCATGTGTGTCTGGGAGGAGCTTGACCAATGGGGCTTCAAGGGACCCAAATAGTTCTAATGATAGCCCTGCATCTATTTGTATATCCAGACTAACCTTGATCCTGTAGATGTTGGCAAACTATTTTTCATATAATATAGAAAATAAATATTGATCCAGGCACTCAAGGAGAAAATCCAAAATAGCAGCCTTTTTTAGAGCAAAACAACAGCAACGTCTTTTCCAGGATCAATGCCTGGATCAATATTTATTTTCTATATCTGGAAATAAGACCTGGTCATCCTCAGGTCCTGAGTACCCTGGAAGCCTGGAGAGTGCGGTATCCATTATCTTTTCTATTTTTCACATAATGTCAGCCTTAAAGCTTGTAGTTTGCTAGATTTCTGTTATGCCAAGGTAAGACATTGTTCTATCATAAGTAACCAGGGCCGGTGCGTCCATAATGCGGCACAAGCAGCCACCTTAGGGCGCCAGAGCAGGGGGGCGCAAAAATCCAAATCCCCTGCCTCTGGCTTTGGACTCTGATTTTTCAACTCACCTGTCTCTCTGCAGCCAGTGAAGTTGGCCGTCCCCTACCTGATGATGTCAGGAGGAGGAGGCGTGACGTCCACTGCTCTTCTCCCAGACTGCTGGGGACTCTGGGAGAAGAGCAGTGTAAGTCACACACCTCTTCCTCACATCATCAGGAGAGGCCGGCCGACTTCACTGGCTGCATATTGAAGCAGGCTCCAGGTCCTGTTCCCCCTTCCCTGACCCAAGGTAAGCTTCATGGAAGGGGGGTGGTGGGGAATTGTAATACAAAAAAAAAAAAAAAATGTAACCCCCTAAAGGACACGTGACATGTGTGACATGTCATGATTCCCTTTTATTCCAGAAATTTGGTCCTTACGGGTTTAAGCAGCCCCACCACTACTCCTGTGCACTCCTATACACACCTAAGCCCCCACCGTCCTTTACAGCCCATGTGCCAGCTCCTGTGGCCCCCTTTCAACTCCTGCCGCCCCCCCGCCTTTGTCCCCCTCTCAGTCCCTGCCCCACTCTATAGCAGGTGTCTACTTCCTCAGCTGTAGGACAGTATCTGAATGTCTCTGTATGACAGTGTCTGAATATCTGTGTGTGTGTGTGTCTGTGTTTGTATGACGTACTTGTATGTGTAGATTGGTATGACTGTGTGCCTGTATTTGTTTGATTGTATGGTTGCGTGTTGCTATATATCTATGTCTATTAGGCATGAGGAAAGAAGACACACAAAGGGCACTGGGGAGGAGAAAGAGACACAAAGGGGCCGAGGAGGAGAAAGAGACACACAAAGGGGCTGAGGAGGAGAAAGAGACACACAAAGGGGCTGGGGAAAGTAATAGACACACAAGGGGAGTTGTAATAGACACACAAGAGGGTGTAAGACATTGTAAAGGAGGGCTAAAATACGCTAAAGAGAGCAAGAAATTCAAAACAGAGGTTACAAGACACACAGGTGAAGACGCAATTGGAAGGGGGTGGGGGGGGTTGCATCTTTGCCTATGTAGCCAAAATTCCTTGCACAGCCCTGTAAGTAACAACGCCAAAAATAGCGTTTAATGGGTATCAGACTACATTGCATTTTTCTTACTAAATGTATCAATCATGTTTTACTACAGAGCTTTGACCTACCCATCCGGGGTCTTTCCAAGAGATGTGCCTTGAAACAACTCTGTGTCTCCAGAAACCTCATGCTTGGCTCTGGAGAGGAAAAAAAAAATTTTTTTTAAAAATGGACTTTTAGGTTTTCATTCATCAGCAGTAATTAGATAGTCAAAACATTAAAAATAAATAAAATTAGAAAAACGAACCCTCACTACAAAAACAATGTATCTCACAATCCCATTGACATGGGGGCTACTCCACATTTATTTGCAAATGTGATAACACAATTAAAAAAAATGGAATTCATGATAGATCGGCAGACAGACATACAGACAGGTGTTGAAATAGTCAGCCTTCTGCTTAAACAAGAGATCACTAGAAGGCAGCTACTGTCCAACCAATCACTAGATATATCCCATTTTGAATTAGATTCTCCACTATTCTCTGAGCCAATGCATCTTGATGTCACTAGTGACATCACTGCACAAACATGACAGCTTGGTGATGCCATGAAAATAAAAGCATGAGACGTAATGTGTCCAATGCATCAAAACAAATTTTTTAAAAAATCATGTATTATTTCTCGTGACGGACGATAAACTTCTGATGTTAAAAAAAAAAAAAAAATGGCAAATTTAAATACAGAAAGCTGACTTTAAAAAAAGATTTGCTTAAAAAGATTTACCAGTTAGTAATTATAAAACAGATGCATTTACCCAATCTCATTAATTTTCTTTGCATAATTAATTCTTGTAGTAGAAACAACGTCTTTTGAAACTTTAGTCAGGAGTAATTCTATTGTATGAATGTACCAATACAATAGCTAACAATCTAACAGGATATGCAACTCATTACATGAAATTAAACTACACTATAATATAATCAAAGTATAACAGTAATATTATTATAAGCGGTACTCAAATTGTAACTTTAAATAATATGCATTATTGAGATGGTCTCTGTCTACAACGTAAATTACAAGAACAAATCCAACGATATAATAAATGGTAACATTGTGCATCACTTAATAGCTTCTAGATCGGGGTAGGCAACCTTCGGCACTCCAGATGTTATGGACTACATCCCCCATAATGCTCTTACATCCATAGTGCTGGCAAAGCATCATGGGAGGTGTAGTCCAAAACATCTGGAGTGCCAAAGGTTGCCTATGCCTGTTCTAGATGCTGTGCTGATACATAAAGGCAATAGCACACACAAAATGAACATTGACAGTACCTTTTCCCAGTCATGAGTGTGTCCACAAGAACAGACACCAGCTCCTGTTGGTCCTGTTCATTGCCCAGTTCATATACCAACCCAAGACCTTTCGATGCAACATCTTGGCTAAGTTCTGTAATAGATTGTGTGTAATAAGCAATGCGACTTTGTACTGCTTTGAGGATCGTCACAGACAAGTTATTGATGGACTCAAAGGAGTTAGGCTGATAAATGGACTGAGACATTAATGGCGTAATGGCAGGCACATTAACATCCCCACATCTAAGCAGCTTCACAAACTCATAAAGGTGTAGTATACTTGTTTCATACAAACTTCATGTGCCAAAAATCCTAGCAGTGACAGAATTAATATAGGAAAACCAGACCAATGGCCATAAAAAAATAAAAATAAAAATATAATCTACATACCGACCAAAAAACACTCTAAAAAGGAGGACAAAAAGATGAGTCAAGATGACCTGAAACTAGGAAAAATATATATTTTAAGCTTTACCCACTAAACTGGGAATTGTAAGAATCCACAAAAATAATGCATTTTATGCTGGAAGAATGGCAAACTTGGAATTCCCCTCTAACTAATTCCACTGATCTGGTCAAATATTTGTAAAGTATTTGCAATTCCTAGTTCACAGTAACTGTCTTAAGAAGAATTGTCCATCTTTAGGATTTCAGCGGTTGTTGATTCTTTATGATGGAATGTTTGCCATACATAAGTAAAAAGGCTAATGTCCAATCCCGTCTTCAAATGTCACCACTGATCCAGGTTTTACCAGTAATTCATGTGGATGAGAACTGGGTAAATATCAAATCTTGGACCATTCGTGTGTTCTTGAGGAATGGCCACTACCGACTGCAGAAGACCATCAATTCCAAAATCCAGCCAGATTGCAGAGCAATGAATAATCAACTTTGTGTTTAGTGATTGATTAAGGAAAATGTATTCATCTCTTGATGGTGATAATCTACCTTTACAGATGATTATTATTATTTTTTTCCATTGCTGGACATTCAAAAATATATGCTTAAAAAGATTTAGTACCTCTTACCTGGACTAATGAAATATAAACGTAATTATAAAAGCTGCTTCTTAATACCTAGCATAGATAATTAGTTAAATGGCTCTTTATTTTTTTTTAAATCTAATTTTCACTGTTCCTGCTTCCTTTCACAAATCATACATAGCACAAGGGAATCTTGACCCTGGAATTGTAAATGAATAAACATTTTTTGCAAGTGGAAGGATTTAAAAAAAAAAAAAAAAAAAGTTAAAGTGTATACGCACCATCATTATCGGATAGAACGGATATAAAGGCACTTTGAATCTCTTTAAGTTTCGACTAAAAAAAGAAATGCAAAATATATACAAAAGATTATTTCAGAATGCATACAAATCTCTCATGCATTATAGAATCTGTAATTACTCAAAAATATTGACAGGTGCTGCACAGCATGAACTCTAAATGGTTATTCAGAAGCCTAATAAACTGTTATTTGACTCAAATTAGAAGAACTTCATTTGGTTGAGAATAAAACATGGCTATACAATGGAATAGACAAATTAAATTATGAATTACAGCTGCTAATATCTGAAGACTGTCATTTAAGAAAAGGTTTACATTTTGCTTTTAAAAGTAGTTACAAAATGGTTGAGTAGTTATAAGTGTCTTAAGACAATCTCCCATGAAAACAGGTTTAGTGCAGTAGCCTCATAGAAACACGAGGATATACTGTTAAACTGAATGAATCAACACACTGTGACACATTGATGGGTATAATCAAGGAACAATATACCAACATATCACACTTCAGATTTCAAGATTCATTTGTGTTGTGCATAAAAATAATTAAATAAAAAATGGGCAGGGTCAACACCTACAGATTTACTATCAGTACTAGATGACCTGTTCCTTCAAAGATCATAAAAAAATGGCGCTGTTTGCGGACGATATTCTGCTCTTTATTAAAGATCCGGAGCTCTCCCTACCATCATTGACTAAGCTGCTAATAGAGTATGGACAGGTATCGTATTATAAAAATTATGTAACTAAAACACAGGCGCTACCTATTAAATTACAACAAACCCTGATATATAAATTGAAGAGTGGCACGAGGGAGCTCAGGTCTTTCATACGTAAAAAGTTGGTCTAGGGATGCCAGACATTAAAACATATTATAGGGCATCCTTCCTAGCAGAAGGGATCAGATTACTGAGATTTAGGAAAACTTCTCAATCCCCAATTTGGTTAACACTTGAAAATGCATGTTTAGATGCAAACAACATAATATATTATCTATGGACATGTTCGGTTCCCCAGTTTCCTTTAAAATCTATGTTACAAAGCACAAAACTCTTGTTAAGATTATGGAAAGAATGGTGTCCATATGTAATACACTGAAATCTGATGTTTAGAGCTGCACCAATAATGACATTAGCGGCCCTCTCTCTGGACCTTCAGATGAGGAGATGGCAAGAGAAAGGGGTAAGACAAATCGGCAATTTAATGAATGGGCCACAAGTAAAGCTATTTCCTGATCTTCAAAAAGAATTAGATCTGGAAGCTAAAGATCTGCTTGTGTATTTAAGGATTAAGAATATAATAAAGGCACATATTTTGGACAATCCATATATTGATGTAAATACCTTATCTACGCCAGAATTTATTTTGTCACACAAATCTGTAAAACTTTTTTCCTGGTGCTATAATGCGCTGACGGAAAGTGCTGCATCAGATAAACTAAAATACATGATACAATGGGAGAATGAAATTGGGCATCAATTTTCTAGGAAAGACTGGCATTCAGCTATGCTTAGCACCAAGCAAGCCTCACGTAGTTTATGGGAGGCGTACTGTAAGGTGACAATGAGGTGGTATTTGGTACCGCAAAGATTAGCACGTATGTATGCTGATTTATTAGGGTTATGCTGGAGGTGCGAAAAAGAAGCAGGATCTATGTTGCATATTTTTTGGGACTGTCCCTATTTAAGAGAGTTTTGGAAACGAATTCAGAATTTGATTTACGACAAGACAAAGCTTGCTATCCCCTTGCATGCGGAGAAATTTGTACTCCACATTATTTCAGGAATTAATATTCATCCCCATAGAAAAGTGATTTTAAATATTCTTACGGTAGCAAAAATAGCTTTAGCAAGTAATTGGAAGAAGAAGCTATTCCTTCAGATGAAGTAATACACGTCAAGCTGAACAAGATTAGCGCATATGAAAAGATGGCGAGTGAAGTTAATGGATACCTTGACAAATATAAAAAAAAAGAATGGCACAGCTGGATGATTAATCAGGTGCTCTAGCTTTAAAACAAGGAAGTGATGAGAAAATGAGGTCCGACAGAGGCTGTAGCTGGGGCTAAAAACACGACACATAAGGGTGAGCTAGAAGCTTGGTATGACTTAAAAGGGGAAGAGTCCCCTTGGAATATAGTTAAACAGACCCAGGTAAAGTAAGATTTCTGACTGGAGTATGCTTTATACAAGGTGGTTAGGGCCAGTAAAGAGTAGACTGCTGGTTTGTAAATAGGTAACGTGGAGAACAACCAGGGTTTATCTTTTCTTTTCCTTTTTGGTATTCTTATCTCTATATTTAGTTAAGGAAACTATAAACTAATAACGGATTAATAAAGTAGTACATCACAACTGTAAGTTAGTTCATTATAAGCTAATAATATGATCAGCACAACTAGGAGTTGAATGGTATGTATTTACTAAACTAACGTATTATTAAGGCAACATGCGAATGTTTTAGTATAAATGCTTATAATGATAATGAATAATATAAAGGCTGTTACTGCAAGTGGATTGAAGGAAAGGGATTTTATTGATGGATAATGTGTAAAATGTGATGTCTGTTCATTTTTCATTTATTTTGGCATTAATAAAAAGAAAAAAAAAAAAAGATAATTTAAGATCATTAAAAAGGAAAAAAAATATTATATGGGTTTCCATATTTCAAGTATCCTATATTGTATTGCAAATGTGATGGTAGGAGCAATAGGTCCCCCCCTCACATTTTCATTTAGGGGCCCCACCCGCCGCTCAGGGTGGGGTCAGGGGAGGACAACAATAGATCCGTCCCCCTTATTGTCATTTAGGGCCCCCCGGGGGGGTGGGGGGGCAATAGGTCCCCCGTTCAGTTTAATAGCCCCCACTCGCACGGTACGGGTTGGGGCTCGGGAGGGGGGGACACTAGGGTTGATTTTTTAATTTTATTTTTTAACAGAGTTAAAGTAGACAGAGCTATCTACTGATCTGAATTTCATTCATTCTAATGAAATTCCGGTCCGAACAAAGTCCCGAATTGCGTCCTAACACGAATGGAGAAACTGTTCTCACTGGGTTAGGACAAAATTCTGTGGTTTCGCTGGCGTTCTGTCTAAATGACAGGACGTTCGGAAATACTGACAGGAAGCATCGCGAGATCACGGAGGAAAGGTAAGAATCGTGGAAAAATTGCTTTGATCACAGGAAATGGAGCACACTTTGCTCCTCTGCTGGTCAGAGATGGTCAGGCGTAGGAAACCTCCATAAGACAAAGTAGTCCTTACTTTGTCTTATGTTTTAAAGAAAACTAGAGCAGATAGGAAGAAATGAAGAACAGATCCTGAGAGAGGGAGAGAAGAGGGATCGATTAAAGAAAGGTAAGATGGGCAAGACAGTGCCGCCTTAAATGTAGATTTTGTATGTGTTTTTCACATTACAGTAAGAGAGCAAAGTCTACCTTTCAGAAGGAATCCTAATGATAATATATACCTAATGGCAGGTGCATTATGACAGGTATGATCTGGTATAATATCAATTTTACCTTTATTTCTTTATGTTCACTCAGTTTTTTCACCAGTGAAAGGAGCCAGACGCATGCAGCCTGACGGATGTGCGGATTGATGCTCACTATGTACTTGTTGAGAATCTGATCTACAACCCATTGAACTTCATCATTCACCTTCACATCTATTCAGACAAAAGGACAAAAGATGCTCAGAAATTTGCAGCATACACCATGTAGTGCTACTTGCTGCCTATTACATGGGACCAAGCATTTAGAAACAAGCACAACAGTATTTATTCCAAGGATGGCTTTCACACACTGCAATACAGATTTTAAATCAGTAAAGCAGTAACATTAACGTAAGGGGCAAAAAATTTCAATTTTTTATTTATTTTTTTAAATCATATAAAATTTTAACATCTAAGCAATGTTAATTGAAGCACTAAAAATCAGCAGGTTAAAAAAATATTTAATTTAACATTATTTCACTCTTTGCCTGGATATCCTCCCTATATTTAATAAAACACCTGAAAAAGAGACAAACTCTGTGTAGTGAATATAACACAGTGGCACAATGGCTAAAAAGTTGGACCGAGTTTTCAAAAAACCGTTCAACACTTCCAGAGCTACTTCAAGCATCATAACCACTTGGTGCACAGAGTGTTCCTTTAATAATGTTTAAAGGCATACTATGAATGCTAGGAATACAAAGCTGTATTCATGGTACTTTAGCTCCCTCTGCCTCCCTCCTCCATCACGCCCCCCACCCGGCTAAATAAAGTGGTAAAAATGCTTTAATTTACTTACCTTATCCCAGCACGGATGTCCCTCAGCACTGGGTCGACGCTCCATCCCCTCCGATGTCCCAGGACCAGCGTGTGCTAATGCGCATGCACGGAAAATGACACACGAGCATTAGCCCCCCTCTATAGAAAAGCATTGCCTTCCTACAGGGAAAAATCTGACGCTGGATGTCCTCATGCAGAGCGTGAGGACGTTCAGTGCCAGATATCGGTCAGTTTGGACGCAGGGAGCGCCTTCAGTGACTGATGAGCTGAAGTTGTTTGGGTGCCTATACTGTCCCTTTAACTGTATATACCACACTTCAAATAAAAAAAAAAACAAAAAAAAAACATAATGCTGAACATTCAAGATAAAAAAAAAAAAAAAAAAAAAGAGCATATAATCTATCTTTCAAGCTCTTCTGCAGCATTTCCCACAAATAGCAATCAGACCTTTTTGTTCCGTTCACCCCATGCAAGGGAAGATACAGGCTTCTTTTTTCAACTAATACACCAAATAATTTTATTGACTAATTTAACTGTTTTAGGGCTATTCAAATACTTTGATTTATGTATGGTCACAGTATCCCTACACAATTAAAAAAATGTTTCCGGCACGTGTACTTAAAATCTCGTCTAAAAAAAAAATGGTACAAATTGCATATATTCAGAATCAAAACAAAACTAGACTATTTACCAGTGCGTGGATGGTATTCTTCTTCTGTGACAATCCAAAGATCTCTAGCCGCAGAGGATTTTGTACCAACAGCAGCATTTGTAATCGCTTCTCCTACAGTGAACTGAAGCTCTATTTGTTTTGCCTGCATGAAAAGATATAAAAATTATAGAGGAAAATGTTAGCAAAACAAATTATATTTAATATTGACAAACATATCACAATGATCAGTCTGATAGAAACTCAAATCCCAGATCAGGCCAGCAGGCAACATTATTTACACTGGTCTCTGCCAAACTTCTACGAATGCATTAAAAAAAATAAAAAATAAAAATAACCCTGGACCATGTCCCCCCCTCAACCTGATTAACAACGCAGTGCAGAGGTGGCTGCTTTGGGAAGGGGGTTGGGGGAGACAACATCCACCAATCTACCCTCCCTATCTCTCTTCCCCCCCCCCTTCCCTTTTTTTTTTTTCACATTTATTTTTTCTCTTCTCTCTCTCCCTCATCCCAACTTTCTCTTCCAGCCCCTCTCATCCTGTCTCCTCCTCCCCCTTTCCTTTCTCACTCTAGCCAGTGCCAACCTACACTCATTGACCGATCAATCCCCTAACTCATATTCTTCGTTAACAGACAGATAAAATGAAAATGCAGATTGTGCAGTGCATTCTCTTATTTTATTTTCCCACTATCGACCCGCCAACGAGCAACCAATTTACTGAGTTGATAGTAACCAACATAACCTGTATCAACCCGCATGATCATACAGACCCATACACTAATTTGTTACAAACTATGTGACATATGCTTACACTAATGTCTCAATACTTCCTCCTGTACTCTGTAACAAATCAATGACATATCATTGTCTATGAGCCTGTATCAATAAACCTTTTTCTTGAATGAAGAAAAAAAAAAAAAAAAGTTGTATTTCAGATTAACTATACTCTTCAGAACCAGTGTCATGTGATTATACGTAAACAAAAATTACAAGAGTTCATAGTTCATTACTACCAATCAGCTGTAAAATCTCTGAAGTGATTCCAAGTAAAAATCTATGAATAATTTCCCAGCTTGAAACTTACCACAATTGCCTGATTGGTTACTGGTATGAATATTTTTCAATCAATTTTACTTTTATAAACAATGCAGAAATAAGTATTGAAGGTGAAGTATGCCAAACAATACTTTATGCATAGGTTGAAAAGACAGGTTTAATGAACACTATACTGCAGGAGTAGCAGTTTAGGAGTTAAAAAGATTTGATTGGAGTTAAAAAAATTTTTTTACTTTTTCTTCATTTTGGACCTGACGGTCACCGCCTCCATGGCTGAGAACATAATTTTTGATGATCTCAGCCAATCCAATGCTTTCCTATAAGAAAATGCTTTGCTGCGCCAATCAACATGGCCTCAGAGATGCAGAGAGTAGAAACACTGAACGTAAGTGATGCACACAGCGCAGCACTGAATTAAGAAGCACCTCTAGTGGCCATCTGAGTGACTGCCACTAGAGGTGTTACTAGGCACCAATGTGAACACTGCGTTTATATTGAAAAGCCTGCAGAAATTATTTTCTACAACTTTGTACGAAACCTTATATTTATTTTTTTTTAAATAAGGAGATTTGTGGGAGCACAAAGTGAATTTCAAATTTTACAAGAATTGCAGATTTCAATAGAATTTGGCACTTTTAATAATTAACCTGGTTACACCTCCTGCATGACAATGGGATAACCAATCATGTTCCATTCTGGTTGTTTAGAAATTATTAGTACATTGTTTCTATATAGACTTTCTGGTTGTTTAGAACTGTGTAGTTAAACTCACAACACATTCAATTGCCCAAATCCATTTTCTTGCAAAGATTTTTCATTAAGCTGCATTGGGAACTCTGGGTTGGATTAGAAGGGAAGGTTTGCAAAAGGCAACACCAAGAGATTTGCAGCTTTTTGCAAGCTGGTTTTAGATATAACCACAATGAAAAAAATGCATAATTAAATGCATGCATGTTTTCAATGAGGTTATATCTACTTAAATGTGTTTTTTCCATTTTGAATTTGGGGAGTGGAATGTCCCTTTAAGGCCCAAGTTACAACTAGAAAAATTATCCAAGTCAGCTATTTTGAGAAAGATCATGAATTCAAATGTAAAGCCACTTTAGCGAATAACCGTTAATTTTATTAAAAACAAGTTACTCACTTCAACGGATTCCATTAGTCCTTGAAGCAGCATTCTTTGATAAGGGAAATTCCCATCTCCAACAGAAAAAAAACCCAGAGTCCTTATAGCTCGTTCTTTGGCCTGTGAATATGGTTAGATCAAGCATACAGTCATGAAAAGCAAGAATTTAAGTTACAAAAAAGATTTATGTTCGCCTCTTAAGAACAGATGACATTTCATGACATCACCAAAAATTAATAATTTGTTGAATATTAAATATGTTAAACATTTCAATCACTTTGTAATATTACATTTGTTAATTCATTAATCTATTGGTGCTCATTTAAATTGTACCTGATGGGAAATATAATTAAAAACAAATAAAATAAAAAAATTACAATGCAAACCCATTTTTTGCCAAAAAGTAGACTATATAGCAAAACAGTTGTATTATTCACCACTGAGAAAGATGAAAGGATCTTAACATGTGTAGCTTGGAGGAAAGACGAGACGGGGGGATATGATAGAAACATTTAAATACGTACAGGGAATCAACACAGTAAAGAAGGAGACTATATTTAAAAGAAGAAACACTACCACAACAAGAGGACAAAGTCGTAAATTAGAGGGACAAAAGGTTTAAAAATATCAGGAAGTATTACTTTACTAAGAGGGTAATGGATGCATGGAATAGCCTTCCAGCTGAAGTGGTAGAGGTTAACACAGTAAAGGAGTTTAAGCATGCGTGGGATAGGCATAAGGCTATCCTAACTATAAGATAAGGCCAGAGACTAACGAGAGTATTTAGAAAATTGGGCAGACTGGTTCTTATCTGCCATCACATTCTAGGAGTTAATATATGAAATGACATTTACAGTTGTCCTCAAATAATTCATCCAGATTATAGCCAAGTTAATATCATGCCAAAAGTTAGCAAAACATGTATACTTTATTTAACCAACCATCACTAGCAGTCATTTTGATGTGTCATGTGATAATGTAGTTTTCCGATATTAGCATGTAAAAATACAATGCAAGCAATGTTCTCACATAACATGTAATAACAGCTGTATTTCTTTAATTTTATAATCTCACATCACTGGGTAGATGAACAACAAACTCAAAATATTTAACAAACAAACCTGAAAGCAAAGGTGAATACACGCACTGGACATGCAGGCTAGGCCTGGGATGACACAGATTCTATATTTTACAATAATAAGATGAGTTGCCCGGATAGAAACAGTAATGGACAGAAAGCCATGAAGAAACATTATTGAGAAAAGACAGTGCATAGTTAGCAGTGTGGGTTCATTTTAAATTTAAATATTAAATACCGACACATCACAGATGCTACATTAAGCTTGAGTCCACAAAACACAGCAAACCAAATGATGGGTGTTACAGATGTTAAACTCTGAGGAGCGTTAAAAAGAAATAGAAAGTGCAAAGATTTATTCCTTAGTGACTTGCCTTGTTTATTTCCTTTCCAGACGTTATCCTGGCCAACAGATTCTCCACAAGTTGTTTCTTGGTAAAACCAGATCCATCATCTGGAATAGGAAGCACCCCATTCCTTCCAATCTCCCCCAAAGCCATAATAGCTGCTACTGACAGCTGTGGGGATGGGTTATCCAGAAACGAGCCTGAAAAACATGTGCAAAGCAATCATTTAAAGGCATTTAAACAAAAGGACATAGTATAGAATATGAGACCTTCTCAGAGAGAGATTGAAGCATGAACCAGGTAATGGCAGGCTTAGTTGACCAAAAAAAAAAAAAAATATATATATTTTAAAAACAGGGTTTTTACCAAAGATTGAATTCAAAGTGAATTTAATGCAAATGAAACAAAATCAACAGCATAGCGGACTTAGAGAATTTTTCCAGTTTGGCTACGTAGGCCTTAAATGATTATCATAGACGCTCCAGCCTTGCGGTAGCAAGTAACTCTCAGGCCTGTTTGAGTAATGTATAACTTAGAATTTTGAGTCCTGATCTATACATACACATTTATAGAAAGGTAGATACACGCACATACTCTTGCGTACAAACACTCACAGTTCAGCAAAGCAATAAGGAATTACTTTGCATCACATCGGTACTTTGTCATAAACATAATAATTCAGCGTTCTTTTGACTGCTGCTACCATGAGGGAATCAGCCAATCATCCGGAAAGCTGAATGAGGCATGTCTGTACTCCTTGAGTCTGCATTAACATTCTTCTAATTTCGTGGAATTGGAACCTTACCAATAGTTTCAACACAGGTTTGGATCATTTCATCTTGATCAGGTATAGGAGCTGATTTAGACTGTTCCAAGTCCTGCATTTCTACGTTACGTTTAAAAGACTTAGCCAAGTATCTTCCAATCAGGTAGCCCAGAGCAAGCAGGGATCCGTGCTGAGCCTCAGGATTCTGGAAACCATAAACAAACAAGTTTGGGTTTAGACATTGGTGAAAAGTGGTACAAGTCATAAGAGCAGGAATGCAGACAAGAATCAGGAAACAGTCAGGAAGCAAATCCATGGTACTGACTGTTTTCTAAACCATCCCTGGTCCTTTCAAAGCTTCCAATGTACCATACAATACTGCATGTACTCTGTTGGTGTAGCATACAAAGCTAGGAGTGAAACCATACAAGTCACTTGGTATGAGTCAGTACTAATCATTTGTGTGAGGGTTGCATAAAGTACACACACACCACACAAAACCAGCTTCCTCCTATTAGTTAATAAAGATTGATGCTATAATGGAAGGGATGAAAGGAGAGAGGAATTTTAAAAGGTTACGTTCATATAAAAACAAGAATTTTGCATTCAAATAGTTTATTTACTTACATGGTTGTCTTTAGCGCTCTTAATCAGACTTTGCAGTTTAGACTTTAATTCTGGGCCAGACACTGTAGACACTACTACAGCATACAACTGAGCTGCCAGCTCTCGCATCTCCTCCTTGTTTGAAATCAGCAGAGTCTGAAAAGCAATTAGTTCAATCATTACAATTCATGACATTGGTGAACAGTTCCACTTCCGTGGCTGTGTTCCAAAACACTGGAGCCTTGAGAACACTATACTAGAATGCGTGTGGCTCAGAAAGGTGGCCTCACATAATGGAATGCATGCGCTCCGCCGAAAGACTAGGGGGGCCTGCTAGAGCCAAACATGCCCCCTGAATGAACCAGTCTCTGTGTAGAAAAGACTATTAAGCACCAATGATCAGCCACTAGTCCTGCCACAGAGCCACAGTGCGCAAATAAAAGCATCAAAAAAACAAAACAAAGAACAGAGGGACCACAGGACAGACCAGTGAATTGGAGGGACAGGCATGTACTGGGCCTTTGCTGTAGGTTATAATAGTAATGATAAAATGGATGAGACAGGACTGGTCAACTTATAGGCAGCAACCTTAAAAAGGCGATCCCTCTAAAACAAGATGAATAGAAGTAACAGATAAGAAAGGCTGCGCCACATAAAAAAATAAAAATATTTAAAATCCAAGTAGTAAAAAGTCCAAATTGTATATCCTTACGAATAGTCTTTTTGAGAGGCTGGTACGTCTTCGAATATAGTGGTTCCACTTATATAGAAGATAAAAGAGAGGGACAACCAATAGTGCAATATGTATAGCTCAGATATTGACTGGATAAAAAAAGCAATGGTAGAGAACTCACATTTGCAAGAGCTTATGTCCAGCGGTTTAATCCCCGCTTATAGGATATATGGTGGTTACCTCTCCGTCAGTGGTTTCCGATTCTCAGGAAAGAAGAAACAGCCAATAGTGCTCACTGTATGGTATTATTAGCATAAATTAAATAAAAACGTACTTACAAGTAAAGAGCAGACAGACTGCTCTGTGGTATCAGCATAACTGGATTGATCCCCACCTAGGATTTCTTGGAATGCAGATAGCTTCCAAATATTATAGAACCAGAATGGATAAAAAATAATAAATAAGATGATAAAGGTAAAAAAAAAAAAAAAAATTATATATGTAAAAAAGATAATTGGCACAATCAAATGACCAAATATACACAATATAAAATTTCCATAACACGTTTCGTCAAAAGACTTTTTCAAATTATTCCGGGTTATTCCATTTGAAAAAGTCTTTTGACGAAACGCGTTATGGAAATTTTATATTGTGTATTTTTGTATTAAAGTATATTTGGTCATTTGATTGTGCCAATTATCTTTTTTACATATATATTTTTTTTATTTTTTTTCCTTTTACCTTTATCCTGGCTTTTTATTATCTTATTTATTCTTTTTTTATCCATTCTGGTTTTATAATATTTGGAAGCTATCTACATTCCAAGAAATCCTAGGTGGGGATCAATCCAGTTATGCTGATACCACAGAGCAGTCCGCCTGCTCTTTACTTGTAAGTACGTTTTTATTTAATTTATGCTAATAATACCATACAGTGAGCACTATTGGCTGTTTCTTCTTTCCTGAGAACCGGACACCACTGACGGAGAGGTACCCACCATATATCCTATAAACGGGGATTAAACCGCTGTACGCGCTTTACCCTAGAGCTGGACATAAGCTCTTGCAAATGTGAGTTCTCTACCATTGCTTTTTTATCCAGTCAATATCTGAGCTATACATATTGCACTATTGGTTGTCCCTCTCTTTTATCTTCTATATAAGTGGAACCACTATATTCGAAGACGTACCACAGTACCAGCCTCTCAAAAAGACTATTCGTAAAGATATACAATTTGGACTTTTTACTACTTGGACTTTAAATAATTTTAAATATTTTTAATTTTTTATGTGGCGCAGCCTCTCTTATCTGTTACTTCTACTTACTTTGCTGTAGGTTGCCTTCCTTATAAGCTAGTTAGTAGTAGGCTATAGCTGGGTCTTAAGTTATTATAGATATTGCAGGGACTGCTATCCCCAGCGATACGTATGCCTATCAGGTTTATCAAAAGTTTAAAAAGTTTGTACATGAACACGAATATTCCAATATTTAGAGTGCACAATAGACTTCAAAGAAAAACTTCAATGACTCTTGATGTATGTTAACACTTGAGCTTTTTTGGAAGGATGCATGTGTTTGCCACTTTTGGCATCAGCTTGTTTTTAGAATATAATAAATTAAATGTGTCTAGGATAATTCTTCATAAAATTGTACTAAAAACTCCAAAGTATGCAATTTAAGCATACTTGGACAGCATTTGTTTGTTGGCAGAAGCATCCTTTTAATTTTTAATTTTTTTTATGAATAGACACCCAACCAAAAATTTTTGTTTCTTACTTATGCAAGTCCTTCTACGAAGTATATCCATCATTGGTACCATACACATCTTAAAAAAAAAAATGTTTTTAAATTAAGAAGGCAGTAATCATTACCTTTATCCAGTCAGTGGAATCTACCAATTTTGCAGATAGCTTTTGTGGATAGACAGAGACTACTTCCAGAAAGCAGTACATCACTGACAAACCTGAAAGACATAGAAAATGCCACTAAAATGAATTGTATGGAAAAACATACGCACAAAACCATTTTTACATTTAACACCAAGAAGGAATCCTAATGTGGTTTGCAGCAGCTTTGTTAACCCCTTCCTGACCAGTGACAGAATAATTCCATCATGCACAATTTTACCAGCAGGGATATTTCATTTGATACCTGGGTTTCCTCTGTCAGCCGGGCAAAAATAAGAGGACCCTACACTGACTGATGAGCTGTATGCACACTCAAAGTAAAATATGCCCTCTCTATTGAGGATCCCAGTCTGACGCGATCCTCCATAGACCTCAGTGTTGTACTCTTGCGCATATGTGAGCTGAAGAGGACAGGCAGTAGGAAGATGGCATTGCTTGCAAGAGACAGGTCCAGTTAAGTATCACGCACCTTCCACTATACCCCTCAATCACCATACTGCCAGGAGAGCAGTCACTGTTGGGGGAGTTTGCTAATTATGCAGAGACCCCAAATGGCGGCATTTTTTTTTTTACATTGCAGATTTAAATCTACCTCTAACACATGTGCACCAAGTCCCCAATGATGTTGCGGGATGCGGAGAGGTGAGCATTGCTTTTTATTATTAATAATAATAATAATAATAATAATAATAATAATAATAATAATAATAATAATAATACACCCAAACTTTCCCCTAATAGCAGGCAATTAAAACCCAAACCCCTAAAAAGTACTAATCCTGGAAATATAACAAAAGGCAAATCTTCTCTTGTTGAGTACTGGAAAATTCGCCCTGCCTGTAACCAGGCTTAGCTGCAGTAACAGCAGTGTCAGAGCTTTACTTGCCAGTATGACTGGAAGCTCAGTTCCATGTGGCTCACTCTTCTACACCACAGCTAAAGCCCCACTCTACTATTTACCAAATAAAAATCAAACAAATAAATATGGAGGACAAAGGGAGCAGTACATGGTAGGTGGACAGCGACATGGGAATTTGAAAGGGTAAATATATCCCTGCTTTTACACACCTTTACCCTCTGCTCATATACACCAGTAAAGACACACACAACCTTGCATTTGATTACTCTCTACACAAACACACACACAGCAACATACCACAAACATGCACCCCTGCACTCATACTCATATTCCATTTTGCAGAGTGTTAACTAAAAACAAATTATTGAGATGGGAGATAACTTTTAGACCTAGCTAATACATTACATTTTTACATTTTGATTCGGACGTAAACAAATTACTTATAAATAAACAGATATGCCTTTCCATTCACCAAATACAACAAGGTCAGTTTTACCTCCCACAGCAGATAATAGTTGCTGGATGAGGCTCATGTACATCTCCACCGGATTCAGGTCACCATTCTTTGAAGAAGAGGAGTCTGGAGCAATAAATTCATTGGACATGAGCTCTCTGATATAACGCCCAAGAGCTGGGGCCTGGTCTTGCATATCTGCTAATGACTGGCAGGTGGGTGTTACACCAGCACTGTGAGCCAGGCACATTCTCAGGTAAAGGATGATCTGAACAAGGAGAAGACAGACCGTCAAAAAGAGCAGGACACACAAAATACTGGGCCTTTTTCAATTTAAAAATCTTGGCAAGAATGTTCTGTGGCTTGTGGACACATTTATATTGTACCTCTAAAAATGTAGCAGGGTTAAAGGGGAGCACGGACGTTGTGGTCACAACTTTAGAACGAGATTTCATCCGGTTCGATGCCTGCAAGGGAGCGAAAAAAAAAAACAACAAACAAAAAAAACAACACATTACGGTACTAGTCACACAACATGCACACTTTTACGCCACCCTCCTCCAACATGAATAGCAGTCTATATACCTTTTCAGAGATATGACGGACCATTACTGGGAAGGATGGAAGTTTAGGAGGAGGTCCATCCTTTTCACCATTTGCAGAGAATGCCCGGAGGGCTCTCTGTGCTTCTCCATGTACCTCTTCCCGCCTGCAATTCAATAAAAAAAAAAAAAAAAAAAATCCCTCATGTGATCGTGACGGAATTCACCTCCATAAGAATGGGAGATCGAAGTAGACAATATATGATAAGTGGTAGAATTGGTTCAGGATTCCCTGTGTCTGAGAAATGCCAACTGCCTCAGGCCAATCAATCACAAACAACAGACATATGTTTTTCTATGCCATTCCTCACATTCTAAGCAATCAGCTAGAAAGCAGCAATAAGCCGGGAGCAGTGGGCTAACTCTCTCCCATTATTCTCAGCCAACCATCGTCACCAAAAATGAACAAAAATTATATTAGTAATGTGGACCAACCATGGGTGGTAAAAGAGTCTTGATGTATGTAAAGGTATGTATGTAAAGGTATGTATGTAAAAAAATGAAACCACACACAACCACTTTTGAACTGCACACAAATACTTTTTGCACCAAGATGTGGAAGTTATGGTGTTAAGACTGACCCAATATTAATAATAATAAAAATTATGTAGCCAAAATGTAACTTAAAAAATTTCACATTTTGTATTTTAAATGTAAAATATGTATTACATTTACAATACAAGTTATAGTTTTTATTATTTTTCTTACACAACAACGTGTATTGCTCAAAAAAAAAAAAAAATATGGTGCAGAAAGAGGGAATTAATTTACCAAGTCTGCCAAGTAGTGGTAATCATTAAATCTAAAAAGTCTTACTGTCCCAAGGGTATAACTATATGTTGAGCTGAACCGAAGCCAATTTTAAAGGACTTTACACCTTTTATAACCGGTTAGTAATTTGGTTAGCACAATGTATAGAATACATCTGATATCATGGCATTTTTGCAGTACAGATAACCTTTAACTAAGCACTCTATCAGAAATGCAAGAAATAGTTTGGTAAAGAAATCTTACGAATCTCCGGCTGACAGCAAAAGCAAATATCTTGAAGGGATGTGATCAGGAGCAAAAACATTACTGGCAAACTTCACGGCAACTTGTCGAACCTGAACTTCTGGCTGAAGACACAAAAGTAAATATTACAATCTCTCTACTATGCATTGTATTTAAGAATTGAATCCCCTCACCTTTCATTATCAAAATTGTTTTAAAGGTAAACTATGGAATAAAATGAGCCCTTTTGTTTTAAAATGTTTTAATTTATTAAAAAAAAAAGACTGTAATAACGGACATTTGTACAGTCAGTGGAAGACAGAACTCTTCCTCACCAACCAGGAGCCTAATACTGTATCTATTCTTTTCCCATAAAAGGTCTGTGCAGCAGGTTTATGGGATAAGCAGCTTATCTTAAAGAGAGCTGCAATCATCGCATAGCATTAGCAAAACTCTTTAACCAACGGATAGCTGCCATATTGCGTCTACAAACTACTTACACACATCCAAGTTCACTAACCAGGCTGTGTGCATCAATAGTTAGAGCAGTTGACCAACCATGCAGGGTCCACAGACTGGCTCTTAGTATTGGGATGAGAACGTTTACAAATCGCTGCAGTTGTAAGCTGCTCTCAGAGCTCATGGGTGCAGGGAATTATTATGGTGATTTAAAGGATTCTTTCAAGTCACATATTTTGGTTTATCTCCTATTGGTAAGATGTATCCTTCCTCACCTTTATCATGTATGAACTAACAAGAGCTTCCATAAGGGTCAGCTGGGCCCCTTCTAAATTAGAGTAAGCGGATACCATCATAGACAAAGCTTCCTGGATAGAAAGTCTGACATCTGTATCCTCCTGTAATGAAAAAAAAACAGGTATTGGTTATTCAATGAATCAACATACTAAATAGTGATTGTTGGTGACCCAGGTAAGGTAGACAAGCTTGCACATATAAATCTCTAGCAGTGAGTGGAATGAACATATAAACATAAACCCAGGTGCTCTGATCAAGAAGTAAAAGGTGGGTAAGAATAAGTTTCACATGTATTTGTGATGTTTACTTTATACTGAAAGTGAACAATTAGCTGTTGGGCATTTCCCCCCCCCCAAAAAAAAAAAAAAAAATTCAAATACAAGGATAAAGAAGCATTGTAGTTTCTGGCATTCAATGTCAAATAATTAAATATCATAAGAAAAATATTCCTAGCATAAATACGCCAGCAGTGTTTCTTGGGAATATGACTTTGCTGGAGGTAAGAAGGAAAAAGGATCACTTATTACTAAGCATATACTAGGGTAAGGTAGACTTTCACTCCTATTTTAAAGGTAAGACAGCTTAGTCTTTAGAGTCTTTCACCGAACATTTTCAATTTTGTTTTGTAAAGTGAAATAACAAAACTTTTATCCAACATCAATACATTCCCTTTAATCCTGCAAGTAAATAACTTAGAAGCAGATTAAATTATTAGTACTGCAAAAGGTTAACTTTCTTACCTTGCGCATGGCTTCAAAAAATTGCTGCACGAGGGCAATGTCCTTGGTAAATAACTGAGGCATCCGGCTAGAGAAAAGAAGCTTATTTAATGACATGACTCAATATGACATGTATATTAAAGCGTCACTATAAGCACCTGCACAGCTTTTCACGGTTGCAAATGTGATCACGTGTAAAGCACCCAGAATCAACTCTTAGCAGGGCTTAGAACTCTAGTAATTTGTAGTAAAAAAATAACAGTAGCTCTCAGACTGGCCTGCATAGCTTTCAATCATCGAGCAGGAAGGTCTTGTTCTGGATGCCCAGTGACAATTTTGTCCAAGTTTCTGCATGCAGAAACTTGTGTTTAGCGCCCTCTCCTCCTGGGACATGCATTCTCAGACCAAGGTTCTGCTGATAGCTGAATATAACCCACTTCACTAATCAGTAAACCAGCTGATGTGTAAAGTGATAGCAGCTGTGGTATGGCTAATATCACTTCATAGAGCAGTTCCACGCATCCCAAGTGATAATTGGAGCTATTCCTGGGGATCAACAACAAGTATTCATGGGATAAAAGAGAATCTATCAGTGCCAAAAAAGGAACATTTTAAAAATTGTATGTATTTTAATGTAAATACTTTTTTCCTTATCTATACAATGCATTAAAAATATGGGGGACATTGGGGGCGGAGCCAGCTGCCTAACTGAGTGGACGCATCCTTCGGGAGCTCCGACTAAGCTAAGAGCTAAAACGGTGTTTTATCCGGTTAGGAACCGCAAACACTACCCAATAGCGAGCTGCTGTGTCCATCCCTCGAGGCTTCGTCCCTTTGTGCCTGCCGCACTGAGGGGTAGCAATGCAACTACTGCGGTTTCCTGAACTGCCAAAGACCACCTGCCGTGATTTTGTCCTGATCATTTTTCAGTTGAACATAACCTCTCTGAATCACTGAACCAATGCGCTGTTACCACATTGACAGCCCTATGGGATACGTCCCTTTACACTAAGTATGCCCGCTGGCTTGGGGTTCATAACCCGTTGGCCCCCTTCTCCCCCCCACTCACTCACCTTTCTTGTCATTGTGTTTCTACTGAGTACCGTGAGTGGCCACCTCTAGCCAAACTACTGTGGCTTACATACTTATATACCTAGTTGGCAAGAGGTACATAGCTTATGCGACCCCTTAAAAACATATTTTACCCTACACTACTTCCAATAGGGATTGTGGGCTCGGCCTTCACTGTGGAAATTACCTTATCCTTATTTTTGTTTTCACTTACATACGTGTATAAACCTTAAAGGGATACTCCAGGCACCCAGACCACTTCTGCCCATTGTAGTGGTCTGGGTGCCAACTCCCACTACCCTTAACCCTGCAAGTGTCATTACTGCAGTTTTCATAACTGCAATAATTACCTTGCAGGGTTAAGTCCTCCTCTAGTGGCTGTCTATCAGAATGCCACTAGAGGGACTTCCGTGTTCTTAGAACATGAAAAGTGTGTTATACGACGCTGGACATCCTCACGCTATAGGAGGACTTCCAGCGTTGCCGAAATCCCCATAGGAAAGCATTGGATACCCGCGCATGAGCATTAGGTCTCCCTTGCCGATGTCAGAGTAGAGTAGGCGGAGCCTGACCCAGCAACGAGGGACATCATGTTTTAACCCCTTCAGCAACTTGGGATGGGAGGGGGAACTAACATGTTTTCCTGGCACTGGAGAGTCCCTTTAATCCAATAGTTCACACTACTGTTCACATTCAGGTCTTATATGGTGTATTGTTCTATGTTATTTTAACTGTGCTCATGCCTGAACAAAGCCTGTATTTTTTGTGGATTAAGCATGAAGTAAGACTTCTTTAAAACAAATTGTGCAAATGTAATATACAGTGTGCCATGCCGATGTTCTAATATGTCAATAATTGCTTTGCATGCAGCTGTTGTCGTGGAACTGCACGCTTCTATGTACTCACTTGCACTTCCAAAATAAAGATGGACAAAAACAATAAATAAATAATAGGAGGACATTTATATAACATTTTCTCTGTAGGGGATTACTATGTGTATAAATTCCTATGACAAGGTAGCTCAACTTAAACACATTTCATCCATGTATAGTTAAAGAATATATTTGAGTAAACACTGCCCTAAGCCATTTTTTTGCAACAGCACACCACAAAATACATACACTTGTATACCCATAGTCCTCATACTCATAGTAGTTCTACACTGAAACGATGTTCGTGCTTTATTCCTCAATTAATATTTTTGAGAACAATCACAGAGGCTCTACGTTTCCTTACTTAACATTTAGTACATAAGACACCTTAGTATTCAATTAACATACCTTGATAGCTTACCAACAGCTGAATAGGCCATAGACAGCAACTTTGGATCCTAAGAAAATAAACTGAAAGTTGTCAGACAACAAAAACACAATACAATATCTCAGTGGGAAAAATAAAATAAGACATTCCTGACTAAATGAAATCAAAGGTTGGGATAAAACACCTATTATTCAAAGGAGAGAGCTTCCAAACCAGTTTAATGTAGTCGTTAACTTGGACTTGTCACAAAATATCTTAACACTCTTAAATGAGATTATGGATTTGGGGTTTTCATGAGCTGTAAGCCATAGTCATCGCACTTATGACAAATCACGGCTTGAACTATCTTGCTTTGCATGTAATGAGTCTCATATGTTAGTTTCTCCTTTTACGTTGCATTACTGAAATAAATGAACTTTTGCACGATATTCTAATTTTTCAAGTATCACCTGTATTTCCAGAGCATATATTTTCTCCGACAAGGAATACCAACCCATTAAAGGATCATTTTAGGCAACATAGAAACATCAGATTACCCTGCAGTCTTTACAATTTAATTTTTTTTCCCCACTGTGGCAATAGTTAGCTCCTCCTATAAGTTCTGTCAATCAGAGAGATCGGAACACACTTTCCAGCTGTCAGGTTGTGGTCCCCAGAAACAAGCACTTGCAAGGCCAAAGAGTGACCAGTCTCTGTAATGATTTGTGCTCCACCCTGAATAAGTCACATGTTGCCGCAATCATCGCAGAGATAGTACACACTTTTGACTTGCACGCTACGTCAACACTGATGCACCAACACATTGGCTTGAGAGCTCATAGGTGTAACTCCCTGCTGTGTGATTGGCAGGGCTTGTAGGAACAGCTACATGCACCACAATATCTTAAAAATGCTGAAGTGGTGACCAAGGTGTCCCTGCAAGTGTAGCAAACAGTATAGAAACAGGCTTGGAGGTCTAAAGCTGAGTTAGATTTGTGTGGTCTAAATATTTCATTTGTATTTACCTCTTTGTATTCATTGATGAGCTTGGTTAGTCCATTCAGCAGCATTGGACCTAGTGGTTTTATTTTACTGTCAGGACAACTAAGAAAGAAAAAGAAAAATAATTAGTAACCGCTATGTTACGGAGGTGGAAGACTATGATAAAGCATTTTAACATTAACAAGGATAAAGATCTAGTAAAATAATTCCCTTTAAAAACTACTGCAGCTACACGATAGATATATGCAAATGCTTATACATGCTGCTCTTTAAAGAGGCTCGATAAGCACCATAACCACAGCAGCTCAAAGTGGTAATAACACAAACTGTTTAAGTGTGGTTTTGACAAAAGCTGGTTCTCGCGCCCAGTTTTTGCCTGCTATTAAGATAATGTGGAAGTGAACTTTCTCATTAGCACGTTCAACTTTGGGGGCGTCAGTAACAGGCTGAGTGTGCTGGGTTGACCGTCCTCCAGTATGTATGGCAGCATGTCACATGTGGTGTTTCCCAAGGCTCCATACTCGGCCCCCTGCTATTCACATTATTTATAAATGATCTGCCTAACGTCTGCAAATCCTCAACTGTACACATGTATGCAGACGACACTGTAATCTACGCTAGTAAACCGAAGCTACTGTAGCTTGAGGCTGTGCTCCAAAACCAATTCGCAGAGGTAGTAAAGTGGATAGCAGATAAAAAACTCTTCATAAACACTGACAAAAAACTGTTAAAAATGCGTTAACTACAAAATCAACAACCGTGTATTAGAACAAATTCAAATGGCACACTGACAGCAGTCTGCTCTCTTAAATATCTAGATGTGTTGCTAGACCCCAATCTATCCTTTGGCCTTCACATTGAAAAAAATCTCTTTAAAACTTTACCCAAAACTAGGTGCCCTATACAGAAACAAATCCTGCCTAAGCCCTACAGTAAGGAAACAGATAGTGCAACAAATGCTAATGCCGGTCATTGATTATGGGGATGTAGTGTATGCACCCGCACCGCAAACCCACCTTAATACGTTATATAATTCATTACTTTACCCACCACGGTGATACGTTAAAAGAGCTAAACTGGCTGTTACTGGAATACTGACACACTCTTCATATTTCCAGCCTTGTGCATAAGAGCATTTCTGGGAAGCTCCCACCCTACCTGACTAGAATGCTCTCCCCGGCTGTTCCCACCTCCTATAACCTCTGATACAGTACTAGCATGATATTTAGCATACCGCAATACAAAAATAAAGTGTCTCAATCCTCCTTTTCCTACAGAGCAACGCAATTATGGAATAACCTCATGGACACAGTCAAATCTTCATTCAATCTAAAATCTTTTAAGAGATCTATGGCAATATACCTCAGCACAGAATGCACCTGTCATGGTTGAATATATTTATTACCTGTTATGTATTAACTTTATATATGTGTGCATACACACACACACACACACACATATATAGTTTGTACATTGTATCTTATTGTAATAATGCAATGTTTTGTGGACCCAGGACATACTTGAAAACAAGAGAAATCTCTTGTATCCATCCTGGTAAAATATATTTTATAAATAAATAAAATAAATACATATGCCATCTGCTTCTTTAACATCACTTTTGTTTCCTCAAAGATATGGAGAATATACAGCTTTACTCCTATAATGCATATGTTAGATGTTACCCACAGAACTATATGGGAGCCGCTTGCTCATGGATTACTATAGCCACAGCTTCCATTAGTAATCCAGGTATGGTCTGGAATGTCCCCGCCTATATCTGCATAGGTCATTATAGACAGTTTGAACCCTGGGACAAAAAGGTTACCAGATACCTTTCTGCACAAGTACCATCAGTCCTTGAAGTTACTCACGTGCTACAGATGTGGTGCACAAACTGAAGAGAAAGGGTCCTTAATTTGGCATTTGTGTTTCCCCCAAAAAGGCCGTCATACACAACCTGAAAATTAAAAAAAAAAAAAAATAAATTAAAAAAATAAAAATAAAAATAAATATTATATATTAATTACACATACACACACAAACAAACAAATACTGGTAATTCATAAGCCAAACCCAAGGTTAGAATTTTAACCAGACTTGAAAATAAAAAGTTAAATTAGAGTTTGGTTAACATACAAGGGTATGAAATGCATAAACTGCTGTTCTCTGTCACTCTGCATGCCACATGTGTGGGAAAATAAAGATTAACTTTTTATTTTAAAATCCAGTTGTTGTTATCCGTCTATTTTGGGCATTGATTTGTGTGGTTGGACCAACACATCCCATACAGCTAAGGATTGGGGCCACCATAAAAACAAAAAAACAGATATGAGCTGCCTGTGGATTAAAGACTTGTGTGCATATATTACTCCAGTATTTGTGGATAATTGGTTAGATTTAAAGATTGTTAGAATGCTAGCCAGCCATGCCTCTTTTATATGCTTTAAATTTTAATGAATCATCAACCTTTTAGAGAGACCATAAACATATGCAAGATATGATGTTAATTTATATACTTCCTGGGGCGTTTTTACACATTTCAAAACTGGAAACGTGTCACTTACAGATTTCATTATTTTTTTTTTTTGCAACTTTGATTTTAAAAACTAGACTTAGTTTTCAAAGAAGATAAACTATAAAAATGTTGCTGAACTTGTCAAAAATCCTCCATACAATAGAATATATCAATTTTTCTGGGACGTTAAGTAAATGTCATACCTGTATGTTAGGTGGGAATAACTCTGCTGCCAGCCTGGATCGTAGGAGATGGGGAACAATCTTTAATTTCACTCGGGTGCTCACTGGATCTCGCTTAAGCTCTGGTTTTAGTAGATTACCCTAAAATACAAATGTTGATTACTGTCACAAAGTATGATAGCATTCTAGGAAAATAGAATGTTACTTTTGAAGTAGACATAACACACCAACCAACACATCACATCTAGAGACTTAATGAAATGCCCTCTAGTTGTATAAAGTCCATACATTGTACAATGTGTCTTGTAATTGCTAGACAAGCGCCTGGACCTCTGACCAATGACTAAATGTTTATGATTACCTTACTGGCCTGGAAATCCTTGTTTATATAAGGTTTCACAAACATCCATCTACATAATGCACTTTTCACACCTCAATTTGCACCAGATCTACTTAAACATGTTTTCCTTGCCTTTCGGTTTGGTATTTATCACAGTACACAGACATACAGGCTCAGTGGCTCACTACAGCTTTTATTTGAAATTCCATAACCGGTACATTGGGGATTCTGCAAGGGGGGGGAATAAACATAACTCATTGTTAACCTAGTCGGGATAGGTGAGGCTTGCCAGCCCCCAGTTGGCAGCAACTGGGGAGAGGGACTTTCAATCCATCCCATTCCCCTTTCCCTCCCCCTATTTCTTTGCGCTTTCCTCCTTCCTTCCTTTGCAATTTCTCCCCCCTCCCACTCAGTTGATGTTTTTGTCTGTTGAAATGTACGTACTACACACTGAGAATTATCATAGAAAAACATGCTTGTACCAATAGGCCACAAAATGTGATAAATGTATCGTGGTGAGAATGGGAGTAGGGTGATCCACACGTGCCGGACTCTGAACACAGTATTAAGCTAGTCCCTTCTGTGCAGTTAAAGGGACACTATAGTCACCTGAACAACTTTAGCTTAATGAAGCAGTTTTGGTGTATAGAAGATGCCCCTGCAGCCTCACTGCTCAATCCTCTGCCATTTAGGAGTTAAATCCCTTTGTTTATGAACCCTAGTCACACCTCCCTGCATGTGACTTGCACAGCCTTCCATAAACACTTCCTGTAAAGAGAGCCCTATTTAGGCTTTCCTTTATTGCAAGTTCTGTTTAATTAAGATTTTCTTATCCCCTGCTATGTTAATAGCTTGCTAGACCCTGCAAGAGTCTCCTGTATGTGATTTAAAGTTCAATTTAGAGATTGAGATACAATTATTTAAAGGTAAATTACATCTGTTTGAAAGTGAAACCAGTTTTTTTTCATGCAGGCTCTGTCAATCATAGCCAGGGGAGGTGTGGCTAGGGCTGCATAAACAGAAACAAAGTGATTCAATTCCTAAATGACAGTGAATTGAGCAGTGAAATTGCTGGGGAATGATTTATACACTAAAACTGCTTTATTTAGCTAAAGTAATTTAGGTGACTATAGTGTTCCTTTAAAAATTTACCTTTTCTACGTTTTATTGTATTCTTTCTAAGTATATATAGTGGTGATATACTTGGGTATAGCAGCACCATTCATTTACTTTATCCTCTAGCGCCATTTTCTATATATTTTTTGCCATTCCTTTAAAAATTGCCCAGCGTACCATTTCCCTATCTCTAGTACCAAAGCTCTCATATGTTTTCACAATCTCACAGAAATGTTGCCCAGGCTAACCACGAATAGCTTGATTATAAATCGTTCACCGCCACTGCCTACTTATCTTGAGGACCGTCATCAGTCTACTTTTGCATGGTGAGGCCGACCTGACAACCCTAATATGGTTCTCACATATACTGACCACGAGTCTATACTAACATATACATCTCCTATAAGCTAACTAAGAGTTGAAGCATGTTATTACTACTATTGTTTGATTATCATAAATTAACATGACCGTTCGCATGTTACTACAAACTCAGCAGTTAAATAGTCTAACCGCACTAGCTTGATCTACGAACTAGCATTTTGTTACAACATTCATAGTATTGTTACAAGCGTTGCCTCAATGTTTTTTTAATTTCACATCATAGTTACATAAGCGAGAATCTACACTGTTGTAATAATGATCTCAATAACTTAAAAATGTGTCTGACTAACATATGCCACAACCTGTATTGCAAATGTTTTCTAACTTACCCTGATGTCGCTGTTGTGGCGCACCAAGGATATTTGTAACTTTTGTGCACAACAAAAATAAAGAATATAAAAAAAATTTCAAAAAAATTTGATAAAATGTACTAACATACCATTGTATTTCTACAAACAATTAAAAATTAAAAAAAAATTAGACTGCCGTCAATTCATGCTGAAAAAAAGCATAACATTTATAAAAAAATAAATTAAAAAAAATTATATATATTATATACACACACACACAGCTGAAGATCTTTAGCCTCCAACATTCAAGAAGGCCACCAGAAAATGGATGCATAGACACCAAGCAAAGGATTGTGAGATATCTAATGCCTCATTTTGCAGCAAAGTGACTAAATATACAAGTACGTGACCTATTTTACTATTGTGCAAACAGCATGGCTGTAAAAAGAGGAAATAAAACACGAATAAAATGTAAACTATATTTTGACAATAAATTGGTTAGGACAATCTATAATTAAATGCCATTTCCTATAGAGTGGCACAATATTTTTTCCCCCTTTATAAGTTCGCAAAGGCACATTTTTTTAACATTTTTCAACAGGTGCAATTTTCACCTGCAGAAAGTTAGGCTTGTTAAATAAACTTTAAACAGAACATCCATTCTATATCAGACATATTAGTTTATTAATGAGCAATAAAAACAGACTAACCTCCTTTGTTTTAAGCGGTATGTCTCCCAAGTACACCTTGAACATTTTGTTTATAATGATGGGATCATTCCAGTCAATCAAGCTATAAAGTAAAACAAATATAATTATTATTTATATAGCGCCAGCAAATTCGGTAGCACTGTACAATATACTGAACACATAATGGGAAATATTCCATAGTTTACAGTAAAGTTCAAATAGTTTAAGAGCATTTGCTGCTTGCACTATCCAAGTGGAAATACATCCTCATATTAAAAATGGCAATTAACCAAATTGAGAGTTCATGGATTAGCAAAACACAAGCCCATTTTCTGATATTTTTTTAAAATGCTGAAATCTATAAAATCTAAAAAGAATATCAAATAGCTGGGACAGAGGATATCATCACTATCTGGTCCTGAGAATGACACGCCATGCTTATTAACATCTATATTTGTAAGGGTCATGGCATTGTACTGGACAGGCAGAGTCAAGTAGGTGGATACAATTAGTGCTGGGACAAAACAAAATAATCAAATGTTGGCACATGCGACAGCTGTCTTATTGAGGACATTGCAGAAGGATTTGCTTCCTACTTAAGGTGCTAAATTGTTGATCGCCAAAAACTGCCGGCAGGATCTCGTTAACTCACCTGTGCACCTTATGGATTGGCCAGCACAGAGTGTAGGTTTACAATTTATCCTTCATACCACACCAATGACACAGAGAAAGTCAGCTTGTCAATATACACACACTCCACTGGCCACAGACTCTCACCTCTGCTTGCTTTTCAGCTCCAGGTCTGCTGCAGTAGCCACGCTGTGTCTAGTGTCACTAGATGCAATCACAAGGTGTATGACACAGTCCAACTCGGGCACCTGCTCTGCTTCGATAAACTTCACAATACCCAGCTTGCACTGCAAAGTAACAGAGAAGGGTTTGTCTATCATTAATCTCTTTGCATGCAGAAAAAAAAACAAAAAACAAAAACAAATTCACAATGGAAGCAAAATCTGATTCAACAAGCTTTTCCACAATTTACACAAGAAACCAAAGCAATGTTTATTACCTGTTCTAACTGCTCTGCTGTCCAGGGAGTGTCTCCCACAACACGCTTCGCAGCATAGAAGCTCAAACCAGGTGGAGGCTGAGGAATACCTACACCACTGCCTCCACTTGTGGCAGAAGATCCTTGTCCAGAAGGTGTACTTTGGCGACTCTGAGGTTCATTCAGCACATATCTGAAGACAATGCATAGAACAATAGGTAGACTGAGGATATGCAGGGTTACTTACTAAAATGAGAATCACCTTGAATTATTATTTATATAGTGCCAGCAAAATTCCGTAACGCTGTACCCTGGGTGGACTAACAGACATGTAATTGTAACCAGACAAATGGACACACAGGAACAGAGGGGGCGCTGCTCAATGAGCTTTACATGCTAGAGGGAGTGGGGTATAGTGACACAAAGGGTATAAGTATGGGTAATAAAATAGGCTGCTAGAAAAGTATTTACTGGGAACTTAATTTAACTCCCAAATAGCCTACAGAGATATTTTCCAAGCTTGGCTACTTTGAATTTTCAAAAATTCTCACTTGACTGATAGTGTATAATTAAAGCAAGAGTTTATGTTTTTGCATTTTTTTTTCTCCATAACGTGGCATGTTCACTAGCAAGATGGAGGCTGTGGGTGCAGATAAAGAGATTAACTACTTTATATTGTCCCTACTTGGCACTGCCATGCACAGTCTGCTATTGCCGATTTTCTCAGACAGGAATAGTCCTAACTATTGTACTCATGCGAGTACAAAATTAGGTCTATAGATGATCCCACAAGATATTCCATACATTCTCTTGCGTGGGTACTATAAGCATCTATTGAGCATACGTCATGAACATGATCAACAGCAAATAGGAATTAGCGGTGGAAAGTCTGCCTTTTGCCAAAGATTAGCAATTACATAAGAAAAAAGTTGCTGTAAACTGATCTCATGTAGATTATGAAAAGCTCAAAATGTGTAAGAGCCACTTTAATGTCACCAGAAGGACAGTACTTGAGCAGAACCCATAAAAAAATAAAAATAAAAATAGTTCTCCTGTTTTATATGTGAGATCCATAGCCTAATAGGACATCTTCCATCTTGAGCATCGACATGGTTGAAAGGAGCCCCCACTCATACTTTCAAATTAACTCAGTGGTCTCACTAGAACATAAATAGTTTTTAAATACATTTAAAGAGATATGCTTTACAGTTCTACTTAAAGATAAACTATTCGGTAAAAATGACAATGAATGCTTAATGCTTTAATAAGCTTGATGGTCCCTTTACTCATGAGGAAGAAAGTTCTATCCCATAAACTCCTACTTTGAGAATGGCTGAACACTGCAGTGATTTGCAAACATCCAAAATTGCAATGGTGCGGTTTAGTTTAAGGAGATTTAAACTAAACAGCAAATTTATAGTGGCCAAGGCATGACTAAAGTAGAGTTGGAGAACTTTTCCAACTGAACACTTTTTGCCCAAGTTTTGCAATTTGGATTGGAATGTCTTAGAACTTGGGGGTTTATGAATAAACCAAGAGAGTTTTAAAGGAGTCTAGAAGAGACATTTTCTGTTCCTTACCCGTAAGGCATCAGAAGGACATCCAACATAAAATCCAAAAGATGATGCACAATCTTTGGTTTCTCGGCGAGATTAAAAAGAGAGGAGGATTTGGACGATTCATTGTGATATTTCATGTGGTAAAGGGCAGGTATCAGCAAGTGCATTAGGCTGAAACCAAAAGAGAAATATATTACTTAACAGGTGATTACACGTAAAGACAGATTTGAGCTGCTTCAGTATTCATATTACAATGCAAAGCTTTACATAGTTGAACCATGATGCTAGAGAGATTAGATTTGAGTTTAAGCCTCTATATATTAATTTCCTAATGAACTCGCTGAAATCAGTCATCTTCTTTTCCTTTACTGTCCAATTAATGATCACTTAGTAAACTGTCCTCTTCGCATTTCAACTGTCAATTCTTAAAAAAAACCTCAAAGATTACAGATTCACAGAGTCCAATGTAGTACATGGACCCAGCCTAACCATGAGAGACATACAATGCCATCACACCTGTCTTGTTGTGGTTGGGGTCTTCCTTCCATTGCTGTCAGGAGACTTGGTGCCAGCTCACATTGCTTTTCAATTGGCAGCCGAGGGAATCCCATTTTTATATAAATTATTGTAAAATTCTGTAGGAAAACAAAATGATTGTTGAAACATAAAAGTAATAACAGAAATAACTAAATCAGTAATTCAATTCTAAAAAAACAAACAAAAAAAAACAAACAAAAAATGTTAAGAGTTTTTTTCCCACAATGTATTTATTCAGTACATAAAACGAAGAAACCGTTTAAAGGGACATGAATCTATAAATATACGCATTTATTTTTAAAACCACCAAGCAAACACTTTTAAACAAAAGAACAAAAATAAAAAAAATAAAAAAATAAAAAGTTTCAGGCCAGTCCAGTCCACTAATGACAGAAACAGGGCATCATTGTGCAGGCCAGAGAGAGAACCCAGGCACTGGAGCCTGCTCTAAATGATCCAGAATTCCTCACTTCTCCCCCTGTCAAGATGTTGCAAGGTGACAAGATCTGTAAATCTGTCCGGTATGCCCAATGCACCAGCATTCCCAGGGATAGGACACCGATTGGTTATATCAGTATCCTTCCTGAAGTGGGTGTGGAGAACATAAGAAAGAAGCAGGTAAATACAATAAAAAGAAAAGAAAAGAAAAAAAAAAAATCATATTAAACTGCTTCTTTTCAACCTGTAGAGTGAGGAAACCGCCATTCAAAGCTAATGCTTCAATCCACAAAACCAGATGTAATGGTATATTCCACCTTATGATAAATTCTATTAAATAAGTCCGGCTATCAACCAGCACTGAAAATGCCAATAGATTTAGTTTAGTTACATTAAGTACAAGTCATCTCTACACCATAAGAATAAAGCATGTATTGGTGACCTCTAATGGGTTTACTCCACAAGATTCAGCCACAGCACAGTGAAATACTCTTCTCAAATAGTGATATGCACCACCAAAGCATTTTAGGCAAGTGCAGATAAAATCTACAATAGTGGTTATATCAATGACTGACACACATCACAGCAAAAAACGGTCGTGAAACAAAATCAACAGTGGTCATTTCAAATCTAATCTCATCTCAAAGATTCATGGATTTATCTCACCGAAAACCAACTATACGACCGAATAAGGGAGTATAAACTTTGACATACCTCTCATGGACGATGCTTTATTGGATTACAATTTTTTAGGTCACAATTTACAGACAGTTCTGAAGCAGCTCAATTTAACAGAATTAACTTACAGTCACAAAAGAAACAGCCGCAGGATCTTGATACTGAACTAGAAGGGTTTCCACAGGGAGCTGGATCTTAGGACGACTCTTGATTCTTTTGTTCAAGTGGACAAGTAACTCCATGACCTGTGAAGACAAGCAAAAGTATACATAAAATCTAATAAAAAAAAAAAAAAAAAAAAGTAATATTAGGAGATAACCTGAATGTGCTGTACTAGAATTTAGTGAACAAATCTGGAAGAATAAGTTGGTATCTACACATTATTTGTTTTACAACAGAGCTGTGGACATACCTTTTTCCGTACTCCCTCCTGTGCGCTAGACAGCTTGAGGAGAACAGGAGGAAGGAATTTAGAAATGATACTCTGAAGTTGCTCATCTGTTTCTGCATGGCCAAGACGTAAAAACACACGTTCAAGCTGATCTGTGAAAAAAAGAAATTGCAATATTTTAAACATTTTTGCGATTATTTCTTTATTAAAAATAAAATTATGTATGATGTTAATTGTCCATGATTTGGAATGCCTGAATAGATAGGGTCATCTCTAGAATGCATGATCGAAAAGAAACGAGTCAACTCTGGCATGGAGTATGTCCCAAGGTCTATTATAGTCGTAGGCAACCTTTGGCATTTCAGATGTTGTGGACTACATCTCCCATAATGCTTTTACACCCATAATGCTGGCAAAGCATCATGGGAGATGTAGTCTAAAACATCTGGAGTGCCAAAAGGTTGCCTATGCCTGGTCTGTTAAACCGAAAGATGTGATTCAAACACTTACAGGGTGTAACTGTAATGAATTCAGAGTTAGTTCTAAATTTAAGGCGATAGTGGGCTAACTGGAAGCATTCCAGCTACACTGGCCTTCGCTTTCAATTCACTTAGAATTCCCCACCATTCTCACTTTAGTAAATAACCCCTTTAGAAATCAGACATAAACCAACCTGTGAAATGTCCTAAACATGTCCTTACGTTATGACTCAGTAGGCAGATTCTCTGCTATGTTACTCAGCCAATTAGATCTTTTATGACCAATGGCGGAGTAATTCCATCATAACAAACCAGTTTTTAAATATCCTTTAAAGGAACACCCAAAGCACCATAACCACTACAAGTCACTGTGGCAGTCATGGTGTCAGGAGTGCCCTGGTGTCTCCCCAATGCAAGTACAGGAAATGTTTTAAACTAGTTTGGCTTCTAACCTCACAATGCTCCCTGCATCCACTGTGAGCTCTTAGCCAAGTCCGGTGTTGCAGAGCTTAACTCATTGGCTGATAAAGATCAACTGATAGTCTCAACCAATGAGCTGGACCTGCATTGCAATGCAGAACAGCTAATGGAAACTCCTAGCAGTAGTTTTCAGTTCTCACCTTTTTGCTGGAGGAAGTGAGGAGCAGAGTCCGGAGGACCAAAGGTTTGACTACTTATTATGTGGGGGCACCAGAGCAATCCTAGCACCCTAACCCCTAGAGCGCAGAGTAAGAGTTATGGTAATTGGAGTGTTCCTTACTCACTTAAAAGAAAACTATCGTGTTAGGAATACAAAACAGTTCCCTCTGCCCACCTCACAGTCCCCCAGTGGCAAACAAAGGGTTACAAAAAAAAAAAAAACACTATAGTGCCCCTTTAATAGTGGTAGGGTTATTAAAAGTTGCAAATGTATTTATTACTGGCATTTATAAAGCGCGAACATATTCTGCAGCACTGTACGATTAAGGGAGAACCTATAATAAACACAGACAAATACAAAATGGTAAAGGAGGTATGGCATTAAATATCATTGACTTTAAGGGGGTTAAGAAGACAAGGAAATAAAAAAGCAATACTCATGGATGTGTCACTGGTTTGACCTACAGATGAATATGTGAAAGTAATTGAACAAAGGAAAAAAAAATTTAAAAAAAAAAAATGTATTGGTATATCTATATTTCTCTTTTATGAATTGAATTACCATCCTAACAGACACTATGAATTACAATTGGCAGGTCTACCAGCAGTGTCACTGATCTACTGCCCAAGAGCTGCTAATTTTATCCCAGAGCCTGTGCAGTTTCAAAAGAGGCAGAGGAAGGAAGCAGAAGGGACATTTCAAGAGTATCCTACACAAATAATATTTAGCTACAGCTGCATTGCATCAACCAAGAGCATATCATATTAGCTTTCCAGTGATACACTGTTTCTAATGCGCTTTAAAAATGTACGCTTAGAATCTTTAACTTCCGATCTATCCGGTCCTCAACCACAGTAGCCATGGACCTCTTAAAAGAACACTCCAAGCTTCAGAACTACTTCAGCTGCTAAGCTCCATCTTAGGAACCCAAAGGACCAGAAATGGTTAAAGGGACACCGTAGGCACTGTATCTGCTTCATCTCATTAAGCTGGTTATAGTGTATGGAGTCCCCTGGTACCATCATTTCTTTCAGCATTAAACAGTTTTTAATGTTGTAATGTTTTAATGCTAAGCAAGAGTCCACGGCAGTCTATTCTCTCTGTGCTGCTTTGGCTAATAAGGAAGTATTACCCTGAGAGGCAATGGGCAGCTGTGATTGGCTGAGAGTGTCAGCTGACTGCTTTTAACGTGTCAGAGCTCCAACTGACGGTATGAATGGGTATGACAACAAGGAAGTGTGTAATCTCTGCCTTAGCTACACATACAGAAGGGGCCGGACTGTGGGTGGCCAGGGACTCTTATTTTGTGGCATACTGCACAAACATGGTGCAACACTGAATGGAGGGACAGTGCCAGGGTACTCCAGGCACTATAACCAATTCAAAGAGACAAAGTGGTTATAGTGACTACAGTGTCCCTTTAAGACTAACAACGGGTGAGGGGGTGCTGTATTATTATTATTTACATAGCGCCACCAGATTCCGTAGCGCTGTACAATGGGTGGACTAACAGACATTTAATAGTAACCAGACAACTGGACGTACAGGAACAGAGGGGGTAGAGGGCCCTGCTCAATGAGCTTAGGGAGTGGAGTATAGTGACACATAGGAATTAAAGTAGGAGTACGAAATAAGTTGTTAGAAAAGTATTCACTTAGGGCTTAGTAGGTTATTTTTAATTGATATGCTTTCTTGAAGAAATTCGTTTTCAATGATTTTTTGACGGTACAATCCCCATCTTGGGATATATGTAGATCCACAATTTTATGTGTCCAGTACTACTCCAGCATATAAAATAAAGCAGAGAGGGTCTAATAATGCAATATGTTAAATATGTTAGACCCTCTCTGCTTTATTTTATATGCTGGAGTAGCACTGGACACATAAAATTGTGGATCTACATATATCCCAGGACAGGGATTGTACCGTCAAAGAGCTAAACAGCAGAGCTCTCAGTAGCTCATAAAAGTGTGAGTGAGACGCCTATATACTTAACGGTCTGTAAAACCATTAAAACATATTACACTATTTTTTTTTTTTTTTTGAGGTTTTCCGCTAGAGGCGCTTGCGTGATTCTCACTGTGAAAATCACAGTGAGAACACGCAAGCGTCCATAGGAAAGCATTGTAAATGCTTTCCTATGAGATCGGCTGAATGCGCACGCAGCTCCTGCCTCGCATGCGCATTCAGCCGAAGAGAAGGATCGGAGGCGGAGAGGAAGAGTAGAGGGACCCTGAGGGTAGGGGCACCCACAGAGCACTATAGTGGTCCTTTAAGATTGAGTATACCTGTGTGATTTTTTTCAGTTCTGTTTGGCGCGTTTAATCACCTGTTTTGCCACATTTCTGTCTCTTATGCAAGGTTTGGGAACCCTTGTATATTTACTGCTGCCTGTTTATAGTGAGCTCCTACGCCTTTATTCTATTTTATATTCACTTATTAAAATGAGCAGTAGAATGCCTGGACCTGTCACTTACTGGATTTAAAAAAAAAAAAAAAAAAAGGGTACAATATCACACTATCCTCACTGGGAAGTCATTCAAATTACTAAAATAGAAGTGATACAGGTGTTGTTTTAAAGGGTAGAGAGAGGCAGAAAATAACAGGCAATTCACTTCATGTTTCCTGAGAAAAAAAAAAAAAAAGAAAAGTCAGGCACTCTCCCATTCTGATCAATGGAAATACAAACCAGTTAGAATCCAGAATGAAGATAGTGATATATGTGAATATCAATGCAACTGTCATCTGTGACACAGGTGGGCTCTGACATGCTTCTGGTGCATCCAACAGGGTCATAGGTGGTTTACATATAAAAAGTAACCTAGGTTCACCGCATTGGGAACGTAAGGTCTTCCATCAACGTGACATCTCTGGAGGAGGAGATGGATCCAGTGCATAGGGACCTCTGCGCTGGAAGTAAGTTAAGTGTTGAAAGGGTTTAATAAACCTTTTGAACTCCAGGGGTTTGGGGCGTGCGGAGGCAGAGGGACCCTAAATAATTAGAAATACAGTTTTGTACTCCTAGTTGACCAGAAGCATTACATGGAGTTGTAATGGTTATCGTGCTTGCATTGTTCCTTTAACCAAGGCATACTACGTGCGTTGTCCTCTTCTGCTCCACCATAGCTTATCTTCTTCTAAAGAGGAGGGAAAATATAGGCCTGGCAAGCAGAAATCCACTCCTGGTAAGTGTGCCGTGGACCCTCCAGGCTTGCAGTGGCTAGTAACTTTTAGGGTATCAATAGCGTAGGACTTACATTTCAAGCCCTGCTTTTCTGTCACCTACACCTGTTTGTGTTCTCTGCCACAAAAAAGTTAGTTAAAGGACCACTATAGTGCCAGGAAAACACATACTCGTTTTCCTGGCACTATAGTGCCCTGAGGGTGCCCCCACCCGGCTCTGGAAAGGGGTTAAACTTACCTTTTTCCAGCGCTGGGCGGGGAGCTCTCCTCCTCTGATCCTCCCCGTTGGCTGAATGCGAACGCGCGGCAAGAGCTACGCGCGCATTCAGCCGGTCACATTGTGAATGCTTTCCTATGGACGCTTGCGTGCGCTCACTATGAAAATCACAGTGAGAAGCACGCAAGTGCCTCTAGTGGCTGTCAATGAGACAGCCACTAGAGGATTAGGGGGAAGGCTTAACCCATTAATAAATATAGCAGTTTCTCTGAAACTGTTATGTTTATTGAGAAATGGGTTAACCTTGGAAGGACCTGGCACCCAGACCACTTCATTAAGCTGAAGTGGTCTGGGTGCCTAGAGTGGTCCTTTAATGTGATACATTGGTATTGTGGCAGGCCTATGCAATGTATTTTCCATATATATTGTAATTAAAGGGACAATACAGTCACCCAGACCACTATAGATCATTGAAGGGGTCTGGGTGCAGTCAGTGTCCCTGGTCCCTTAGTCCTGCAATGTAAAAAGTTGCAGGATTAACGAACCAATAGACGTTTTCTGTATTCTAACAGAGTTTGACACCGTTGAACAACACTGGATGTCCTCACGCTGGGCATGAGGACATCCAGCATCAGTAAAAATCTTGATTCAATGCTTTCCTATGGGGAAGGCCTAATGCACTCACCATGCATGCGCATTAGGTCCCCCCGTCAGATGATGTTAAAGGAGGCAGACTGCAACCCAGTGACAAGGGACCTTGGAGCTGGAATAATATTTGAATAATGGGTTTTATATCCATTTATATGCCCCGTGAGGAGGGTGCTGCAAAGGAGGACACTATAGTATTAGGCATACAACTGTGTATTCCGAACACTACAGATTCCCTTTAAAATCACATTATTTTTACTTACGTCAGGTGTATTTATAAAAACCCAGCAGACTTTAAAAACTTGATTGAAGGAGACTGGTGAATTTCGTATGTTATAAATATAGTAATTTTTATAAAGCATAGTTCTGTGACAGAGTTCCAAATAAAACATCCCACGTGATTGTTCCATCTTTAGAACTTAATATCCTTTCTCATTCTTCCCATGTGCACCAATAAGTACATGTGAACGCTATACAGTATAACTTTTCCTGGATTTGTGATGCACACTAATGTATCACTTTGCTGTATTGACTTTACTTTACACTGACAGGGGAATAGCACAATTTAGATAGCAAACAGCAGATATGTAAAAGTTAAATTAAAAACAAACAAACAAACAAAAAAACACACTACTGGCATGCCTTTATGACAGGGTTGAGAACAAGTTTATACTTCATTTTAAATTTTAGGCTACTATAGTTGAATTGGCCATATCTGACTTCTTTTCTGGAATAACATTTTCCAGTCAATCAAACTGCAGTGAATAATCCTGAGAATTTAAGCCAAAATAGAAGAATATATCTATTTCAACAAAAACTCGTCAAATTCAGGTTTTATCTGAACACACATAACACCAGGCAAATCAGTGTAAACAAGACTAAACACAATGAAAAAAAATAAAATTAAAATAAAAAAAAAACTCCTAGTGTTCATTTCTACCTTAATATGACATCCAACAACAATGAAATCAATGCAGACTTATAAGGAGATGATGATCACAGCCAGTCTCAGTTAATATACAGGTCTGAAACACTAAACTTGCTGCTCATTGTGCTTTCACTTCCAGCCCATGACTGTGCAAGTGCTGCATGTAATTACACACAGGGCCTGGGGGATAGGTACAGGGGAAAGCAGGCCCCTTTTAGACTGCCCTCCATCTCTCCAAGTAAAGCAGTGAATTATAAAACCACAAGTGAGAGGCTATGAGCCCAAGCTGGTGGGGAGCCCACTCCTCCCATGCCACACACAGACATTGCCATACTAAAGCTTGCAGCAGGCACTGCCCACTGCCCCCATCTGTAGGAAAGCAGCAATGCCCCCAATGCCCTGATATCTGCCCATTTCTCCATCACACCATGCTCTCCCGCTGACAAGGCCCCAGCACTGCCCCTTGCCAGCTCTGTATCCCTGCTTACTTACTGAGTTCATCCTGAGCTGCAGAGGAAGAAGCAGCAGCCATGTTGCCCGGTAGTACTAACAGAGGGAGGAGCTAGTGGTGGCAATGACCAGTTCCTGTGAAGGAAATATTGTTTCTTTTTATGTGCTGTGAGCCCTGGTGATGGAGTTCCATGCATGGAATCCTGTGTGTGCCCTGGGCAGTGTCAGTGACATGGACAGCTGCAGCAGGAATGGGGATGGGATGTGCCGGTATCATGTCAGCCAGGCACATGGGCTGGGATCTCATGAGAATCCTCCATCCCCTCCTACAGGTTGGGCAGGGATAATATATATATAGATTTAGAAAGAGCTGATCCAACCTGCCTCACAGCCCCCCTGTCTGTGCCTTTCTAGCCCCCTGACAGCTAATGATTGAGCCTAGGATTGCAGGAGCTAGTGACACCTGTCATTTGCCAAACGGCAAATTATAAAGAATTAAAATCCGAAATGAAAAACTAAGTCAAAAAAATAAATAAATAAATAGCTGATGTGAAAAAATATAGAGATACAAATACTTTTAAAGTGGGTGGTTTTAGAGTTTACATAGTGTTTAAAAAAATAACAATGTATTTGTTGTTTTAAACGCAAAGAAAGAACTTATTACCAAAGAAGCCACTAGAGGGAGTCTCTTACATACACAAAGGAACACTGAGACTTACCATCACCACTGGAAGCAGATTTGTCACCTTCAGGGGTGTTTGCATATTTGTCAAAGATCCCTAAAAGTGACATGACAGCTTTGTGTGAGGTGGCTACCGTGGCTGTAATGCAAGTGGTTACGCTTTTGAAAAATTCTCCTTCCGATGGGCTATCATCTTCTTTCTCCAATTCCTGGAGCTTCATCCTCCTGGAGCTGTTCTCTGGCGCACGCTTATGAGTAGAATGCTCAGATATATTAGATAAATTACAACATCCTTTATAGACCAACTCATGCAATATGTGAGAAGATGCCTGTATTCCCTACTTTGTCTTATGATATCTTTTGATCTTTTGCATCAAAGTTTCAGTTAAATTCCAATGCAGTCTGCATTCTATCTTTATGTGTATATGCACTGCACATACTGAATTCTACCACCATGACCACTTCAAATCACTGAAGTGGTCATGGTGGGTGGAGTAACCCTTTAAAGAGAGACTATAGATACCCAGATCACTTCATCTCGTTGTAGTGGTTTAGGTGCAGTGACCCTGTTTGTTTAATCTTGCAATGTAATATATTGCTGTTTTTAAGAAACAGCAATAATTAAATTGCAGGATTGACTCCACCTCTTTCAGACAGTCACTAGAGGTGCTTACAGATCCCTGGCGGCGTTTTACACCATAAAATTAAATTCGATGTCCTCACGCTTAGTATGAGGATGTCTAACATCATTAAATTCCCCATAGAAAGCAATAAATCAATGCTTTCCTATGGCAAAACTTTCACTCGCGAGCAGAGCTCGCTGCACATATGCGTTAGGTCCCACCACTGCCATGATGTTGCGGGAGGAAGAGACCTAGCCAGAGATGACTCGAATTAGGTAAGTAAAAAAAAAGGGGGTTTTAAGCTTTTTATTATCGGAGGTGTGAGTGGATCTATGAAGTTAGGGAAAGGAACACTATAGGGACCTGGTTTGTATTCCTGACACTATAATGTTCCTATAAGAAATGGATGTGGAGGCCTCTAGGGAGTATATTTTTTGGTGGGGGAGAGGGTTGTTGACATTCTTTTGGTGCAAAGTAAAAAATAGGTCCACGCAGGGCCGCTATCAGGGCATGACAACTATGACGGTTGTCATTGGCCCGGTGGTCCTGGGGGGGCCGGACAGCTGAGAGGTTCTGGGCCCCACATTGCCTATGTACCTATATATATATATATATATATATATATACATATATATATATATATATATATATATATATATATATATATATATATATATTAAAATTTGTTTAAAAAAAAAAAAGTTACCAAAAATAAATATGCTCTCCCTTCTCCCCCACCAATTGCAGCCCTATTTTATACACACTACATGCCTACACAAATGGAAACTGCATTCACTACACATACTAGATGCCTACAAAAATGCACACTGCATTCACTACACACACTACATGCCTACACAAACATACTCTGCATGGACTACACACACTGCACCTAATACACACAAACACACTCTGCATTCACTATACACACACTACATCCACTACATAAACACACACTCTGCATATATTACAAAAACGTACAGTCACCAACACCTCAGGTTAACTCACTCTAGAACATCTAAAATCAATGCACTAAAACAGATCCTTTCTGTGGCATCTTTTCTAGGTTGATTAATATTTTATAAGTTGTACATATAGGGCTCTGTAAGTTGGTCAATTTTACTGTCGAATGTCCAGAATGTGACTGATAAGGCGATGATCACGTATGTGAATGTATGGCAAAGTTTTTTGCTACTCGTGCTGAACAGGCGTGGCTTTTTATGCTGCTCACGTGTGAATCTGGCAGACATGTTTTTTGGTTACCACCTTAGCTGATCGCCAATCTAATTTTGAACACTTATAGAGGCGGGGAGTGAAGGACTTTTATGCAGTCCTAGTTGAGAAAGTCCATAGGACAAAACCGGTTGGAGACTTCCTCTTCTGCATTATAGTCAGAGCTCCAGCATTATCGAACAGACTCAGCTATCCTCATTGATCTAAACAGATCTCTTGGGGTTAAGCTAGCAAGGTATGGCATCCAGACTGATCTTCAGCCCAGGGGCTCATTTGTTGCAGCTTCAGCTGTAGGGGTTCTTTTGGATCATAAAGCTCCCTTAGCACTGTTTAGTTCACAAGCACCATATGTTTTTGTAAGTACAATATGTTACTTTGCAGTTTTCCATATATTGTTACATTTCACACTATGTGAATTTATTTTATCTTTTCAAGTGCATTATAATTTAAAGATTTATTATACTACAATAGTGTATTGTTATACTGAAGGTAACTATTTGTTTTATTTGTATTGCACTTACTTCCCACACCAACTCTCTTTTCAGAGAACATTGAAAATAGTGGGCTGACCTGCTTCATTAGCAAGCTGACCTGCCAGTAATTTGGGTGCTTCTGCTGCCTTTCTGGGAAGGCTGTCCCCTTTGGGCAGAGCCCCTTTGCCCTCCTCCCACTAAGTCATGTGACGCGGAAACCTGATGGGAAAGCAATGATTGTGGCAAAACCAGCCTCGCCACTGGGCATTGGAGAAGACTGATTGCCAGCCTCCTGCCATGTGACTATGGCCCCTGGGATGTATTGCCCTTTAAGAAACTTATTTGGGCTTATTGGGTTTTGAAACACTTTTTCTGCCCCTTTGAATACATGGGAAGGTGTGCTCCTCCCCCGTTTCCTGTCTATTGTTCTCCAGCAGGGCGTTGTCCCAGGGACCAGTTGGAACTTGCTGTTTTGCCCCTCCTCTGTCTCTCATCAGCCCTTGCTCTGGTTTAACCCCATGGCGATTTGACTGTGGGAGATCTGAGCGCTGTTTGGATATAGTGAGCGCTCATATGGGAGTTTGGTTCAATATAAGAGGAATTATGTATTTTTAGGTATTTTACTGTTGTTGTAAATGGAGATATGCCCTGTACTGGAAATAAGTAAGTTACCACACCTAACTTTTAAACCACTGGAGGGAATTGTATGATTTTTGTGTATGTTTGTATATGGAGTATGCTGATTCTGAAAATGTATGTTTTATGTGAATGGCATGTATATTTTGAAAGTTATTAATATTGTGTAAAAATTTTATATTTTCTGCCTGTGATAATTAAGTTAGTCTATTGTGTTGAGATTATTGTATCACAGGCAGAGGCGAGGATTTCTGCTGGTATGAATGGGAGTGTTTAGCTGTGTTGTAATGTATTGATTGGTTGTTCTTCAAAACCCTGTGGGCAGTACTATGTTTGTAAAATGGGCATAAAAGCAGAGTGTTGGATTAAAAGCTTCAGTTCTACTTCACCCTCAATTTGGAGTGCCGTCTCTCATTGGGGGAATCTGCTATTGCTATGCTTGTCATACTCCCTTGCTAAATCACTACTAAGCTCTTGTAAGAGCTTGTTCCTGCCTTGCGCTCTATGGTGTCTGCTGCAGTGCTTGGAGTCCTCAGGAAGCGCTAGGAGCATCCTTCAACGGAGGTACCCAGTCGGGGTGCCCGTCGATCCGTTACAACGCTCATTTGAGGAGCATTGTATAGGATAGGACATTGTTGGAAGAGTCCATGCCTCCTCCATGACATTGCGAGAGGCAGAGAGATAAGCAACAGAGAGTAAAATTTAATTTTTTACATTTTTATTGCTGGAGGGGAAAGATCTGAAAAGGAGTTGGGACACAGGGCTGCCATCAGAAATTTTGGGATCCCTTACCTAGCTCATGGCCTGGGCCTCTTGGTCCCGCCCCAAGTCCAATCACAGGGCCCACCCCGGAGACCGCCCACAAGGATGAATAAAGTGGATGTAGTGTGTGTATAGTGTATGCAGAGTGTGTATTTATATATTGGATACAGAGAGTGTATGTGTGAGTAAAGTGTAGGGGGATGCAGTGTGTATGTACTGGATGCAGTGTGTGTAGTTGATGTAGTGTGTGTGTTTGTTTGTGGGGTTGGATAGGGACTGTGGATGAGACGAGGTGAGCAGTTTTCTTTTTTAAATTGATAAATGTTTATTTCCCTTCTCTGTCTCTTACCTGTAGCCAGAGAAGGGAACACTAGATTCCCAGTTGGTCCTGTGGCACAGCAGCTTGCTGACTTCTGTAGAGAAGAGTTAGTCCAGGAGACCCCATATTACACCTCTGGCAGGTCTTCTCTCTCTCTCTAGTGAGCCCAGCACAGTGCCACGTTGGATGGTTGCCGTAGAACATCTACCAGAAATGGAACTTGGAGTCTTCTGGGCCCCCTCTTCACTATAGAAGTAGAGACCAGTGGGCCATATTGTATTGGTGCATATATAGCTATACCTCTATATATGTGTATGCATATTGGAGTAGCAGGGCACAGCAGATGCCCAATACAGCTGTATTTGCTGAACCCCTCTGATGGTGAACTTGGGAACACTATAGTGTTAGGAACACACAAAGTGGTTAAAAATTATGGTTATTGTAAAAACTCCAAAAATAACACCATGGACATGGTTAAAGCAGCTCTGTCACTATGAAGTATTTCATAAAGGTACAATCTTTATGATATACAGATCCTGACTGTTGAAATTTCACTGAAATCCCAAGCAATCAAAATATTTTGTCTTATTGTTAAACAGAGGTTGACAAAAAAAAGAGTTGACGTTCTCAGCCCATCAATTACAAACTAGAATTAGAAAGCTATGTATATTCCTCGAGGTAAGCCGGTGCCCAGGACCTCCTTGCACCATAACAACTTCATACTGATTAAAAATTCTTGTGCTGTTTCTTTAGTATCTCCTCAGTGAATCACTGATAATAAAAATAACGTTACACTGCATATTTATCTGTATTACTCCTTCATTGGATGGTATATTTCTTTATATTTCATTGTGGGTATCTTAGCTGGACACAGTCTCTGGCAGACAGCCCAGCTCTGGGAGGACAGTTTCTATAGGAGTTCCCAGCACAGGGCAGGGGGTTAGTCAGGGAGCCCCTCTGGTTTTGGAGAGGTGTAGGGATGCCATTGGCTGCAGAAGTTCCAGCTGGCCGTGTAGGTCAGTGATTGGCCACCTCTGGCATGTCAGCATGTCGCTGTTAATAAAGTTGTTTCAGAAGATGCGCCGCCCCACGTGTCGCGCTGGGGCTGATGAGGTGGCTGCTGACATGGCGGACCCGGGGAAGGCGGAGGGGGCTCAGCGCGGTGTCCCTCTCCTCCTCCCCGGGCCCCCCATGTCCCTGCTGCTGGTGGGGCTGGGGCTGCTGATGCTGGCCGGGCAGGCGGCGGCTCTGATCGAGGGCCTGTACTGCGGCCGCCAGGTGTGCTATGATGTGCTGGGGGTGAGCAGGGATGCCAGCAAGGCGGACATAGCCCGGGCTTACCGGCAGCTCGCCAGGAAGTACCACCCGGACCGGTACCGGCCCGGAGAGCAGAGCGAGGAGGCCAGCGAGAAATTCATCCTGGTGGCCACGGCCTATGAGACCCTAAAGGTGAGACTGGGACCGGTGATGGGGAGTGTGAAGCCGTCATCATCACATCCTGGGGTGCCACGTCTCCTATTATGCCCATCCAGCATAGCCGGCAAAGCAGCATGGGTAGCGTTGTCTGCAACAGAGGCTGTGCAGAAAGGGTTCACTTACAGCCCTCTGACAGATGGGAGACAAAGGGATGGAGGGAGCTGTGCCCATATACAACGTAACAGGGTCATTCACTAAAGTGAGAATTCAAAGCGAATGTTTCCAGTATGGCTATTTGGACCTTATATTTGAAATTCACTTTAAATTGTCACTTTTGTGAATAACCCTGCATGTTTTTTTTTCGTTTAGAACAGTGTCTTCTATTTGCAGGGTGCAATGGAATGTTGGCAATGTTTGTGTGTTGTTGGGATCCAGTTTATGGAATGTATTGGACTAGGGTGGTACATCTGTGACATTCCAGGTTTGGTTGACTATGTTTCACTTGTTGCTTGCAACACCTGTATTTTTTCATAAATGTTATTCACTATTGGCATTTTCCAGTCAAGCTAACCCTGGCATTCCAGATGTTTATGAGCTTCTTTTGCTGGATGCGTTGCAAAATACATGGGCATCTTATTTGAAAGCATCTGGAGTACCAGGGTTAGACATTACTGTTCTGAAACTTTAGAGTGGTGAAAGAACTAATGTGTTTACTCAATACCTGCCAGAGTTGCGATTGCTAATGACCAGCATGCGTGGAGTGCACTAAATCTAAACTGTGGAAAAATCTTAATATAAAGTTCATTTATGAGGTTTTTATATTTTAAAGTTATTCCTTCAATTAGTCAGTATGTTGTAATCTATTAGCATTCTGTCTATATCTAGAGAACGTATTTCTCTAAAAAAGTTAGAGAAACACTCTGTGTTCAATAACTTAATCAGAATTAAAGGGACACTGTAGGCACCCAGACCACTTCAGCTCATTGAAGTAGTCTGGATGCTGTGTCCCTTTTGCACCTAATGCTGCAATGTAAAACACTGCAGTTCCAGAGAACTGCAATGTTTACATTGCATCTCTAAGTCTGCCTTCAGTGGCTGTCTACTTCCACGCTTCCGGAATAGTAACGGACCAAAAGTCACGCTCTGCATGAGGACCTTCAGCGTCATATTTTTCCCCATAGGAGAGCATTGATTCAGTGCTTTCCTATGGGGAGGTCAAATGCGCATGCAGCATTTGCCGCACATGTGCATTAGACCCCGCTTGTCATGGGACGGAGGAGGGGACAGAGCTTCAAAACCAGAGCGGAGTGACATCGGAGCTGGGATAAGGCGAGTAAAGTTTTTTTTGTTTTTTTTTTACCCTTTAGTTACCAGGGGTAGGTGGGGGGGTGGATACAGAGGGATCTGTAGTGCCAGGAATACAGCTTTGTATTCCTGGCACTACCGTATTCCTTTAAACTGTTATGGTGACAAGAGGTTTCTGGTGCTTACTTACCTTAAGGGATAAACTGTTCATAAATGGTTTAACCCCAAAGTCTGTGATCCAGCGCAAGATCACTTTGCCACACGTGCTATTACTTTCTCAAAATCTTTAGAACAGAAGGCTCGGTCAGGGGATCCACTAATTGGTGGAGAGCATTTAGCTGACACTCTCTAAGACAATAAGTAGCTCCCCATTTATATTTAAAAAAAAAAAAAAAAAAAAAGATATGTCTCAGCAGCTCCCCTGCCAGACGCTGGCATAGCCTTCTGTTCTGAAGGTCTTGAGAAAGCAGAAAGACAGGGCACAGAGTGATCTAGCACTGGAGCATAGACTTTGAGGTTAAAAGTTCATTAAATGTTTAACCCCTAAAGGTAAGCCAGCACTAGGGACCTCCTGGTACTATAACAACTTAATTTAAATGAAATTATGGTACATTGAATGTTCCTTTGATCAACATTTGTCTATACAGAACTGTTGTGCTTCCTACACTTCCGAGTATAAGTGAATTCAGTGGATTTATTTTGTATTTTATTACCACACCTCATCTCTTTTTAGGCCACCCTCTTTCTTTACTTTCCCATTTCCTTTGATGCTATGGTATCACAGATTGTACAAACTTACATGAGATCACATTCCTTCAGCTAATTAGATCCTACACAGGCTATAACAGGCTCTTTCTTTAGATTTAACAAAAATCCATATTTTCCATCAAAGCACCAATGAATGTATGCCATAAGAAAAAGGATAGTACACCGATAGTACTTAGGAGCAGGTGTGCTTTTGTGTGTACAGTTGGTATTTGTATATAATGTTAGCGGTTTGATACACGGGTGTGTTTGAATGTGATGTTTGCATTTGCGTGCAGGGGTGTGCTTGGACGTAGTGTTAGATTTTAAATGCAGATGTACTTTTGTGTGTAGTATTAGTGTTTGAGTGAATGGTGTGTTTGTATATAAATTTGAAATTTTAATCCAAGGGTTTTTGTATGTAATGTTTGTGTTTGCAGGAGTGTGTTTGCACGTTGTCTGTGTTTGAGTGCTGGGATGTATGCACATATAATTGCTATAGATACATACAAACATACATACATACACAGACACAAAGATACAGACCTTGAAACACAGATACACTCAGACACACATACTTTTTGACAGACACATAAAAACACATATACATTCTCACTGACAAGCATGCATACACGCTCACTGACACACATACAAACTCCTTAACAGACACGCACACTATTAATTTATTTATTTTAAATTTCACTCCACCCAGCCTCCCTACCTTTGGGAGTGCTGGCATGGAGTCTCTATTTCTTTGGGATCCAGTGGAGCTGCTGGGCTGAGTGTCTGGCATGCGGTCCCTGGGGTCCATTGGGGCTGCTGGGCTGAGCGGCTGGCATGCGGTCCCTGGGGTCCAGTGGGGCTGCTGGGTTGAGTGGCTGGCATGCGGTCCCTGGGGTCCAGTGGGGCTGCTGGGCCGAGCGGCTGGCATGCGGTCCCTGGGGTCCACTGGGGCTGCTGGGCTGAACGGCTGGCATGCGGTCCCTGGGGTCCAGTGGGGCTGCTGGGCTGAACGGCTGGCATGCGGATGGCGAGGGAGCAGAGATCCCTCATGCTCCTCTTAGTGGGGCCCGAGTAATGTCATATTCCGTCTCCGGCAACACTGCGGTGCGCGCGAGGGAGCTGAGCAGGGGAGAGTGGTCCCTTGCCGTCCGCCTCAATTATCAGCGGCACCCGACCAGGCCAAATCGAGGCTGCCATTTTTGTTTTTGTTTTCTCGCAAAACACCAATTGGGAAATGCTGGTATAAAGTATCAATCTGAGAGAATTTGTGCAGATGGGTAATTTTGTATTTTTGGTGCATTATATTAATGAGCATATTTAGACAAATATTTCAGAAGATTGAATTGTTTTACCCATATACATTTGCTATAATGAAGCAGGCTAACAGGGTTATTCATTAAAACTCACATTTCAGGGAACAATAGCTCAATTGGGCTACTTTGGCCTAAAATTTGAAATTTACCTTGCATTCCAAGCCATTCACATTTTAAGTTATCTCTGGATGTGTTCATATGCAAGGATATTGTTTTGATTTGAGAAATAATTAAATGTCACACTGGTCTGTATCTTTGCAGTGGTCTCAGCTTATCACTAGCTCCCCATTCATAAAACTGAATGATGGCAGTACAATCCATTTTCTTTTTATTAAATTAGTTTTTTTTAAATGTTTTTTTTACCCCTTAATGTAAGATTGCACTAGAGAACATTTGGCACCATAACAACTTCATATTAATTAAGGTGTTATGGTGCCTGAAATATTGCCTATAAGAAGCCTATCGGGTAGGTAATGGGTAAAATCTCATCAGTAGGTGGTCTTTTTTTATTTACTTTGCACTAATAGGACACATAGGGGATTATTGTAGGGGTTGATGGTGTGATGGGGATGCAGTATTGTAGATTTCAACAGCCATTACAATTCTTATGTTGAAATTACTCTCATAGAGACAGAATTGACTTGTGATAGAGAGAATGTATTTGAAGATTCCAACCCCATACATTGATTGAAGGGGGAATTAGTTATCCTTTTTGGTCCTACATAAAATTCTAGAAAGTAGAAGCCTAGTCAGCTCTCTCAACGAATAGAGATCTGTAGGAAGTGATCTATTGTTTACCTGAGTTTATGTGCTGTGAATTTATAGAATATATGGAGTTGTTTAGATGGCTTCTTAAAGATTTGCAAAAAAAAAGTAATGATGTTCCAGGCACTCAAGTTCAATCCAGTGGGCAGATTTATTGCAGCAAAATCAAAACAAGCTTGACAAAGACCCTGTTGTGGGTCGAAACGAACTTGAGTGTCTGAACCATCATTACTTTTTTGCAAATCACATTGTGAGAATTGGCCAACCTCATGCCCGGTTGCACCCTGGGATCCAGGAGAGTGCGGTATCCATATAGGTAATTATATTGATGCTTCTTATAGATTGACTGTTTATCCTTCTAGTGCAAGTTGAAACACTACAGATTGCTACGGCCTATACTATTCGTTACTAAATATTGCCGTGCATTGGTTACTTTTTAGACAGCCATAATCGATACAGATATAACCGTGCTGTTTTGCTAGCCTTTAACTGATGGTGATTTTACTTAATACTTTGATTTTTGAGGCAGTAATATCTGACTCATGCTCCACTTTACTACACCCTTTAGGTATTTAGGACACGTTTTTAGGAATCTGATCTCAAAATGTATAAAAGTAGGATTATGTTGTTATGTTGCTATCTTAGCATTCAGAACAGTTGTCTCTCAAATAAATAATTTGTCCCACTCTATTATCAATTATTGTTTTTTGTATTTTGTTTTTGATGGGTTTTTTTTTATGTTCCTTGCCTTTTGTGGTATAATTTGATTAAAGATATGGTTAACCCTAATTATCAATTATTAGGTGGTCTGTAGAAGGAAATTAATTACATGCCTTCATTCTTACATTTTTATTTATTTTCTTTCTCCCTGGTTTCCATCCAAATTACTGTAGCCATTGTCATAAGTCCTAACAATGTAAGTAGCCTGGTGTGTTGAGAAACTTGTATAATCTTTAAAAGTACCCAGGATGACTACACTATACATTCATATTAAACATTTCATACAATGGATACTTATGCAGTTTATTTTCTCACTTTAACTCACTTTAATTTTAGTGTAAACAAGAAATGCAGGACACTATTTCTGCCTCCTAAAACCCATAATTTATTTAGATAAACATACTTTTTATTTCATCATTTATCAGGATGAAGACACACGTAAGGATTATGACTACATGTTGGATCACCCAGAAGAACACTACAGGCATTACTATCATTACTACAGTAGGCGGCTGGCACCGAAGGTGGATGTGAGGCTTGTCGTTCTAGTTACAGTGTGTGCCATCTCACTGTTTCAGGTATGATGGGAATACTTGGTTTATTGTATCAAGAGAGTTGGCAAAGAACAAACAAATATAGAACTCTTTCCTTAAAGGAACATTATAGGGCCAGAAACACAAATGTGTGTTCATTACCCTATAGTGTTAAAACCACCATCTGGCCCACTTAAGTATTGTAAAATCTTACGTGTGTTCAAGTCTTCAGCTGTTGCCTCTGTCCCTGGTCTGCATGCTTGGCTGACATCATCAGAAGTGATGGCCTGAGCCAATCACAATGCTTCCCCATAGAATTGGCTGAGACTGTCAAGGAGGCAGATCAGGGGCAGAGGCAGCACAAGCCAAACACAGCCCTGGCCAATCAGCATTTCTTCATAGAGATGCATTGAATCAATGCATTTCTATGTGGGAAATTTCAGTGTCTCAATGCTGTTGGTGGAGACACTGAATGGCAGTGTGCAGCACTGCCCCAGGAAGCACCTCTAGTAGCCATCTGAGGAGTGACCAGTGGAGCTATCACTAGGCTGTAATGTAAACACTGTGTTTTCTCTGAAAAGATAGTATTTACTGCACAAAGCCTGACGAGAATGATTCTACTCACCAGAACAAATACAAGAAGCTGTAGTTGTTCTGGTGACTATAGTGTCCCTTTTTATTTTTTGTTTGTTTTTCTTGCATTAATCTCTAGCTTGGGGGAACTGAGTTTTTCTCCCCTTGGCAATATTAAATGCTTTACTTGGTATAGTATAGGTAAGTAATATAAACTGAATTATCCTTTAAAGGTCATGTAGTGATTATGCCATGAAGGCTCTAACAACCTCACTATTCTAAATAGTCAAATCATTTTAGAATGGTTTGACTTCTTACCTGGGGTCCATTGGGCATCACTCCCCAACTTTATTCACTGGTGTGGAGAGCCAGAAGCTCTGTAAGCGGAGTAGGGCTTGGCTTACTGGCTGAGAGCAATCATTGCAGGGCTTAGTTCAGGACAGCCAACAGAAGCTCCTTAGGAACTTACAGTTCTTCAAAAGAAGTAGTAGAGGATGAAAATGGCGCCCAGCAGTTCGTAATTGGTTTGACTTCTTACTCACTAAAATTCCAACCCAATCAAGACAGAGACAATGTAGGGACTACTTTGTCTCTGTAGTTCTCCTCCGCCTGACTTTATGAGACTCTGGGCGGAGTCTGTGTTAATCACAACAGCTGTCACCATGATGGCTGCAGGGAATTGGCTCTGTGTATGGAGGATCCTTCACAGATCATAGATCATAGGTCTCAATGCTTTACTCTTGTGCACGTGCTAGAGTACAGCAGTGACATCGGAGCAGACCCGAGCAAGATGGCCTCACCCGCGAGGGACATGTTCAGGTAAGTAAATCTCACCATTACATGCCTCTCCCCAACCCTCCAGTGGCAATGTCACCATTGGGGTCTTTGTGAATTTGGCAAAGTTCACAGACTGTGCCACTTTAAACATTGAAGATGCACATACAGTGTCTGAGAGAGATTTCACATCAACTCCTATTTGTCATTCAGCGTATGCATTTCCGCAAGGGTAGAACAAATTAAATTAAAGCACAGCCAATTTACAATTGCTAAAATAGATAGGTAAAATACATAAGAAGGGTTTCCTTTAACTGTTGCTGTTAAGAAAATAGTTATTCTTCCAGTGTCTTCATTAATTTAGCTGCAACAATTATTTGACTTGCAAGCTTCTGATAACAAGACTCCTTGCCTCTGTCTCTCTGAAGTAGCATAATATACTTATCCAACTGTTAAACAATCGTTTGACCAGTGATAGTCAAAATCTTCAACTTATCGTCATGATTGCATTAAGCCTTAATGGTATTGCTTTACATGACACTCTTATTTTTTTTCCTCCTCTTTGTTTCTTTACACTTCAGTTCTACAGCTGGTGGAGCAGCTATAATGATGCTATTAACTATTTAGCAACCGTGCCAAAATACAGAATCCAAGCTGCTGAAATTGCACGGCAGCAAGGGCTGCTCAACAAGGCTAAAGAAAAGGGAAAGAGCAGGCGGTCTAAAGAAGAAATCCGGCAGGAGGAAGAGGAGATAATCAAGGACATCATAAAGAACAAAATAGACATCAAAGGGGGTTATCAGAAGCCGCAGATCTATGATATCCTGTTTTTCCAAATCATTTTATTTCCCTATTATCTATTTAAGTATATATCCTGGTATGTCTGGTGGATTTATACTTTTAACATAAAAAGAGAAGAATATGGTGAAACAGAAAAACTTTACCTCATCCGGAAAAATATGAAGATGTCAGAAGCTCAGTTTGACAGCTTGGAAGATCATCGGAAGGAGAAGTTTCTAGAGCAGCAGTTATGGATACGAGAAAACTTTGAGGTAAGGGAAGGAGTAGGTTAAAAAACCCAAGAGAAAGATGGGAGCCTTCTGTCTTTTATATAAGATGCATGCAATTAAATAACAGAAGGGCTGATTAGAAATGCTACACAGTTTATTCCTCACTGGTTAAATAAAATAAATTGGCCTCAAATTGCAGTCAGGTAATTACTGTTTGGTTTCATTGGACCCTTTGTTCTAGCCACAGTTCCTACCTGACAAACACAATTTTTTTTTCTACAGGACATGCATTCTGTTACTTTAAATTTCTGCAAGAGCAAACTACCGAAATATATTCTAGTTGTTTGTTAAATTGTATTTTAAAAAAAGAAAACCTAATTTCCTACCTTTTTGTATATGGCCAGATCCTTCAGACATATACATGCACCTTGGGTCAGATAGTGTTTAAAACTCACCAGTTGGTCTATATAAGTGGTGCTCAAAAAGTAAATCCTCAGATGTTGTAAAAATACAACTCCCATGATGCTTTGTATGCCTTTAGAATGGCAAAGCATCATGGAAGCTGCAGTTTTAAAACATCTGGGGATCTACCTTTTGGGCACCCCTGGTCTAAATGATCTTCCTGCTTCACTCTCTGATTAGTGCAATGACATCATGAGACTGACTGACTGTTTAATACAAACAATCTCTGACAAAAGGTGCATGTATAAAGCTTTAGGATCCTGTCATACACTAAAGATAGGGATGATCTAATTTTTACATAAGTTTCATTTAACAAATCCATTTCCTTTCCTTGATGAAAGAATCATTATATTAAAAATAGTTTTGAGGTGACAGTAATTCTTTAATTTATGGTAGCATTTTTAGAGTCAAATTCAGCAACATTTTAATAAAGGAACACCATCACATTGCAAATACAAACCTGTATCTAGCTATTTAGCCTTGCTGGCATATCTCTCATAGCAGATTGTAAGCCAAAATGTCTGAAATTTGAAAATTAATACAATTCTGCAAATTCAGCCTAACATTTGTGGATTTTCCATAATGGGCAGTTTAGTGAATAACACCCATAATTGTCATTTCTACTTAACATTCAGGCCTTTCTCACTATAAATGTGTGTTTTTTTTGTTTTCTTTCAAAGAAAGAGGGATCTTTTAATTTCTTATAGCCGTGATGCTGGCAAAGCATCATGGGAGATGTAGTCCACGTAATCTGGAGTGCTGAAGCTTGCCTACCACTGTAGTCAAACAGCAGGTATTTTTGGTGAGGAAAAAATAGTTTGTGTTGGTTAAGTACCACAACAGGAAATATTCAAACCACTATCTAAGGAGGCATATGCGATCTTCCATTAAGGCGTTAGTCCACAGATTGTGTACCTCTACCAGAAGATGAATGTCACCCATCTTCTTAATTTAGGTATCTGTGTTTTTGTATTTAATTTTTTTTCCCCAATAGCAGCTTTAATATATTGTTCTGTACAAGGAGTTGACACATCTTGTACTAAACCTTATTTGCATTTTTATTAAAAGTAATGTGGCATTGAATAACCAACACTACCCACTCTATATACTTGGTTATACTTGGTTTTTGTTTCCCTTGCGTTAGAGCAGCTTTTAATGAAGTATTCTAAATGTGTTTTACCAGGTGTACAGGCAGGAGCAAGAAGAGGAAATGAAGCAAAAATTGGCATCTGACCCCCGATGGAAGAGGTATCGAAGGTGGATGAAGAATGAGGGTCCTGGAAGGCTTACATTTGTAGATGACTAAAATGCTATGCTGCTATGGTGCTAACCGAAGAGATTATTTTCATAAAATAAATTATAAGAATTCTTTTTATCTGCAAAGAAACTAAAACACAAGAACAATTTATCAATACTTTGGTCTGTTTTTGTTTTGTTCCCCCTATGACTTATTCTGTGAAAGGCAGTCTGTCTTATTTTAGAGTAAAATATAACACCTTTTGAAATAGGTACATAATATGAGTTTGAGAGATTACAAATTACACAGAGCCTTGGGGTTTATAGATTAGTAAGTAAATCACTTTGTATGTATTCTCAGAGGGGAATAATTGCCAAGCATTCCATTCTTGGTGTGAAAAGGAAGCAACTTAATTTCTGCAGTTTAGATTTCTATTAAAAAGGCTTCTTAAATTATAATGTTCCCTTCACTCTAACTTTTATATAATCAAACTATTTTTGTAACAGATATTTTTATATATCTAGTCATATAGTATTTTATTGCCTCACTTTTTAACAAAAGTTTATTAACTCTATCAACACACATCTTATTGTTATTGGTGAAATATTCACTAAATTCACAGATCAAATTTTTGTTATACACTTCGTAAATATCCACACCTGTCTTTTTCTTCCCAAACATTCTAAGAATACAAAACTGAATCCGTTATGTGGTAATTAGAAAGTGCACAAACGAAGTACTCGACCATCTTTCTCTGAGGGCCGGAAGATTGGCAATGGAAATCCTAACCTAGTTCTATGTTTTGGCTCCTCTTGAAGACTGAACTGCTGGCCTTAAGGAAACTTTTTTAGACACCTGGATTAATCATCGTACTTCAAATTAACTTTCAGTCTCCCAATTGATTTTTATACATGTGTTATTCAGGTAACTGGCAAAACAAATAATAAAAAAAAACAAAAAACTTTTAGATATTTCCACACTTGATAACTTTTGTTTTAATAAAGTTTTACTTTCTTAAAAAAAAGTAACCTGGGATCCAGAATTAAGGGAATGTTGAAACAGTAAAACAAAGAACAATGATATACTTATCTCTCAAAAGATATTTTAACATCTTATTCCTTCATATTTCTCATTAAGGGGACACTATTGGCACCCAGACCACTTCAGCTCATTGAAATTGTCTGGGTGCATATTACCAAGTCCCTTAACCCTGCTGAGGTAGTTATTGCAGGGTTTTTTGTTTTTTTATATATTGCAATAATTAGCTTTGTGGGGTAATGCCATCGGTAGTAGCTGTCTACCAGACAGCCACTATAGGGACTTACGGGTGTTTTGGTCGCCTAACTGATGCTGGATGTCGTGAGGATATTCTGTGTCACCAGAATCCTCATAAGAAAGCATTGTATGTATAATCAGACATTGGTGCTGGACCCAGGTAGATGACCGTGTTTTTAACCCCTTCTGCACCACAGGGGAAGGAGGTGGGCATATTAGTTTCCCTTTAAGTTGAAATCTAGAAAAATATTGTTGTTGCCTTCATATCTCAAATTGGAGTTTGGAAAGTATCTGTTGAGCAAGGAAACAATGAGAATTCATGTTTTCACAACTATCCTAGAATTCCCAGCTTGACATGCAAATGCGCATGGACATGCATTGGGTTTCAGACTTCACTTTGCAGTGCTACAGGTACCCTTAGCAATGGACCCTGTTTTAAACAAGAACTCTAGGTCTATCCATAGCTAATAATAAGCCATACAAGAAGCCCAGTATTAAAAAGGTATTTTATGCAACCAAAATATGACTGAACTGTGTTATGGAATTATTAGTAAAGAGATATTACCAATGGTTATATAATTAACATTTGGATCAGTATCTTTAAAATTAATATAAGCTTTAAAAAATAAATAAATAAACACACACACATTAGAAGGGTAACCAAACTCCTCATATGTAAAGACCAAAATGGAAGCAGCACGTCGTCCTGAAAAAAATACTTTGCAGAAAATGCCTTAATCCATACTGCAACAAAATTGCTGATGTGAGCCCAAACAGTATCTTTAGACTGCACAAATGTTGCAATTATAATTAATATATACCTAAGGACTTGAAGAGAATAGTAAGAAATCTACTGACTGTATAATTACACACTCTACTCTGCAGAAAATATATTTGTACACACTGCCCAATCTGTGCCTTATAAATTGCAACAAATGTTGCTCAGATAGTTCATGTATACAATATCAGCTTGCAAATACAAGCAAAATATATATATATATATATATATATATATCTATACACACTAACTATATAGCCACAAGATCTCTGTAAAATATCCTAAAGTCATAAAGAATGAATTACACTAAACTATATCTTTCTAACCATTACAAAATTAATAACAGCTTTTAAAAACATCTCAGAGTTTTTAGCTCTTTATATCCACTATATGAACCGTACAGCAGGAAATCCATGTGGTGAGATTTATTGTATAGTTTGTGTTTTTGTTACTTGCATAGTCATTCACAGTATCCTGCATGTTGCCCTGCTTATTTCAAAGACGTCTAAACCTGCTCATGGTCACAATATTCCCCTTTGTCACTCTGTAGTATCCTGTCTCACTCAGAAAACTTTCTTCAAACTTGCAGCTGATGAAATACGTGGCACACATGACCATGTGCAGATTCATTAAAGGGACACTCCAGGCACCCAGACCACTTCTGCCCATTGGAGTGGTCTGGGTGCCAACTCCTATCACCCTTAACCCTGCAAGTGTAATTATTGCAGTTTTTATAAACTGCAATAACTACCATGCAGGGTTAAGTCCTCCTCTAATGGCTGTCTATCAGACAGCCACTAGAGGGACTTCCGTTTTCTTAAAACACAAAAAGTGTGTTAAACAACGCTGGACTTCCTCACGCCATGCATGAGGACCTCCAGCGTCGCCGGAATCCCCACAGGAAAGCATTGACGAATGCTTTATTATGGTGAGGTCTAACTCCTCATTAGGTCTCCCTGCCAGCTGACGGCAAGGGAAGAGCATGGGCGGAGCCTGACCTGATTCAGGCCACATGGGATGGGGAGTGGGAGGGAGAGGGGCACTGCAGGAACCTGCAGTGCCAGGAAAATGAATATGTTTTCCTGGCACTGGAGAGTCCCTTTAAAAAAATTTCATTGTGTATATATGCACTAAACGGAAAAAAAAGATGAATCCCAGCATATTACCTATATACACCAGGGCCAGGCAACCTTCAACACTCCAGATGTTGTGGGCTATATGTCCCATAATGCTCATAAAGCTGGCAAAGCATCAGAGGAGATGTAGTCCAAAACATCTGGAGTGCCGAAGATTGACGATTACTGGTATTTATTGTTGATTCTAAGGTCCTGTATAGATGCAGTGTGCACAAGGCAGTCCACTACAGGTTCTCTAGACGCTGGATCCACGTTCCGATGCCAGCGGAGATCAACCAGATACACGTTTCATCCTGTGTCAGGGCTTTGTCTATGGTGTCTAACTGGTCCTATTGTCTGGCATTTTATACCAGTTAAATTTGGCTATATACAGTTAAAGAGATATTGTTGTATGTACTAGACTTAGCTGAAGTCTATAAAACATTTTTTTTAAATTGAGAAATGAAAAAGATAAGGAAAAAAAATAACATGAATAAGACAGTTGGGGGATCTCCACCCAAATCCAACATTAAAGGAACACTATAGTCACCTAAATTACTTTAGCTAAATAAAGCAGTTTTAGTGTATAGATCATTCCCCTGCAATTTCACTGCTCAATTCACTGTCATTTAGGAGTTAAATCACTTTGTTTCTGTTTATGCAGCCCTAGCCACACCTCCCCTGGCTATGATTGACAGAGCCTGCATGAAAAAAAAAAAACTGGTTTCACTTTCAAACAGATGTAATTTACCTTAAATAATTGTAAATCACATACAGAAGGCTCTTGCAGGGTCTAGCAAGCTATTAACATAGCAGGGGATAAGAAAATCTTAATTAAACAGAACTTGCAATAAAGAAAGCCTAAATAGGTCTCTCTTTACAGGAAGTGTTTATGGAAGGCTATGCAAGTCACATGAAGGGAGGTGTGACTAGGGTTCATAAACAAAGGTATTTAACTCCTAAATGGCAGAGGATTGAGCAGTGAGGCTGCAGGGGCATGTTCTATACACCAAAACTGCTTCATTAAGCTAAAGTTGTTCAGGTGACTATAGTGTCCCTTTAAGTAAATCGGGAAAAAAACTTTAATAGAAAGTGACAGTGCTCCATGGTTAAAAGTTATTAAAATTGTATATCAGGATAATATTTTTAAAAATGGGGGCCCTAAAGTGGGCGTGCACTTAGGGGAAGGCATTTTATGTTCGCTTTATAGCCTGGTTGGTGAAAACCAGTGTGGATTCCGGTTAAAATTTTCTCATTGCCCTCGTCATGTTGATGTCCCTGGGGAGATCCATTTTACAAACAGGGTGGAGTGCCATTGTGTTGGTACTTAGAGTGCTGTTATGTAATGAGGCTATTTGAGTCCCTTTGCAATCTTCACTTGTTTCCTCCAAAAACACTTCTGTGTGTCTGGAAGAAAGTGCATCTGCAACTTTCCTATCATGAATTATCTGTGATGTAAAAAGGAAGAATCTGTGCCATTTCCTGTTTGATTCCTAAAACAATGGAGGCCATGGAGTGGAAACATGTTTTGCCAAAACTATTGATAAATTCTTCAACACGTATGAAATATGCATAATAGCAATTGTAACATTTAAGCAAGTAAGCTGTTACATAAAGAAGTATTGCACTAACTTGAAAACATGGAGAAATGAATACCTATGTTATGAGATATAATAATATTCAGTTGGCAGAATGTGACTAAAATTAACGTATTTTACGCATATATGAATGCATAGGCTAGCATTTTACCTTCCCCTTGCTTCAGCACTGCTTTTTACCATATAGATAAACTATGTCTGTGAGGGCCCTATCCTGCCCTTTGCATTTCTGCAAAGCTGCCTGTTACAGAGGACCTCGCCTTCTTTGACCTGACCCATGCTGCAGAGCAACCGTTGAACATCATGGCGGTATTGAGTTAATGACAGGGATTCTTTGCTGGCTGCAAAGCCCTGCTTGTACTGATGCTTGGTGTGATTGTACTTTATGTGGGCAGAATCATGCTTAAAGTGCAACATCAGCAGAAAGGCATTTTAGCAGGATACTTCACCATATTTGTCACACACACTAGAAGTGAAAGTTGCTGCAAATCCCTCTGTCAGAAGCCCAGCTACTTTGGAAATGATGTGACACTTAAAGGACCACTATAGTGCCAGGAAAACATACTCGTTTTCCAGGCACTATAGTGCCCTGAGGGTGCCCCCACCCTCAGGGACCCCCTCCCGCCCGGCTCTGGAAGGGGGAAAGGGGTTTAAACTTACCTTTTTCCAGCGCTGTGCGGAGAGCTCTCCTCCTCCTCTCCGCCTCCGTTACGCCCCGCCGGCTGAATGCGCACGCGCGGCAAGAGCTGCGTGCGCATTCAGCCGGTCTCATAGGAAAGCATTTACAATGCTTTCCTATGGACGCTGGCGTGCTCTCACTGTGAAAATCACAGTGAGAAGCACGCAAGCGCCTCTAGTGGCTGTCAATGAGACAGCCACTAGAAGATTAGGGGGAAGGCTTAACCCATTCATAATTATAGCAGTTTCTCTGAAACTGCTATAATTATGAAAAAATGGGTTAACCCTAGAAGGACCTGGCACCCAGACCACTTCATTAAGCTGAAGTGGTCTGGGTGCCTAGAGTGGTCCTTTAACTTGATTTCCTGGGCGCTTCCGGTCCGGCCCTTTCTTCAGATATCACTAAAGTGGAAGGCTCTACTTGCGCATTAGTAACATCAGTTTTGTCCACCTTTGGATGGAATTCTGTGGCTGAAATTGACATATGGGAATTTTTAATTGCAGGGCCATTTCCTTTCTTTGTTATTTGGGATCCTCTGGTATCACTTGTTACCTGGGACTCTGTTCTGCCAGCTAGGGACATAATTAATTGCCCAACACTGAACTTCTAGGTTCAGTCACAGTGATGTCCTTTCTGATAGTGGCATTTCCTCCGACAAGGGGAGACCCACAGGACCTGAGGAGACCCTGATTGCTAAGTTTAGAATTAGGGTTAGCATTAGTGTTAAGGATGAGTATTAGGGTTAGGATTAAAGGAAAACTACAGCAATGGGAATTTAAATGTGTATTCCTAATACTACAGGGTCCTATTCATTGTTTTTGCAACCTCCCCTCTTCCGGTAAAGAGTAAATAGGTAGTTTACTCACTTTTCTTCATTGCCATGGTGCTTTCTTTATTGTTGGTCCTGACTCGTTGACTCCATCAATTTCGGGACTTTTCTTGTAGCCACTTGGTAGATAACTCCTTAATTCCCACGGTATTAGGGGGTTATCTACCAAAAGGCTGAAAGACCTAAATTGGTCTTTCAGCCAAATTTACTAATACTAAGTAAAAATTACTTAGTATTAGTACATTTTGCTTCTACTCGCTATACCGCGAGTAGGGGCATATCTATTAAACAGTGAGCAGCCTGTGGCTGCTCACTGTTAAAAAACAAAAACAAAGGGTCCCCCCTCCCTGGGTGGGGGCCCTAAAGTAAAAAAGGGGGGAGGACCTATTGTCCTCCCCACCGGACCCCACTCCTGAGCGGCAGGTGGGGGCCCTAAATAAAAATTGGGGGGGGCGGGGGACCTAATGTCCTCCCCATGGCCCCCACCCCTGAGCGGCGGGTGAGGGCCCTAAACAAGAATAGGGGGGAACCTAATGTCCTCCTCCCTGGCCCCCATCCCTGAGCAGCGGGTGGGGGTCCTAAATACAAATTGGGGGGGGGTACCTATTGTCCTATTGTCCTTCCCCCTGGCCCCACCCCTGTGCGGGAAAGTTCTTTGGAATTAAGTAACCAGAGAGTTATGAGTCAAATTACACAGCAAATTCCAAAGAACTTTCCCACGCTGTATAAATGACACAGAGCACTCTGATTGGTGGATTTCAAACCAACCAGAGTGCTGTGACAGGTAAATGTAGAGACTTAGTGACCCCTAGTCACCTGGGGGGAGGGGGGTTAAATTTGTATTTAGGGCCCCCACCCACCGCTCAGGGGTGGGGGCCAGGGGGGAGGACATTAGGTCCCCCCCTATTCTTGTTTAGGGCCCCCACCCACCACTCAGGGGTGGGGGCTAGGGGGGAGGACATAAGGTCATCCCCCCTTATTCTTGTTTAGGGCACTCAGGGGTTGTGGTCAGGGGGGAGGACATTAGGTGTCCCCCCCCAATTTTTATTTAGAGCCCCCACCTGCCGCTCAGGGGTGGGGGCCGGTGGGGAGGACAATAGGTCCTCCCCCCCTTTTTTACTTTAGGGCAGCGGGTGGGGGCCAGGGGGCGCAATAGGGCTTAGGAGGGGAGACCTTTTTGTTTTTTTTTTTACAGCTGCTCACTGTTTAATAGACATGCCCCTACTCGCGATATATAGCGAGTAGGGGCATAATTTACTAATACTAAGTAATCTTTACTTTACCAATTCAGGTCTTTCAGCCTTTTAGTAGATAGCTCCCTAATACCGTGGGAATTAAGGAGTTATCTACTTATTCATTCGTGTCATTACATTGACTGGCTAAGTAACTTACATTTTATATGAATGTATGTTACTTGATTGTTGTAAGTGTTGCAAATGCTTACAGCTGAATCCTGGCTATATTTGTATACTTTTTATTTGAAATTGTATACAATGTAACATTCTTCTTCTTTCACTAAGGGAGGACATTAGGTAAGTATATTATTACTTGGGCAATATTGTGCTTCGGAACTTCGGCACTTTTATACTACTACACTTCGGAAATTCGGTAATTTCGGGACTTCATCAATTTGGCACTTCAGCTATTTGGACATTCGGAAGCACCCGAATGTCCGAATTACCCGAAATTCTGCCGAATTTTAATTCGGACTGAAACGAATTGCACATGTCTATTGCATTAGGGTGTGCACCCTAAAGCACAAACACACATATACATTATATATATATACATATATATATACACACACACATATACACTTAATGTAAGGGGGTGATAGTGAGGGGGGATACTGGAAGAGAGGTGGTAATGGTGTGTGAGGGAGTATACTGGGAGGGGGGTGAAAGTGAGAGGGGATACTGGGAGGCAGGGGTTGAGATTAAATACCTTATTTCCCTGCTGGTCCAATGTCCTTCATTCCCTGGCAGTCCGGTGAGTTCCCTTGCGGTTTCGGTGGGCTCCCTGGTGGTCCTGTGTGGGCTCCCTAGCAGTCCAGTGGGCAGGATATCCGGTCTGCAGCTCTGCAGTGTGCAGAGCTGCAGACCACGTATCTCGCAAGACCTGGTTAGAGCGTTGCCATGGTAACCTGCGGCAACGCTCTGATTGGCCAGATCTCGTAAAACTCATGGTCTGCAGAAGCTCTGCACACTGCAGAGCTGCAGACCGGTTTCCGTGATTGGTGCTCTCCTCCCGGCAGACTGGAGGGGTCTCGCACCCGGCGCCATACAGAGAAAGCCACCGGCCCCCCTCCTGGTGTCATTGACTGAGGACCTGACATAGTCTGCCCTAAAGGGATTTAGGCGGCTGCAAGGCCCAAGACAGTGTGAGGCCTTAAGTGGCCGCCTAAACAGAGAGCTGCCCCTGATTAAGGTGTGCCCAAGCACACCTCGTGCGCAAGCCTATGGCTTTCCCATAAGAACTTGCAGTGCCAAATTCCCTGCTGTGCCAATCAGATGATCTCTATGAGATCATGTGATTTAAATAATCAAGAGGAAGTGACACTGACAGCCTTTAAACCTTGCACTGTAAAAATTGCCATTGCTGCAGAAAAGCAATGTTTTACACTGCATGGTTAAAATGAGTCACATGGATCCCAGACCACGTCATCTCAATGAGTGCTCTAAATGCCCATAGTGTTATGGTTAGAATCTGTTTAAGTTTAGGGTTAGGATATGTTAAGGTTAGTTAGTGTTAGATTTTTAAGGTTAAGGTTACAATTCTGCCCTGTAGTTTCACAAACATTTGACTCTTGAACTCAGGATATGTATCTCCCTCTAGAATGTAACCTCATTGAGAAGGGCCCTCAACCCCTCTGTTCCCATGCGTCCACTTGTCTGGTTACAATTCTGTGTCTGTTAGTCCACCCATTGTACAACACAATGGAATTTGCTGGTGATATATAAATAATAAAATAATTAAAAAAATAATAATAATGTAGCTGAGCAGAACTTTTTTATTAGAGTACAAATTTACAAAGTAAGCTGTGGAATTGCAATGTGCATGTAAAAAATGTGAAAATAAAATAAGACTATCAACTTTAAAAGAAATTAAGGAAAAAAGATGTACAATAAGGCTCAAAATATACCATAAAATATACTTGTGGTGTCTACTTTTGCAAATGGTAGCTATTGATAGGGTAATTTGAACTGTCAACCTACAACAATGCCCCAAAATGAGACAGACAAAATAGTATATAATATGTCTTGGTGGAATAAATCAGAAAAATGGAAATTGTGGTCTAGCATGCATAAATGCTGCACTAACTGTGATATGCACATGGGCAATATAGCAAGGGGAAACCTTTATCTACTCTCCCTCCTTCAGTTAAGCCCTCCTACTTCCCTATACCCTTCGTTAGTTTTCCCTCCCTTTGTCAGCTCAGAGTGTGCACGTGCGCTATGTGCCAGTTAAAATGTCTTGGCAAAGGCTTCTCTATGGGAAGCCTTTGATTGGTCCTAACAATGGCTGCCATGACGTCAGACGGGGGAGTGGAGCACACCATACTGGGAGATATGCCTGGCGCTGGATTTCATGTAATATATTGTTTCTTTTGTAGCGTCATTTTAGCGCTTATGGGTGTGGGGCTACCAAACGAATAATGACCAATAGGGCATTATTTTAAATAAATCAATTAGCAAGCAAAAAATGGTTTGTGTAACCATTTGAGTTCAAAACAAACAATCAGAAGTCTTCAAGGGTTTAAATGTGTGTAAAAGGGTAAGTGGGACTGCAAGCTATTTATTTTCAAGTGACCTTAATCACATCCATGGGAGATATGAATAAGGTGGCTCTGGGCACAAGTCTTCTTCTAAGCCCACCGACCACAGGCATTCCAAGCCCCCTTTCCATATGTACCTAAATGCCAGTTGTCCTCCCAATGGTATTTGGCCAGGTTTGGCACACCCTAGCTCCCTAAAAGCTTGGGTCTCTGGATGATGTCTTGGAAATGCCTTGGTTTACCTTCTTTCTAGATGAAGCTGACATCAGAGATTTTTAGCATGATCCAGAGAGCTGTCTGTTTGGTATCATCAAAAGTTTCATTTTAATTAACTGCCATGATGATAACATTTTTGGTACATGGTGTTGATGAAAATCCCAATCCCGCATGCCTCATCCTTACCTTGGTGTTCCTTTTTTTTTAGCCTACAATTCACATGTCTTCTATATTCATTGAGTTACTTTGTTTCCGTCAGTGTTATGGTACACACTAAAGAGGGGAGCAAATAATCAAAGTGTTTTAAAGAATATCTGAAGAGCTGCTTCTTGCAGTTTACATTCATTCTCTTGTCCTAATGTGTTTTATACCCCACCTCCTATAGAATGTAAGCTCGCTTGAGCAGGGTCCTCTTTAACCTAACGTTCCTGTAAGTTTTCTTGTACATTTCCTATTTATAGTTAAATCCCCCCTCTCAGAATATTGTAAAGTACTATGGAATCTGTTGGCTCTTTATAAATGGAGATAATAAAAATTACTGTGCCATGATATAAATTTCAGGGTTGGTCTCTAGATGGCGCCCTGAACCAAACCTGGTGCTTGGCAGAGTCTGGAAGGAGTCTATTTTTCTGGCTCCTGGATGGGGTAGGAGGGCTGGAGTGATCTGTTAGTTTTGCAGCCTGTGAGCTCATTTCCTGCCAGATCTGTCCAGAGATCACCCAAGTGCTATCTGTGGGCAAAGCTTGCAGCTCCGACTGAAACATGTCTTCCAACTCCAACCTGAGCTCCATGCAGAGACTGGTGGAACAGCTGAAGCTGGAAGCTAGTGTGGAGAGGATCAAGGTAAATGGTCTCAGCTGATGTTCATGGAGGGAGACTGCTCTGTGTTTAACGGTTTAATGCCAGAGACGTGTTGCATCACTCGGGGTAGCAGCACCTACAGCCAGTAAAGGTTAATGGAACCTAACAAATGTATCTGATGTACTTTGTAGCAAGTTTAAAGTATTCTACTAAGCCACCGAAAGTGATGGAGTGTATCAGCAACTTATCAGTAGCATTGAGATACTATACTTTGAGTTACTGCTTAAAGTTTAACCCAATGAGTGCCAGAGGCTACCCACATTATGGCGCCTTACAATCTGCCTGGCACTCTATGGCCAAATATCTTATATGGTACAAAGAATTAACTGCATAATCAACACTTTTACCCACTTTCCTGTGCATGGTACCTATAGGGTTAAAAATATTATACACATCTGATGGAACTGGATACTAACATGTAGTAATAATAATAATTTTGTAAATTTGGTTTAATTATGTCAGCAAAACTATTGCGGTTTACAAAAAATAATCGTCTCGATTACTATTGATTTATATTCTGTAATATATAAAAAAAAATGTATTGTGGTGATCTATTAAACTGGTGTAAGCATATAGTCTTAATTGTATTATAGCAGACTTAGCAACTTGTTAACTATCAAATAATTAGCAGGCAAATGTGTGTTTGTGATGGAAATTGATAACTGATCATCTGATATTGTTTTTGTTAGGCTACTGTAGTCTTTCTAAAAGATAAATGTCTTATGGTTTGTGCCTCCAATTCTTTTTTTAATATTGAAAAGGAAGGCTGCTTCATAGCTGTATATGGTATAGTGATGTGAATGGCACCCAGATTATCATCTTTCAACAGTTTTACTGTAGGGATGTCATTGACATTTTTCCCAAAAAATGAATTCTGCATTCTCTTAGGAAGAGAATTAACTAATCACACTTGGTATGCTAACAGATCATCCATGGTTGTATAATGGAGGATTCAGTATTTTTGTTATATATTAAGAATGCTGCCCTGCAGTATAGCTAACCTACATAGTGTAAGAGGAAAATCAGACAACTGATCTGCTCGGGAATATTCCAAATTAAGTAATTTATATCCTATAGCATATGAATTCTACATACCACAATGTTAAACTTGTCATTTGTTGCCAATCCGAATTTAGCAGTGCTATGTATCTAGAAAATATTGTGGGTCTGCCAATCCTATGTGGAACTTTGTGCTCAGAGTGGGCAGTGTACTAGTCTAGACTAGTCTGGTGTGGGTGGGTTTTGCTGCACAGAAAATGGTACTCAATATGTGGCTGATGGAAGTAATGGAGGATGTTTTATTTACCCCTATCCTTTGATAAAAATACTCATCGGTGATAAGGTGGGGTAAAAGGAGGTAAGAGAGTTCAGAATTAAATGAATGTATCCTGACATGTAAAGTATAGGCAAGAAACTAGACTAGAAAAATAAAAAACTGAATACACTCTAGCAGTTGTTAAAGTGGCCAGGCTTATTGAAATACTTAGGTAAACAAACAGAGTGAGGCTTTGTGTCTAGAAAGTCAGGATTAGAGTATGATCCAGCACGTAGAATTGTGTAACACAGAGGACTGATAGGTAACATATACCAGACCTTAGAATGGCCGGACTAACGTACCAAAGAATAGTCAGGAATAGTCAAGGTCAAGGGACACAGAAAGAGACACCGCGATAAGGAAAAGCCGGGGTCAGGGATGCCAGGAAAAAGGGAAGTCAAAATCAATGTCAAATAACCAGAATCAATAACACGCTCTCAGACAACCACAAGCCAAACCACAACAGGGCACTGAGCAAGAGGAGAATTGGGCCTAAATACCCCGCCTGTGGATCTGATTGGTTGTAACCGGCCTTTGACTCCAAAGGCAGTTACCAGGTTTCTATTTGCATGATTGCTGCTCAGCACAAACTCTCCTGTGGATTGATTGCTGCTCGGCACAACTTTTCCTGTCAGGACAGCAAATGGCATTAATCACATTTTTATGTGCAGATGAATACGTGACAGAACCAGCTACTGTTAAGGAACCTGAACGTATAAATTAAAAATAATAGGCAGATCATAAACTCTGAAGGTCAGAAAATGAAAGAACGAGCCATGCCACAGGAACCCCAAATACCCACAATTAGCCCCTTACACGTTACATGTTCAGGAATGGATATAGAGTATACAGGTTTACTTTCTGATTATTAGGAGGTTCAAGTTTGCCCCAAATTTCTTTAATAACCTCATATCCTATAGTACAGGAAGATTGAAGGGCATATATGTGAATTCCTGCCTTTATATTCTGTAATATTAAACTAGCATCACATGTGTTGCCCATACTGGGATAAAACTGTCTTTGACATCCCACTGGGTGTTTTATTTAAGTAAAACTGGATGGATCATTATTGCATCTTATATATTTACCTATGATAAATTACATTATCTGCATCTTCCAGGTTTAGAAGCACGGTATTGTGTGGTCCATCCTCTTTATTTTCTAATTGTTGGTTTCTTTCGTTTGCTTACATTCCTAATAGGGTGATATAGAGAGCACATGTATAATGGTCACTAGAGAATTTAACGTAGACAAAGCATTCGGCTTTTACAATAGCACATTGTGATCAAAGTATTTCACTCTCACACTGTGGATCTCTTTCTTTTAGCTGACACAATAATTTAATTGTTTGTGTAGTCCACCCTCCAGGCAGTGTGTGCTCTGAATAATGCATGACTTTTATTGAATGTTTCTCCCCTACATTTTGACGACTATTGATTCTGTTTGTGTTGTAGGAGGAACGAGCTTGACATTGTTAGGGAAATATATTGATGTTAAAGGAAATATGTGTGTGATGTAAAATGCAATGCTCCTAGGTCTCTGTGGTCCTGGTGGCATGATGGTAGCTGTACATTCTGTGGGGGATTTAGAAAGAGTAAAAATAAATCTGGAGAAAAGTTATCACAGAGGATCAATCACTGTGGAAACCAATGGAATCAACAGGAGGAGAATATCAGTGTTTGAACCACTTTAATAACATTATGTAGTTTCCTGTCAGCAATAATGTTTTACACCTCCAACCATGTCTCAATTTTCCATAAATAACCCCATCCTTTGCTTGTTTAGGATCTATCTAGGGCAGTGATAACATTTTTGTTTAAAGGAACACTATAGGATCAGGAACACAAAATGTCTTCCTGAACCTATAGTGTTAAAACCATCATCTAGTCACCCCTGCCCCCCTAAATATTATAAAATCATACTTGTATTCAAGTCTGCAGCTGCTTACTGACATCATCAGAAGTGATAGCCTGAGCCAATCACAATGCTTTCCCATAGGATGGCTGAGACTGTCAAGGAGGCAGATCAGGGGCAGTCAAACACAGTTTTGGCCAATCAGCATCTCCTCATATTGATACATTGAATCAATGCATCACTATGAAGAAAGTTCAGTGTCTCCATGCAGAGGGTGGCCAGGGAGTTATGTAATGTAAACACTGCATTTTCTCTGAAAAGATAGTTTTTTACAGCAAAAAGCCAAAAGGGAATGATTCTACTCAAATACAATAAGCTGTAGTTGTTCCTGTGACTATAGTGCCCCTTTAGTTAACACATTGAGACATTTTCATGAGATTGTCTGTTCATCCTTTACATTTATATTAAATATTTAGCAAATTACACCATAATCCAATTTGGACTAGGCAAATACTGCAAAAGAGGATGATCTTTTTTCCATAAAAATTTGTTCATTTATACATTGAATTTTACTTTTCATACCTGACAAATACATATTGATGAAATATATAGGGATAAGTAAGCATAAAATTAATAGTCCCAGGTAGTGACATTTTCCCTTTAATTCACAGAAAAATCATGTGCCAGTGCAGGCCGCAACTCCTGTATTCAAGTGGCCTGGGGAGGGGCCGGGATGCATTTGAGCCACTGGCCCTTTTTTCCAGCCCTCTTCTTACTGGATGAGAAAACTGAGGCCAGAACTATTACGTAGTATTTTAAATAACACCATGAATTACTGATACGAAGAGTGCTTTATTGCTTTGAAGCCCAGGAATATATATATAATACTCCTACATACCAAATAATAGAATAGCAGAGCAAATGGATATAGTTTCAAAATAGGCTCGGCCTCTGCTAAAAAGAGACAATTAGAAAGTATATATTACTTTTAATATAATTTTTTTTTTTTTTTAATCCTAGCTGGATTTATCACCTTTTTTTGTTTTTAAATTTCATTTTACTTTGGTTGTTATTTTTATTTATAATTTGTTTCTACTACATTGAAATTCACATTTAGAAATGTATGTAATATTAAATATGATGAAAACCAATAAAACCAGATACAAAAATAAAATTCCATAACTGCCAACATTCTTGACATCCCCAAAAATTTACAAATTAAAAAAAGAACAAAACTGCCCTAAAGCAACATCCTGTTCTAACTCTAAACACACCTCCTCACGAAGCACGTGGAATATGTGCTTCCATGAGTTTTAAACAAAATACGCATTTCTCAATGGAGAGCTGCTATTCTCTTATCAGAGTTAAGTTATGTCTTTGAACTTAAAGGACCACTATAGGAACCCAGACCACTTCAGCTTAATGAGGTGGTCTGGGTGCCTGGTCCATCTAGGGTTAACCCTTTTTTCTATAAACATAGCAGTTTCAGAGAAACTGCTATGTTTACCTATGGGTTAATCCAGCCTCTAGTGGCTGTCTCATTGACAGCCGCTAGAGGGCTTCCGCTCTTTTCTCACTATGAAAATCACAGTGAGAGCACGCCAGCGTCCATAGGAATGCATTGTGAATGCTTTCCTATGGACTGGCTGAATGCGCGCGCAGCTCCTGCCGCGCATGCGCATTCAGCCGAAGAGGGAGGAGAGCTCCCTGCCCGGTGCTAGAAAAAGAGGTAAGTTTAACCCCTTCCTCTCCATCCAGCCCGGCGGGAGGGGGACCCTGAGGGTGGGGGCCACCTCAGGGCACTATAGTGCCAGGAAAACGAGTATGTTTTCCTGGCACTATAGTGGTCCTTTAAATTATCTGTTATCTTGTGGGTGTGTGTATGTTGTAGCCATTTTATTCTATATTTATTATTTAAAGGAACACTCCTCTTATATTAGTTATAGTGCCTGGAGTGCCCTTTGTCAAGAATGGTTTTACAACATACTTGGGTCCCACTGTGTCCAGGCATCAGATGATCACTCTGTGTGACTGAGCTCGGCCCTGTATAACACCATGCTAAGGTCAGGGTAGATATGGCATGGGAGCCCTGGGTTCAAGGTAAGTTCTCAAACTGTTTCTAAACTTTACTCTGAAAAGGTGCCTGGCACCATAACCACTACAATGGGGTACAGTGGTTATGGTACTTTCATTTATTCCTGTAACTTAAAATACATGTAATAATATCTGTGAACATTTTCACTATGATCTAAAGTAGTAACACATTCAGGCAAATAATATACCTGTGCAGCAGACAGTAACCTTTCAACTCTTTTCCTTCTTTCTTTGAACATTTTCTTTGAGCAATATTACCGGTCCATAGAATAGCTGGATGTAAAGGGAATCTATAGTGTTAGGAATAGAAAGTTATATTCCTAACAGCATAGTGCCCTCTGACCCCCCTTCCCCCACCACTCTATCACATCCCCCCTGCCTCGGCACACTAAGGGTTAAAAACCCTTTTATATACTCACCCAATTCCACCACCAATGTCCCTTGGCTCTGGGTTGTGCCTGCCTCCTCCGATGTTATCTGACGGGGGACCTAATGCACATGAGCGCATGCATGAGGCCTTTCCCTTTTGGGAAAGTATTGATTTCAGTGTTTTCCCATAGTTTTCTTTGACGCTAGATGTGCTCATGCAAAGTGTGAGGATGTTTAGCGTCATTTCACAGGGTAAAACTGTGCAACTCCCGGAAGGGCCTCTGGTGGCTGTCTGGAAGTTTCTGAAAAACTGAAATGGTTTACATTGCAGGACAAAGGGTGACAGGGACACTGCACGCAGACCACTTCAATGAGATGATGTGGTCTGGGTGCCTGTAGTGTCCCTTTAATGTTATTGTCACGGCACTGCCGTGCACTCACCCGCTCGTGGGTGCCTGCGACGTCCTCGCGGCAGAGTTGCGGTACTTGCTGCTCCCAGAGACCCCTCTCCCGGGTCTGCGGCGGCTTCTCCTCTCCCTCTCGCCGCTGAGGTCCACGGCAAGTTCTTCACCGGGAGGAGGAAGAGAGCTGCAGATCTGTTAGGGGAGGACAGGTCAGGGACTATGGTGCAAACCAAGATGGTGCTGAGTCCCTGACCCCTCTTTATGTGTGCTCCAACTACTGGTGGGAGTCCCTGACCCCTCTGTGTGCTCCAACTACTGGTGGGAGGTGGCTGGCCACCTATGTAAAGGACCACTATAGTGCCAGGAAATTTTCCTGGCACTATAGTGCCCTGAGGGTGCCCCCACCCTCAGGGTCCCCCTCCCGCCCGGCTCTGGAAGGGGGGGAAAGGGTTAAAACTTACCTTTTTCCAGCGCTGGGCAGGGAGCTCTCCTCCTCCTCTCCTCCTCCGTTCCTCCCCGTCGGCAAGAGCTGCGCGCGCATTCAGCCGGTTGCATAGGAAAGCATTTACAATGCTTTCCTATGGATGCTGGCGTGCTCTCACTGTGAAAATCACAGTGAGAAGCACGCAAGCGCCTCTAGCGGCTGTCAATGAGAAAGCCGCTAGAGGCTTTGGGGGAAGGCTTAACTCATTCATAAACATAGCAGTTTCAGAGAAACTGTGTTAATCCTAGCTGGACCTGGCACCCAGACCACTTCAGCTGAAGTGGTCTGGGTGCCTACAGTGGTCCTTTAAACCAAGCACACCTTCCAGTCTGCGCTTGGTTATTTTACTTGCCTTTTGCCCTGATTTTCAGCTTATGTTCCTGGTTCCTGACCCTTGATTGATTATCCTTGCCTGCTGCCAGACCTGACTCCAGATTGATCGGCTTCTCTTGTCTGCTGCCTGACTTTGGATTCATTTACTGTGCCTCCTGCTCTTTCTTCTCTCGGATTCCTCATTTGGCTTGTTCTCATTAAAGGCCTCTGTGCCACCACAGACCCTTCGGGATCCTGTCACCACTTCCAGGTGCTCCTGAAGGTCATGATTGTAAGGGAGTGCTGTTCCACTGCAGTTGGGTTCCATCACCTCTGCAAAAACGCGAGGTGGGTGTGTCATAATAACCAAGCCCAAAAAGAATCATGGAACCCGCAGGAACAGCTGAAGCTATTACTGCCTTGACCCAACAAATGATGGCCTTAGCCCAAGCCATTCAGGATCTACAAGCCAGCAACACCTCACTACATGAACAGAGAAGGGCTCAGTCCGTACCCCTCCTCTGCTGCCCACATGTCGCCTATGTCTCTTGAACCAAACATTCCCATGCCTGACAAGTTTACTACTATTCACTCTAAAACCACGTACCTACCCTAATGACTATGTGAAGGTTTGCACTACTATAGCTTTGTTATCTAGTCAACCCCAAACCTGGGCACATCAACTCCTGCACTCCAACAGTCCAATATTGGACTATTGGGACTCATTTGCTGCAACTATGCGCTCGTTATATGATGATCATTTGAGACCTTCTGCTGCTCGCAGTACCCTCCGTTCCCTCTGGCAGGGAAAAAGACCCGTGGAAGACTACACCACAGACTTCCAGGAGCTAGCTGCTGACACAGGCTATAACGAGACTGGCCTGATAGAACAATACAGACTGGGTCTATCTGAGGTCTTAAAAGATGAACTAGCCAGAGTTGGGGTACCCACTTCTTTGGAAGAGCTGATCCTCCTGGTCACCCAATTAGACCGATGCTTCCGTGAACAGAGAAGTTAGAGACAAACTCCAGCCAGTCTATGGCCTCTGGATTTATCTGGTTCTGTGGCTTCTGCTGCTTCTTTTTCCTCCAAGGAACCCATGTAAATAGGCATGGTTCTTTCAGTTTCCCCACCGGATATATATACAAACGGAAAATAGAAAATGGACCCAGGGAACACCAGAATTTGCACATAAATTTTTTTTTCTATTCATGCAACACAGTAATAGACTAAACAGTTTTAACAGAAGAAAGAGTGCATAAAACAGTGCAAAATATGTTCGAACAATAGTCCCATAACCACTTCAGAGTAACAATAAAGTGCTTAGAATAACTACATACACCCAGATAATATGGTATACTAACCAAGAGCAGGAGAAATAATAGCCCCGACATTTCGGCCCTTAAAGGACCACTATAGTGCCAGGAAAACAAACTTGTTTTCCTGGCAATAAAGGGTCATTAGGTCCCCCCACCCTCATGGCCCCCCTCCTGCTGGGCTAAAGGGGTTAAAACCACTTACCTTTCTCCAGTGCCGGACTCCCTCGGTGCTGGTGACCTATCCTCCAACTCTGCGCATTAAAAATTCCCATAGGAAAATCAATTGATTTTCACAGTGAGAATCGCTGAAGCGGCCTCTAGTGGCTATCAGTGAGACAGCCACTAGAGGCTGGATTAACCCTGCGGTGTAAAGATAGCAGTTTCTCTAAAACTGCTATGTTTACATCTGAAGGGTTAAAACCTGGGGGACCTGGCACCCAGACCACTTCATTGAGCTGAAGTGGTCTGGGTGCCTAGAGTGGTCCTTTAAGCCTTCTTCTGAGGTCTGCTAGAATAACAGCAACCAGGAACCACAAACAACTAAACCACAAACATGAGGCCTGTTTTTGCAGCTGAAACAACATGAGGAAAACATAAGCTGAAAGATATGGTTGTGTTTCTTGGTGAAATGAGTTAACATAGTGAGTATTCCTTGTTTCGGCTGTCCGACATGAGCACATCTAATCATGTATTAAGACTATTTTGGCTGGGAAGTTAGCAATAGAAAGTGATTACACTACAAGTTATGGAACCAGGTGGCTACCTAGCCAGGTGTATACCCATCAAAGTAGCGTTCAAATAAGATGCTGGCATCCACTTTTAGCGACTAAATAGACATGATCTCAAACAGGTGCTGTGTTTTGCTTCAGTCTCACTTCTCTCTTATGCCACATGCTAAACGGAGCGGTTACCACACCAACCTTGCAGTGTAAATTTCACACGGGTAGCTCAGGCTGATCTAATAATTAATTACGTACAGAGAAAGTATGCCGAAAGTAATTCTTTTGTTAAAACAAACTCTTTGTTAAGGAAAACTAAAAGCTCTGCCCTTTGGCCAGACTGTGTTTGCTGGAATTTGTTTCCCTTTTTTGCCTCTTCTTAATTAAACAGCTAGAGGTGATATTTCATTTTATTATGTTTCAAACAGCCTTAAGCAGTGCATTGTTTCAGAAATGTGGGAACACATGCAATTCAATGCTGTCAACTGTTTTCATGGAGTAATGTTTCTCCTTGGGGCAGTATCTCGAAAACCTAAACTATGTTATTCACTTAAAGATAAGTGTATTTGTCCCATTGAACTCTCTCAATGTTTGTGGGGCTGTCTGTGGTATTATGTTTATTTATGTGGATTCTTTGTGGAATTGTGTGTGTCTGTAGGATGGCACTCAAAGATGTAATTTTGGGCTTTGGGTACAATTGCAGGGGGTGCTCAGTTTTATAAAAGCAGCCAGTGTGATGCTTGTAGAGTCTTTTACAGTAGGTAAATAATACCTAACCTCAAGCTGTAGAAAGCCAGTTAATGTAAATATCATGAAATTGTTGACATCTGTGGTTATCTGTATATGAAGTGAAAAATGGAGGTTGTGAGTGTTATTCATACCATCGCAACCCAACTCTGGCATCCAGAGAATCTGGATACCAGTGGAAGGGGAGTAAAGGGAATGTGCCAGTAATGTCACTCACTGGTTTCACCCAATAGGGCAGGCTTACCCGTAAGGTGGGTCTGCCACGAATTACTGGCAAAAACAGCCTAGTGTGAATGCACGTTAGGATGTCTGCCAACCAGCCAGACCAGCACACTGAGGGCAGATCCTGCCTTGAACACTGGTTAGTACTCTGTGCAGGATCCTAGTGCCCTGAACATAGCGCATGCTTGAAGAATGAGGCAGTCTTGCTATGCTTGGTAGGGACAGTTTCCTTATGTCACCAAAAGTGGGAACTAAAAAATCAGGACTGTCATGCCGAAATCGGAATGGTTGAGATGCCGGGTTATGTAGTGTGTGAAATCCATTTGAAATGTTAGATTGTTCGAATTCCAATATTTGTTTAATACAAACCCTCCCAACTAGTTCCAACCAGTTAAAGTCATCCATGTTAGAGAAAACTAGTCTGATAAATTCCTTATCATCTCAATGCAGGGGGTGGTCATGCTCTCAGCTGCACTGAGATAATGTGTGTTTTAGCTCACCACTAAGGCCCTTCGTTTATATCAAATCATTCTTAAACACTTTAATATGAGGGATCTTGCCAGGGGACTCTTGGGAACATAAACACTACAGAAAATGCCACTTTACATTGCTTTACACCAGGGAACGGTCCCTGGGCAGCCCACTATAGCAGTGCCTAATGCAGGCTTCCAGAGGGCCCCACCCATTATGTATCTCATCTGTGACATGGGCTGTGTCACTGGTGACGTCCCCCCAGGGCCCTGCGCACCCGCCCCATTCCATAATTCCCATTGTTGGGAGTTGTGCATATATAGCAGTAGTAAAGGAGGTTATAATGCATTAGATGCATTATTTCTTATCAGCATGATTGTCAAGGACATTATTGCGATTTCATGGTCTCAGGAAGTGGAGGCTATATTGTTTCAAACAAGCACATTTGAAAAATATTATTTTTTTTTTTTAAACTGTAAATCTGTCAAATGTTGCTCTATCTGAATTATCTGCACACATGCTGTATTTATAGTATTACTGCAGCTGTGTTTACTTTTATTTGCGGTGTTCAAAAATACTGTGTTTTTTTTTTTCCCTTAAGTGTCCCACTTCTTGCATTTACTCTATTCATATGTCACCTGGTAAATCTGTAGACAACATCCAAGCTAAAGTTACATTCATTTGCTGGACACCATCATGAAGTTCCATGCAATGGATTTATAGATTTCCCCTCTCTGAAAGAGAGTCTTCTGGCATCATACATTGTAATTAAGGAAAAAGGGAGATAATGACTGGTCTGTCATTCTGGCTATTTTTACTACAATATGTCTTAGAACTGTAAAGTCAGTTTTAGACTCCTGCTGTATACCATGCTAAGATTCTTCTATTTTTAGTTTGCTGGAAAACCATATCATCTGGGGTTTGTTAAAGCATTTGATAAATTAATCATCTGAATGTTTTCAGTTCTCTTTTACTCCACATCTTTTGGTGCTGGGAACAAAAATAAAAACCTTTTTAAGGCCCTTACTGATTTAGTTTGTGTTACGTCAAATCCTGGAGTTCTTTTTATATTCCTTATAAACTGCTGGACTGTCAACTAATTGCATTTTAGTATTGCGCTCACTGTGTTGTGTCTTGGTAACAACAAAACAGCATTCTAAATACTGGACATTTACTATCAGCAGCAATATGGTGATAGTGTGGAAGTAAGCCTCATAGTTTGAAATATTAGCAGGAGATAAGAGGGGAAATACATTAAAGGAAATTCCACGTACCATAACGACTGCCACCTGATGTAGTGGTTATGGTGCCATGAATGCTCTAGTGCCCTCCCAGTATAACTAATCAAGCTTTTAATTGGACACTATAGGATTTGTTACATTTCAATTGTTTTATTAATTGTATGAAGGTCTTTTAATGTTTTTGTATATTGGAAAATCGAATAAAGATTTATATAAAAAATAAAATGGACACTATAGTCACCAAAACTAATTTGGCTTAATGAATCAGCTTTGGCATATAAATCATGCCCCTGCAGCCTCACTGCTCAATTCTCTGCCATTTAGGAGTTCAATCACTTAGTCACACCTCTCTGCATGTGACTTACACAGCCTTTCTAAACACTTCCTGTAAAAAGTCCTCTAATGTTTACACTTCCCTTATCGCAAATTCTGTTTAATTTAGACTTTCTCATCTCCTGCTCTGTTAATAGCTTGTTAGACCCCACATGATGCTCCTTTATGTAGTTAATGTTCCATTTACAGAGCAGGAGATAAAAACTTTCAAAGTAAGTTACATCTGATTGAGAATGAAACCATTATTTTTTTTTCATGCAGGATGTGTGAGTCACTGCTAGGGGAGTTGTGGCAGGGGCCGAATAAACAGAAACAAAAGTGATTTAACATCTAAATGGCAGAGATTTGAGCAGTGAGACTTCAGGGGCATGATATATACACCAACACAGCTTCATTAACCCCTTAAGGACACATGACATGTGTGACATGTCATGATTCCCTTTTATTCCAGAAGTTTGGTCCTTAAGGGGTTAAAGGACCACTATATTGCCAGGAAAACATACTCGTTTTCCTGGCACTATAGGGTCTCTAGGTCCCTCCCACCCTTAGGGTCCCCCTCCTGCCGGACTCTAGGGGTAGGAAGGGGTTAAACACTTACCTTTTCTCCACCGCCGGGCTCCCTTGGTGGTAGGGACTCTCCGCCTCCTTTCCCCATCATCGACTGAATGCGCATGTGTGGCACGAGCCGCGCGCACATTCAGCCAGTCCAGAGGAAAGCATTCTCAATGCTTTCTTATGGACACTGGCGTCTTCTCACTGTGAAAATCACAGTGAGAAGCGCGGAAGCGCCTCTAGCGGCTGTCAATGAGACAGCCACTAGAGGCTGGATTAACCCATAGGTAAACATAGCAGTTTCTCTGAAACTGCTGTTTACAGCAGAAAGGGTTAATCCTATGTGGACCTGGCACGCAGACCACTTCATTAAGCTGAAGTGGTCTGGGTGCCTACAGTGGTCCTTTAAGCTAAAGCTGTTTTGGTGACTATATAGTGTCCATTTTAAGAAGGGTTTTTAAAACTTTACCTGGAGTCCACTGTGCACCCGCAGCCTCCTCCCTTGTAGCCAGAAGCTGCTGCAACGGGTTTCCGTTAGCTACACTGAGCTAAACACTGCTGGGCAGGACTGACTCATTGGCTGAGAGCATCAATTGAGTGCTGTCACTAATAAAGCACCGGTACCACAGGTACATTTCCAAACCGTTCTTAAACTAGAACAGAGCAATAATGATTGGCTTCCTATTAATCCATAGGTTATCCACTAGATCTATATTTCCACCAATTTCAATACACATGTGATTTTCAAAGAGTAGTTTACTCATAAATTAAAGGAAACAAAATATATCCATAGTGTTAAACTGTATTGACATTAAAAGATAAAAAAACATTCCTAGGTTTAAGATACATATAACAAAAACAAAGCTCAATACATAACATTTCAGTAAACGCAATCCGTTGTTTAATCCAAAACATTTCATCCAATGTATTTCTAATAACGTTTTCACAAGCCTGACCCTTGAAAATGCCTGCTTAAGTAAGGTCATGGAAAAGCAAAACAGCCGGAAATTGATATTAAAGGAACACTGCAGACACAGAACGCAAACCAGCTTGCTAAAGAGCTTTATGTGTATGAAGTTTGCCACATTTGTGAACGTTTCTTTTTTTTTTTTTTTTGTAAATATGATTTTTATTTGTTTTGCAAATAAAGGAAATAGGGAACATTGATACTCGCAGGTATCTATTGGCATATGAACAAGTGCACAACATGTGCAAATAACAATCATGGAGAATGCGCAGATGTGTTTCAGATAAGCGCATCATAAAGAAAAGAAAAAGGGTGGTGACGGTTGGGTATCGTATCATAGGAAGGCATTTGTAGGGGGACGCAGGTCCCATTAATTGTACTTAGTGCTTATCGCCTTGGAACATAAAAGGAGAACAGAGAAAGGGAGGGGGAGGGGAAAGAAAATGCGTTCAAGTAAACAGGCAGTGGTGACACGCAGGTCACCTTTTAAGACACAAGTAACATTATCGTGGTGGACTCGCAGGTCCTATGAAGTAGAAACAGTGGGTGGTACTTTCACATGCTCTATAGGGTGACAGTGTGGACACGCAGGTCCTGTTCCACCTAAGGGTAGGATTCGTGGCAGGAGGTGATGGTCACTGCTTGTGTTTCGTTGCCTTTTGCCGGTCTCGGCCTGGTGCCATTAGTTATTATGTATTATATGGTGGGCTTACCAGTCCCTCTGTCCTGTATATGTGCTTGTACCACTCTCCCACTTTTTATGTAGTCGCCTGTTGCATAGGCATTTACTCTTTGGACTCGCCGGTCCCAAAACTCCTTTTATATTGGTCCTATAATAGTTTTGTTGTGATGTGGCCGGGGTGTAGGGAAGAGGAGGGAGGAAAGAAAGTGGGGGGGGGGGGGGGGAAGAGGTTTGGGGTGTACAGTACCAGTCACAATTATCTGGATCGTCATGTGCGGTCTCAGGGTCTAGTTGAGTGGTGGCGTCTGTCGCTGTGAGGAGATGTCTATTGTGGTGTCTGGTGCTAGGGCTGCTTCTCGTCCTTTGTTTGGGCCCGCTGTTGGACGGTGATATTGTCTGCCCCAGTCATTGATTTTGTCTGTGAACCCGGCTCCCGCCGTTGTCAGGATCCAGTGTGTCCATGTGTCAAGGTATTTTTGTGTTCTGTCCGTAGATTTCATGTGTATGTCTTCCGTCTCCCTTAGGGCCTCCATTTGTGTGAGCCACTTGTCCGGTGTAGGTGCGTCCTTGCGTTTCCAGTGTTGTGGGATGAGCTGCTTTGCTACATTAAGTATCCTAATAGTGATTGATCGTTTGTATCTATTACTTGGTATGGTAGTGTGATGGAGGAGCATTGCAGCGGGGTCAAAGGGGGGTGGCTGGTCCGTGAATATCTTTAGCATTGTATGTATCCCCTGCCAAAACGGTTGTATCTCTGCGCACTCCCACCAAATGTGTAAGAACGTCCCGAGTCCCACCCCGCATCTCCAACATTGTGCTGATTGGTCTGGGTATATTTTGTGTAGGGCAGCTGGGGTGCGGTACCAAAGCGTTAGTAGTTTATATGCTGTTTCTTGGTGTTTGCTGAACGCTGCGCAGTGGTGTGTTAACGAGCACATCTTTTCCCATTCCCCTTCGCTAAAGCTGCGGTTCAGTGCCGTTTCCCATTTTCCTTTGAACCCGGGCAATTCCGTTGGGATTTGTATCTGTAGTGAGTTGTATAAGGTGGATACACCGTGGGGGAGGGGTTCTGGGTCGAGACACAGTTGTTCGAACCACGTGGGGGCGCGCCCCAGTGCTTGCCCCTGGGGGAGGGTCTTAAGGTAGCTCTTCAGCTGGGCGTATTTGTATTTCTGTGCAAAGGTGGTAGTGTTTTCGCCTATAATTTCTGTAAGGGTCCTCGGGCCTGTCTGAGTGTATATGTGATGTAATCTGGGTAGGGGGTCTGGGATGAGGTCTCTGAAGGCCAGGGAGTCGAGTCCTGGTGGAAACTCCGTATTATGTGTCAGGGGGGTCAGCGGTGATGGGTATGGGGCGAGGCTGCCTCGGGCTGCCATCCTGTGCCACACCTGTAGGGTGGATTTCACGTATATGGGTATGTTTCCTCGCTTCCTTGGTGGTAACCATGGGGCGAGCGCTATGGGGATCCCTAGTTCTGCCTCTTCCACCGACTTCCACAGTTTATGCACGTTGTCTTTCGACCATTCCGCTATTCGCAGGAGGTGACAGGCGACGTAATAGAGGTGGAAATCTGGTAGCGCCATACCCCCCTTGTCTTTCGGTTGTGTGAGTTGTGAAAATTTGAGCCTGGGTCTCCTCCCGTTCCACACATATCCCCCTAGTACCTTGCGAAGAGAGCTGAAGTAAGTTTGGGGAATACATATGGGCATTGCTTGCATCAGATACAGAAGCCGAGGGAGAAAATTCATTTTGACTACTTGGACTCGTCCAAGCCAGGAGATGTGAGGATACGACCAATCCCCTGTGTCCCTCCTGAACGAGGCCAACATCGGTGTGAAGTTTTCTGTAAATAGGCTTGTGCTGTGTTTGGTGAGCCAAATGCCCAAGTATCTAACTTTGGTGTCTGCCCACTGGAACGGGTGGCTTTGGCGGAGTATGCCCTCCCTATGCCGGGGCACTGAGATGTTAAGTATGTATGACTTTTTGAAGTTTATTTTCATGTTGGATAGGATGCCGTATTCTCTGAAGGCTTTGATTATGTTCGGGAGTGAGATTTCGGGATTTGTGACAAAGAATAGCAGGTCGTCGGCATAAGCCGCGACCTTATGGTGTGTGCCGCCCAATTCCACCCCCTGGATGTCTGGATTGTGCCTCACCGCGTGGAGAAACGGCTCTAGGGCCAGGACGAAGAGCAGCGGCGACAAGGGACACCCCTGGCGGGTGCCGTTGTGTATGGTGAAAGCCTTTGTGGGTGCGCCATTGACAATGACTTGTGCCCTAGGTTGCCTATACAGGGCCTCTATCCATCCCCTCATGTGCGTCCCCAAACCCAGGTGTATAAGGGCCTGAAACAGGTATGGCCATCCGATCCTGTCGAAGGCCTTCTCCGCGTCCGTGGAGAGCAGGAGAAGGCCTCCGTTCCTGGCCGGTCCCCCGTGTACTATCGATAGTGCCCTTATAGTGTTGTCCCTGGCCTCGCGACCCGTTACGAACCCCACCTGGTCTGGGTGGACCAGGGTGGGGATGTGCTGTTGTAGGCGAGTTGCCAGTATCTTCGCCATCAATTTCAGGTCGCAGTTTATGAGGGAAATTGGTCTATAGTTGCCGCAATGCTCTCCGTCTCTGCCCTCCTTGGGTATGATTGTGATGTGCGCCATGAGGGATTGTGTGGGCCAGTGGTGTCCCTCTCTGATCGCATTAAAAGAGGCCACCATCGGAGTGTATAGGGTCTCTGCGAAGCATTTATAGTAGCGCAGCATGAGGCCATCTGGTCCCGGGCTTTTTCCTGGTTTTGTCGCTTTGACTGCCCACGCCAGTTCTTCCGTGGTGATGGGTTCATCAAGCGCTTCTGCTGTGTCCCTTTCTATGCGCGTGTGTGTATGTGTCTGCAGGAATTCTTGTATTTTGTGTATGAGGTTGGTTTGTGTCTGCGGGTCTTGCGGCCCTGGGAGGTTATACAGCTCGGAGTAGTATGAGTGTATCACCTCCTGAACCTTGTCGGGGAGGCGGTGTAGAGTGCCTGTTTTGTCCCGTATCTTTTCGATATATAGGTGTTGTCTACGCTTGGTGAGCATTCGCGCAAGGAGTTTTCCACTCTTGTTGCCATGGATAGTGAAAAATGCGTTATGCCGCGCTGCTTCCCTGTGGTGTCTAGCGTGTAGGAGTGTGGCTAGTTCCCTCCTTAGCTGGAGCAGCTTTACCTGGTTGTCTAGGTGTCCGTCCCTTTTGTTGGATTCGTCTAGCGCGTGTATGTCTTGTATGAGTGTTGTAATTTGTGCCTCTCGTTGTCTTTTCAGCCTTGCCCCTTTCTGTATGAGGTGACCTCTAACCACACATTTGTGTGCCTCCCAGGTAAGTGTGTGTGAGGTCTGTGCTGGGGTATTTTCTGTAAAGTAGTCTCCCAATAGTTTACTAGTTTCCGTTACGATTTCTGGGAGCGACAGCATATAGTCGTTTAGTCTCCATTTGGAGACCTTGGGCCTATGTAGTGGGGACGTTAGAGTAAGGGTGACCGGCGCGTGGTCTGACCACGTTGCCGTACCGTGTTCCACTGCCCTCACCAGGGCCAGGTCATAGTGGGACATGAAGAAGTAATCCAGTCGTGTGTATGTGTTATGTGGGTAGGACAGGAACGTATAGTCCCGTTCGTCTGGGTGGTGTGCCCTCCAGCAGTCCAGGAGGTGTAGACGTCGAAAAAGGGTCTTGATGTGAGTCAGGTGTTGGGGCGGGACTCTCGAGGTCCCTGAGGACGAGTCCCATTTTGGGTCCATGGTCAGGTTGAAGTCCCCTCCCAGGATTAGTATGCCCTCCGCGAACAATCGAAGTAAACGTAGAGTGCGGGTGAAAAACCTGTAGTGTCTCTGGTTGGGGGCATATATATTAGCGAAAGTATAGGTGGTGTCCGCTATCGTGCCCTTCAGGAATAGAAATCTCCCCTCGGGGTCAGTCTCAGTCGCTATTTCTGTGAACGGTACGTGTTTGTGTATTAGTATGGCCACTCCTCGCGATTTTCCCGCACTATAGTCACTGTAGTAGCCCTTAGTATAGTGATGGTCAGTCATTTTGGGTCTAGATCCGTCTCGAAAGTGCGTTTCCTGCATATATACAATAGACGCTCCAGTGCTATGGAAGTTTCTCAGGGCATGCGAGCGTCTTTCAGGTTTATTTAGTCCTTTAGCGTTGATTGTGGTGATATGAAGATATGCCGGTCGCAGTGACATGGTCGGGGTTGGGGGGAGTTGGGGGGGGAGGGTCAATCAGCGTGGGAAGGTGGGGGAGGGGAACCAGCGCCTGTAAGAGCGCTGTCTAGGTACGAGCGTCTGGGTAGGGATAAGCGCCTGTCCACCAGGGATAAGGGGCAATTACCCGCCCAGTACCTTGCGCCCTATCCTAAGGGGGGGTCGAAGGAAGTTGCAAACCACTAGGTAGCGCGCGTGAGGGTGGGGTCTACCGAATCGTAGGCAAGTCCTTTTATGAACTCCTCCGACGTCGTCCCCTGTTGGCTCTGTTTGCATGTGTGTCAACTTTATGTTCCTCGCCTTGTGAGGTGTTGGCCCTAGGGCCTTCTAGTTATGGTGTGTGTCAGGTTTAAATTTGAGCATATGAATATATGAAAGGTCAGAGGGGGAAACCTTATGCATATGAAAAATGTAAAATATAAAATGAGAAACATAGAAAACAGTTATAACAGTTATAACATTCCAGTCATGGAGCTTCATGTTGGGTGTACCCCTGCCACCTGGTCCCTGTGCTCATGCACCCGTCCTGCCCGCATTTCCATCCGGCCGCCCCTCCTCCATGCATGGGCAGGATAGGTCTTTCTCTTGGGTTCTGTCTCTCTCCCCTCCGCTCCTTGGGGAGCCCGGGCCCCCAGCAGGCCAGGCCGGTGCCGGCTCCCCCCACGCGCTCACCTAAGTGGGTCGTCACGCGTGGGTCAGGAGGTCGGCCCCGGCCCGGCCCGGTCGGGGCACAGGCCCCGCATTCCCTCTCTCCGGGCATGGGTCCCCCAGCAAAATACAATACTAGCAAGCATTGGGCTCTGCCCCCAACCCCCCATCCCTTCTCAGAGGCACCCGGGTCTCAGTACAGTGCCCAGTATTCCCATCAGGTCATACATTTTTTTTCTTTTTTTTCTCAAAGGGACTCGGCTAGCTTGTGTGGCCCAGTGAGGCCTCCCCGTATCAAGCTATAGTTCTATGTCTAGGGGAGCTAAAGTCCCTTTTAAAAACAGAGCAACTGGGCTTGGGGGGTTGTGATACTTGCGGGGAGCCGTCTGAGCGATGTTTCAGAGCTGCACGGCTGCTCGGTGCCCCATCATTGCTGTCACTGCTGAGGAAGTTCGTGAGGGTCACTCGGCTGGGCACTTGGGCTGTGGGGCGGCAGTCAACAACGCCTGTATGCGGAGTCATGTCCAGGCAGCACAAGACAGGTCCAGGTTTCTTACGCCTCTGGTTACATAGTTGCCCCCGACGGGCGTATCGTTTGCATGCGGGATCTTCGCTGTCTCTGTGGTTTTTGGGTCGGTGTCTGGGTGCTTGCGGCAAACGTGTAGAAGGCCAGGGGGTCTGGCCACTGCATATGGATCGGCGGGAGCTGCAGTTCTCGTGTTAACCCTGTCAGGTCATCTTCTCCCTTGACTAGGAAGGGGCCTGTTGGTGTGAAAACGTGCAGGCCTGTTGGGAAGGTCCACCGGTACCTTAGTTTGTTAGATTGCAGGATTCTCGTCAGCGGGCGCATCGCCCGGCGATAGGCCAGCGTGGCCGGGGACAGGTCCGGATAGAGTTGGACCTCTGCTCCGTTTATGAGGACGTGGTCAGTCTCCCGTGCTCTCCGCAATATGTCCTCCTTAAGTTGAAAGCTGGCCAAGCAACAGATGATGTCCCTGGGGGGGTCTTCCGGGGCCCCTTTAGGGCGCAGTGCGCGATGTGCTCTGACAAAGTCAATTTTAGTGGACTCAGGCCTGCTCAGCAGTTTGTTAAAGAGGTCTGTGAGTGTCTCTTTCACGGGTTCAGTGTTGGCAGTATGTTCAGGGATACCTCTTACTCTGATATTTTGTCTTCTGCCTCTGTTGTCCAAGTCCTCTATATGGTATGCCATCTGTCTGAGTTGTGCAGATTGCTTAAGTATGGCGTCGGTAGTTGTAGATTGTACCGCGTGTGCGTGATCATTATCTGCTTCCAGCTGGGAGACTCTGTGGTTGAGGCCCTGCAGGTCCTCCCTCATGGCGTGCAGTTCTGTTGTAATTGATTTCTGCAGGGCTGCATTAGCTTCTTTAAGATCTGCTTTGGTGGGTAGGTTGCTGAGTACCCTCACCCAATCCAGGGGGGGCTCTGCCGTGCCAGCGGCATCTAGTTCGTCTCTCCCGGGCGGCGACAGCGTGTTGTCCGTGGCCAGGGACTCATTTGAGGCCTGAGATGCGAGATCGGCCGGGGTAAGCAGGTATTGCCTCATCGAGGGTGCCGGGGACCCCCTAGGGGTGTCCGCGGACTTCACTGCTTGCGTGGCTCTGTGTGATTTCCCCATCGTGCGGTCCTGACACACGGCTCGGCGAGGGAAAGTGCAGAGCCGGCGGGGAGCTCCCTCACTAAGCCGCCATCATGTTCGGCGTCCAAGCCACGCCCCCCGTGAACGTTTCTAAAGGGGCTGATTTCAATAGAAACCTGCACTTTTATACTTCAGTGTCTGTCAATCAGAATGACAGGGAGGATTTCTTCTCCATGGAGTTCCAGGAAGTGTTAGGCGTGCTGTTCTAGCACACACTTGTCTTCTCTCCTTGTCGGTGAGTTGTATTACAGCAGCCTCTGATTGGACTATCTCTGGCACACACTGAAAATCTGGGCTGCGGAAGAAAGAAGAGAAAGGCTTACAAAGGCTGCAGAAAAGAGATCTGCCACCTTTGCATGTTGTTTTTAGATATACCCCAATGAAAAAACTACAAAAATAAATGTTTGCGTTTTTTCATAGGGGATGTATCTAAATTGCTAAATAGTGATGTAAACTTTTTTTTTGTTTTTGGAGGAAAAGGTGGGCAATGGACTGATCCTTTAAACCAGAAATTAGATGCACTTCCTGGTGGCTAACTGAGTGACACTGGACATACTCACGCTCTGCATAAGGACATCTAGCGTCAGAAAAATCTCCATAAGAAAGCATTGAGTCACTGATTTAACATTGGGGGGCCTAGTGTATTCCTTGCACTATAGAATCCCTTTAATTACCTGTGGCCAGAAAAAAAGTTTATTGTTTTAATTAAAGGGAATCTATAGTGTTCGGAATACAAAGTTGTATTCCTAACACTTTAGTGACCTTTGGCCCCCCCTTCTCCCCCACAAAAAGGGTTAAAAACCCTTTAATCACTTACCAATTTCAGAGCTGATGTTCCTTTTCCTCTGGCTTGCACTGTCTCCTCTGACGTCATCTGATGGGGGGACATATTGTGCATGCGTGGTGAGAGCTGTGAGCTCTTGAGGCCTTGCCCATAGGAAAGCATTGGCGTCCAGCATCATTTTACAGAGTGAAACTCCGTGAAACTCCAGGAAGCACCTCAATGCAGTCTTACTACTGCAATGTAATCATTGCAGCTTCACAAAAAACTACGTTTTACATTACAGGACTAAGGGGGACTGGGACACTGAACCCAGACCACTTCAATGAGATGTAAGTGGTCTGGGTGCCCATAGTTAATTTGTTATTCAGTAAAATGATTGTTGTTTAGTGAATATTCTTCTTTTGAAATACAATGCATTGCTCAGTCTGGCATTACAGCTGTAGAATCCTCTGCAGACCCTGTATTTTGAAAAGTACAATGAAATGAGAGGATTAATTCTGGATGATACATGGTTTGGTTTGGTAAAATCATTCTGTTTAAGTGGATTACAGACTTGCTTCATCTGTAATTACATGTTCTTTATTTAAACATTAACCTTAAAATCTTATTATTCAGATATGTTTATTTTATTTTCAGCCGCGTTTTTAGAATGTACGCTATGCTTTTGTGGCAAAGGAGATATTAAAACATCTGTCCACAAATATAAGGCATACAGTTGGCTTGCAGCTGAAATAGCTGTGATGCCACAGTTAATAAAATATTTTTCTTTAGATTGCCAAGAAAAGAACAAAATGTGTGTAGAGCTTACCGTGTGTTGCATATACGTGTGCAAATGCATGTGGCATTCCTTTTCAACTTCCATTAGAGAGAAAAGTGTTTGTCCAGTACAGAGTTCACTAAAGTGCTACTTGTCTGGAATTCAAGGTGAATAAAAATAATTGTAAATTTTCTAAAATAGCCAAACTGAAAATATACAGGATTATAAACTAAAGTAAGAATTAAAAGTGAATTACAAATTTAAAGGGACACTATAGGCACAAAATCAACTTTAGCTTAATGAAGAAGTTTTTGTCTGTAGATCATGTTGCTGCAGTAACACTGCTTAACTATCTGCCATTTAGGAGTTAAATCACTTTGTTTATACAGCCCTAGCCACACCTTCCTGCATCTGACTTACACAGCCTTCCTAAACATCCTCCTTATTCAAGGTTTCATTATTGTACAATGTGTTTTATTTAGAATTTCTTATCTCCTGCTCTGTTAATAGCATTGTAGAACCTGCAGGAGCCTCCTGTGTGTGAGTAGAGTTCAATTTGCGGGCAAGAGATAAAAACTTTTAAAGCAACTTAACATCTGATGGAAAATGAAACCATTTTTTTCATGCAGACCGTGTCAGTCACAGTCTGAAGAGCTGTGGCTAGGGCTGCATAAACAGAAACAAAAGTGATTTAACTCCTAAATGGCAGATAATTGAGGAGTGAGACTGTAGAGGTATGAAAAATATACCAAAGCTGCTTCATTAATGTGCAATGTTTTCTTATGGGGTTTTTAACATGCTGGATGTCCTCATGCAAAACGTGAGAATGTCCAGCGTAGTTGAAACTTTAGGAATTCCTTCTAAAACTGCAATGTTTTACTCTTTTTTATTTTTTTAAAATTTTTTTTTACACATTTTTACAGGGTTAAGGGAACAGGGACACTGCACCCAGACCACTTCAGCAAGATAAAGTGGTCTGGGTGCCTCTAGTGTCCCTTTAAAATATTGTTATATGTGCCCTAGTTAAGTTTAGTTGCTTTGATCTATATTTGTAGTTTTAGTGTGTGGTATATTAGTGAGGAATTTGGTAGATTTAGGTAGTTTGGCAATTTTTATAAAATTGCTAGTTACATGGATGGATAGTGAATTATACCTGTTTGACTTTAATTATTTCTTCACCTCTATTCCCTTGCCATCTTACACCAAACAGAATCCTCAAGTAAGGCCTGTGCAGATATTTGTAAGTAACAGGATAATATATGTTATTAAATCCACGTCTCATTATGCAATACATCCATAGGTTAATTTATGTATTTATTTATATAGCTCTGTATGTCTAGGGGAATATTCACTAAGCATTGCATAGGTAGAACAATTCATTTCCCATCAGCTTTGAATTCCCAGCCATTCATACTTTAGTGAATAACCATGATATTGTGCTAAGGAGGCAACTATGTTGTGGCATCTAAGTCAGATTATCTTCATCAACATATCTAATGGCTTCTGGTTCTGTTCTTCAAGGAACACTCTTAGCACCAAAGCTACTACAGTTTGCTCTAGTGGTTATGGTGCCACGAGTGCCTTGGTGCCCAACTATTGTAAGTAGTCAAACCGTTTTTGAACAGTTTGACCTCTTACCTAGTGTCTGCCAGGCACTGCTCCATACCTCAACCAATAAAGCCGGAAAGCCAGAGGTTCCTAAGCAGCAACCTCCTTTACTCTCTACACTGAGGAAGGGATTACCCCGAAACGTATGTTTTGGTTTACTTTGTCCTTCAAATTAAACAGTGGTAGCACTTTTGGGTGCACAAAGATACTTGCACTGCCTTCATTTTTTTTTTTCAATTTTTTGGGGGACTGTCTGAGCAACAGTGGGAGGTTTTGCTGCACAGTATTTGATTGAAGTGTTGTTTATGCACATATCTGTACATGGTATGATTACTTGTTCCTTGTATTTTTTTTTTTCTTTTTTGTGTGGCCACACTTTGTTAATCATATTGCCAGCGCAAAGGTTGTTACAGTCTATCAATATCCTGCTGCCTTAACACTGTGTATACTGTGATTAAAGAATAGCACACACACAAAAAAATTAAGTTTTATATTTTACAAGGATACGTAATATAACATATAAACAAATATGGGGATTTAATTACATCATATGGCCATATCGTGTTAAGCCCAGCACTACGTCACAATACCCAATATCAGTGGGTTCTACGCTCATTTTAAAAATGCTTTCCTGTGGGGATTTTAGCGATGCTGGAGGTCCTCACATAGTGTGAGGACATCGAGCGACGCTCTAGCACAGAAAACCTGTGCTAGAAACCAGGGAGTGCCCTCTAGTGGCTGTCTAGTAGAGTCTAAGGAGTTGGCACCCAGACCACTCCAATGGGCAGAAGTGGTCTGGGTGCCTGGAGTGTCCCATTAACATGGGAGTTTAACAACCTAACTGCTTCCAGAGACTCTCCTCAATTTATGCTTTCATGTGGTCACCTCAACACTGGTGAGGTGTACTGCTTGGAGTGTTCAAAATTAAAAAAAAAAAATGAAAATAAATAAATTAGTAAAAGGTGTGTTTTTTTTGCTGCATAAGGATTACAATTTTTGTTTCAAAAAGAGTAAAATGTAGAGATGACAAATATCAGTATAACTTATTGTGGTAATTGATCTTGATAAAATGGAAGATAGTGGAATATTGCTGGAGATGTTATTCCAGGATATCAGTGAGTTTATAAAGAATTGGCAAATCTGCTTCAGAAATGATATTGGAAAGGTAGGCTGGACAGGTCGTGTAGTAATCCAAAAATAAAAAATACGGGCAAGTGGGATATTAAAGTACAAAATTGTGCAGGCAAGCCACTGATAATGGGAGCACTCCCTAAAATCCCACTGAAAAATATACACCAAAAAACTGTACAAAACTCAAAATGTAAATATAGTGCAGGGTGCCTCAATCACAAATGTGAAGCTATTTAAAGTTACTACTTTGGAGAGAAAAATGACCTCACATAAAAAAGAAAAACATGAAGAGAATCATAGTGCAAACTTTAATTACAATAGTGGATGAAAGCCAATACACATATATTGGCATAATTATAAACATAAATTCTGCAAAAGCGCTTTTATTTTGGATATCAAAGCTGAAGATTATGCAAGCAAATGTGATAGGCAAAGATTACCACACATTTTGGGAGACTGTACAGTGCATCATTCCAAATCTATCATTAGGGGATGTTAAGAGTTTAAAGGGAAACTCAATGTTATAAAATGCATTACCCTTCCTAACCTATAAAACCCTACCTGTCATTAGCTGCTGTCCACATAAGTTACAGGGATGTTGGACAGAAAAATTGGCAGTAAAAATCTTTCTTCGACATCTCTGGTCCTATCTGCAGTTATAAGCTTAATGGTACTTAGAGAACCGACTAGGGGAATCTATGGGCCATAACTAAGTTGTTGCACATAGGGTACAATGGTGCTCAGTCACCCTATAAATGTAATAGGTAGTGCATCTTGGCAATGATATGTAGGGCATTGTGGCAACTGACATTCAATGTGGATAAGTGCAAGATAATGCATCTTGGGCGTAAAAACCCAAGGGCAGAGTTTAGATTATTTGATACCCTACTAACCTCAACATCCGAGGAAAGGGATTTAGGGGTAATTATTTCTATTACATTGTCAGGTAAGCAGACAATGTAATAGAGCGTCAGGAAATGCTAGCAGAATGCTTGGTTGTATAGGGAGAGGTATTAGCAGTAGAAAGAGGGAAGTGCTCATGCCATTGTACAGAACACTGGTGACACCTCACTTGGAGTATTGTACACAGTACTGGAGACCGTATCTTCAGAAGGATATTGAGACTTTGGTAAGAGTTCAGAGAAGGGCTACTAAGCTGGTTCATGGATTGCAGGATAAAACTTGTATAGCTTGGAGGAAAGACGAGACAGATATGATAGAAACATTTTAAATACATAAAGGGAATCAACACAGTAAAGGAGGAGACTATATTTAAAAGAAGAAAAACTACCACAACAAGAGGACATAGTCTTAAATTAGAGGGGCAAAGGATTAAAAATACTTTCAGGAAGTATTACTTTACTGAGAGGGTAGTGGACGCATGAAATAGCCTTCCAGCTGAAGTGGTAACTCAGTGAGTGAGTTTAAGCATGCGTGGGATCGGCATAAGGCTATCCTAACTATAAGATAAGGCCAGGGACTAATGAAAGTATTTTAAAAATTGGGCAGACTAGATGGGCCGAATGGTTCTTATCTGCCGTCTCATTCTATGTTTCTATCGGGGGAAGAAATTTAATTATAGTTTTAGGATTAATTTGTTCAAAGGTTAAGAATCTATTTCATTTTTTTAGAAGGCTATTAAACAAAGTAAGTTGTCTTTTAATATTGAGTGCTTTTTGTGATCCTTTAGCTGCCACTAACCACATGACTGGCTATTTGCAGGTGTCACAGGCAGCAGCAGAGCTCCAACAGTATTGTATGCAGAATGCTTGCAAAGATGCCCTGCTGGTTGGAATGCCTGCTGGAAGTAACCCGTTCCGGGAGCCGAGATCCTGTGTGCTGCTCTGAAGATGTTTTCTGTGCATGATCCGTGTCTACAGTAAGTATGTTACAAACCTATATTGCTAACTCTAGTGCTCCTGTCACTAGTTTGATTCACCCCCCCTACTTTTCCTGTGTAAAATCCTGTTAAAAAACAACAAAAAAAGCTTTTTATTTGCGTTTTTTTCCAAACCTGAAACTCCCTTGGCTCTTCTCACATCTCTTCCGCATGTGACATAATTGAGGGGGCATCAATTCTTCCATTGCTGGGCCAGTCCAATGTTCCTCATAAGGAAGCATTGGATTCAATGCTTTCCTAAAAGCCACAATGCCACGTGACCAAGTTTTACTTGGTTAATGGAACAGAAGCGCCTTTAGTGGCAGGAAGAAAGCCACCAGAGGTGGGTTAAACCCCACAATGTAAACATTGCAGTTTCTACATACCAACAATGTTTACAGTGCAGGGTTAAAATGACATGACCAATGTACCCAGATCAATGTACCTTCATTGAGATGTGGTCCTTTAATGTGCTTCCATTTAATATGCAGGATTGTCTCATTTAAATCTCTTTTAACACACATCTCAGCAAAAGAGCAGTGTCCTGCACATACAGTCTGTCTGACACTGCTTTCCACAATTTATGCTTCTAGTTGCTCCTATTTTATTACAGTATTATTCTTATTTATAAAGCGCCAACAAGTTCCATAGCGCTGTACAATGGGTGGACTAACAGGCACGTATTTGTTCCTGTGCGTCAAACGTGTCTGGTTACAGAGGGGATACAGAGACCTGCTCAATGAGCTTACATGCTAGAGGGAGTAGGGTTTAGTGGGACAAAGGGTAAGGGTAGGGTAGAAAAGTAGGTTGCTAGGATAGTATTCATTGAGGGCTTAGTGTTTTGATTTGATGACCATTTCAGGAAAGAAATCAGGGTGCGGGGAGGGAAAGCTGTTCACAGTTTAACTGATACACGTTCCTGAAGAAATAAGGTTTTCGAAGATTTTTTGAAGGAGTGGAGATTGGGTGAGAATCTAACAGAGAGGGCAAGGGCGTTCCATAAGAACAGTGCAGCCCAAGAGAAGTCTTTAAGGTGAGCATCAGAGGTAGGATGCGAACAGAGGTTAGACATAGGTCTCCTGCAGAGTGTAGGGGCCTAGACGGGACATATTTGTGTATTAGTAGGTGGGAACAGCATTGTGTAGAGATTTGTAAGCAAATGTCAAGATCTTAAATTGAGCCCTATATCTTACGGGAAGCCAATGTAGGGACTAACAACGGGGGAGGCATGGGAGGTGTGAGCGAACAGGAAGATAAGCCTCGCTGCCGTATTCATTATAGACTGTAACTGGGCAAGTTGGGAACACGTAAGACCACTGAGAAGCGGATTACAGTAGTCAAGGCGAGAGAGGACAGCAGCATGGACAAGCACCTTTGCCGTATCGGGTATTAAAAAGGGTCAGATGCGCACAATGTTTTTGAGATGGAAGAGGAAGGATTTGGCAATTAATTGGACAGGAGGGGTGAAGGAGAGGAACAGCGTTGATCTTTATTAGCATCACATTTACAATCTGATACATTTGTAGTCCTAGTATTCAAATAAGATATACCAGCTATCTAATAGAAGAATTTAATTGTAGGTAATTGGCTTTAGCAAAACCTACAATCTAATAGAAGAATTTGATTGTAGAAATTTTGATTTTATTTCAGTTTTATTATCTTTTTTTTTCATTTCAGACATTACCAGCCTCTTATATTCTTTCATACTTTGCATCTCAGGCTTGGTATATTAGTCATCATCAATGTTTTCTCAAACCTCTTTTTCCTATTAAATGACTTTAATTTATAGAAAAAAACATTATTATTAATTTAAAAAAAAAAAAAAAAAGCTAAAACATGAAATAGCCATACACAACATTCATACCTGATGATGAAACCCTCTTCCCTAGTGTCTCTGCATTGCTATTCATAGTAATAATATATGAGCTAGCATTTCTCTTTTCTTTTCCCTTCCTTTCTTGTCCCTTTTCCTTTACTCTCCTTTTCTCTCCCTTTCTTTTCTCTCTTCCTTTCTTTCTTCCCTTCCTCTTCTATGTATATTCGTCTACTGCCAACAGTTTTTCTAGCCACTTATTTATGTGAAATAGATTTTTTTTTTCTTCAAATTTCTGTTCAGACCTCCCTCCATCCTAAGTTGCGAAACTAGTAGGTTTTTTACTATATCCCAGTTTTGGGATAGAGTTTTGGTTGTCCACCTTTAAGCTATGGAGATCTTTGCTGCTATTAATGCGTGAGAAAAAAAATGTTGCAAATCTACATTATACTGATAAATATTAAGTGTAATATACACATTTCCGGGGCAAGGGGAAAATTAAATCCGGTTACCATTTCTCTTTTAGACAGGAATATTTTCCAAAATTCTTTAAGTGGAGGGCAACTCCACCAAATATGTAGACAATCTCCAATCCCCCTTCACATATCCAGCATGTATCTGTTTTACTCTGGTCTATTTTATTTAGATGGCTAGGAACCAAATAGAGTCTGTTAATAATCTTAAAATGTAGTTCCACTAAGTTTAGGCATTTAATGTGCCTAGCAACTGTCAGCCATGCTCTATTGACCATCAATTTTTTGTATTTTTAGATCTTTCTCCCATTTTTTTTATCGCTGGAAATGACAAGTCACCCTCTAGTTGTCTCAATACCAAATTACACTTATTTAATAAATTTTTCATGTCCTTACCTTTCAATAAATTTCCTAATTTATTATTAAATTCCCATATATCTTTATTTAAAGTTTTATTCAGATAGCTTTTAATCCTCATGTAATTCAATTTCTCGGTTTCGGGGAGACTAAAATTAGTACATATTTGTTCAAACTAATTAACCCAGGGTCCTGTTGTTATATCTTCTATAGTTTGTATACCTGCTCTTCTCCAATTGTTTAGTCTTAGGTCTTGCATGTTATTATCTTAATGGTTATTAATAAAGGTTACATTTAATTTTTTTAGTGCAGGGTTAAATAGGAATTTTGTCCCCATTCTAGGAACTTTTTTTTTTTTTTTTTTTTTTTTTTTTTTTTTTTTTTTTTTTTTTTTTTCATTTTGTCTTGTTGTGTTTACTTTCCCTTTTTTGCCATGTATTAAGTCACCATTTAAGGGTTATCCCCCATTTTTTGAGTGTTGATATATGCGTTATATTTGCTCACTCTCTCGTTTCTGTTTGAATGCTTTCCACGATATTACAGCTGAGGAAGGGAAGGTGTGGTTTGGCACATGGGAAAAAAATTGTTTTGGCTGAACTATTTCATCCAAAAAGAAATACAAATTGGGACAGTTGAATTTCGGCCATACGGCGGTTTGGCTTGTCCAATTTTCGTTTAAAAAAAAAAGGTATCAGATGAACCAATAGTTGTGTAAGTGGCAAAATAGCCGTATATGGAGTAAGGTTCAAGTAAGAACTTAGGATAGTATAAAAGAGCAAGTCGGTTGTGGTGTGCCGAGACCGACGATACGGTAGGCCTGTAAATAAAGAGGGCAAAAGTGAATAACCAAAATATTTAATACAGTCAACAATAAATACAATTATCCAGATATAGCTTTAAATGCATTTCTTAATTCTTGTGTTGGTTTGGGTATATAAGTGGTATAGGCGGATGACTTCCAAAGTCCCAGTGACTTTATGACGTGCACTGGTATGTTAGTGCTGGAAGCGGTGGAGGCCGCCCCTATGCGATAGGAGTGACCAGAGTAGTGAGAAGGGTTGAGACCTAGCATTGTTCAGATGTATCTCACGAACATAGTGGTAGTGAGTACAGAGCCTTGTAGTGCGAATAAATGTTGTGATGGTAGTGATGTGGTATGTCGAAGGTAGGCGTCTAGGGCCGCCACTGGACACCATTTGTTTTGGGTAGAGTAATAAGTGATATCCACTGGAGGTGCGTGTTGGCTTGATTTTGACGGTAATGCCAGTATGTAGTGGTCCATATGTTTGCATAGGTGCTTGTGTAGCAGGCATCGGTCTGTCTGAGTGGTGGTGATAGTAGTGAATTCCCTTGGCCTGAGGAACCCTTGGAAGGCTGTGAACATGGCAGCTTTAATGACTGTATTGGTGGTAGAGTGGAAAGGTTTGGATTCTAATAGGTCGGATAATGACTGAAAAAGTGTATTGTCTATAGGTAATCTCTGCGGGGGTCGTGGGGGCATGGATTTTTGAATGCCTCTGAGTATGTTCTTTACCTGATAAGATGACATGAAGCTATGTGTATTAGGTCATAGGGTTAGCATATGATGTTGTATGCCTGTAAGATATAATTTAATGGTGTTATATGATAAGTGTAATTTAAGATGGCAAAAGGAAGTTAAGGCTATAATAGATGTCATGACAAACGGTTGGGATATTTCGTGATCGGATAGAAATCTGGTGAATAGCGCGAAGGCTCTGTTGTATGTATTGCGAGTGTTGGATGATAAAGCTAATTTGGATAGATCCCTGCTATGTTCCATGATTAATTCTAGTCCATGGTTAGCTGTAGGAACGGAGGGGCGGCTGTGGCTGCTTGAGCGGCTGACGGGAGTGCTTGTCGAAAGGCCTGAAAGTTGAAACGAGACAGACTGTCAGCTGCTATGTTACTAATACCTGGAACATGAAAGCAAACCAAGTAGAAGTTGTGATATGCTGCAAACCACATGAGTTTCCTGAGAAACCTCATAATTGTATAGGATGTTGAACAGCCTTTGTTGATTATGTGACATGTGGCCTGGTTATCTGAGTGGCAACGAACTGACAAGCCTGACCATAAATGTCCCCATGCCACAGCAGCCGCTACAATGGGGTAGATCTCAAAAAGAGCTGAGGTTGTAAAAAAGCCTTCTAAGTCATGGACTTCTTCAGGCCACTTACCCCAAAGCCATTCGTTCCCAAAGATGGCTGCAAAACCCGTGGTAGACGCCACGTCTGACCATATGGTTGGCGACATGTCGGACAATCCGGGGTGGAACAAGCTTTTGCCTTCCAGGTGGTCAAGAATTTCTTCCACATGTGTAGGTCTGCTGTGGCCTGTAGATCCATGGACAGTCTATGGTTGATGTGTTGGAAGTGTGGGATATGAAAGCTCGCCCTTGCAGGATGATGCGCATGGCAAAGTTTAAGGAACCTATGAGGGATTGAAGTTCCTTGAAATATGTAGTGATTTATGCTGTTGAGAATGTTTGTAATTTGTGGTAAGCTTGCTTGCATGGATGCAGAGTCAAGTTGTATGCCCAGGAATGTAATGATGGTGTCTGGACCTTCTGTTTTCTTACGGGATACTGGGACACCCAAGTGGTCAAACAGGCTAAGGGCTTCTTTGAGACTTCTGGGGGGAAAGGAGTTCCCTTCTATCAGCAGAAAGTCATCTAGGTAATGGATGACTATGGGGCATCTTGAAATGTTTAGTAATAACCAGCAAAGTGATTCTGCAAATGTGTCAAAGATTTTAGGGCTACTTTTTGACCCAAAAGTTAAGCGGGAGAAAAAATATTTGTCTACCCATTTTATGCCATGTAAGTGCCAGAGTGTAGGGTGGATTGGTAGTAATTTGAAGGCATTTGTAATGTCTGTCCAAGCTCCGACCCCTGTTTGCGCGATGGCTGTGATGGCGTAATCTATAGTGGCATATTGTAGGGAAAACACTTCGGAGGGAATGAGGGAGTTGAGACTTGGGATAGTAGAGGTATGAGGGGCTGAAAGATCTATGATGAGTCTCTGTTTAATGGAAGATTTCCCTGTGACAATCCCGATGGGATTTGTGCGCCATGGTGGGGTTGAAAATGGCCCGAACAAGAACCCCTCTGCCAACTCTTGTGCTATGAGCTTATTTACCACCGTTGGGTTCTGTTTTGCTGATTGCAAATTAGGGCATTCTAGATGGCCAGTGGGCATATGTATGATGCCTGCATGGAACCCCTCTAAAAATCCAGAAATTAGAAAATCTACCAGATGTTTGGAGGGGTGATTGGTCAGTAGTGCTGCGAAGACATCAATGTTAACAGATGTTAGGTATGGTTTAGGGTATATTTTATTTGGACACATGGTTTTTGCATGTGCCCTGAAACATTGTGAACAAATATGCAACAGTTTGCATGCACTAAAGCTACATGTGCCGACATTGAAATTATTGCAAATCTGGAATTTGCCAAAGAAAATGAAGGGACAACCAAATTTGTCTCTGGAGGTTGTCTCTGGAGCTAGTGCTGGGTAACTGACTGTGATCGTCTGCCATGCTAGAACAAAAATTTGTAGTGTGGGTAGTAGAAGAGCAGGATGCACAAGCCGGTGTTTTGAGACCTGCGAAGTGCCTACAGAATAACTCCGTATCTAGTCTGCTCCAGTTGATATGGGTACCAGAGAGAGCACCAGACACTTTGGTGGAAAATGACCTATGAAAAAGCCGACACACCATATTTGTTTCCCAGGTCCACCAGCTTGTGCATGTAACGATTGAATTAATCTCTTCTATTAGGGTACACCTCACAAATAACACCTCTAAATACTCCAAAAGCTAAAACAAATTCAGGGATGGTCAGTTTTCGGTTTAACCTGGAGTCCTTAGATCTGACCACCACCGATACTTCGTCATACATATAAGTCTTATTTTCAACCACATCCTGGGAGGCAATTAGTAGGAATGCTAGGTTGACATCTTTGCCCTCCATGATGTCTCTTTTTTTAATGTGGGCTGGGATCCTGTGTGCAGGATCAACGTCCTGAGTATCTGACGAGTTAACATTACCAGTAGCCCGTGGTTCGGTTGGTGCCGGTTGTACGGTGTCTGGAAGGCCTGCCTTGGTGAGGGCTGTGGTGACTGCCTCGAGGTTAGCTAGTCTGTCATTAACCGTGCCCATGGAGTTCATGAGCGAGGCCAGCATAGCCTGGATGTCACCCGAGTTGGTGTTGCTGGGGCCTTACCCCGCTTCTGTGTTGTTGGTTGCTGTGCTTAGGAGTTTAACCCCTTAAAGACCAAACTTCTGGAATAAAAGGGAATCATGACATGTCACACATGTCATGTGTCCTTAAGGGGTTAAATAACTCCGCTTTCCTTGCTGTAGCAGGGTAGGGAATTTGTCGCCTCCTTAGCTCGGTGGTGATGCATGGTATTGTCCAGGATCTGATTGACGCTGCACTGGCAAGATCTCCCCTGCGTGAAAGTGTCTCGACCCTAGCTGGGGTGTTAGGAAGAGATAACTCTTCGCCACATTCATGAGACATACTTTAACTAAAATAAAAGGTAAAATTATTATTTGAACCGGGTCTTTTAGTACTGGCTTGTTAGCTATGCCGTGCGGCAAAACCATTATGCTCATGTTTTTGTGACTGGTGAGGCCCTACTAGAGGCTCTATCTATGCGTTGGTGCGATTGGATTTTTGTGGCCACCAATCATAGTGGCAGGATGTTGGCCTCTCGGTGACAGTAACCAGAAAATAGGAAGGGGAGTGTCAGGTGAGGCCCTCTCTATGATACGTGCGAGGCGACTAACTCACGAGTGGCCCGAGGGGTGTGAGGCGGGGTGTTGGTCTCGCTGGACCGCTAATCTGAAGCATAGAAAGAGGGAAAATAGCTATTGGCCCCTATGACCCTAATTGCCAGTACTTATATCTAATTTGTGGGAGATCAGATATGGATATACTGTGAGCAGGTGTACGTACCTAGAAGTATAGTTTTGGAAACCTGACAATCCGTATAGATAGCAGTTGTACCTGTAACTAAATAGATGGAAACCGTATGAAAATAAAGACAATCGGCACAACCATTTCTTTTCTTAATAATGTTTGGCTGTTTGACCTGTAGAGGTCAGTGGAGATGATATTTGTAAGATCTCCGTTATGTACTTGCCGGCCTGTAGGTGGCAGTGTCCGAGTTGTAGTATGGTGGATAGTATGTGACGTGAGTTCTGAGTTTTAGATTTATATGTGATGCCTGTATATGTTTGATTTAGGGTGTTTCAGTAGGGCATATATTATTATTATTATGGGGAGATATGTATGTTGATAGGTGATCATAGTATGTATGATACAAAATATTATTTGGTATTTATGTGTAATGACTGGCTATTTATTAAGCACGTGGATTGACAATTTAGTTGTTTGGTGTTCATTTTATAGGGGTCAGTGTTTGTAAAAACCCAGTGAAAATATATGAAGTGGTCTATAGGTAGAGATTATATATAGAGGTCAGTGGAGATGATGTTAATAGCAATGTAATTGCTGGCCTATAGGTGGCAGTAACCAAAACGTAGAACCACCGTTGTCATGTATTGTGACATTTATAATTAAAGGACCACTATAGTGCCAGGAAAACATGCTCATTTTCCTGGCACTATAGTGCCCTGAGGGTGCCCCCACCCTCAGGGTCCCCCTCCCGCCCGGCTCTGGAAGGGGGAAAGGGGTTAAAACTTACCCTTTTCCAGCGCTGGGCGGGGAGCTCTCCTCCTCCAAACCTCCTCCGTTCCTCCCCGTCGGCTGAATGCGCACGAGTGGCAAGAGCAGCGCACGCATTCAGCCGGTCGCATAGGAAAGCATTTACAATGATTTCCTATGGACGCTTGCGTGCTCTCACTGTGAAAATCACAGTGAGAATCACGCAAGCGCCTCTAGCGGCTGTCAATGAGACAGCCACTAGAGGATTTGGGAGAAGGCTTAACCCATTCATAAACATAGCAGTTTCTCTGAAACTGCTATGTTTATAAAAGAATGGGTTAAGCCTAGCTGGACCTGGCACCCAGACAACTTCATTAAGCTGAAGTGGTCTAGGTGCCTAGAGTGGTCCTTTTAACACATGTATGAATGGAACATATGAATAACCATGCCAGTGTAGCCCGTACAGAGTGTTTTTAGGCAAAAGTTGTCACATAATGTATGTATTGTCCTGAGTTTTGGATTTAGTACTTTACTGTAGGTAAATGCCCTGCTGAACCCTTTAAAGTAGGCAATACCCCAATGAAAATAAGTTTTAAACCCAATAATTAGCCCGTTCATGCGTTTGACCGCACGAACAGGACCAATATATATGTGATATGTTATACCATGTGTGGCCGCACGGAAGTATACCAAGTTCGGTTTGCAGGGATATGAAACTTAGTTTAATGTCTCCAGTTCGTGTTGTTAAACCGCACGAACCGGCCATAACTGTCTGATAATAGACTAGTGATATATGTACATAGTGAGGTGTAGCCTGTGATGGTAACAGGCAGGCACTAAGTAGGTGTCCCGTGGGAAGTTTGAATGTGATGCCCGTAACGTGGCTAAATGGTACTGTTACCCGCTGTACCCGTAATGGAAAATGCCATAACCGTAAAAGTGGTTTAAACACAGGTTTGTTTTTTATTTGTGCAGTGTACACCGCACGAACAGTGATTGATTGCAGTATGGGAGTTTGTAAATGCCCGGCGGGCAGGAAACCAGTAGAGTTCAACAATGTAAATCGTTCATGAGTACGAATGAGTGATGTGTGTTACAAGTTATAGGAATACGTAGACTCCGTTCATAAATTAACGATTTAAGCGAGTTTTCCCGTTCGGAACTATACGAAAGCATACATATGAAAGATACATAGAATATGCATGGTAGTTTATATCCGAACCGCAAGATGCACGAACGGTTTGCATAGAGAATAGGATGTGACAGCCGAAACTGATAGTGACCGTAAAGTGAGGACCTGCCCCCATGACCGATGCCGTGGGACTGGTGCCTGGCATAACAGGTAGGTCAACTTACGGTTTGTGAGTCACTAGTACGTCATCTGCGGCGATGCAAGAAGCTGGTCTGACGGAAAAGCCTGCAGCTGGATTCCTGGACACAGTTCAGCGTGGAAGAACTCGTGAGAAAACAAAGGCATTCCAAAATGGCGACTGGATGAACCGGAAGTGCATTCAGAAGCTGACCTTGATCGGTAAAGAGGTTAACTTAAGCCCCTCCCACAATTACAGGACAAACTGCCTTAATACCTGTGAAAATGTGCCAACCAGTATACTGCAAAATACAGTTGCAAGAAAAAGTATGTGAACCCTTTGGAATGATATGGAATTCTGTATAAATTGGTCATAAAATGTGATCTGATCATCATCTAAGTCACAACAATAGACAATCACAGTCTGCTTAAACTAATAACACACAAAGAATGAAATGTTGCCATGTTTTTATTGAACACACCATGTAAACATTCACAGTGCAGGTGGAAAAAGTATGTGAACCCCTAGACTAATGACATCTCCAAGAGCTAATTGGAGTGAGATGTCAGCCAACTGGAGTCCAATCAATGAGATGAGATTGGAGGTGTTGGTTACAGCTGCCCTGCCCTATAAAAAACACACACCAGTTCTGGGTTTGCTTTTCACAAGAAGCATTGCCTGATGTGAATGATGCCTCGCACAAAAGAGCTCTCAGAAGACCTACGATTAAGAATTGTTGACTTGCATAAAGCTGGAAAGGGTTATAAAAGTATCTCCAAAAGCCTTGCTGTTCATCAGTCCATGGTAAGACAAATTGTCTATAAATGGAGAAAGTTCAGCACTGCTGCAACTCTCCCTAGGAGTGGCCGTCCTATAAAGATGACTGCAAGAGCACAGCGCAGACTGCTCAATGAGGTGAAGAAGAATCCTAGAGTGTCAGCTAAATACTTACAAAAGTCACTGGCAAATTCTAACATCCCTGTTAGCGAATCTACAATATGTAAAACTCTAAACAAGGATGGATTTCATGGGAGGATACCACAGAGGAAGCCACTGCTGTCCAAACAAAACATTGCTGCACGTTTACAGTTTGCACAAGAGCACCTGGATGTTCCACAGCAGTACTGGCAAAATATTGAAACCAAAGTTGAGTTGTTTGGAAGAAACATACAACACTATGTGTGGCGAAAAAAAGGCACAGCACACCAACATCAAAACCTCATCCCAACTGTGATGTATGGTGGTGGGGGCATCATGGTTTTGGGCTGCTTTGCTACTTCAGGGCCTGGACGGATTGCTATCATCGAAGGAAAAATTAATTCCCAAGTTTATCAAGACATTTTGCAGGAGAACTTAAGGCCATCTGTCTACCAACTGAAGCTCAACAGTAGATGGGTGTTGCAACAGGACAATGACCCAAAGCATAGAAGTAAATCGACAACAGAATGGCTTAAAGAGAAGAAAATAAAGTGGCCCAGTCCTGACCTCAACCCGATTGAGATGCTGTGGCATGACCTCAAGAAAGCGATTTACACCAGACATCCCAAGAATATTGCTGAACTGAAACAGTTCTGTAAAGAGAAATGGTCAAGAATTACTCCTGACCGTTGTGCACGTCTGATCTGCAACTACATGAAACATTTGGTTGAAGTTATTGCTGCCAAAGGAAGTTCAACCAGTTATTAAATCCAAGGGTTCACATACTTTTTCCACCTGCACTGTGAATGTTTACATGGTGTGTTCAATAAAAACATGGCAACATTTCATTCTTTGTGTGTTATTAGTTTAAGCAGACTGTGATTGTCTATTGTTGTGACTTAGATGATGATCAGATCACATTTTATGACCAATTTGTGCAGAAATCCATATCATTCCAAATGGTTCACATACTTTTTCTTGCAACTGTATATACATAATAAAAATATAGTGCATTTGAACTGCTCTCTCAGAAATCCTAAATGGACAGGGTTTTTGAGGTAAGAGCAGACCCTAAAGAATGAGAATAATGCAAGATTGGTGAACCCCTTTATGATTTCAATATTTTATAGCATAATGCTATAGAAATATATCTAAATCATATTTTGGTATGTGCCCCAAGTAAGTAGGATAATCTTATAAGAGCAGACATTATGTTGTTAGAATGACAAAAATGGGTACATTGGCTTTGTGGTACAACTAAGCAACATATGATATTTGCTGTAACTAAATCACCATTGTTTTTGGCTATCTCAGACTTTTTAAAAGTTGTTAAAAAATTCTGGATGTTGAAACTAGCTTAAAACTAAAGGAGTGTACTAACATTTGCCCAATGTATCATTTATCTTGTTCTAGTAGCACCCTTATAATATAAAGTGAGTGCACACCATATATATAAATATTTGTAGTCGGGGATATTAAGCCGTGTCTGTAGTAGTAGGTGATGATTGCTAGTCGGTTGTGGTGTGCCTGAACCGACGATCGGGTAGGCCTGAAATAATGAGGGCAAAAAGGTTTTTTAAACAGAACACTTTAATGCTTTATAAATTCAGATGAGCAATTCCTTGAAAGCTTTCTTAAGTTCTTTTTCTGGCTGTGGAATGTATTTGCCGTAAGCTGCTGATTTCCACCTTCCTAGTTTTTAATGATGTGTACGGGTACATTATTGCTGGATGCGGCTGAAGCAGCGCCGATCCTAAATGAGTGTCCTGAGATGGACATGGGGTCGTGACCTAGTCTGACCGCCAAGGCTCTTACGTAGTGTATGAATTTAGCCATGGTAAGGGGTTTGTCGGCAATTGTGAGTAGGGGTGAGTAGCTTTGTTTGTCTTTGAGGGAAAGGCAGAAAGTATCTAGAACTGTCACCGCACACCATTTATTATGGGTCGTGAAGTACTGGATCTCTGTAGGAGGTCCCATCAGATTTGTTTTGAATTGTCTTAGAAGCAGTGGTCCCCCATTTTTTGTAGATCCCTTATTCTGATGTAACTTGTGTTGACAGATAGACTGTGCACCATGAATTCATTGGGCCTTAAGAACCCTAGAACGCTATGTACATAGCCGTTTTGAGTACGCAGTTAGTACTAGGTTCAAATGGGCTGGAATCTAACAGATCTGATAGATCCTTAAATTTATTCCGGTTAATTGGTTGTCTTTTGGCTGTTGGAGGGCCCTCTGTATGAAGTATACCTTTCAGGACGTTTTTCAGGAGATAGGATGACGTGATAGGTTTGTGACAGGGAAATAAGGTAAATGGTGATGTAGGCCCGTGAGGTAAAGTTTGATGGTGTTAAGTGCCAGCTTAAGGTGTAGGTGGCAGTGACCGGTGAAAGCAACTATTGTGTCGATGGAAAAGGTGTTGGTGATGTGGTGTTCGGAAGTGAACCTGGAGAAAATAGTAAGTGCTCTATCGTAGGACTTCTTGGTGTTGTCTGACAGAGCAGATTTTGCCAACGTTACTGCGTGTTGTTTCAGCCGTATCAGTCCATTATCAGGTCCTGAAATGTGGGGGTCGGCTGGGGTTTGATGGCTGCCGTGGGGTGTTGTTCGAAAAAGGCTTGAAAGTTGGAGCGAGAGAGAGTGTCAGCTGCAATATTTTCCCGACCCAGTATGTGCATGCAAACCAAGTGGAAGTTGTGAGTTGCTGCCAGCCATGTGAGTCTCCTCATGAGTCTCGTGATAACCAGGGATGCGGATCTGCCTTTGTTTATGATCTCGCATGTGGCCAAGTGTGTGCGGCTGCCACTATTGGGTAAAGTTCGAAAAGCGAAGATGTGGTATTAAATGCCTGTAATGTTGAGGTTTCAGATGGCCACGAGTCACGGAACCACTGGTTGTTGTATATGGCCGCAAACCCTGTGTTGGCTGCTGCATCGGTCCATATGACCAGGGAATCTACGTCGAGTGGGGGTATGAACATTGACCTCCCATTCCAGGAGGAAAGAAATCCGCCCCATATCCGTAAGTTGGTGTTATCATCGATGTGAATGTGAGTATTGTCGTGGGGGGTCTCCGTTAGGAGGTGTAGCAAGCGTGAAATGAATGCCCGACCCTGTGGTATAATGCAGTTCGCAAAGTTTAGTGAGCCCAGGAGAGGGCTTTTTGCGGGAGCAATTGTTTTTCCTCATGAACCATGTGATTTCGTTAGTGATGCAGTTAACCTTCCTGTCTGGTAGATTCGCCACCATAGAGGTGGAATCGAGATGGATCCCTAAGAAGGTTAGGGCTGTAGAGGGACCTATCGTCTTTTCCCTTGATAGAGGGACTCCTAGTGTGGAGAAAAGTGCCGCAGTTTTATCTATGCTGTGTGGAGTACAGTTAGGTTCCTCTACCTTGAGGAAGTCATCCAGGTAGTGTATTGCTACTGGGCAGCCACACACATTTAGTAGTAGCCAGCACAGTGTTTTGGCGAACGTGTTGAACAGTTTGGGACTGCTTTTGGCCCCAAACGTCAAACGCGTGGCGAAGTAGTACTGGCCCTTCCATTTAACTCCATGTAAATGCCACAGGGACGGATGTATTGGTAGCAATTTGAAAGCATTAGTGATATCGGTTTTTCCTAACCAGGTGCTTTTACCTGCCTTCAAGATTGCCCCCATTGCGTTATCCACTGTGACATACTGTAGTGAAAATCCACTGGATGGTATTAATGAATTAATGCTAGGAACCACAGATGAATGAGGCACTGATAGGTCAATGATCATGCGTTTTTTTTTTTTTATTGTTGAATTTCCCAGTTGCAATGCCAATTGGGTTAGTTCTGAAACTAGCGTATAGGGGGTGTGTAAATGGGCTTATCATGAACCCGTGGTTCATCTCTGCAGTGAGCAGCGCGTCGGTGGTGACCGGGTCTAGTATGGATGATTGCAGGTTCCTGCATTCTAGGGTGCCCCCGGGAGTTGCCACTAGCCCCGTGTGGAATCCTACCGTGAACCCTGTGGTAAGGAACTCGACCAAGTGAGGGGAGGGGTGGTTGGAGAGATAATAGGTGAGGTTGCTAACATTAATTTCCGTGAGTCATTGTCTAGGGAAAAGCTGATTAGGACATATGGTCTTCACGTGTGCCCTAAAGCAAAGGGAACAGACATGCAACAAACGACAAGCGCTGAAGCTACAGCCTCCCGCATTGAAGTTATTGCATATCTGTGCTTTACCGAGGAACACGATGGGTCTGCCCAGTTTGTCCTTGATCACCCTGTCTGATTTGAGGGTGGGCTCTGTGTGGCTAGTGGAGGGCTGGCTCAGTTCAGAAGGGCACAGATTGGTGTGATGTGCAAATGGAACAAGACGGAGGCTTGAGGCCGGCGAAGTGGCGGCAGAACAGTTCCGTATCTAGTTGGCTCCAGTCTGAGCGTATGTTAAACTGAACCAGCGCTGCCGCTGCCTTCGCCAAGAATGACCTATTACAATCATAGAAAGAGTAGCCTCTGTACTTGTTGCCTAGGTCCACCAATTTGTGGAGGTAAAGGTCCAGCTCTCCAGCTCCTCTCTGCGTTGAGGGAAGACAGAACAGATGACGTCCCTGTATAAGCCAAAAGCTATCACAAAATCAGGGATGGCCAGCTTCTTGTTGTACTCAAGGCTGGGGTCCCTAGCCTTGAGTACAACAGATACCTCCCCATAGCAGTAAGCCTTGTTTTCTATCAAGTCTTGGGATGCTATGAGGAGTGATACCAGGTTGACATCTTTCCCTTCTAAAATGTGTTTCTTAATAGCCTGGGCCACTAAGTGGGCAGGTGTGATGAAGTGTGTGGGTGTAGGTGCTGGGTTGGAAATTGGGCTGTTACCTGGGTTAGGCAAAGTCTGTGGTAGCATGGAGGGGATAGCTGATGGAGTGATTATGGCCACTTGATTTTCAAGTTTCTCCAGTCTCTCATTGATGAGGTTAACTGAAGAAAGAAGAGCGGACATTGTGGCCTAAAGTCCAGACATGCTTCCGTCAATTGCTTGTGTGCTGGTGCCTGGTCGCAGGGTGTCGGGGTCAGCGTTCAGGAGGCGGTATAGTTCCGCTTTGCGGGCAGTGGCCGGGTATGGTATGCCTCGTCTCCTTCAGCTGCGATCTTTGGTATGGTCCAAGAGTGTAGGGACGCTGGACTAGCCTCTCTACATTATCAACTGGGGTACTTGGTCTGGTTGGGCTGGAGATTCTGGCTGGGGTGCTGGGTAGGGAGACATCCTCGGCTATGTCTGAAGCATGTGACATTCTATAACATGAGTTAGGGGACATTGATTCAATTGGGGGAAGAGTATTATTGGGAGAGTTGTTTACGTTTTTTGCGTGGAGTGAAACTCCTTGTAATGGAGGAGTGATTGGGGTGCTCATACGTGTCTATGGTGATTTTGCCCGTGATGCCGGTGGGCCAAGTGGTCTTTGTTTGTGAGGGCCGAATAAGCGTGATGACGTGCGACGTAGAGTGAACTATGGAACGATGTGGGGGTGTCGTGCCTCGGTGGTGAGTTTGATGGATTTATCCACTGAATGTGGATGTGGTTAGGGACCCGTGATTGAAATGTGGCTGTTGTGTTGGTATTGTAACCTGTTGGTCTGTCAGGTGCGTGTCTGACAGGGTGATTAATGGGAGAAATAGACGGGAAAAGAAACATGATACTTACTTGTGGTTAGCGAGTTTGCGCGATAGCCTTGACCTACGGGAAGGAATTAATATTTTCCAGACTGTTATGGCACGTGGGTTGCCTGAGATGGCTTAGAGACCTACGAAGAAGAACAGTAAAAAAATTTTTATTTTAAATTTTTTTTATTTATTTTTTTCTGACGTTTGTAAGTGTGGCCATGTGGGGATGTATTACCTGCACGAAACTTGTCCGGTGGATACGGGGTTGAAGTTTGCGGACTATGCGTTGTCCCGCATAGCCTAAGTGATGATTAGAGTGAGTATGTGACCGTGATATTGTTGTTGCATTGACAAGATTCTTCTCTTACTTACCTATGTATTTATGGTAGTGCGGTACGCAATGATTTGGTATCCTATGTTAGGGATTGCCTAGATAAAATACACGAATGGGGAACTGAGTTAAACATTTTTTTATTTTTTTTTGTGTGTGTGTGGTCCCTTTTAATAACGAGCTTCTCTCCCCCCCCGCCCCCCTCTCATCCCCCAGACTTTGAATATATTGTTGTGGTTGTATATATATTATATAATTTTGAGATTGGCTGTGGCTGATGGGAGTGATGGCTGGTTTATTAGAGCAGGAGAAAAACTGTAATTGTGCATACTTTGAAATTGCCACGTGGATATATTTATTGTAGACGTAATTTAGAAGAGGAAAGTGGTTATCATAACAAATGACTGGAAAGGAAACATGCACCAAGTGCTATTTGACTCCTGAGCTAGTGGGGGTCTGTGTTTGTAGCCGTGAGTTTGTGAAGACCAGGGGAGGGGGAGCTCGGCATTCGGCTCGTGTGAGTGTGTGCTTGCCGGCCTCTCCGCTCCCCTGATTGGTGGACTGTGTGTCCGATGTGTATAGAACTTGTGTGGGGGGGGGTTTTGGCATTTGGCACTAGTGTGTGCTTGCCAGCCCCTCCGCTCCCCTGACAGGTGGACTGTGTGTCAGGTGTTAAGGAGCGACCCGGAAGGAGGCGTGTGCTGGGTACTCACGTGACCGATAGTGATTGCGGGCTGGAAGTGACGGTGGCAATGAGCTGGCGGAAGCACGCAAACTGCCCGAAATTACTCATGGTCCTAGTGCAGGACCTGACTGCATCTGGCTGAATGCCGTCGGGAAGGGGGACACTCCGGTCGTTGGGATGGTGCTGGCTGCGTGCAATGAGGGTTTCCTTGTTGATTAGAGGTTTTCTTGCTGGACCGGAACCGGAAATGGACACAGTGGAGTCTGGGTCAATCTTGGCCCTGATTAGAGGTAGGTCTGGGTATAAATAGGCCGGTTAACCCCTTCCACAACTACAGGCTCTGCCTTAACATATAACATATATTATAATCGCGTTCTAGTAACACACAAACACACACACACACATGAAATCATTGATATGGTCCTATTGCTAGAGTAGGACCTGCCAAGAATGGGGTACATTGACGTTGTGGCAGGCTTATGCAATATGTGATCATATAATGTAACTAAACCCCCATTATTTTTTGCCTAGGTGAGGTGTTTTTAAATAAAACTATTACAATCTGTGAGATTTGAAATCATTGAATAAGCAAGTGCGCTGGATTGTGTATTTGTATGTGTGTGTGTGTATATATATATATATATCCTCCAAAAAGGGTAGCAGCACTCTCGGATTTAAAAGTCCAATCTTTATTAGTTCAAAGTTAAAAGATGTGTTTTTTTTTTAACTTTGAACTAATATAATTAATAAACTAATAATATTATATATGTGTGTGTGTGTGTGTGTGTGTGTGTGTGTATATATATATATATATTATACACGTCTCTTTCTTGGTTATGCCCAGTTCTCTATTCACATTCCCTGTTTAATTTTAAATGATGTGAGATATTCATTTTTTATTTTTTTTAACGAGTTTCTCTGTGCAGTTATCAGTATTTATAAAAATTAGAAATGATAAACTGCTCACATGATCAACTGAAGCTCTATCCCAATTATATGGTCTGATCTGTAATATTGGACACATTCAAGACATGAAAATCATATGATCACTGCCCTGATCTTTTAATTGCCTATCTGAATAATGTATTGTGCAGCATTTGGGCAAAATTAGAAGCATTCTATGAGCTGGGATAAAAACAATAAACCAAGTAATAAGTTTCTGTAGATGTGAGTGTCCTTAGGAAGAGTTCAACAAAACTACTCTATGATGTAATTTGAAGGGTAGGGGCAAATGCAATTTATTTTGTAGGGTTTGGATAGCTGTGCCCTAGTTCTGTTTTGAAATTCTGACATTTGCGGTGTATGACAATAGCTGAAGGAATAACATGGGCATCAGGTGTGTGTAAGTATGGATTAGGGTGCTGTTATTGTTGCTATTATTTAATCAGATCTACCATATTCCACAGTAATACAAATAAAAGGGGGGTGCTATAATATAAAAGAAAATTATATAAGTCTTTAAATTGATAGAGGTCCTAGTAGCGGCACACCACTAATTTAGGCATTTGGGCATTTGGCTGAAATTGACATAAACCAATTCGAAATTGCAAATTAACTCAAAGGCTGATTGCCCATGCATGTTTTGGGCAGTACACGTATAATGTGAAGTGTACCAATTAGAGAGATATTCTGCCTTATAAAAGCCTTTGGGAGCACGGAGTAAGGAAGCCTCATTACGTCCTGACGAAGCCGTCTGAGAACGGCGAAACGCGTAGTCGACGTCAGCAAGCACGCAAGGTGGGAGGAACCAAGTGGAAGCCGGGAGGTTTGAACAGCGATTGCATTACAGCAGATCAGTTTACAATCTGGACTTCATATATCGGAACCTCGTCTGACTTACCTGTAGGAGACCTCTCCCAGTGTGGGGAAGCGTGCTTGTGAGTCACGGGAAAATATACCTTTGTACTCACCATCAACTCTAGTAAGCAGTTATCTGTTTACCATTTTCAGTTCATTTTTGAGTGCTTTGTATTTTGTATTTTTAATGTTTTAATGTGTATAAATTGTTGTTCAATTATTAAATTTATTAAGTATACAAAAAAATGCATGTGTTAATTAGCACTATATCAAAAGGTGCAATTTAAATACCATATATACAGATCTGCACTATCATTATTTTTAATTATTTTTATATGCAACATGATTTTGAACGTGTGACTGCTACCCATTGAGGAGTATAAGTATATTTATTCCTTCATTTCCTAATTTTGGTTGCATGTGGGAAGGGGCTGATCACCTAAATGTCGCTCCACTTCTTGAAATATATTTTATATAGAAGAATTGATTACTACAGTAACATCTTTTATTTATTTGTTTTTTATGTCTATTTATTTAGGTATAGTTGATAAAGCTGTTTGAGAGTCACATATTAAGACCATGTTAATTAATATGAATACATTTTTGTTTAAAACCAAAATTAATATTAATTAGACTAATATAACAGACCGGGCAGGGGGTTTTAAAATTCAACTAAATAAGATTTAGGATATGCATAAGCTGTATAAGTATGCGTAAGGAGGGAAAGTTTTCTTAATGTAAGGGTATACTGCCGATCTGAATATATAAGGATGATATAAATGATTATTGAATGAGACAATATGGATGTACAGACCACAGGATGTATAACGTAAAATGTGGCACTATATTATTATATATTCTGTAATTTATATTGTATTACTTTGTAATTTGGAAAAAAGAAGGAAAATTTAAATATAAATTCAAATATGAAAAAAAACAAAAAGGAGGGGCGTGGCTAACTGCCGAACGGAGTAGTCGCATGCTGTAAACGCTCCGTGCTTCACCAGGCCCAAAGCAACAATTGAGCTTCTAAAAAAACAGCTCCAACCAATTGCAAACAGCAGGGACATCTCCCGACAGCTTCATGGCACTATCAAAGCAAACTAAACTTACCGACCCGGTACGCCAGGGCAAGAAAGACCGCATGAAGCAGGCACAAGATGGCGACTGCCACATGGAACAACCACCATCTCCGGAGTGCCACACTGATCTGGACAGTGAACCACAGGCACCAGACGATATACCGGTCACAAATAAAAGCCTACACTTTATGCTCCAGGACCTGAAGGCATCCCTCCGTTCCGACTTCCGTGAACTTACCAGCGACTGAGGAAAAACATAGCGGATATAGGAGGCCGCACCAGCCACCTGGAAACCAAGACAGAGGAACAATGCGCATCCCATAACGATGTGGCTGATAAGCTGCAGAGGCTGGAAGAGGAACAAACCGCTCTAAAACACAAAATGGCGGACATGGAAGACTGGTCACGGCGCAACAATTTGAGATTCCGAGGCATCAGCGACTCCATCAACACTGAGACACTCCCACAAAAAGGCTCTCTGTAAGGCCCTGGTACCGCAAATCGAGGACCCTGCTTGGGAGCTAGACCGTATGCACAGATTACCTAGACTGGCACGCTTTACCGCTGACACACCCAAAGATACCATTGCACGATTTCACCACTACAGCACCAAAGAACAATTTCTAAACGTGGCAAGGAAACTTACCAACCTGCCAGAACCATATCAAAACATCCAAATATATGCTGACCTCTCCGCGGCAACGATGGCGAGAAGAAGGGAATTCGTGTATGTCAACAAGACTCTGCGTAATAACAACATCCCCTACCAGTGGGGATACCCAACGAAGTTGTTGGTGTGGTACCGGGGAAGGTCTGTGTTAATTCTAGAACTGGAGGTGGGCATGGCGAAAATGAAAGAGTGGGCCTACATCACGCCCAAGGGCAAGCTTTTCCCCGACGAAACTGATGCCAGAATGGAGAATGGCAGGCGCCGCCACAGAGCCTCAACAACAGGACTAGAGTGGACGGTTCGCCTGGGACTCCCTGACGTCCAGAACTTGAGTATCACAAATGTATTGTTATAAGTTATGATTAACTATGCGGCCTTGTATGATGTTGGAGTGGAGAGTACAGAGTACAGTTCTGACAGGTGTAAGTAGGGCGATGAGATGGCTACAAATTTAAAATGAAGGGAATGCTGCTTGGTCCCTGCATCGCACACAAAAGTCTGAATCAGACCGGCAATAAGCAACACAGTACCCCAGACTCCCCTAATTCATTAGCATTGCAACCCAGGTCAAGTGGTTTTACTCACCACGATGCAGCAAACCCAGTCCTTCAAGAACATGTAGCGTGAATGGGGATAAGCACGTGTAATGAACCCTAGGGATAGGTGAAGTAGGGTGTACCAACAACTAGCATACAAGTAGCCATTGTAAATAGTGCATTAACAGCCACAATTATTGCCTAATGCTCGCACCGAGATCGTTTTGCTATTTGTTTCAATGTCAATGATGTAAAAATATTAGCAGGGGCACGGGTGTGCAGTTATTGTGGGAACTACACAAAGCAACACGGCCACATGTGAGTGACAAGATGGGGGGCGACCCCTCAGACTAACAGGGGATCGCACCCAGGAGGGACCCCTTGGATAGCAACACCGCGACTAGGCAGCCCAGTGGCACCATACATTGCTCACAGCTGAACTGGCCACTGGAGAGCTATGTCAGAGGCTTCCCGAGTATACTCGCAAGGACAAGGCATCCTGCGCCTTCGCCTCCATCTGAAAACCCACATTAGGTACAGTCATCTAGCCATAAGAGCCCACCCACCCCGAGGGAGGCATGGCGGTGGTATCAGGCCTCTCTCACACAGGCTGCACCTGCAGACAGGAAAACAAATACTAATGAAAAAAATAAATAAATTAAAAAATAAATAATAATAAAAATAAATAAATTTAAAAAAAGGAAATATATGTATGACAAGTACACCGTTATGTAGACATTGCTCTGTAGGCCAGCATCATCGAGGTTGCAAACAGCTTCTTCACCCAATAAGAGTTAGCTTGCTGACCTGGATGCGGGAGCCCCCGGTGGCTCCACAAACACGCTGAGGAGACGCGGGGCCACTGGCGCGGTGTCTTCCTGATAGTGCACACACTGTTATCCGGCCTGTGTAAAGACGGATCTAAGGAGAGCACCACTCATGGAGTGCCATAGACTTCAACAAATGAATGAGCAGAGGCCCCTGACGTAACACATAACACAGGGGACCTACCCACACGCCCTCTCGAGAATGATAGACCCAATACGAAAACATCATGGGCTACACACTGGTGGAAGACACCCCACACCTCCTGGACCGAAAAAGAGTGGGGACACCCTTCACAACTGACTCGGTCGTAAACATTGCCAGACGCAGAGGTTGTATGTTTATTTCCCAAGTTCTCTGTAGATCCTTGTTACTACCCCTTTCCCTCTCTCCCCCTCGACATGCATCCCTATTGGCCCGCGAACACCGAAAGAACAGAAGGCAAGGGCCTAGATCTCCTACACCCCTCTCACGGACACCGCTAGTAACCTCACAGCTGTCCCTGCGGCTAGAACCAAGTGAGGATCAGGTCATACTAATCCGCACAAGGGCTATAACGCGACCCATTCTTAACCTTAACAACCAAGTTAAGCCCCGAACGTGCTCACGCAGACAAAAAAAAACACGCATTCACATGGCACAACCTACATTTAAGATTTTCTCCTTGAATGTCAAAGGCTTAAATAGTCCACATAAACGCAGTCCAGCAATTAGAGAGATGCACAAATCCCAAGCTGCAATAATTTGTTTCCAGGAGACCCACCTGTGTACCCGCAAACCACCAAAAATCCACACCAAACGATACCCCCAAGCCTTTCACGCGTGTTCCCCGAACAAATCAAAAGATTCAGATTGGGTATTCCAAACTAGTTCACAATATGTTGATAAGGCGAGGTGCCTCCTAATTCTGGTGGGCACACTGAATGGTATTAACATGATGATGGCGTCCCTTTATGCACCCAATGACGGACAGGTGCCCTTCCTCCGCAAAGCGCTCAAAAGAATAGACGCAATGAAACAAGGCCACGTCATAATAGCAGGGCCGGCGCGTCCATAAGGCGGCACAGGCGGCCGCCTTAGGGCGCACCGGCTCTGGGGGCGCAAAATTCCAGTGACCGGCAGGAGGGAAGTGCTCCCTCCTGCCAGGTCACCTCCTGGATCCCCGGCGCGGCGTGCGGCTGAACTGGGTGGCGAGGGAGCTCTGATCTCTCTGATCTGCTCCCTCGCAGGCTGTTTACTGATGACGTCATATTCCGGCTCCCGCGGCATCAGTAAGCAGCCTGCGAGGGAGCAGATCAGAGAGATCAGAGCTCCCTCGCCACCTCGGCATCCAGTTCAGCCGCACGCCTCCCAGCAGCCCCACTGGACCACCAATGAGAGACCCACGCCAGCTCTCCAGGTAGGGAGGCTGGGTGGGAAATTTTAATTTAATTTAGATGATTAATTACTGTTAGTGTGTGTGTGCATGTGAGTGAGTGTGTCTGTCAGTCAGTGTGTGTATGTGTGTCTGTCAGTGTGTGAGTGTGTCTGTCAGTGTGTGAGTGAGTGTGTCTGTCAGAGTGTGTGTATGTGTGTCTGTCAGTGTGTGTGAGTGTGTGTGTGAGTGTCTGTCTGTCAGTCAGTGTGTGTGTATGTGTGTCTGTCAGTATGTGAGTGAGTGTGTCTGTCAGTGTGTGTGTGTGTGTGTATGTGTGTCTGTCAGTGTGTGTGTGTGTGTATGTGTGTGTGTGTGTCTGTGTGTGTGTGTGTATGTATGTGTGTGTGTGTGTGTGTGGTTCTGTCAGTGTGTGTGTGTGAGTGAGTGTGTCTGTCAGTATGTGCATGTGTGCATGTGAGTACATGTGTCTGTCAGTGTCTGTGAGTTTGTGTGTGTGTGTTTGTCAATGAGTCTGTCAGTGTTTGTGTGTCTGTCAATGAATGAGTGTCAGATAAGTGAGTCTGGCTGTCAGAGATGTCTGTGTGTTTGTCATTGAGTGTGTGTGACTGTCAGTGTTTCTACACCCCTGACTGTAGCGTGGCCAAGCGGAGTGTACCGTGGTACAGGAACTTCTGTTTCCTGTACCTAGCAGGACTGACAGGAAAAGCTCACTGTACCGGGATTCGCTCCGCTCAGCCACGCTACAAGAAAGGTAGGAGGCACACCAGGAAGGGGAGGGGACCACTATGGGGATGGGTGGCGCACCAAGGGACATGGAGAAGAGGGGAGAGATACCCTAAGGTACAGGAAAAGGAGGGAGGGGGGAGAGGAACACTAAGCGACAGGGAACAGAGGGGGGAGGGGAGAGGAACACTAAGGGACAGGGAAAGGAGGGGGGAAGGGAAAGGAACACTGAGGAACAGGGAAAGGAGGAGAGAAGGGAGAGGAACAGTAAGGGTCAGAGAAGGGAGGGGACCATTAAGGGACAGGGAGAGGGGCTGGATGTAAAAGAAACACACAGCGGGGCTTGAGAAGGAAAGAGACACACAAAGGAGCTGGGAAGAATAAAAGACACAAAGAGGAGAGATAGGAGACACACAAAGGCAAAAATAGGAGATAAAATACACTAAAGGGAGTCAGATATTTAAAAGACGGGATAAGAAACACAAAAGGGAGGTTAAGAGGCACATGGGCGAATATGTTTTTGGGGGGGGGAGGAAAAATGGATCTTCGCCTATGTACCCAAAATTCTTTGCACCGGCCCTGCATAATAGGCGGGGACTTTAATTGTAGTCTAGACCCCAAGATGCATATGAAACGTGAACATAACAAAAATCCCACAGCTACAAACAGCAAACTGTTGACCGCCCTAGCGTTTGAGCAGATTAACTAGGTAATGTGCACATTAACTGATTTCTCACTTTAACTGTAATTTATATATATATCTGTGTGTGTATATATGTATATCTGTGTGTGTATATATGTATATGTGTGTGTGTGTATGTATATATGTGTGTGTGTATATATATATATATATATATATATATATATATATATACATACATACATACATACATACATACATACATACATACATACATACATACATACATCTCTATAGGGAAAGTACAGCGCCTGAAAAGGCAATGTTTACATGAAAATGTCTGCAAGGACTGACATTACTCACCAGAACAACTATAGCTTAATGTAGTTGTTCTGGTGAGTATAGTGTCCCTTTACCCCAATTCTCCATTGGATCATATAGAGCAGAGCGCATTATGCATTCTACCCTCATAGTAGATGTTCCTTCATTTTTCTAGCAGATTGAACCAGTGCCAGAAGTATAAATTGCTGTGTGATTTGACTGCTGAAGGGGGCAATAAATATATCTCTCATGGCAATGTTGTTGGCTAGTATAGAAGATCACACCATAACTGGCTTCCACATACACAGCCTTATCACATGGAGGAGGGTGCCGGTCTGGACTATCAGTAGATAACATTTGTTATGGTCATGATTGTGCTTATCTTAACTGTTCATTGTGTTTAGCAAGACTGTTATAAATCAGCTGGAGCTTAGGAAATAGCAAGCAAAGTGATTATTACATGATTAAATCTATTTATCTTTTTTTGTCTGTTCCAGCACCTTTTCTCTAGATAAATAAATTTTTTATATGTCTTGAGACCTGCAGATTATCTATTTTACTTTTCATGTATCTGATTTACTCTTGTCTTTGTGAAAGTCTGTAATAATCAGCTTGAATAATAATCTCAATCAGTGTCACCAGAAACCCATTTTTCTTCTTATGAGGCTTACACAGAAGTTCCATCAAGTTTGACCTGTACACAATATACAGGGAAAATAACCTGCTTCAGAGATATGCCAATTACCGCAGATGTCCAAGACTGTGGCTGTCTGTGCTCTGCCAATGCACTTATAATTATTTAAAGGGAAACTGTCACTTCCCTGGAATTTACACCATCTAATAAATTATTGAAAATCATATTTAACTTCTGTTAACCTTATTCATGAGATTTATTTTACATTATTATTAAATATTTAGCAAATGACATCATGATCCAGTTCAGACAAGGCAAAGCCAGGGCAAACATTGAAAATAAAGAGGAGAAATAAAAATATTGTTTCATGTTTTCCTCTTCTCTATTCTCTGTGTGCTTTCTTTATGTTGACTATCAGATGCAAAGGACAGAGTTTATAACAATAAATGACTGGGAGCAAAGATTGAGGCACCCAGTTGCAGGATAAAGAGATGTGGATTTTTACATTTGATATTATTAAATGTAAGGATTTGTAAACATAACATTACAAAATCCTGGAAAGTGACAGTTCACCTTTAAACAGAAAATTATGTTTAATGTTTGCTAGTTTTCAATCATGTCATGAGACTAGATGTTGTTATAACTTAATTATGCTTATATTATTGAACGTAAAGGGCCACTCCAGACACCAAAACAACTTAATCTAAAGTAAGTTGTTATGGTTCCAGGAGGCCTCCAGCGGCACCATTTTAGAATAGTCTAACCTATAAGTTGCCTCCAGCAGCGATGTCCACCCCCCTGGTGGTATCTGACTTTTGAATGTTCACGTACAGGAAGCGGCATTCTTTGCTTCCTGTAAGTGAAAATCCAGAAGCCGAATGCCACCAAGGGAGGAGTGGACATCGTGGCTGGAGGCAACTTGGTTAAACCGTCCGAGAACGATTTAATCCCTTTAGGTAAGAGTGCCTACTGGCACCATAACAACTTCATTTTGATGAGGTTATTTTGGTTCCTGGAGTGAGTTTTTTTCACATTCACCATATGTCTCTTATTTATCAACAATCTAAATGTTAAAACTTCAAAAACCCCTTCTATCTCACTTGATTTTTTGCAATTATTTTGTTTTACTAGTTTTGTAAACACAACCATCTCTTAGTGTTCATACTATATTTAGCATTAGAAATATTTATCCATGTAGATTTCCTTCACTGCTCTTTTCAAATGTTTATTATAATCTAAATATATCTGTGTTTCTCTTTATTTTAGGCAAGAGACACTCAAAGATCTCTGATGGGAAAGAACAGCCTTCTATTCCAGTACAATTCTAAAATGATGTGGCCAATCCCCCTTTATGTATTTATTAGTTATTTTAAAAAAGACGTATACGTAATATTCATAAGATAATGTTTGCCTGTGTGAGAGAGAGATGTATATTTCAGGGGTTTTGTGGTAGGGATGGGAGCAGCAGGGGTAAATGTTACATTGATTTAAGCCCATTTGCTTGCACACTAAGAATACAGTGGTAATATTTTTTAAAAACTATATTAATATTTTTAAAGCCATTACACTTTTCTAATTTGTAATACAACATTAAATAATTTTTAAATGAATGCACAATGTATTGCTTTCATGTATGTCTCTCGCCTAATCGTGTTGGTGATGTAGTCAAATGGTAAGATTAAATTTATTTAGGATTCTAGTTTTTTTTATTTTAAGTAATTACCTACAGGATGTAATTAGCATTGTTTTCCTCTTTGCACATTTGTATAATTTATTAACATTACAAACAAAAACCATTGTATTTTGACCTTTATTGACATTTACCAGTTCAATCTTGGCACACCAGTCTCATATCCTGAACAGTAGAGCAGGCGGGTATCAAGGTCAATAATATTACATTCAAAATATAGTTTTCTGCATTTTATTCTAGATTCCTATTACTGCTTCTGTTTTTATATGCTACCTTAGTTCATCATCATGCTTTATTTCCAGATGTCTGTCTATCCGTCTTAGCTTACTTTATATGCCTCCCTCATAGTGCTTCATAATATCAGTACGGTAAAAGGTCATCTCCCCCTCCATTACCTGGTATGTTAAACATGTCTTATTCCCCTCCATTGCCCAGCATCCTTCTCCATTAACAAGCACGGTGACGGGTTATCTCCCTCTCCATTATATGCTAAATGAATACCCGCATTCCTATTATCAATATATAAAAGAAGTTTATTACATTATCAGTGTATATATATAAAAAATAATCCAAGTAATCTATATACACCAGCAGTAGTACAATTTATAAATCAGAAATCAATATACATATAATGCATTCAACTACATAGTATCAACAATAATCAGCAGATTTTAAAATAAATGATCGAAGCGTATACCGGTGATTATACTACTTAAGGGAGTGGTTTAGATACCTTGAGCACCTTTGCTTTACATACATGCTGTACAATAATTGGTTACCTCTACACGCCTGAACGCTTACATCACCTCCTGCTTTACCTGTTATGGGACAGGCCCTCTCCTATTTCTTTACTTGTTATGGGACAGGCCATCTCCTTCTCCTTTACCGGTTATGGGACAGGCCATCTCCTCCTCCATTATCCAGGATGGTGACAGGCCATTACCCAAAAGGCCCAGGATGGTGACAGGCCAACACACCTCCATTACGCTGCATGGGGACAAGCCGTTTCCCTGTCCATTACCACAGAAAATGACAGGCCATCTCAGGCTATTTCCCCTTCCATTGATGCATGACTGGTGATTCTATTTAGGTTTGCATTCAAGAAGACCACATGATCATAGGGCTATTTGCTAAATACTGTGGCTTAAATTAATGTTGGTTTTGCATTCATGTCCTGCTTTGTTGAGGTTAAACAAAAAATAGGGCCGCACTCAGTCACAATATACCAATACAGGGTGCTACTGAGCAAGGGTCAGCAAGCTCCAAGAAATACATAGTAAAGAAAAAAATCTCAGGCACTTGGTTCCAGGCAGATTTATTACAACGTTTTGACCTGAACAGGTCTTTAACTTGATAAAGACCTGTTCAGGTGGAAACGTTATAATAAATCTGCCTGGAACCAAGTACAGTGAGTGCCTGAGATTTTCTGCTTTGTTGAGGTAGTCCTACTGAATATTCACACCCTCCACATAGTGCCCTTGTTACACTTTTTAAAAAAGTGGCTACTAGATATGGAGGTACCAGCCACAAAGTTTGAAGATGACTGTTCCAAAATTAGCACTTTGATTTATACTTGCTTCTGCTTTGTCTTCATAAAAAGTGCCCTGAATATTCTGAACCCATACTGACCAAAAGCAAAGCACGGTAAACAGAAGAATAGAGGATCTTTCTGAGTGTGGAAACAGATAAGAAAAGCAACGGGGAATAAGAAAGGTCAATTGTCCCCCTCGACCACTCATACAGGAGTTGTGGGATACAGTCTCACTAGCAAACAAGGAATGTGGACTGAATCTCCATTTCTCTGTGGATTAAAAGTGCATTCGGCGGTTCATTGGTACAATAATGCAGGAGTGAGACAGAACGAATTTGCAGCAGGCCCTTGGTGGCCAAGCACTACGAGTGGGCTGGTGGCCTGTAATCTTAACATACTTCGGGCCTGAACTGGCTCACTAGGATATGCTGCAGTACCCTGCATTATTTGGGGTTGATCAAGCTGCCAAACAATGGTGAGTATGTATAGTATGAATGCAGTATGAAATGAGACCGTGCACATGACATACATTATCCATGCCAGTGGTCATTGGTGGCAGTGTAGTTGTAGGGCTCTTTGATTTGACATATATTAGGAATGCACAAATCTCTTTATTTGCTGCATATGTCATACTAATAAATGTTGCAGGTATATGGTATTACACCTCACTCCAACTCCAGCAGCCTCCATCTGTCAAACACATATATAGCATGATTTAGCGGAGTATGGCTATTCACATCGATCTGTAAGTTTTATTTAAAAACAAAACAGAGAGTAAGCGCTAGCTAATATGAGGGCAGCAACCCTATAAGGGAATCCCTCAGGAACCCTTAAAAATAACGCAGAGAGAGAGAAAGAATAAAAGATAAGGGCTGCGCCAATGCAAAATAAAATAGCAAATAGTCCAAATAAATGAATGTAGTAAAACAAGAAAGTCTTATCTAGACTATGCTCTTTGAGGTCATGGAATCTATCCGTGCTTGATCCGGAACAATTGTCCTTTTTATGTTCATCCGTGAGGGTCCGCTCGTATATAGAAGATAAGAGTGGAGAGCCAATAGTGTAAAATGCTTAAAACAATAAAAATAAGTAAAAAGGGAAAAATAAAACTCACATTTGAAAGAGCTAAACTTGCTCTAGTATAGAAGGCGTACAGCGGTTTGATCCCCGCTTATGGGATATAGGGTAGACTTCCTCCGTCAGTGGTGTATCCAACACTCGGGTAGAAAGAAACAGCCAATAGTGTACACTGAGTAAAATATTGGTAATAAAATAAATAAAATAGAATGGGTACTCACAAGACGGGAGCAGAACAACTGCTCATTGACGTAGCGCTGGTGGTATAATCCCCACCTAGGATTTCTTGGAGTCCGGGATGTTGAAAGGATGCCAGGTAGTAAATGAGTTAGAGTGTATAAAAGGATAAGTGGCACAGATAAAAAGTAACCAAATATACTTTAATATATATAAAATACACAATTTTTTAATTGTGTATTTTATATATATATTAAAGTATATTTGGTTACTTTTTATCTGTGCCACTTATCCTTATCCAATATTTTTTAATTGTGTATTTTATATATATTAAAGTATATTTGGTTACTTTTTATCTGTGCCACTTATCCTTTTATACACTCTAACTCATTTACTACCTGGCATCCTTTCAACATCCCGGACTCCAAGAAATCCTAGGTGGGGATTATACCACCAGCGCTATGTCAAGGAGCAGTTGTTCTGCTCCCGTCTTGTGAGTACCCATTCTATTTTATTTATTTTATTACCAATATTTTACTCAGTGTACACTATTGGCTGTTTCTTTCTACCCGAGTGTTAGATACACCACTGACGGAGGAAGTCTACCCTATATCCCATAAGCGGGGATCAAACCGCTGTACGCCTTCTATACTAGAGCAAGTTTAGCTCTTTCAAATGTGAGTTTTATTTTTCCCTTTTTACTTATTTTTATTGTTTTAAGCATTTTACACTATTGGCTCTCCACTCTTTTATCTTCTATATACGAGCGGACCCTCACGGATGAACATAAAAAGGACAATTGTTCCGGATCAAGCACGGATAGATTCCATGACCTCAAAGAGCATAGTCTAGATAAGACTTTCTTGTTTTACTACAGTCATTTATTTGGACTATTTGCTATTTTATTTTGCATTGGCGCAGCCCTTATCTTGTAAGTTTTATGTGCCTGAACCTACCTCCAAAGGCCAAAAGTTGACATCCACCCCTGTAGCTAGTACAGTGAGTAGTATCAGTAACAATGCTAAGTGCCAGCTTATCAGTCAAACACTGAGCTTGCTAAATCCTGGAAATTATAAAGCATATCAATTGCTGTGATTTCTACTGAAGCAGAAGCAAGCAGTAGGGATTGACAGGTTATAAAGAGGTGGATACAAAAATCTAAGCTTTTCCTTTAGCATTTTTTTTTTAATACAGCCACCCTGAAACAGTACATCACATTATTTAGTACATCATAATCCTAGCTTGTAGGGAATTCATCTCATTCCACTTTGTTGTTTTAGCAGATTTTAAGGAAAATACTATCTGTACAATTAAGGTAAAACCATGGTTTGGGCACCCATCTCGGTTATATAAAAATGCATCCTCCATAAACACACAATTTGTACCTAGCAGTGAAAAAAAAAAAACTAAGCAACTTACCAGGTGCAAGTAATGAAAACATTTTAGGAGTACCAAACACTTTCTATTTTTCTATGCATCACAGTGGGTATCAGTAGGCAAATAACTTATCATACCTTAATTCACATTGCAAAAACAATAATGACCCTATACGTCAATTCTTTTGTTGAATGGAGTGGCAATAATTTGTGTACCAGCAAGACATTTCTACAGACTAATTCACAAAGCATCTTCCGCTTAAGGACAAGGATAAAACCAATCCTTATATTCACAGAGCAACTTGAATTAATGAATTTATGGGGATATTTCATTACTTCAAATCTTTTTGCACAAATTGTAATGTAACATTTTGTTCATTTATTCTTCTATTTGTAGTAATTTTAATATGTGAAATTGAGTTTTGATTTTATTATCACCCCATGCCATAAAAAACACACACAAAAAAGTCTGTTCACCATAGACTGAACTGTGGGGAAGAAAAACAGATATATTTATAAAGATCCAAACTGTTATTTTTATCTATACATTGAAAATTTCACTTTACCACAGTTTGCTATAGAGATCTCCCAGTGTTCCTGTAGGTGTGAGTTTAGGCGCTAAAATGATTTTTAGTAACTTTACTAACTTTTTTAGTAATACATTTTGTTGGTTACAAATGAATAATGGATGTTCAAACAATATCGAAAAATGACCACTGATTGAACAAAGTCCGTAAACAAACGTACAATAATTTTGTCAAATCCAATATTGCAGAAAATGTTATAGGACATTGAAATTGTCTCCACATTCAGCCTATTCAGAATTTTGGTTTTTCAATGTTGTCTGCAATGAATTTCATTATTAAAGGGTATTAATAAAAACAAATATGTTGTATTCTCAAGTGGTGCTGATTTTCTGGCTAATTACAGAGGAAATTAAAAAGTATATGTGGGCTTAATTCTCAAATTAAGCTAATATTGTGCAACTACAGATCTCCAGCATTATTACTGGATGTAGGTCTATTTACAATTTAGAAAAAATGGAAAATGTAATATTTCATCTAAGTAATTTATTAAACTGGGGTAACAGAGTAGGGTCAGACAACCTTTCATTTTCAATGGCAAGCCACATCACCAATAGATAGCTTGTGTCTGATGGTTAACTGAATATCCCATCATGCTCTGCAATTATTATGCAAGAATGTCACTAAACTTTTGCCATCTGAAGAACATCTGGTTGCTATTGCTATTCTTCAACTCAGAAAAGCGAGTTTCTTATAATAACTAATAAATACGAATAGCAAAACCTAAATTCTTGTTAGTATAAAATTGAACTGGAATGCAAATCATGTCTTTTACCTTTACCATATGTCTTTTACTCACGTAATTCCAATATGAGCCCAACCCTATTAAAATAATCTCTATAGTTTTCAACTTTGATAGGTGGCTTGAATTGGAGAAGACTTTTCCCTCATTTTGGTTTTGTATCAAGACAGTGAAGGATCTTAAAGGGACACTATGGTCACCAAAACAACTTTAGCTTAATGAAGCAGTTTTGGTGTATAGATCATTTCCCTGCATTCTCACTACTCAATTCTCTGCCATTTATGAGTTAAATCACTTAGTTTATGTACTCTAGTCACACCCCCCTGCATGTGACTTGCACAGCCTTCCTAAACACTTCCTGTAAAGAGTCATCTAAAGTTTATCCTTCCTTTATTGCAAGTTCTGTTTAATTTAGATATTCTTATCCCCTGCTATGTTAATAGCTTGCTACACCCGGCAAGAGCCTCCTGTATGTGATTAAAGTTCAATTTACAGAGAAAGCTACAATTGTCTAAGGTAAATTATATCGGATTGAAAGTGAAACCATTTTTTTTTTAATGCAGGCTGTCAATCAGAGTCAGGGGAGGTGTGACAAGGGCTGCATAAACGGAAACAAAGCAATTTAACTCATAAATGGCAGTGAATTGAGTAGTGAAACCTGAGAAGCATGATCTATACAAGGGGTAGGCAACCTTCGCACTCCAGATGTTGTGGGCTACATCCCCCATAATGCTCTTACACCCATAATGCTGGCAAAGCATTATGGGAGGTGTAGTCCAAAACATCTGCAGTGCCAAAGGTTGCCTATGCCTGATCTATACACTAAAACTGCTTCATTAAGCTAAAGTTATTTAGGTGACTATAGTGTTCCTTTAAGGCTACTGAAGTTCTGGCTTTGTACAATTCTAGAACTCAGGAGTCCCTTAACAGTTTATGGTTAAACTGGGTTTATCTTTTAGACTTGCCTAATTTGGCTACATGTTGTGATGATCTACCCTACTGTAACAAACAGGATTATTTACTAAAGTAAAATTTTCAGGAATTCAAAGTTTATTTCAAATGTAAGGCCAAAATAGCAAACTGAAAACATAGCTGACGTAAAATTTCGCCAGTTAAGCTATTTTGGTGTAAAATGTGAAATTCACTTGGAATTCAACACAATTCAGACTTCAGTGAATAATACTGAAAATACTACCCAGTTTTATACAACTTTTCTGAAGTGCCTTTCCTACTCCATATTCAATTTCTATATTTTGCCTGAAACCCATGTTTCTTCCCACTTGTCCCTTTAATGCCCCCTTTTCTCATTTGCTTTAGGGGAAGAGAAATACACCCATTATTTTACCATTTCGAATTTCGAGTTCAGTGGTTTATTATTTGTCTTTATACAACAACACTTGCTGTGCTGTGATCCCCTGTCATTTACAATTTGATCATTCTGTTTTGGAACTGCTTTTGATGTTCTCTGCTTTTTGTATATTCTTTAGAAAACCTATTAAAATGCAATTATAGAAAAAAATCACATTCCATTGCCATAAAGGAGCAAACTATTGATGAAAAAATAGTTAATCTTTCATCACATTATTTTTCTTTTGTCAAGCACTATATTCATTGTTGGTTCCACAGAAATAAAAATAAAGTGTTTGTAATAGATTGAAACAACAAATTGAAATATGTACTAGGCAATTTATTTGATATTTAACAAAAGGGGATTGTAACAAGCAATTTCATGACAAATTGAAAGATAGATTAACAACAATGGAAACATCCCTATCATTGAAGGCTTTGAAGGTTATCCATGCCTTTAGAAAAACTTAAGGCGAGTCTGACCATCACGTCTTCCTGGCACCTTTTCATATGACAACTTTCGCCTTTTTACTTGTGGTAGCTGAACAAAATGTATCCCTGCTTTTGAAATAAAATAATAATATAATTATTTTTACTGAAGTCATCAACAGTTTTCAAAGCATAATAAGACCTTATGTATTCTATTAGATGAGATATATTTAGCTCTTGTTAATGAGTTGCATATTTACCACTGACATCTATAGGAAATTCTCAATACTATAATATTATTAAAGATATTGTCCTATTTATCTGCTATAATCTAGCCCTACATATGCTACCAAGATACTTTGTACCCATCCAATGCTTGTAAATTGTTTATATAATTAATATTCAAGTGCCATATTGCTGCTGTAACTGGAATCACATTGCGCTCAAGGTATAACAGGAAATATAAAAAAACATGGGAGATAGTTACGTATGACCGCATTGAGCAGTTGAAGTCATACTGTCACGTATTCATCCGCTTATAGAAATGTGGTTAATGACATTTACTGTCCACACAGGAAAAGTTGTGCCAAGCAGCAACCTAATCCACAGAAGGGTTAATGCTGAGCAGCAATTATGCAAATGAAACCTGGTAACTGACTTTGGGGTCAAAGGCCGGTTACAGCCTATCAGAACTAAAGGAGAGGTATTTAGGCCCAGTTCTCAGCCTGCTCAGTGCCCTGTCGTGGTTTCCCATGTGGTTGTCCGAGAGCGCGTTCCTGTTATTAGTTTTCTACCTGGTTTTTTACTTTGGCTTTGTTTATTGACTTCTCTATATTCTGGTATCCTGACTCCTGGCTTTCCTCATCGCTGCGTCCCTTTCTGTGTTCCCTGACCTCACTAGTATTTTTGACTATTCTATGTACGTTAAATCCGGCCATTCTAAGGACCGGTAATACGTTACTTATTTGTCATCTGTGCTACAGTTCTACGTGCTGGATCAAACAGTAATCCTGACATTACGACATGGCCATAGATCCTGTAGAACTGTCAGCACATAGCTGCTTGCGAGAGGAAATTAGAGGAGAATGATCACCGCATGGATCAATTCGCTCAGGCTTTCAGTACGCTTCTCGCTAGAACGGCGCATCTGCAGCCTGCAGCGTCTCCTCCTATAGCACCTCAATTCTCTAAACCTGTTTTGTCTAACCTCCCTGTACAGTCCGAACCCAAACCTATGCAGTTGGGGGTCACTAGACTGTCGGAGGCCAAAAAACAGTATAGGAGAAGGGAGGGGTTATGCCTATATTGCGGTAGAAAGGGACATATGATAACGAATTGCCCAGTGCGTCCGGAAAACTTCCGCACCTAAGAACCTTAAGGGGACAGATCTTAGGTGTGATAGAGTTGTCCTCCCTGAAAGCAGATGTCTCTTACTCCTACTGAAGGAAAATAACCCTATAACGTCACAAACCAAAATTAAAAAATGAGATCTTGGACCTAAAGTCCAGCGATCCTAAAGTAGGATGAGTAAAACCAAGGACCTTTATTTCTTAATATTAAAGGATCACTATAGGGCCAGGAACAAAAACATGTATTCCTGACCCTATAGTGTTTAAACCACCATCTAGCCTCCCTGGGCCCCTCATGACTCCATAAATATAGTAAGATCTTACTGTATTCAAACCTGAATCTGCTGGCTCTGCCCTGTCTGCCTCAGAAAAACAAGCAGTCTGCTGACATCATCAGAAGTGGTTGCCTGATCCAATCACAATGCTTCCTCATAGGATTGGCTCAGACTGACAAAGAGGCACATCAGGGGCAGAGCCAGCACAATTCAAACACAGCCCTGGCCAACAGCATCTCCTCATAGAGGTGAATTGAATCAATGAATCTCTATGAGGAAAGTTCAGTGTCTGCATGCAGAGGGTGGAGACACTGAATGTTTGGATGCATTTTAGGCAGCCATGACCCAGGAAGGATCTCTAACAGCCATCTAAGGAGTGGCCACTAGGCTGTAATGTAAACACGGCATTTTCTCTGAAAAGATAGTGTTTACAGCAAAAAGCCTGAAGGTAATGATTCTACTCACCAGAACAAATGCATAAGCTGTAGTTGTTCTGGTGACTATAGTGTACCTTTAAATATTTGTAGTCGGGGACAAAAGATGTAATAATGAGCAACTAGAAGTATGTACAAGTCAGTTGTGGTGTGCCAGAACCAATGTATCGGGTAGGCCTGTAATAAAAGTGTGACAGATCCATCTGTATAGACTGGGATTGCTGGTTCGTCTGTTTTGCCTCTTTTCGTGGAATTACCTGTCTGTATGCCTCTGTTCGTTTATTTGACTTTTCTACCGAACGGACGGCCACCCAGAAGAGAAGTGTGCTGCTGGTTAACCTCTTGATCCCAATTAGAACGTTGTGGTTAACCGCAGACACCTTTCAATTAAAACCGAATACCGGGTGGTCGTCGTTCGTATGTCGACCAGGAGGCGGCGCCCATTTTAAAACTGGCGAAAGACCAGCGGTGTTCAGCACAGATTCTATAGAACTGAAAACGGACACTTTTTCCGCCGAACACCGCTAAAGCCACCGACCTCCCTTCTCGTTCGACAAAAGCATACGAACACCGGCTGTTTGGGAGTTTGAACTGCACAAATGGACTTAACCCAGATAGCCTTCCCATGGAGTCAATCGCATACCAAAAGACTGTAATAGACTTTGACTCCATGTCGATTGAACTGTGCGTATGGGATCTGAGCGCCAGGCTATCTGGGGATATGTTACACGAATGAGAAATTCGTGGCGATTGGCGATTGTAAAGTTATATATTTTTATGTGTTTTTTGGGTTGTATCTAAAATGGCGATTTGCCTCTGTCCTGGGAGATAATTGAATTACTTCTCAATTATCTCCAGGGCAGAGGGGAGGAAACCATGATGCATGCTGGGAATATTATGTGCCTGTGTGTCCTGAAATACTGTATGTCCATCTGCCGTTACAGTCTCCCATTTGGTCCCCTAGGGGAGTGTCCACCAAGTGGGAGACCTGCATAAATATGGGCGGGTAGCCCACAGTAAACCCAGTTCTTGTTTTACCCTCAATGCGGAGCTTGGTCTCGTTATTGGAGGGGAATTTACTACACGAATAGAGACTGCCGGATGGAATTATTAGCCGCTTGGGAGATATATGGTTTCGTCTGTTAGCGGCGATTAGTGAGTTTACTGTTTGGGAAGTGAAGTACCCGTACGGGAGATTGGAGCATTCCCCTGCTTGCAATTTGTATGATTGCAGTTGATACGAATGAAGCTTGCGTTATGGTGAGAGGGGAGGATTCACTAAACGGCGGTTTGTCTATTTGATGCTGAGGGTGCCATTACAAAAAGAGGGCCCACCAAGTAAATAAGAAAAAGAGGAGAGGTGGGAGGGATGAACCCATCGTTGGCGGTCATGTGATGGAGGGGACCTAAGTTTATATAGCCAGATATCCCCTACCATAATTACAGGCTGCAACTTAATATTTGTAGTCCGGGACAAAAGTCGTAATAATGAGCAAATAGAAGTCTGTAGAAGACGGTTTTGGCGTGCGGGAACCGATCTTCAGGAAGGTCTGTAATAAAAGGGCAAAACATTGCAATATATAACCTTTATTGCATAAACATTACATCAGTAAATCTTGAAATGCTTGATTCAATTCCTGTTCTGGGTGAGGTTCATGGTGCATTGAGAAAGGAAATACCCGAAAGGTTTGTGATATTCTGTACTCCAAATTAATACCAGTAGCACCTTGGTGTGCACACAGCAACTTTTTTCCACAGCCTCTTGTTTGTTCTATCAACCCTGAGGTATAAATCTGGAATAGGCAGCTGACTTCCAGCACCCTAATCTTTTAATGATATGAGCAGGGACATTGTGACTTGATGCCGCAAAAGCGGCTCCAATTTTGAACGAGTGACCTGAAAATGCAAAGGGATTGAGACCAAGTCTTATGGAAAGTGTTCTAATAGACAATATGACTTTGGTAGTGGTGAGAGGTCTGCCATGTAGTATGAGTAGAGGCGTATTTGGATTTAGATCATCGAGTGATAGGCAATATAGGTTGTGAGAAAGTCGTCTAAGTAATGTATGACTGATGGACAATCACAAACATTGAGAAGGAGCCAACATAGTGTGTCAGCAAACAAGTTGAACAACTTGGGGCTACTCTTTGCTCCAAATGTCAAACATGTAGCAAAGTAATATGTTTCTCTCCACTTTATACCATGCACATGCCACAGTGGTGGGTGTATAGGTAAAAGCTTGAAGGCATTGGTAATATCAGTTTTTCCCAACCAAGCACCATCCCCTGCCTTCAAGATGGCATGAATGGCATCGTCCACTGTTGCATAGTGCAAGGAAAACTCTTCGGAGGGAATCAGTGAGTTAAGGTTTGGAGTAAGCAATGAATGCGGAGCCGATAAATCGATAATTAGATGTTTTTTATTGTAAAATATTCCTGTGGCTAAACCTATGGGGTTGGTACGCCAACACGAAAAAGGGGGATGTAAAAAAGGGCCTATTATAAATCTATTTTCAACTTTCTTGAGTAATACTTCAGTATTGAGGGGGTCAAGTAAAGCAGACTGTAGATTCTGACAGTCGTGAATACCAGTGGGAAGTGTGACAAGGCCAGTGTGGAAACTGTCTGTGATACATTGAACCAGAAAGTCAACTAAGTGATGGGAGGGGTGTGATTGGAGGTAGTATGCCAAGTTGCCAATGCAAACTTCAGTCAGGCATTGTTTCGGGTACAGATGGTTAGGGCACATAGTTTTGGTGTAACAAATGGAGCAGACGTGCAGCAGTCTGCACAAGCTAAAACCGCAACTGCCCGAATTGAAATTGTTGCAGATCTGAGCCTTGCCCAGGTACACAATGGGCATGCCCAATTTGTCTTTCAGGCCTCTGTGTTCAGCAGTGGAAGAACTGAAGGATGCACAACTAGTGGGCATAAGTTCATGGAATGGGAGATGGAAGCGCATATGGCACAAGACGGTGGTTTGAGACCAGCGAAGTGACGACAGAACAACTCTGTCAAGCCTACTCCAGTCTGTGTGAGTATTAAATTGTGCATGGGTTGCTGCAGCCTTGGCCGAAAATGACTTGTGATAGTCAAAGAAAGAAAAACCACCGTACTTGTGCCCCAGGTCCCAGGTCACTGCAAAGTCCAAAAGTGAGGACAAATTCAGGGATAGTGAGTTTACGATTGAGTCTGGGGTCTCTGACTTTCAAAACAATGGATAGATCACCATAGCAGTAAGATTTGTTCTCTAAGACATCCTGAGAGGCAATCAGTAAGAAAACTAAGTTCACATCCTTGCCTTTCAGGATGTCTTTGTGTATGGTCGTGGGCACTAAGTGAACGGGAGTGACGATGTGAGTAGATGTGCTTGGTATAGGGTCCAAAAGAGAAAAGATTACTATGAGAGGGAGAGGGAGAACAAAGCCCCATGGGTGGGCTGGGCGTCAGTGACTGAGGAGATTCCAGTTTCTAGTCGGACATTAATAGTATTAATGGAGGTGAGTAAAGCGGACAACAAACTCTTGATCTCACTGTAGTTGTCAGAGACTCCGACTGTACTAGTGAGTAGGAGTCTGTAAAGTTTGGCTTTGCAAGCTATGGCTGGGAATGGAATCCCTAAACGCCGTAATACAGCTGCAAATCTTGGGATGGTCCAGGAACATAGGGAACAAGGGCTACCTGAGTCTAGAGTCTCTGTAGGGGTGCTAGGTCCAGCCGGGGTGGGAGGTCTGGTATGAGGTAATGAGAGTTCCTCATCTTGTTCCGGGACATGAGACATGCTAAGTACACAAATAGGAGTATAGTGAGTACTTGAAATAAAAGCGTGATCTGTGTCAACTGGCTCTAGCTAAAAGTCCGAGGCGAAGAGATTATCTGGATTACGTCATATATGAGGCCCTGCTAGTGCCAAGTGGCTAAGAGAGGCTCTACCTATGATAAGCACCAAGTGGGCAAAGGCCACTTGATAATGTGGAGGGAACTTTGGCCTCTCAGTGACAGTAAAAGAGTCAATATAAGTGGACATGTGAGGTGAAGCCATGACTGGTAACCAGTAGAGGTTGATATGAGGCATTAGCAATGCGTTGGGCTGAGGGGCATATACTTCCGTATGAGGATGGGTGTTGGCCTCAAGGGAGTCAATTATGTTACAGCTAGCTATAGACGTAATAGAAAAAGAACAGCCAGTTGATTTAACCTTAGCAGAGAACAGGATGGGTGTTTGGTCGGTACGAAGTGGTTGAAACATACCTAGCTTGTGGAAGAGAGAGGTTTCTTTGTCAGAAGAACAAAATTCTTGAGTTCCTAAGGAAAGAATATGGGAGGTAAGATAGGATCTGGACTTGGGGGGGTGGAGGGGGAGGGTAACATATTATGAGTACGTTGAACAAACTTTCGTGAGTATAGTTTAACTGCAAATATTGTTTGAGAAACATTAGAAAATATAAGTACATTTAGGCGTAGGGTTCAGGAGTTTGTATGGTGATATGGAAAGGAGCGGCATACTTGGATTTGTGCAAGGAAACATGTCAATACAAACCCTGAGTACAGGAGAACAACGTTACGTTTAGTGGTTTAGCGAATTGCCAATAAAGTGAGGGGAAACAATGCAGGATGTAATTTGAACTTGTGTGGAAACATAACGTATTAGTGGCAGGAAATAACAGATGTGAAGTATTAGGGATCATTTTTTTAAGTAGGAAGTATACACCACATTAACGCATGCATAATAAAATGAACATCGTAGTAATAAAAGCAAATTTTTTAGGGGGCAGTAAAGTGTAGATACAAACAGGTGAATAAGTACCCGAAATTAGGTGAACTTAACATGTAACATAGAACAGTGCAAAATAATAGTGTCATAATAATATTGGCCGCTAGAGGAGGTCTGCCAGGCCGGCTCGATCGTATGCAGCAGGGTACTGTAGACCGGAGCAGGGAGAACTTGGCCTGCAGCGAAAACAGCATGGGAGGGATGTCCTGATGAGTGAAATAGAACCAGAAGTCAAAAGGTTCTGAAAGAACCCCTTGATTACAATCCTGTGATGGAGGGGGCCTGAGTATATATAGCTGGGCAACGCCTCCCACAATTACAGGTTGCCTCTTAATATATGTCACTTTACTACAAGCATAGTTTTAATAAAACATAAATAGAAATAAAGCCTCTGTGTAATGTGAAAGCATGTGATAGACAGTATATAAACAATATGGAAGAATTACAGCTATTGCTTAGAATATAAACAAAGTGATCCACTTGATACACATTCAACCTTGTAAATGTAACAAATACTTTTTCTTAAATATTACCACTTTTATATTAAGTGTCGATTCAAGGATTTTTCTAGTTGTAAAAATCATCACTAGGTCACCAACTATGAATAGACGTCAAGCATATGTTCAATTTCTGAGATCTCTATAGATTAGAAAGATAGGGAAGTCTGGAACAAACAGGAATAACCAGTATAATTAGTTCTTATTGGCTCAAAGGGACACTATAGTCACCCAGACCACTTCAGCTCACTGAAGTGGCCTGGGTGCCAGGTCCCCCAGGTTTTAACCCTTCAGATGTAAACATAGCCGTTTCAGAGAAACGGCTATGTTTATATTGCAGGGTTAATCCAGCCTCTAGTGGCTGTCTTTCTGACAGCCACTAAAGGAGCTTCTGCGACACTGGATGCGAAAATCGCATTCAGCGTGCAGAACGTCCATAGGGAAGCATTGAGCCCGGCGCTGAGTAAAGGTAAGTGGGGGAGGGGGACCCTGAGGGTGGGTGGGACCTAAGGGTTATATAATGTCAAGAAAACAAGTTTGTTTTCCTGACACTATAGTGATCCTTTAATTAAATTAAGAGTCCTTGGGGCATATATCAAATATGGATTACTAGATCTCAAAGATTGGAGACCTGCTGATTTCTATATATTTAAAATAGAGTAAAGGTGTTTGGCCATACACAGGGCCGGATTAACATAGGGGCTGATGGAGCTGCAGCTCCAGGTCCAGGCCCATGGAATAGGCCCATTTAAAAAAAAAAAATTAAAAAGAAAATAGTTTTTAAATTTGTATTTTTTAAAAAAATTTTTACACACTACTCTTAGGTTTACCACCTGACTGGTATTTTACTGGCACAGCCGGTATTTGAGGCTGCCTGGCCGTGCCGGTATTTGAGGAATACCGGCAGTAAAAATGCAGGTAATATTCTCAGTATAAACGGACATTACTCTGCAATACCAGCACCGGTCAGTAGGGGTCACTGTGTGTGGAGGAAGGCAGGGATAGGAAGTTACAGCATATCCCTGCCTCTCTCTACTACTCACTGATCCTTGGGGGAGCAGCTACACAGCACAGAGAGTCCAGACTGCAGCTCTTCAGCTCAGGTAAGTGAGGGATGGGGTGAAAGGCTGCAGGGAGACATGGGGACACTAAGACACTAGGGGACACGTGGGGACACAGACACTAGGGGCACTGGGAGACACTAGGGGACACTGAGACATGGGGACGCTGTGACACTGAGAGACTAGGGGACTGGGCGACATGGGGACACTGACACTGATACATAGGGATACTGAGACACTGGGTGACTTGTGAGACTGGGAGACAGGGAGACACTGGGAGCAATTCCTCTATACAGCAGAATCGAACTGTGAGTAGTTTGTTGGTGATTTTACAGAACTTTCTCTTATGTCACTCCTTGTTACATCATGTGATGTCACGCATAACTAATTAATTATACAAATGATTAAGGCTGGTATTTTTTTTCCAAGAAAGGTGGCAACCCTAATTACTCTTCACATACTCTTGCTTAAAGGAACACTATAGGGTCAGGTCAGGAACACAATCATGTATTTCTGACCCTATAATGTAAAAACCACCATCTAGCCCCCCTGGGCCCTTCTTGCCTCCCTAAATATAGTAAAATCTTACTTGTATTATGTAGTCTGCAGCTGCTGGCTCTGCCTCTGAACTGACTCTGTCTGCTGACACCATCAGAAGTGGTGGTCTGAGCAAATTGCAATGCTTCCCCGTAGGATTGGCTGAGACTGTCAACTAGGCAGATCAGGGGCAGAGCCAGCACAAGTGAAACATAGCCCTGGCCAATCAGCATCGCCTCATTAAGATAGATTGAATCAATGCATCTCTATGAGGAAAGTTCAGTGTCTGCATGCAGAAGGTGGAGACACTGAATGGCAGTGCTGCACACTAGGCAGTACTGCCCCAGGAAGCACCTCTAGCAGCCATCCAAGGAGTGGCCAGTGGAGTTATTTTCTCTGAAAAGACAGTGTTTACTGCAAAAAGCCTAAAGGGAATGATTCTACTTACCAGAACAAATACAATAAGCTGTAGTTGTTCTGGTGACTATAGTGTCCCTTTAAGTTTGGAAGCTTAAGAGGGATGTATGGCAACAAAACTTGTGTGGACTGGCCGACAATAAAATTAGTTTAGGTAATGCAGACTTTGGTTTCTCTAACACTGTGGCATGTCCATTTTCTTCTACACTCACTACATGCACCTTTACTCTGTCCCAGACAGGCCCGGACTGGCCATCGGGCACACCGGGCAAATGCCCGGTGGGCCGCGGTGGCCGTGGGGCCGAGGCCGGCAGGGGAGGTCCCAGGATCTCCCCTGCCGGTCTATGCAGGGCCGGCACTATCCGAGCGCCGGCCCCGCTGTTTGCCATGGAGGGCCGATGGGGAGATCAAAGAGCTCCCTCACCGGCCCATTTAAACACACCTGCGGCTGGGGAGGGAGAGGACCCGGCGGAGCTCTATCTTGCAGCTCCACCGGGTTCCTCTCGCGAGATCCGGCGCGTTGCCATGGCAACGACCGGATCTCGCGAGAGTGAACTCTAGCCCGCAGGCTAGAGTTCACTCACCACTGGACCACCAGGGATGATGTGAGTGTGCCGGTCCCCCCTCCTCCCAGCTACCACCATGCCGGTCCCCCCTCCTCCCAGCTACCACCATGCCGGTCCCCCCTCCCAGGCTAAAGGTAAGTGGGAGGGGGGATTTAATGCCTACTTAGGTTTTTTTTTTTAATTTCTTTATTTACCCCCCCCCACCCCCTTAGTTTTTTATTTACCCCCCCAACACACATTTACACACAGCACTCTCACACACATCATACACAGCACTCTCACACTCATCACACTCTGCACTCTCACACACATCATACACAGCACTCTCATACACAGCACTCTCATACACAGCACTCTCATACACAGCACTCTCATACACAGCACTCTCATACACAGCACTCTCATACACAGCACTCTCATACACAGCACTCTCATACACAGCACTCTCACACACAGCACTCTCACACACAGCACACTCTGCACTCTCACACACATCATACACAGCACTCTCATACACAGCACTCTCACACTCATCACACTCTGCACTCTCACACACATCATACACAGCACTCTCATACTCTGCACTATCATACACAGCACTCTCACACTCAGCACTCTCACACATCATCACTACACAGCACTCTCACACACATCATACACCGCACTCTCATACACACATCATACACAGCACTCTCACACTCAGCACTCTCACATGCATCATACACAGCACTCTCACACTCAGCACTCTCACACACATCATACACAGCACTCTCACACACAGCATTCTCACACACATCACACTCTGCACTCTCACACACATCATACACAGCACCCTCACACAAATCAATCACATACAGCACCCACACACAGCACCCACACCTCACACACAGGATCCATCACACACACATACTGCACTCCTCACATACACACACAACCCCCCGATACACTGCCTAACACACATACACAATACTTCCAAACATATTTATATAATATATATACACATATAAATATACACACAGCACCCCTCACACACACACACAGCACCCCTCACACACACAGCACCCCTCACACACACACACACACAGCACCCCTAAACACATTTCATTCCAGACACACATTAGATCCTCTACCCAACT